TATCATATGTATAAAAAAAAAAACAGGACACGATCTTAAATTTTCCATAGAGACAGATGATTTTACCCATAACCCGGCTAAAGGCTAAAAATATAAAGGCTCTAAAAGAGTTAGATATGCAAAGATGATACTTACCCCATGTTCTTCCAAGACATCGATCATGTATATGGGTTCAGCTTCAAATTTCATAACATGGTCTGGGTGCTCTTGAATCTTGAGATCTCTAATATCATTTCTCAATGAACGTACACATCGCAATAATTCTAGCGCAGTATGCCGAATCTGGCTGTCGACTGAACTAAGAAAAATTAGGCCAACAGCATCGATATCCGCAGCGCGAAATTCAATTGCATCTGCTGATTGATGAAAAGTTAATTTCTTGAACCTATCATTTCCCTTTGCTGTTGGCTTTTCATCTTCGGCATCAGTATCTTGTCTGTCATCTATCAAACAAGCCCTCCAGAAACGCATGAGTTCCAACAGGCGCCCTAGTGATGTTTGAATGAGGAGGGGAAACTCATCAGGAAGCTTTAAGATAAAGTTCGCCATCCCTCTCATAACTGCAAAACGGCGATGAGGAAGGTATCTAACAACCCGGTTTAGGACTTGCACTGCTTCCTCTCGAACTCCAGGATCAATACTTATACCATGCTGAGGTATTATTTCTGTGATCTTATCACTCCGTCCAACTTCCTCTATCAGATAAGGTATGCATTTCAGCACTGATCGAAAGAGAGATCCTTGAGACTTTTCTTTATTCACAGCATCTGCACGTGTCTTGAAGGTTAGCAAGGAATGTTTTCAGGAGAAAGTATTAGCAGAGAATGCAGGTAGAAATCAGAAAAACAATCACAATAAATGTTCACACAACATATAGTGATCTTTTAACCTCCCCACAAAACCATGTACATCAGACTAAGCTTTTTGCGTAAAACTAAATTTACCTATTGTAGTCCTTGATGATGTTAGAAGAGCTTGACTATAGGTCCTATGGCAGGATCTCAAAATTGACTCAATTGCTGCTTTCACCTTTGGTATGTAATGGCCAATACCATGACCTGTCAAGACAACACTAAGAATAGTTGAGCGTATGAAAGGAAAAGTATGTTAACAAACGACCTAATTCAGGTTAACAGGTTACCCTTAAATATTTCCAAGCCAACATACTGGCTTGAAGGTGACATAACGAGGGCAAGTAAAGCACGAAGACCAATAATCTTTGCTTCACTTGGACTATCTTGCTTTAATAGTTCTAGCAACATGTGATTCATGGCGAAGTCAAGGTTATGTTCAGCTATGGTCACACAGAACTCAACGAGTTTATCTTGTTGGACATCCTGAGTGAGCATTCCTTTTCTCAGAACTGTTAGCAATTGTGATGTCACACTATCCAAATAATCCCATATACGATTTGGTGGCTGGGTAGCAGCATAGACACTCAAATAAAACCTCAACACCCGGTGAAGACAATCCAGTGCCATGTAGCGATGATTCTTATCCTGCAATAGTGTGCAGTATGCAGTATTAGAGTGAAACCAAGATATATAAACTACCAAGAATAAGCTACTGTAATTACAACTGCACACATAATGGTGTGCAGATGTGACAATTGCCCTCGTCCATTCTCACTTAAATTAAATTTTGAGTGCAGGCAAACTTACTCTCAGAAGCTTGTACAACTGCTCCATGTGAGAGCTTAAATTATGATGAAATATAAGCGGGTCACCGAGACAGAGAAGTAGGGTCACAAGCGGATAGCCAACCTATTAACCATATTATACCTGTTAAGGAATAAAATCACAAGGAAAACATGATAAAGTGATATTAAATCAGATTGACGTACACCAATATGTTTGCTCTGTTTCTCCATCCAATGGATTAGATTCACTCTAATGCGTCCCACAGCCTCATACCAGAGTGTCAGCGCAGGCTCTGCAACTGAAGGGGGCCATTGGCTTTTGCCACCATCGGAAAGTGGCGCCAGGATGTTAGAAAGCATATTGCAAAGCGCATGGTGAAGCTCACTTTTACGTTTGTGTGGAGCACGGTTAAGAGGGTTTGCTTTTGCTACAAAGGAGGCAGACGCATTTAGCCCACCCTCACTCTTAACCTGGTAATAAACATAATGTCACATTTGACTATTTGAGTCCTGAAGCCTGCATTTTCTAAGAGATCAGAGACTTACCCCAAGCTTTAAGTATCGCATCCCATTAATGATGCTGAGAGTTTCACTTCTTGCTACACTTGTGTCAATCCGGCGAGTATTGAGTTCCATGAAAAACCGCTCAGTGACAGAGCTGAATCTGTTAGTGAAAATTCATAGTAATCAATGGATTAGAGTGGTTGAGGTTGCGGCGGCTCAAAACTAGATCAGGCTTTTACAAGTTCTTTCGTTCCGACTAAACTTGTGGATGCAACTGCAAGTCCCATTCAACTAACAATGCAAAATGAAATACCTGATACGGGATAGTGCACCCAAGAGTTGAGCAACCAAGTCAAGAAGGAGACCCCTCAAATCAACTAGTGATGGGTATTCCACTTGGCTAACAACCCTGTAACGGAGAAGCACCCAGAACTTAAGAAAATTAGCTTTTTGTAACTCAAAAAGGCACGTCAAAGGATAAAAGCATACTTTCTAGCGAATCATATTAACTTTAAGAGTTCCAGCTTCTGAAATCAGTACCTGTCAGCGTTAATTAGCCAGTCAAAAACAAAATTCTCAAGTCCAGACCATAGCTTCTCTGTCAAACACGCAAAATCCTTTTAGCAAGGCAGTATACACATTTTGTTGGAAGAAACTGTATAGAGAAACTAAACAAACCGGTGAGCCCTTCCTGCGGACAACACTCGACGAAGCGAATACAAGCTGAGCAGAAGATGCACTCAACCGCCAACTGATTCCAGTAGTGTAAAACCATATATCAGAAAAATGAAAACAAAAATTCGAAAGTTGATTAAACAAGACTATGGATAAAAGTATTCTTGCAGAGAGGTAAGATTAATAAGAAACAGAGAAGTAAGAGTATAAGAGTCAAAAGAAAATACCTTTCTCTGGAAAGTCGATGCATCATTTGCACCTTTTGGTGATTCACTGCAACGCAGATATAAACCCACACAAAAAAAGAAAGAGAAAATCTATTAATAATGGTCCAGAGAAGTAGCCATAGATAACATCTTGTTAATAAATTCACCTATATGAAGAAAAAGTGATATCCACATAAGATAATGCGATAATGCACCAAACAGTCCAAAAGCAACACTGGAATATGGAAGATCAACGATTCAAGCTAAGACAATGCAAGATGCAGAAAGAGTAGCCTGTGGGAGATAGGTCTTTAAGACGTATGTCATTTGGGCAAGAGTCAGGCACCATCTAACTGTTAAGAGAAAGGAACAAAATTTACCCACCTTTCCCTCCATCTAAGTAGAGCTTCTAAAAGAGGAACAGGTGTGTGACGCGCAATCATAGCCAAGGAATCCAGCACCTGCTCATACGCAGGATCTGATGGACGAAGGTACTGTCCATCCTGCAATCATCACACCAAGAACCATGTCACTACCAAAACAGTGGTGTTAAGAAACAACGAAAGTGAAGGCATTTCCTTAATGTAACACTTCCATTAAACCATGCTCAAGACTAAGTTTCAACTAGCTATTGACAAGGAAACTACCCAATAAGCAGAAACGAACAAGTGAAAAAACTAAACGAGCAAAAAACATTTGGATTCATTTGAAATGTGAGAGAGGAAAGAAGAAAACTTATTGAGAAGGAGAAAGAACCTGAGCTTGAGCTGTCTCGATTCGCCGTCTTGCGAGAGGCAGGAATCGCTGGAGCAGCGCCTCTACTATCAATTTCGCCGCACTTCCGGACTTCATCACGTTCAGCAAGAAGAGATCCCCACAAAGGCGAAACTGTCCCCTTCAAAATGAAAAATTCAACATTTATAGAACCCGAATCAAAAACAGAATACGAGACTGAATCTCGTGAAATGAAATTCCCAGAATCAATCAGCAATACCAAAGAAGAAGAACACCCCCCAAATCACGAAACCATTCTAGGGCTTAGTTCGATCCAGCGAGACAATCGCTTTGAAATTTCTCTGATCGACGAGCTTCCTCGTTCCTCTTTTCTTTTTGTTTTTGTTTTTTTTTTTCTAATTTTTTGTACTTTTGTCTGAAACTGAGAGAGTAGTTTGAGAACGTTAAATGTGCTTAGTAAAATCAATGTTTTCTAAAATCTAAACAACACCACTTATCATATGATAAGGCTACAATAAGTATATTGACTTCAAATGTTACTCCCTCTGTTCTTTTATTTTATAAGATAAGATGCTCTAGAGAAGTAATTAGAGAAGCATTAAACTTCATATTATTTATCTCGTATGCATGCTCATCTACTTCGAGAATTTTATTTCTGGAGAAGAACACTAACGAGAGAGTCAAACAAACTCGATAAAGTTGAATTACTGTGGATGTCAACTAAAAAATGAATAAATTTCGTATTAAATGTATTTTTAAGATCTATATTCAAAGAAACAAATGACGAGAAAATGACTTCCAATTCAGTTTCTCAGTGAAATCCATCTCGTATACCAGCCCAACCTTGCTAATCTACAGTGTACCGACCGGTTTACAATAATACAAGCATCAAATTCCGGTACTCTCAAACTGGGATTTCTCAGAATCTACCTAACTCTATACTCAGAGGGAGATTTCATCAAAGCTTGATTAGCTTGCTTCATCAGCACATTGGCACACAAGAAACTTACAGAGCACAAAACTTTCTTTTACTCTTCCCTCTGTGTCTGCGTCTCTATAAACAAACGCAGAAGCTTTTCTTTTGCTCTGGTCTATGCAAGATGCTCGTCTTTCTTTTCTTCTTTCTGACACACAAAGCTCAAACCTTGGGCTGATACTCTGTTCTGAAAGAATCTCTCATCTTGTTTCTTGAGAGCTTGGAAGATGTCTGAGAATTTTAATGGAAGCCATTGATTTCTTTATCAGTTGAAGAAATAAGGCGACTCTAACACAACTTTTAAATCCAAATCTCCTCGTTCTGGCAGAGGTGGAAACTCTAAATGAGGAAACGATTGCTCAAAGCTCTCCAGCAACTGTTAGAAAGAGAGAAAAAAAACAAACAAGTTATGATCAGTCTTCCACAGGCCAACTGAAGATGGAGACAGATGATGATGAAGCTTACATTCTCTAGTATCGGTTGAGAATACAGCTCAACAAACTTTTCCCTAAGTATTTTGTTTAATTTATCCACGTCGCACGCATGTGTCCAAAATGAGTCATGAACTCCTGTAAGAATATTTTTGACAAAGCAATGTGGTAACTGACACAAGATCAAGGTTTTCACAACGATGGAGGTCCAAAAAGATTCAAGTTGTGAAAAAGGATGAAACCTGCAAAACAAACGCCTGCTCTTTTGCAGGCAACTGCAGTCATCATCATATGAGACCCGTCTAGGGAGTGGATAAAATTTGGAGGAAAAGCTGTCCTTTGTCGCCTGACCAGGACCTGCAAAACCAAAACCCACAAAACTCTTTTAGGACCGTATGCTGTTTCCTTAGCTATCTTTTGTTTATAAGCAAAACCAAGGTAAAGCTGAGGCAAACCTTATCTGTTTCACGCTGAAGCGATAAGGTCTGGAGGGATGTCTTTACCTGCATTCATACATATTTTTAGACTCAACGGACGAGAGCAATGGTGTTTGCAAAAATGTGATCCACTCTGTTAACTTTTAGGAAGACTTACGAGTTGTGTTTCCATTTGCTGGTAAGGTTGTACAACAGGAAGACCCAATGGTGTTGTCCATCGAACTGTTTCATTTTCTGAAGCAATAATCTGCTCATAGAAGAAAAAAAATTCCGTTGTAAATCCAAAAGCAAATTTAATAAACGCTGACAGAATTGTTATAAACCAACCTTTGCACATTCACCAAACCAGTGCATGATAGCGCGTGCAGCTTCAAACATCTCATCTATAGCAGTTAATGTTACCTGCCGCAAACATGACAAAAACATCTCATCTATAGTTTCCAGAGTATAATCATTTTCCGAAGCACACGTCTTTGAAGATTAGATAAATGAAATTGCCAAATAAGATTTTCTAGTGTCAGTACTTTCATCTATTGCCAATATACCTTTGCTGCATAGCAAGCCGCACCAAAAATTTCTTTCTCTTCAGTAAATGCACTGCGCTCCTTCAACCTTCTCTTTATTTGATCCCGAGCACCAGAATATGTGACACCATATACTGATGTCATAACTGTCTGCTTTACAAGCTTCCGATCCACCTACAATGTACCCAAACAAAGAAAATATCAGGCAAATTGTTCACACGCCATTCCTAATATATACATTTTAGAACAGCTCATTGAAATCAATTTTTTTTTTTTATTTAACAGAGGTTTTTGAGGAAGTATTATATGTGATTTCTACTCCACCATGCAAGCAAGGAAGCGAAACCGAGATACACAAGGTTAGGAAATGGAAAAAGTAAAAAAAAAATCATTTCAGAGATGGACCTGATCGACTAATATTTTTGCACGCAATGCTTCTGGATAAACTTCAGGATCTCTGTCTGCATCTCGGCGCATAATAGCAAGAACCCTGCAGCGCATATGCATAAGTGCACATTTATTTTCTCAGACTAAAATTAAGTTAGCTTTAAGCAGAGCTTACCTAGTAGCTATTCCTGAATAAACATCTGCCGGCTTCTCACCTGCAACTAGATTAACAGCTTCTGCTCCTAGCTGATAATCATTTTTAAAAAACCAAAATTCAGACAAGAAAGATGACAACCAGCCAGAAAAGAAAAAACCATAGAGTATAAAACAAGAGAATTACTGTGTCTCTCCCCAGAGCGGCATAATGCTGTAAACCATTGCAGGAACCATCCTGGCCAAAACCAAAGTGAAGGAAGGGAAGTTTAGTTTTAAGGCGCACAAATTGAAAGAGAAACTATAACGTAAAGTCATTAAAGAGTTTCAAGCCTGAAGGACGAGATGTCAATGTGGTAACTTCTGCCAGAAAGTACCTGATGTACAGGAATATGTGAGAGAACTGTCTCCGGGGATGGACTTCTCAGAGCTTCAGTGAGATTTATGCACACGGCCAAACACTGAAACGGGTCTTCAGCTTTCAGCCACCATCTGCTTCCTTCAAGTGGTCTGTCTGCCGAATCAAATATGTCATCCAAGTGATTTTCGGTGAAAGCTATCCTCCCCTCAGTTGATAACTTATCTACACCACCAGCATACAAGTTCGCCAAGTGTATCTTCAGCCAGCGTAAGCCTGGACTTCCCAGAGGCCTTCCTTCCGCAAACTCCAAAACACCCCGACACAAATCCGAACCAAGATGATTTAAGTGTGGGGGCATGGGATATGCGCGTCCCCGGAAGTCAATATTGTGGGGATAGTAAAAAGCTTCCTCATCTTTCATTTTCCGTGCTACCTGTAACATATAAATACTTACGAACATAAAAATTAAAATATCACATTGCTTAGATCCCAAGAGAGGATACTCACCGAAAGCTTGAGTTCAATGTCACAGCGCAGAGAATGTCTCTCGCTGTTCACCTTTTTAGCAGATTTGAGTTCCCACCTCCATTTCTTAAGAATGTCCTCATCCTCGGTATCAGGCTTTTCTGGTAAAGGAACCTGCAGTTTAAAATAAGGAACTTTAAGAGGCCTCATGATGCACAAGGGATCGAAAACATATCACCGCAACAATGGAATTTATTTATGCCGAACTATGGAATTATTATAAGATCAAAGTAAGACATGGAGTAACTCACATCGCTACGATCCACCAGATGAGCAGTACAGCCGCCACTGCTCCATATCCTATCTACAACGGTTAAGACTCGCTTATTTACTCTCCATTTAGTAGTTCCAAGCGTATCCAGGGCCTAGCAAATGCCCATATGAGATACTACAGAAATTAACAACTGTAACTGGTTTCCCCACATCAACCACATGAAGAAACAGTATTGTCTAACCTCAAAGATTGGTCTAAGTTGTCCTTTAGGTGCGCTCTTGAGTGCCTCTCGTTGTTTCTTAGCTCCATGAGTTTTCATAATATAAGACGCTAAGAACAAGTAAGCCCCTCTGTCGTAACTGTGAAGTAACAGGAATGAAAGTGAAACCACTTATAAAACATTCACGAAAATATATTCACTAACAGATTCGTGTAACTAGACGTGGTCACAATATACATTACAATAACTATTATCATACTGAAGAATTAATTTTGGAATTTATTTTTGAAATACCAATTATTCACTTGGGGCAAGTATACAACAAAGAAAGCTCATTACCCCGACCACTTGAGAGGGGGAACCAGCATTGGCATGTATGGCATCAGTGCATATCTCCCCTGCACCACAAAAAAAGGCATTCACCCTTCCTACATCATAAACTAGTTGTCTCTGTAATTGCTTTAATCTTCAAATCCCAGATGTATATCAGTCTTATATACTGTCACCACCCAAGTCAAACCCTCTTAAGATATAACAGTCAACAAAATGAACATAGATTACTCTGAGTTAATGACAGAAATTCATCATTACTTTCATTGATCTTTGGGTTAAATTAAATCTGACTAACAAACCAAACGAGAATAGGTCACCTACAGTTTTCTCCAAACCTTTGCGGACCAAAGGGTCACACTCGATTACACCATACTTTCTTCCAGTACTCCTGGTGTACAAGAATGCTAAAATGTGAGCCCATGACATTCAGGACAAGAAGATAAGCACTACTTGAAAACCATATACAAAAATCACTCACACGTTTCCTTTCCCTACTGTCTTGAAGGTATGCGTAAATGCAGGTCGGACATCAGGCAGATCATTATCCTCCAGATTAGCTGGAGACTGTATATGAGCTGTTTTTGTCAACAACTCTATCAGACGACTTCCAACCTGATATATGAATTAGCAAATGTCAAAACGTTATAAGGTTTCTCTACTTCCGGAGCAATTTTGCCACCAAGCATATTACACACCTTAGCTCTAATCTCTGCGGTCCATGGTTTTGTATAGTCATGCGACTGCAAGATCTTTCTAACTGCTGACAACTTCTGTTTCTTTATCAACTCATTCACCTTTTTTCTCAACCTATCTTGCTCCTTCATTGGAGTTCCATTTTCACCTTCCCCGCTTTCCTCTTCCTCATCCCCCTTTTTCTTCCTGGTCTTATTCAGGAATGTGCGTATCCTTATCTATCAAATCAAGCAAACCAAGGAGATTACTATCAAATGATCTGATATAAAGAAAAGCAGAAAACCATAGAAAAGTTCAAGCAATCCAACCTCTTGCTCAATGGCATCCCCTACAGAACAAGCAGCATGAACAACCTTAACACAACCGTTATCACCACCAGTCATCAAATGCCCCATCAACTTATGCATTGTGATCACAGCAATCATATCCGCAGGCAACTGATCAAGGTAATGCGCATAAACAGCTTTGCTCTTCCCTAACCTAAACAGCTCCTGCTCTTTAACAACGGCATCTCGTAACGGCTCGAACCAACCGAGAAACAACGACTTCACATAAGGCAGATTGGGGGCAAGCTTCTGCTCACACATATCCACCAGAAGCTCACTGTACTCCGCAGCAGCTCTCTCCCATTCCTCCGTCTCGATCTTAACTTGTCTTCTCCACAGATTCCGGTACGTGCTGTTACTCATCCCCACATGCTCTTGCTTCCTCATCCGCCACGAACGATGATCCTCTCTCTTCTTCTCCTTCTTCATCTCCTGCAACAATTCCTGTACCTCATCGGCAACAGAAGGCTCTTCCTCCACATCTGTTGACGAGACCTCTTCCGCTACACTCGTATAGCCTCTAGAGAAAGACCCATTAAAGCAGCTACCGGAAAATTCCTCTGACCTCGTGATTCCAATAAGACGACGAACACCCATTTCGTGACATCCTGAGCTCGAGATGGATCGGAAAACCGGAAAACGAAATTTGAAATCTTTCGAGAGAAGGGACTCGTGAGAAAAGCGAATACTTTGGGAAGCGACGGTTAATCTAGCTTGTGACCTCGAAATGGTTTGTTTAGCAATGTTTCTCCACATAGGGAAGGATTGGGAAGCTGAGCTCCGAGAAGAAATCAAGGGTTTGTGAAATGGAATCAAATGATCCAATACCTTACTCTGATTTGCCAAGAACACTGGCGTTTGGGCACTGGACATCAATCGAGCTTATAATGAGTTGAAAAATCGATAAAGCGGAGCATAGAAAACACGAGGCTGAAGAAATTCGATCGCATGAGAAAGCGAAATCGGCAAATTGGGAAGAATTTTTCATACACTGGGAAGAAGAAAACAACTGGTAAGTAAAGAGTACACGACGAAGCCGCCTTAAACCCTTTCTTAAAAACCCTTTCTGTCCTAAAATTTCTGCCTATCGTAATTCGACCCGAATAGAGTGATTTTACCCGACCCGGATAATATCTTACAAAGGCCTTTTTACGATTTCTAATACTAAGCAATTAAAAAGGCTTACAAATTTATGGAGCCCAATTACTAAAATGAAAATAATTTATTTATCATTTTGACCATTTCTTTCTTTTGTTTGACCATTTCCAGAAAAACTTTAGTGGAACCCAATTACAAATCCAAATATATCAAGAATGCAATCGAATATAAGATTTGGATTTCGTTATGAATAATATCACTTGGATTTGTTGTTTTGTCAACAATATCGCTTAGATTTAATACTAATTATACTGAGCTATTATCTTCTAAATCAAAAATTGGACTAAAATCTTTTTCTTTTTGGGTATATGTGTCAATTATTTGTTGGATGTTAGCTGGGCTTCACCTGTAATAACTCACACCTGATTACTTTCTGTCCGAATTTGATATTTTCCTAATCTATAGTTTTCATGTATTATAATTTAGCCCCTTTACTTTTGATTGAGAAGCAAGAAGCCAATTTTTTGTTTCCTTTCTCGGAACTGAAGCTGCAGATGCAGAATTGTCTTAGGTCTCTGTGACTCTCTCTCTCTCTCTCTCTCCGTTGCTCCTGAGAAAAACCCAGGTGGCAAATGATATATGTCATCGGATGTTTAAAGGACGAAGCTTGTTGCATAAAATCTGGAGGTAAATTAGTAGCTACTGTTACAAAGTTAGAATCTTTGCTCTAACTCCAGGCTAGCTGATTGCGTAGCTTCCGATCGATTTGAGTTCCTTTGCGGTCACTTTGTTGTTTCTTCTGCTGGGTAATTTTTGCTCGGAGATCCGATCATCTCTACTAGTTTGTTTGTTTCGTCGATGATCGATTGATCTTCCTGGGATTTTGAAGGATCTAAGTCATCTTCAGCTAATGGTTAGGATTTGAGATTGGAATGGAACGTCTCGGATTTTGGGGATTGCTAATGGGTAGTGTGGAAAAGTCACCGGATTCTGGAAATTCCGTGGCTTGCTCTGCATCTACGAAGAATGGAGACGAAGAGAGTAGTAGTACTACTTCATCGAAGCAAGTTTCACGCTCTGGGTCGAGACACACTAGCCCTTTAGGTCGAGTAGGGTCGAGAAACACGAGCCCGTCTCGTCAGAAAGTGGTCAAGACGAAGCCTCGTGGTTTAGAGGAAGAGACAGTGGCGTCATTTGGTAAACCGGTCGTTGCTGATGTGCAGATGGAGGATGGAATATGGGCAATGCTTCCAGAGGATCTGCTTAACGAGATCTTAGCCAGAGTTCCACCGTTTATGATATTCCGAATCCGGTCCGTTTGCAAGAAATGGAACTCGATTCTTCAGGATAATGGGTTTCTCAAGTTTCACTCAAACGTCTCATCTCACGGGCCTTGTCTTCTCACTTTCTGGAAGAACTCGCCGCAGGTTCCACAGTGCTCGGTGTTTAGCTTGCCGTTGAAGACATGGTACAAAGTCCCCTTCACGTTTTTGCCTCCGTGGGCGTTTTGGCTGGTTGGATCTTCAGGCGGTCTCGTTTGCTTCTCGGGTCTTGATGGTCTAACTTTCAGGACTTTAGTTTGCAATCCTCTGATGCAGACTTGGAGAACGCTACCGAGCATGCACTACAATCAACAACGGCAACTGATCATGGTTGCAGATCGCTCACAGAAAACATTCCAAGTCATAGCCACAAGTGATATCTATGGAGATAAGTCTCTTCCTACTGAAGTTTATGATTCGAAGACTGACAAATGGTCATTGCATCAGATAATGCCTGCTGTGAACTTATGCTCTTCGAAAATGGCTTATTGTGACTCCCGGTTGTATCTTGAAACTCTCTCGCCTCTTGGTTTGATGATGTATCGGCTTGATACAGGGCAGTGGGAACACATTCCAGCTAAGTTCCCGAGATCTTTACTTGATGGTTACTTAGTTGCTGGGACTCAGAAGAGATTGTTTCTTGTGGGAAGGATTGGCCTCTACAGTACCCTCCAAAGCATGAGGATATGGGAGCTTGACCACACGAAGGTCGCTTGGGTTGAAGTAAGTAGAATGCCACCGAAGTACTTCAGGGCACTTCTTAGACTTTCGGCTGAGAGATTTGAGTGTTTTGGACAAGATAATTTGATCTGCTTTACGTCGTGGAACCAAGGGAAAGGTCTTCTGTACAATGTGGATAAGAAGGTTTGGTCTTGGATTTCCGGGTGTGCTCTTCAGTCATGCAACAGCCAAGTGTGCTTTTACGAGCCAAGATTTGATGCATCTGTCCACTGAACATAAATAAGCGTCTGCTCCACATCATTCTTGAAAGAATCTACAATTTGGCTGCCTATCAATACATGTCTGAGATATGGAATCGAAGAGCATTTTGTGTGTAACTTCACTGTTGAATGTTGAGGAGACCTAGTCAGCAAGGATATGCTTCACCAATGAGAAAAAAACTGTAAGATAAACTTGTCTCTAGCTTTCTGTAAATTAGCTATATCCCTGTATCGTCCACATGGAAAAATGTATATGGCTATTTGCTGCATTTCAGTTTGCTATGCTGAATTCTCCTTTTCTAATTCAAGTTTCACTTTGCAAATAATTACTGTTCAAGAATAGTATCTTGCCTAACACTTGTGAGAAAGAAAAGTTTAACTTATAACACTGGAATATAGATATGATTTTGAAGATTTGGTCAATTGTTACATATTCAACGTCTTCTAACTAGAAACTAGAAAACCAAGGTAATTTGGTATGAGATGAAACAATTACTGTTCAAGAATAGTATCTTGTCTTCTTGCCTAACACTTATGAGAAAGAAAGGTTTAACTTATAACAGTGGAATATAGATATGATTTTGAAAGATTTGGTCAACTGTTACATACTCAAAGTCTTATAACTAGAAACTACAAAACCAAGGTAATTTGGTAATGGAAGGAAATCTAGCTCTGAGACACATGTCTCTACAGTTTAGCCAACTCATAGATACTGATAGGGTAAGAGTATTTTGCAGACTCACTGAAGGTGTTTTCAGCTATGATTTTGTTGGCAATTTCTGTTGGATGAAATGCATCCCAGAAGACATATTGATGCCTATTCAAGCACGGTTGCTGCAGAGGGAGGCATGTTAAGGCTCCTCCATATCTCCCGTTACCGCAGCAGGCTTTGTCTGGTATAACAAGACCTGCACAAAAGGACAACTATAAGTTCTGATATTGAAAGAAGGGTAAAGTCCATTTTTGAACAAATAGGAGGTTGAGGTCATTTTTACCATATCTAGTGGGATTCATAACCATGTCATGAAAGAGATCATAGATGTTTTGATAGACAAAGAAAGCTCCTGGAAGAGTTGTGTTGAGAGTATTTGGTAGATCTTTCAGTCGGCTATTGAACATGGAAACCAAATTGTTGATCTTTGTCACACACCCGGTGTTGTTCTTGCCGCTTACCATAGATAACTGACTCGGTATGCAACCTAATGGTCCTGACCCAGCTAACATGATTTTTCTTGCACCTAAGTTGTATAGTCTCTGCCAAATATTTTGTGAAAGAGCACCCTTAATAATGCTTTCTGAGTGTGAGATGAAAAACTGCATCACTATTGTGAATTTGTACTTTGGAACTATAAAGAGAGATTAACTTACTGTTATTTGAGCTGAGAGAGTCTTGATTAGGAGATCTGCATAGTCTTCTCCACTGTAGATTTGGCTGCTTGAGTATCTCTCAGGCAAAAGGTAGTTGTTGATGTAATCATTGCTTCCTATACTGATCCCAATGATCGATTTCGCAAGATACTTCCTCAGATCTGCAGGGTTTTGGAAGAATGGCCGGAGCTTTAACTCAATCGTTGTCTCAAACTGTGATATTTGTCCATTAAGTGTAGTTCTTGCTCCCTGGAAAAACAAAGGTAAATCTATCAGCTCAGCAAACAAAAATAAGTCTTTTTGGAAGAGTTATAGTATCTTGATACTCACATAATGTTGACCAGTTTCGTCTAGAATCCCAGCTGCTGCAGATGCATAGTTAAGCCCTCTCAAGACATTTTGGCCGACGGATAAAGGAGATAAGTATGGTGGCGCCAATGGCAAACCGAGGTACATTGCTACATTAGAACAAAAAAAATGTCTACATTTTACTGAGAAAGTTAGATAAAAGTAGTAAAAACAGAATGTCATGATCTTTGTGATTAGTGTTTAGTTACCTCCATAATCAACAACTGTACGGCCATTGCAGAAACGGCCAGTGGGGAAGCCAAAATCAATCCCATAAGGGAGATAATTAGCTCGTGCAAGAGTGGGAATGTAATTGTTGTTTCCACTATCAACTAAGGAATCTCCAAAGACAAAGAAAGCTGGAGCAAGAGGATGATGATGATCTCTAGATTGGCCATGGCCATAACCAAACCAGACAAGCTCTAAGAACACAACACCAAACAACAAACTCTTCATGCTTAGTTACTAGCTTTCTCTTTCTCTCTCTCTCTCTCTATCTCACCTGCATATATGTATTTATGGGGATATAGAGGAATACATGGTTACGTAGAGTGTTTGGTTCAGAGGAACTGGTCGTGGTAAATGATGTCATGGAGTGTGGTGGTTAACTGTTACTGTTGTAAAAGGTTTGTTTTTAATTTCATTTACTGCTTCTTACTATTTTCTTCTTCTTTTCCACAGAGACAGCTTTTTGGAAGAGCCAGCACCTAAACCTCCCACTTTTGTATATCTGTTTTCTAGTCATTGATGGTTTCGTGCATTAGCTTCTGATAGACAAAGTATAATTACGTGACGACTTTGTTACTATGTACTACTCATGATGGTTTTTCAGAATTTATTACGAGTCTAAACCGGTTTAACCGGATGTATATAACTAGCACGATAGGCTTTGAGTTTGGGCCTCATGAGTCGAGTGAAATTTCCATGATCCGTGCATACTGCATAGTAGACATTTTTTACTATTTTAAAACTTGTGAAGTTTTCAAGGAGTGACTAGGATGGGAGAACTCGTCCTCGTGTCTCAGAGAGAATATATCAAATTCGATGTTAAAACAATAATAATGTATAATATATTTGATTAAAGATGGTCCAAGTTCAACAAAGCTTACTGTTTAGCAAATCGATGGTTATATAGTGGGATCTTTTTGGGTAAATAAAAATCTCAAGACTTGTTTAGAAACACTAAACAATTAAAATTAGTAATTTATATCAAGCAAAGTAAGTTTTTTATCACAAAGATTGAGAATTTACGACTAGCTTTAACTAAAACTTATTAAGCAAGTAAGCAACCCTGCTTTAATTCAAGAACATATATGCGTTAAGTGTGTACTATACTATATATAAACATCAATGAAGCAAGAGTAGCTTCGAAGTAAATTTATTTGCATTTTTATTTTCGTAAAACAAAAGGTCTCCCGTTGGTTCATACTAACACTTTCGTGGACAACGTTACCAAGACAATTTACAGAAAAAAATGGACCATATTTTACTATTTTAGTTTTTCAACAAATACTTCTTTAATTATAAACCTACTCACAATTACCAAGGAGGAGTATCTTTATGTCGGAAAACCCTAGCTAGTCTCTTGTTTTTCACAAAATCTATAGCATCTGATGTATAAAACCCTTACTATATATCGATCATCGACTTCAACTGTCGAAGGTCTAAAAAATATCTTACAAAAGCAGCGTACGTACTAAATACGACAACCAACGAGATAGTATGAAGAAGTCAATTATGAAGTTACCGAGCCTCGTTTTAGGGCTTCTCTTCCTCGTTTATCTTCTTCATGGGCTTCAAGGTTTGTGCCCACTCATTATTTAGAAGGGCATATGCTCGATGTTGATGATGATGTATATACATATATATAGTATATTGTGTATATACATATATATAGTATATTCTTCGATATCTCTTCATAAACACATTACACATGATACAGAAACAGAACCAAATTAACTATATTTATAGGTATGTAAGTTTTGCATATCATATCCATGACTCTAAGCTTCTACATATTATATGTCAATGTAAATTGATGAACTAGAATCTTGATTTAAGACACACTATGAAACTAGTCTTGACAAGTTTAATGCATGTATATATATACAGGTGGTGGATCTCTTGATGAAGATCTCTTGATGGGACGGAAGGTAATCTCAACCTAGTTTGAATCAAATTAACTTTTGGTTTTGTAAATAAAAGTCTAACTGATTTGAATCAAGTTGACATCTTCGTCTCAAAAATAAGCGGTCTTTTTTGTATATATGTTTTGCAGTTGAAATCTCTCAAGTCGATTGAATCCAAAAATGTGGCAGCTGGATCATTGAAAGATTCAACGTCGGTAGATTTAGAGAAAGAGATCGATAATCTAATGAGGAACGAATATCCTTCACCAGTGAAGCCGAGGAAAAGAACTCCGGTTCACAATTAAGGGCGTGCCTAGTGGTCACTAGTTAACCTTTGCATTTTTGTTCCGTTAATTAGTAGTTTATTAACTTTTGTCAAAATGGATGTATCATGTAATGTATTACTTATATAAGAGGTTTATGGACTGGGTTAGTGTTTTTGTATTTTATTGGAGATTTAATTTCTTTTTGTTTTCTCCTCAGTCTAGGAGATATTTAAGTTTTCAAAATTAGTGTATTCGACTTTTACTTTTAACAGATTGAAAAATAAAAGTAGTTTTGTCATGGCATTCTGAAGTCTGAACTTCATTTCTCACGAGAGTATGTTGTGTTAGGACGAAATACATGTCAATATATACATTGTGACATTACTCTAGCTTTATTAGGAAACAAAATGAGGAAATTTCAGTATTATATTGTAAAAAGCCAACCAAGCTGGATTTGGTCAGGTCCATTGTTTTATCACAATCTTGACCACCAACTTGATGTGCAACTTTATTTTATTTTATGCATTTGGGTCATGCTTCAAAAGTTCAAATCATTCACCCCTACACAAAAAAGGTAATATATTTAAATTCAAAGTTAGTTTTACTGCATCATATATCTAAGCATGCTCTCATTACGTATCGAGAAAACCCATTTTGGCTTGTAACAATGATTCAAGTGCTTAAACATATCACATTTCAATCAAACAACAAATTAAGAGCTTTGTTCTAAAAAAAAGGAAAAACGTTGAAAGAACAAAAGATTATTTAATAAACGCGTTATCCCGCTTTTTAAGCGAACAAATATACTTTCTGAAAAGAAAAAGAAAAAGAGAAAAACAAATTAAATGCTGCAGTTTGCTCTGTTCTCTTCCCTTGATCAGTTTACTTTATGGACGAAGTCCTCGTACAGATTTGACTTTGTTTAAAAGCGGAAGAAGAAGAAGAAGAAGAAGAAGAAGAAGAAGAAGATAATACTGAATCCTGCACAGATCAAAACCCAAGATCTTTGCTTTCGCTTTCTCCTTGCTAGGTAAGTGAAGACTCTTCAATGGCTTTTTGCTGCTCCTAGGATCTCGATTTTGAAATTCTGGAAGGTAAAAAGGCTTTTGTGTTGTTGTTTCGTTCTAGACTCGAGAATTTTATCAAACCCATTCTGATTTTGATGCCGATTAGTTGGGAGAAAATAAAAATTTCTTAATTTGTTTCGAGCTCACTAGTGTGTTAGAGAACAAATGTGTCATCTTGTGCTTTCGAATCTGTGAAACTGAAACAATCTCCGATTTCGCTACCACCAAAGCTGCGTGTTAGCTCAAGCGTTTCGATAAAAAGTTGACATATTTGATTTATCATGGATCTCTATTCAACTTTGTTACATGAGAATTTGAAGAAGAAAAACAAAATTGAATCTTCAATGCTCATTCCCACTTTTTGGAAATAGCTAACAGTTAGTTTCTGAGAACCACCGGGAAGATTTTTTATTGAGCTAATCCTGTGATTTTCATATCCTTGTTGGTTGATCTTTGATGTATGAGAAGATTTTGTCTATAAGTAGTAATAATGTGTATAAATGTTCATGCTTCATAATGCAAAACACTGATTATAATTTTTTTACAGGGACAAAAAAATCCATATTTGGATTCAATTCCCTAATGGTTTGAGAAAATGAAATCAAAATGGTGAACAGAAGTGATTTGGTAGTGATTGGCATCTCGGTTGGGCTTGCACTTGGTCTCTTGCTCGCTCTGCTTCTCTTCTTCGCCATAAAATGGTACAACGGCCGCTCTCACCTCAGACGATGCGCTAACGAACAGAACATCCCGACTCTTCCCGTTCACAATGCTAAACGCGGCGTAGTGATTCCCGATGATAGCGCAAACACGGCATCGATACAGCCGCCTGAGAATGCAGCACCAACTCAGCATCAGCCATGGTGGAACAACAACCATAACAAAGATCTCACTGTGTCTGCATCCGGCATACCTAGATATCACTACAAGTGAGTATATTCTGTACAAAGATTGAGTCTGTTAGTGGATATTAGTAGCTTATATGGTCTGAAAGTTTTGTAGGGATATTCAGAAAGCAACACAGAATTTCACAACCGTTCTTGGACAAGGATCTTTCGGTCCTGTGTACAAAGCTGTTATGCCTAATGGAGGATTAGCTGCAGCGAAGGTTCATGCCTCTAATTCAAGCCAAGGAGACAAAGAGTTCCAAACCGAGGTGAGTGTTAACCGATCTGCTCAATGCCGAGGTCCATGGATGATGGAGATAAAGAGATCTGTGTTTTGGGTTTCTTGTTTTTTCAGGTATCTTTACTTGGGAGGCTGCATCACCGGAATCTTGTGAACTTGGTGGGATACTGTGTTGATAAAAGTCACAGGATGTTGATCTATGAGTTCATGAGTAATGGAAGTTTGGAGAATCGTTTGTATGACGGTGAGTTCATGAGTAATAGACATAGCAAGAGATTGATTTCTCTAGTGTCTTACTAGATTTACTACTTCATGTTTTCAGGTGAAGAAACACAAGTCTTGAATTGGGAAGAGCGGCTTCAAATCGCTCTTGACATTTCCCACGGCATTGAATACCTTCACGAAGGGGCGGTGCCTCCGGTTATTCACCGTGATCTTAAGTCAGCGAACATATTGTTAGATCACTCCATGCGAGCTAAGGTAAGAGAAGCAAAATGTTGAGTACTCTTTACTCAACACTGTTTGGTTAAATCTTTGACATTTTGCTTTTTTATTCTTTTGTTTTGGTAGGTTGCGGATTTCGGGTTGTCGAAAGAGATGGTTTTGGATAGAATGACTTCCGGATTGAAAGGGACGCACGGATACATGGATCCAACTTACATTTCAACTAACAAATACACAATGAAGAGCGACATTTACAGTTTTGGTGTCATCATTCTTGAGCTCATTACTGCAATCCATCCCCAACAGAATCTGATGGAATACATCAACCTGGTAAGTTTAAAAGTAAACAGAATGTGTGCTCAAGATTCAGTGACTGCATGTGTGTGTGATCAATGGTTTTGTTTTGCTGATGATGATCAGGCTTCGATGAGTCCAGATGGTATAGATGAGATACTCGATCAGAAGCTAGTGGGGAGTGCAAGCATTGAAGAGGTGAGGCAAATGGCGAAGATTGCAAACAGGTGTGTGCATAAGACACCAAGGAAACGACCATCAATCGGAGAAGTGACACAGTTCATACTAAAGATCAAACAAGGTCGGTCTCGAGGAAGAAGACATGACACGATGTCTTCATCGTTTAGTGTTGTTGATGGAGAAGACATGTCAAGGGTTATTTGCAGGATTAAGGATCAGCATATTGAATTAGGGTTATTGACTGGTGTCAGAGAAGAGGATCATCAAGAGAGGAATATAACAACAACGTTGTAACTCTTTACTCTTTTTAGGAGTCCTTTTGTACATATTATTACCACATGAGTCTCAATATCAAGATTTCCTTCTTCTCAAAACAAAAAGAAAGAGATTTCTGTTTGCTGACAAAAAAAAGCCAAAGAAAGGTTATGTTTCAGAAACTCGTAACTAAATATGAATCTTGTTCTAATCTTTATTTTTGAGTTAGTTTTTTGGTGAATAGATTTCAATCGGAAAATCATAGTTGTTAGAATTGATTGAAAGAAAGTTTCAGAGTGTTTGATACTATCTATTTTTCCAAATTAGTACGGTAAGTCTAATCTTCTCTTGGTTTTAGTTGTGCCATTTCTACATTTAACTACATCTTTGTTGGACTTCTTAGAAATAAACACATGAGAAATAGGAGCTTAAAAACTCAATACGGATAAATAAGCAATAGGTTATATAAATGCAAAAAATTACTGTAGTTATCAACTTCACAACCTATGAAACCCCACAAACAACAGCCACCTACTTTGTGAACCCATTGTTTAATAATGATATCTTGATTCACGTTTGTGTACTTGATGTGCTGCGAAAGCTATGTCTCTCGGTGGATCCAACAACATTAAATCCAATTAATAAGCAATTCAAGAGAGCTGTTGAAAAAAAAGGAGCTAGGAGACGCGGCTAAAACATTACTACTACTACTTTATGTTAACTTGTATTACAAGTGATGCAGAAACACATTTCTAGAATCATTCTATATCAGAAAAATATTTGGATGCATATAAATTTGCAGTGAAGGAGATGAGTCAGATAGTGTCAAAGAGGATCTTGTAAAAAACGTGTTTGATATCGATAAGATCAAGAACCTGTACGAAATCTGATGAGTGGTAGATACATTGGAATTTCTTGGATCATCCACTAATATAGGAGTATTATAAAGCTATTAAATATTTCTTGGATCACTTGTATAATGATTAGAATAGTTATTTTTCTTGGATCACTTGAAACAATGTACACTATTCAGCTCTTGGAATAATAATGTGTTTTGGTTGGCTCTGAACTTTTGAACCAAAAGTAGGTTTCTTTCAACACATAAAATAGGTGAGAATTAGTGGTTCCTGTAATGGAGCGGATTCCACTTTAGGTGATTAGGTGTTTAGGTAGTGGAGCATATTCATTAATTAGGTGAAAACTAGTGGTCTTGTACTAACCAGTATGGGTGTTACTGTTATGACGGGAGAAAATTAATAATCTGAAATATATAAAACTGTAACCAAGCTTTAATTTACATAAAATGGCACTTTTTATTTAGCTAACAAAACTGGCAAGGCCATGGATGCCAAACTTTACAATGTAAGCTTTAATCAACATTTCTACTATCAATCCATGGAAGCTCTTTCAGACATCTATTCACCAAGAACTCTATATAACTTCAATCTGTAAAACTCATCTTTCAGACTGTAAATTAGAGCCTTTTAACCCGATATTTAAGCCGCTCTCTCGCCAACGGTGAAGCCAAATTCGTCAAATGACTCTCAACGGTACATCTAACAGCTGCAGACATTCTTGCGGGTTTGCATAGAAGTAGTCTTCTTCCTTCGGTTTATTGGGAATCACTAACCGTCTCTTCGGGCTTCCCATTCGAGTAGAGTGAAACGCCTTCACTGTGGATGAAAACACATCCCAAGTCAACAACCCTTCAGTGTATTCATCTATCAGCCTAACTAGGAACTTCCTGTTCAGCTGAATCGTCTTCTTGAACCCCAAGAATCTGAAAGAAAAGAAAAGAAGTGGTGTTAGCATAAGGATGATGAATATGGGAGGTAAGAAGAAGAAAGATAAACGATATTTCACCTGCGATGACCTTCAACAACTCTAGCCATGTTCCCATCATTGGTTGGAACAAATATATCACTCTCAAGAGCCACCAGGTAATCAAGTGCTGCCATTTGAGATGAATGATTCCGACAAAAGTCCAGATCAGAGGATTCGAGTAGAGTCTCTTTCCGGACCTGAGTTAAATAAGATAATGGAGTCAATGGAATATAAAAGTTTGTAGAAAATACAAGAAAATGGAATTGACTACTTACCACATTTGGAAAAGCGTCTGTTAAAGCCTTCATCCGCCTATCACCACCGTAGATTTCTCCAGCAGCTATGTAAATTTGAACATTCCGGTCAATCCCCAACGCGGTCAGCGTGAGAGCGGTTTCCTCAGGAGTCAAAGGGCAAAGGCCTTCTTTCCTCTTCACCGCAGAGTTTATGACTTTCTCTTTCCACCATGGATAAGCATATCTACCAACAAAGATGATTTACATCAATAGATCCATCAAAGTCAGAACAATGAAGCAAAGATCAGTTTCTTTCGGTTTTTTGTGTTGTACCTCATTCTTGTTAGTTCTTCTTCTTCCTCGGTGTTGCAACCATGTGAGCAACCGGAGAATGCTAACATATCCATTTCGTATCTGAGATGGAGGACGAGGAAGGGACCTTTCTCTCTCAGAATATTGACTACTCGTCTACCTAATTCTTCAATTTGAGGAGTAAACTTAAGTCCGTTGAAATTCACTCGGCACCTCAGCTTCTGAACCTCCACAGGCAGTCCATTATTAGCGAGCCGTGAATCGGTTTTGTTTAGATGTAAGACCTTATGCTTCTTCACCAATGGAAGAATCTGTTCCGGTTTGAAGAATTAACAAAAGGTTTTAGGTACAAGAAGCAAAATGTAGACTGATCTATCAAACTTAGAAGTTTAACCTGATTTTGGTAGTAAGACATGTTTGACCAACTAATAGGAGGCATTGCGTGGTACATTCCAAGCTCAACTCTTTTCTTAAGCCTTGGAGGCAACTCTCTAAGTATACGAACTTCATCTCTTAACGAACTTATGAAGTGATCCACATCGAATATGTCATTAAACTCACTGCCCCAAAGAAGAAACCAACTTCAGATAATCGAAAAAGTAAAAAAGAAAAAACAGAGTTTCACAAAGAAGTAAAATTTGACGACATCCATACCTTGGATCGTTCCAAAACGAGGTCTTGTCAAGCTCAGGCACAATAAGTGTGACATTAATGTACCTTGCAACAGTTACCATATCGCATATCTGTAGAAAGCAGACCAAAATGAAAAGAAAGTAAGCAAATCATATCACTGAAAGATGAAAACTTTGCAAAAGAACGATTTTAGCTCTCATCCTACCGCTGATCGCATTTGATTGAGTCCTCCATTGCAAGAAACCATAAGATAACCATTGTTCTGATAAACTCCTGAGAAGAAAAACAAAAAAACAACAAACATTAGCTTCCAGATTCATCTCCAAGTTAGTCACATTATCCGATTCAACCACAACTTACTTTTAGGGGGAAGTGCGATTTTAGTGGGAAGAGACTTTATTTCTGCGGCGGTGGACAAATCATTGTGAGTGAAACAAGAAGGCCAGCCATTGAACAATCTCGGTCCCCACATCTCTCCCAAAGCCATCAAGTGAACGAAACAACTCCAAAGCAACAATACGGTAACAGCACGAATCATCCATAGGCTCATACGAGGCCTCGAAACAAACGAGTTCCTGAGTTTCTCAACCTTGCTATCTGCTAATAGTTTACTTTTCATCTCCAAGAGTTTCCTGTGGTAAAGAAAGTTCTCCACTTTACACATTTTTCTCGTTACCTACTACCCACTTCTCTCACAGAGTTTCTCTCAGTGGAATTTCTTCGAACACTTATGGGGTAAGCCTGGAAATAAACTAACCACAGCTTCTTCTTCTTCCACTTGGTAAATAAAAAAGAAAAAAAAAAACAATATACTAGTTTGGATTTGGAAGTTATCTGCTGGAGATTAATGATCCTAATAACACTCAGAGAAATGTAATCTCCACACAATACTAGGGAGCTCAGTGAGCATTAATCACGCCTCGAAAAACCCAGATTATTTGTTTAATTAGCCACGATCGTTGCCTTGATCTGACGGAAACCCAGATCTTGCTCAATTGAATAAAAGGAAAAAAGAGAGAGAAAAGGAAATAAAGTTTAAAAGACGAATCTCAGGTTTAATTAACTCTCAGCAGCCCAGAAGAAGATCTCAAATGAAGACAACACTTCACGTTACAGAAAGAAAAAAATGAGAGAAGCCTTCGAAATTCAGCAATGGCGATTGATCCTTTTAAACTCTTTCAAAGTAGCCGAAGGAAAAAAAAGTTAAAAATGAAAAAGCGGATTGTTTTTTTATTGGAGGTGAATGTATTTTGCTTAGTTGGGTCGACGAGATTCTCCGTCAAAAGTTTAACGGAGAATGAAGATGGAGCACGTCGGAGGTTTAGGGAGAAGATCGGTGTGGAAAAAAAATATAGAGACAGGAATGTGTAAATCAGCGTATTTTCCACCAACGAAGGAAAAATAATAAACGGTCTTTAGGTTTTCTCTTTTTTGTCGGCAAAAACTGTGATTTATAGTGTTTTTTTTATACTGACATAGTGATAAATATTTTCTGTAATATTTTAGTATTTCATACAAACCAATAGTATTAGTACATATATGCACTGATATGTATTTTAGATATATTTACAAATTTAACGACTCTGCATTCTAGTTGACCAAATACATTCAACCTATTTTTAAGTTTTCTGGTCTAATGGAGTCAACTAATATATTTGGAGTAAATTTTTAGAAAATAATATGTTTGGAAGTTGAATAACAAATTTTTTCAGTTGTATCTAAACCACCTTAGCAAGTCTTGCCCCCAAACTAGTTTTTTTTGTCGTTAAGTAAAACTAATCCACAACTTTACTATACTCAAGAGTAAATATTTAAAAATAATCAAATGAATCTGTGTAATGTTGTTGACAAAAACAAATAACATTGAGTTTTTTTAATCAAATCCAAGGCTCAAACAATGTTCTTAGAGTTAAAAAAAAAAAAACCTTTAAAAAAAAACAGTTTTTGTTTTAATTTTTGATATAACCAGGAAACTGATTGTTAACTACAGAATATTTTATTGGGAAAATAGTAATAAAAATTCAGATAGCTAAAATGATGAGAAGTTAAAAATGGATTTATGGGTAATGCTTTGTTTTTTTGACTTTCTAATTTTTCCTTTGACTCATTTTCTTATTGCAGTAAATCCAACTAACACGGCAAAGTTAGATTTGTGTCGGTTATTTACCACCAAATAAAACAAAATAAATCCAATTGTCCGAGGCGAAAGGGCATATTCAAGACTTGTGGATCTCTTGCTTCGTGCCACCCATAGATAAAGAAAGATCTAGAAATATTGAATATTTCGAAAATGATATATAAGTAGGTAGGTCTCCAGTTATATGACTATATATAACAATTAAATATATAGATGGACCAACTATATTCATTGTTCACGGTTGTCATTTGTCAATTCAAAACAAATATTAAAAAGTTTGTGGAAGTGTAGTATGTTTATTATATTTCAATGAGAAAACAAAATAAACGATTAAGAGGCGATAAAATTATACTATTATTTAAACTAATTTGTTACCTTGATTTCAATTGAAGTATGGTATAAATCTGGCCCCGGCCGAACGAATTATCCTTGTTAGCGTTATAATATTTTAATATTTAAATCATGAGTATGTCTTAAGGAAACATATAATACATTTTTGAGAGAAAAAAAGATTGAGCAGAGTTTTTCTTTGAGAAGAATGGATTTAAGGGACTTTTTCTAATAAGGGATTTTAAAGTATATATAGGAAACAAATGGATCAATGCATAAGAAGAAATCCATATGTTTCGTAACGAAGCATATAATGAACATAAATAGATACATTGTATACATTTTTAAAGGCAGCCTTTAATAGAACCAAATTGAGATAGTCTTCTCGCCTGGATATTTTCTTGATTTTGAAATCGCAATATATTAAAGGCTTGAAATATTTTAAAATCAATAAATTGATATATATTCGATTTCTGTTAGTGATGACTTATAGAATTTCACAAAAAAAAAAAAATAATAACCAACAGAAAACAAGAGTAGTATATAACTTTTTGATGATTTTCAGACTACCAGTTAAATTTTCTCATGTTTGTTTTTGACGACTTTTAACACTTTGTCGCTATATCCAAATCAACATTTATTGCAAGTAAATCGTGATACGAATTCATTGATCATGTGAGAGAGGGACAAACCTTAATTCATGGTTACAGTGACAGATTACTTTAAGCAATGATCTACCAGTCAGGTTTAAAATCAATGTAATATCAGAATTTTATTTGTTTTCATCTGAGAAGACAATTTAAAAAAAAAAACTACACGTGTAGATGTAAATACAAGTGAAGCTCACGAATACATCAACGAATAAATGATAATTTATGATGCAGTTCGGTTATAAACTCTAGATCATCAATCTCCCTCATGTTTGCTATTCGAAAATGATTGTTAATCATACTACTATTATTTATGTAACATCCATTGACATAGTACATGTAACTATGCATGTAAGCATGTTATATATACTGGAAAATAATCAAAGGCCAATTGTCACGTAATGTCTGGAACACCATCTCCCATACGTAATCTTTTTCACCATTTAAAGTTTCAAACCCTATGACGTACTGAAATCACAGTTAATAAAACTTCAACTATACCAAAAAGATATTTAGAGTGAATTCTTTTAACTACTAGTACTAGACTAAGACAACTTAATTATGTCTTATATTTACGTGTGAGCTATAGAAAACATGTAAAATCTATTTTTTTGGCCATTTAAATAAAAAAAAAGTAAATCATGCATGTAACACTAACAATTTACATGTTAGTTAAGAAATAATGGACACTTTTATTTTCTTAGTCGCTGTGGAATGACTATGAATTAAAGGTGTTGGAATTAGTTTGGCGTTAGCGTTGAAGTCTCATTATGAGATGCGATGTTTTTGGAAAATTTAGAATCAAAGGATTACGTTTTTTATTTTTATTTTTTTTGACCAACGAATTACGATGAAAAACATGAAATGATATAAGTATTTTATTTTCTGTGACCATATACATTCCACCGACATCGGACATTACATTGCTGTCGGGCTTAATTATTTATTTTGCTAAAATAAGAATACATTTTCCCAATGGGAAATATAAGACTTTAACATTTTGCTATATGTTTGCACACAAAAACAAAAAAACATTTTGCTATACAATTATTTGTTGTAATTTCATTTTATATAGAAGGTTAACAAGAAAGCAGATGGCAAAGCGTGTAGTATTCGTAGGTTCAGTTAAATGCGTTATTTCTATTTCAGTATAAATATTTTTAATTTGATCAAAATCGTATTTCACAAGTTTTAGTGCTTAAGTACTTTAAGTAATAAAGCATTAACGATATTCGAGATTAACAGAAGTATACAAAATTAAGAAAGGAACAAAACTTTAAAGTAGACTGTTCTTTTTATATGTTTTTGCTTGAAATAGAACAAACACGTAATTTAAAGAAACCAATAACTTTGAAGATAACCAAAACGTCAAAACGAAAAGTATTTACAGTTTGAAATGCAACTACCAATTTATATAATTGCGTCGGTGGCTCAATAAGCATGCGTGTGCGTCTAACATATGTCCAATTCAACGTGTGCATTGGATAATTCGATTAGATTATTTCTTCTTTTTTTTGGAGCAAAAGCATTGGATTAGATTTCTTCTTTAAAAAAAGTTGAGTAGATTATGTCATTGCCAACAAAAACAAAAATGTTGCATGCGATAAACGATTTCCACACCTTTTTCTGTTTTTATTTATTTACGGTAGTAGAGTGAAAAACAAAATTCTTACATCTTATGAATGGGCTTATTATCGACACAAAGAAATAAGATTAAACCATAAAAAGCTCAACTTAGTAGGATTTACAAAGGTGGGCCTTAAAGAGGCCTTACAGTCAATCAAAGGATGAGGACTCTGTGATTCTTCTTCTTCCGTCCGTCTCCGATCTATCTTCTCTGACAATTAGGGTTTTAGTTTTCTTTCAGCTCAAAAACCTCACCGCCTTTTTTTGCCTCCGTCTTCCCGTCGATCTAATCTCTCTCAGGTAAGCTTCTTCGATTTCACTCGTAAGACCATTAACACAGAGATTGATATCTGTTCTCCTTCGTTTGCTAAATGTTTTCGATTAGTCAGCTATTTATAGTCAATCTCTTTGTGGACGAAACCCTAATTTCGCATAGTTTTGCATACTCTCAGAACCGTTACTGATGAGGAAGCTCAAGCATCATGAGAAGAAGCTTATACGCAAAGTAAATTTCTTAGAATGGAAAGGAGAAGATGGGCATCGGGACACCTTGATTACGCATCGTTACCACATGGTTGATCGTGACGATTACAAAAAGTTCGTTCTTTTTTCTTCCTCTACTTGCACTCTCACAGCTCAATTCTACTTATTTTTTCGTCTTTCGGTTTCAGTGTTTTCAGATACTTGACTGCTTTCATTTTTTGGCAGATATTCAGGATTGTGTAGGATGGTGCAGAAACTGACGAATGTGATGAAACAGATGGATCCAACAGATCCTTTTCGGATTCAGATGACTGATATGCTTTTGGAGAAGCTGTGAGTTTTACTTAAACATTTGTGTTGCATTTTAGAGCTTCTTAACAAACAATGGCTCTTTTTTCCCTCTAAATATTAGGCTTTGAACAAGAGAGTTATCCTCTTTCTGTAGCTTTTCCATCGATCTTTGGTTTATTTTTCTAATAATATAACTCCCTTAGAGACTTGTGGTGGTTTCTCTGATGAATGTCATTCTTGTAAAATGTATGATCTAGTGGTTTTCTTGTTAATAATCTTAAGGGATCGATTGAGTCTTACAAAATCTGTTTTTTTGATTTTCCATTGGGCTCTATGTGGAGCTAAGTTACTGTATAGATCTTCAGTACCATAGATATAAAGTCTTCTTATTATGTATAGGAGAAGGAAAACCATTTCTACTGATTCTTGTTGCTTGAATCGTTCCACATTGCAATGAGAAAACTTCATGGCTAATGTTTGTTCCATGTATGTTGAAATGGCAGATACAACATGGGTGTTATACCAACTAGGAAAAGCTTGGCTTTAACTGATCGGTTATCAGTTTCATCCTTCTGTAGGTAAGGGACTTATGCAGAGCCTAATTTATTTTTGCATTTTTTCCCTGGAGAGCCAATGATCTTCAGCCTCATGTGGGTTTGTTTCTGATCTTGCAGGCGCAGGCTCTCGACTGTACTGGTTCAACAGAAGTATGCAGAGCACTTGACAGAGGCAGTGACTTATATACAGCAAGGACACATTCGTGTAGGACCAGAGACGGTTACGGATCCAGCTTTCTTAGTGACTCGGAACATGGAAGATTTCATCACTTGGGTTGATTCTTCTAAGATTAAACGCAAGGTGCTCGAGTACAATGATAAATTGGATGACTATGACCTGCTCGCCGCTTAAGCTTTGATATGCTCAAAAAAGAACACTGTGTTTTGTTTCTTTTTGTAAAACCCAAAGAAAGTTTGGATTTTTGGTTATGGAGAATGATAAGTGTATTATTTTTGTTTTTATTGAATTGATTTACTTTCAAAATAGGTGAAAGTCTCCTGATATCTATTTGATCTCACTCTTCGATTTATGCTTAGGCAAAAATGAAATAGTTCATGAGACTAATAAATTGATTTTGTTAAATCCTTTGGGAAAAAATTGTAACGATTCAGATAAAATGAAAGATCCATGTTGTTTCAGATGAAATTCGAGTAAAAAAAGTTAAAACACGAACCCATTTGGTTTGACCTGACCCGAACGGACTCTAGAAATTGTAAAACCTGTTTTTTTCATTTCTCTCCGTCTCTTGCTCTCTCGCTTAGAAGCTTCAACGGCAGCTGAAATGGCGGTTCAATCGAATCCTAATGCATCTTTTGGTATCAGAATAGCTTCGACTTCTCAGAAACTCTCTCTTAAACCCATAGCTCATATCTCGCTATCAACGAAGCTCAAACACTCTTCGCTGCCGTCGATATCGTGCTCCACTGGGAATCCAGGTCAAATTCCGACGAGACTCTCCGGTATCAGTTCCAGATTATTCGCAGCTTCCTCTTCTTTTAATCCTATCTTCTCTGATGAACCACCAGAATCTGAATCTCCGTCCCTTGAAAAGGTTAGTCATCGTCCAAAATGGGGTTTTAGCTAGCTGCAGTGGTTTTCCCGAGAAAATGTAGGAAATTGCAGAGAAAAAGGTTTAGCCTTTAACTAATCGGATCTTTACATATTATCAGCCTCCATCATCACTATAATCCTTTTGTTTCCTTGAGATTCCCTCACCATCCAGTTGATTACTATGTGTTCCATTGAAGCCATATCTGAACATAACATATCACCACAAACCATGAAACCTCCTTTATGTTGTTGCTTGATTCGGAAAAAAAAAATGTGTGAAAGAAAGTTGAGATGTATAAAGTCCAGTTTTTTTTTTTTTTTTTTTTTTTTTTTTTAATTTCTTCTTCATAAATGTGCATACAATTGTGTCAATTGCAGAAGAAGCTGCGTGTACTAGTGAAGCCGCTGGAGAAACCAAAGGTGGTACTAAAGTTCGTGTGGATGCAAAAGGACATAGGAGTTGCATTAGACCACATGATTCCAGGTTTCGGAACAATCCCACTTAGTCCATACTACTTCTGGCCTAGGAAAGATGCTTGGGAAGAGCTCCAATCCTTGCTAGAGAGCAAGCCTTGGATCTCTGAGCTTCACCGTGTCTTCCTCCTTAACCAAGCCACAGACATCATCAATCTTTGGCAATCAAGCGGTGGCGATTTATCTTGATCTGATCTCTCTCACTTCCCTGTTTCTCTTTCATATCAAAGCAAACTCTAGCTGTTTAAAACTTTTCAAAGTCTAAAGCTTTTTGTTGTTTAGTGTATTATAAATCCTTTTTAACAAACTTGAGATTAAAAAGTGAATTTAACAAACTTGAGATTCTTCTAAAGACAAAGAAACAAGATCATCATCATGAAATTTCGTTCAATCGAAGTACTTAGACATTTGAATGCCTCTATTGAACAAGCCACATTTCTCATAGAACACTTTATTCTCCACGCTACAATCGAGAATCACCTTGTAGCAACCCATCGATCGGCAGTGATCCGTTAGAAACTCAACCACTTTCTTCCCCAGATGCTTCCCGCGAACTCCCGAATCCACGACAATGTCTTCGATGTGCCCAACTTTCCCGCAATTCCTCAGAAACTTCTTCTCTATCATCACGCTCCCCGTCGCCGCGATTCTCCCCGACGACTCGTCTTCGATCACGCAGATCAAGTGGTCGTCTCCGTACGAGCTGATCTCCTCGAACCGCCGATCGAATTCCTCGTCGGTCACTGATCCGGCGACGGTGAGCTGGCCTAGAAGCTCCATGTATCCCTTTCTCTTATCGGAGATCTCCAGTCTTCGGATCTTGAATGTCTGTTCCTCTCCGTCGATTTCGGATTTAGCGTTTCGAATTGACGCTTCCGCCATAGCAGATCGGAAGAATCTCTCTCTCGAATTTTGAATTGAGTTTTGATCAGATTCGCTTCATTTGGAACTGAACTAAACTCCAGCAGATAATTAATAATTTCGTAAAAGTACTCTTATCTTTTCGAAAGTTACAAAATCTATCTAATCTCTTAATTATGACAAACTAGTCCATCGTAATTGACATTTCATGTAATAATTAGGAAGTAATCCTCCAACTTTCCAATAGTTACAAAAGTTTCCTCATCTCTCAATTATGCCAAAATAGTCCATTCAAATTCAGCTTCGGTATTCGTTATGTATAAGAATTAGAGTGTTTACTGTTTATTTCAATGTAGTCGAGGATTAGTCAATGAATGAAAAAGCAGAAAATAAAACTCCTTAATATTTATTGAGATTACAAACAAGCAAGCCAACAAGTGAAAATGCCGAGGGAAACAGTTACAAAGAAGATGATAATACATAAAAAGATTACATAGTTGGAAATGTGTGCAACTTATAAACTTAAGGCTGATGGTGACTAGAAAAGGAAGATTTAGCCGGAGGGCCTCCGGGGATGAGGGGAGGGAGGGGAACAGGGAAAGAAGGTTTCGGCGGTGAAGGCGGAGGAGTTACACCCGGAACAGGTACTGGGAGAGTCGGAACAGGTACTGGAAGAGGAGGGAGTGTTGGAAGTGTTGGGGGAGTCGGAAGTGTTGGAAGAGTTGGGGGAGTCGGAAGTGTTGGAAGTGTAGGGGGAGTCGGAAGGGGTAATGGAAGTGTTGGAGCAGGAACTGGAAGAGCCGGAACAGGAACTGGAAGAGGAGGGAGTACCGGTAGCGGTGGAAGAGTTGGGGGAGAAGGAGAAGGTACTAGCGGTAATGGAAGAGTTGGGGGAGTGGGAAGCGGTAATGGAAGTGTTGGAGTAGGAAGCGGTACAGGAAGAGTTGGGGTCGGAAGCGGTATTGGGAGTGTTGGGGGAGACGGTAATAGCGGTACGGGAGGGATGATAGATGGCGGGTTTAGCGGGTTCGGAGGGAGGAGAGGCGGGTTTAGCGGTGTCGGAGGGAGGAGAGGCGTTACCGGATTTGGAGGAAGGAAGAAGATATCAGGTTTGGCTACTTCGGCTTTCTTGTCTTCCAAGGAACCATCTTTCTTGTTTCCCAAGGAAGCTGGTTTCTGCCCTGGTCCTGGAGGAAGAACAGGAGGAAGCTCAGGAAGTTCAGGAAGTCCAGGAAGTCCAGGAAGCCCAGGAAGTCCAGGTAACCCCGGAGGAACTACTGGAAGATTTGGGAGAGGAGGAACTATTGGGAGTTTAGGGACAGAAACAGGATCTTGGATCGGTGGTGGGAAAGTAGGATCCGGTAAAAGAGGCTTGGACTCACGGAGGTTGATTGGTTTCTGGCTACAGATCTCTGGTTGGTTTTCAGGTTTGAAAGTGAAGAATCCAGCCGAGAAAACACGAGTGTTCTTCTCTCCGTGGCTTCTCGATCTAAGGCGTTTGAGAGAAGAAGAAGCCGCGGAAGCAGCTATAGAGCAGTAAGGCTGTGAGCTACTTAGCAACTTCACGGAACATCTCTTGATCCTCTTCACATGTTTGCTCACAGTGAAAGGTAGCTTCGCTTTGAATTGGCCGTGCTCGTCTGTTTTCACTTCTTGTCTGAAACTCGGTTTCGAGTTCTCGTCAATGCATTCCACTGCAACTAAAGCACCTGCAAACAAAGATCCACAGAATTGTTATTGATGTTTTGGTAAAACATATTACTCTGTTCTTCACGAGCAAGAAAGAAAGAAAAAAAGACAAACCTGGGATTAGGTGGTTTGGGGATTTGGAAAACGCGCCGTTAAAACATGTGTCACAGTAGACAGTTCCGACCACAACTGCGGAAGAACGTGTCTTCTTCACAAGATGTTGTTGTCCTTTAGAAAGACCTCCACTAATAGAGATTCCTAGGAAAAGCATAAGAGTAAACCAAACCGAGAAGGTCGATGCTCTCTCCATGGTTATCGACTTTGTCTCTCTTACTCTCTCTCTTTCTTTATTATGAAACAGAGTGTTATCAAGATTTATATAGGAGCTTGCATGTGGTGTGAAGATGTGAGCCACGAAAAAGAAGAGATTGTGAAAGAGAAAAAAAAAGCTTATCTCTTTTCTTTGTTAATGTGAGTCATGGGAAAAATACAAGTCTAGTTTCCAAACTACACAGCTACTATATTGTCTAGTGACTTATACTTGCTCTATACAGCTCAAAAGCTTATATTATTGTGAAAAAAATAGTAAGAGGTGAGAAAAAAGACAACAGAAATATTTGGATTCACGTTCGCGTGTCGATTAGATTGATACTCTTGCATGGTAAACACTCAAACAAGTACACAGTAAAATACCAAATTTGTTATCTACAGTATCATTGTTCCTTGAATTGCGGGTTGGCTGAATCTACCGTCTTTGTTTCATCCATTTACCGACTTGAATTTTTTTTATTTTATACATGAATTTACGACTAGGCTATTTTTTTCTTGTGTTCAAAGTTGCACACATCTGAGAAATATTGATTTAGAATTTAGAATGAAACAAAAACATGACATGAGTTTTCATTTCCAAAATGTGAATCACTGTGTAACATGTTTGCTGTTCGATGTATTGTCACATCCCAATTTTCAAAGTAAATCACTTAAGAGTAGTTATTTTGTAATAGCGTGATCGTCAATGAATCTTTATTAGTATCAAAAGTATAACTTCTCAATATAGTATAAGTTTAAAATAATTGATATTTGTTAACTATATAAAATAAGACAACAGTATTACTCCCATGATATAGTAGAAAATTGTTCGTTTAATTTTCTTTTTTCAACAACAAGCATCACGCATACCACAGAATACTATAGCTCACTAAATTGCGTGGTTTTGCTCTACATCTTTTTTTTTTTTTCGCAGTACTTTCAAAAGTCCCTATATAATACATGTACTTTGTCCTGGTTTGAAAAATGGAAGAGTACACAATTACAAATATTACTTACGACTGAGACTAGAGTTGATAACTATTTTTTTGTTGGATAAGTATTATATAATACATGTACTTTATTGATTTGGGGAAATATCAATAACCAATGAGACTACAGTTGATAACTATTTATTTTTTTCGTTTTCTTCAACAGGTCGGAAACAAAGACATGAAAATTTATGAAAGTGAAGCCTTGTGGGAATAAGAATGGGGAGGTATTCAGTTGGAATGTCCCTGTCGATTCACGAGACACCAAGGATGTCCACACAAACCATGTATACCCAATTCTTACTTCTGTCTTCTTCTGTACATATACATATTAATCATTCTTGATAAAGACAAGAAAATTAAATTGAATAATTCAAAGAATGTGAATGTTTTTCTCGAATTTTCGTATTCACTTTTTTCATCTGTATTTGTTTTTTTCACAGGACAGCCGTATATGCTAAACATCATCAGTTCACGAGAATGAACAAATACTATTAGCAACCGAGGACAAAAAACAAATACTACATGGGATTAGGTCGATCACGAGACTTTGTAACTTACAAAATGTTGACAAAAATATAAAATGGGCCGGAGATCAAATAAACCCAAATAGGTCTTGTCCATTCCTTTATATGGGCTAATTGACAAAAGCCCGAATCTTATTTGTAGACAACAAACAGTGAAACAGCTAACTATTTGGTTCGTAATTACTCAAAAAGAGATGATCTAAGAGAAACATTTAGCGTGGAAGTTAAAAATAGTGATTTTCAATCTTGAAGCTGAAGGTCGACCAAATTCAAAGGTATTGAAAAGAATAATAAATTAACAACCATTTGCATAATATTAAGAGTGTAATTGCATTTGTAGTTTATGTAACACCACAATACACAAGTTATACAATCAACATTCAAGACTAATATATTTTGTTTAAACTAATTGTTGTTTATAGAGTCCAATGGCGTCCGGCAACAACGCCCACCCACCTTGACACCAACTTCATCACACTCATCCTCGCTTTTTCTTCCGTCTTTCTTCTCGCTGACGGTTTTTAAAACAAATAAAGAAGATAAAGTGAGCAAAATTCACTTTTGTGGGAATCTGCAAAATAAAGCTATTGAATTGAATGAGGCTCTAATTTCTTTCTAAATTTAAAGTTCATCGCTCTTGGGTCCCTCGTCGTTTAACTTCTTTGTCTCCAATCTCTCTCCTTTTTTTTTCCGTCGAGTCCGATCGAAAACGAAAACCCAATTTAGCTCTTCGTGAAAGGTATACTCTTCGTCCCGATTCGTCTGATTTTTTTTTCCTTCTTCTGTATAGCAGTACTGGATAAATGGCTCCTGATCGACTCTGATCAGCACAATCTCAAAATGCTGCTCTTCATTTTCTGGTCAAATTTCGCTGCTTTTTTTGCGTCTTCTGTTTAATCGAATTCTCTGATTTAATCATTGTGTGATTTGTTTAATCTCTAGTGGATTATTTTTCTATTATATGCTTCTCTGTTTTTATATGCGTTTGTTAGGGCTTTACCCAAATTAGGAGTTTCAGCTTTCTATAGCTTAAATGCTCACATTTCACTTTGACCAATTTTACATTTTCTTTTTGGCCAAACACAATTTTGTGCTGAGTTAGGTGAATGTTTGATGTCTCTTGTTGGGAGTAATGTATTATATCATTCAACAGGTGAAATTCTGAGAAATGGGGCATTTTGTTGATGAAATCTTTGAAGAGTTTCTGTAAATAGAAACCTTGGATTTGGCATTCTTGGTGAAGGTTAAGGTGTGTCCAGCTTTGTGTTGAAGCAATTTCCCTACAAGTTTTTGAGTTAAACAATCATATTGGAATTAAGAAGAAAAGAGATGGGCTGTGTTGCTTCTTGCTTTCGGGTAGACGACTTTGAGGATAACACAAATCCAAGTGGTTCTTTAAATAGAAACTGCCCATGCCCGAGATGTCTTGTTAATAACTTCCTTAACCTGGTGACATTCTCTTCACAGTGTTTTACTTTGGAGCTGATAGTATTTGACTCAGAGAAGCTCTGTGAATCTGATCTCTTGTTTTTTTTGCAGTATCTCTCTTTGTTCAGAAGAAGCGAGACCCGCTCTCTCCCATCCTCTTTGCAAGCTAATACTACTACTGTTGTATCGATGACTTCATCTACTTCGTATGATAACTTCATGTCTAACACATTCAACTCTACTCCAAGGCCTCTGCCTTATGATACTGATCCTATATACTTCCGGTCACGGCGTGACTCGCTTGTCTCGAGACGTGATAAAGGCTCAAGTCATTCACATGAGGAAGCTGAGCCCTTGAGAAGTGATGCTGATGTGGACTCTGAGTCTTTCTCAGTGGAAGGAAGCAAGTGGGGTAATAATAAGCTTACAATCTCTGGTGAAGATTCCAAAGAAGAGTTCTCTAAATCCACTCGGAGGATTCTTAAGTTAAAGACGAAGACAATGGCTGCTGGTAGTGAAGGCGTTTATATAACGTCTGATGATGAAGATGTCTGTCCAACGTGTCTTGAAGGTACTCACTTTCAGCCTTTTTGATCAATGCATTTGAAGGAAGCTTAGTATCAGATTTTCTTTTGGGTTTTATGCAGAATACACATCAGAGAACCCCAAAATTGTGACAAAGTGTTCTCACCATTTCCACCTCAGTTGCATTTTTGAATGGATGGAGAGAAGCGAAAACTGTCCTGTTTGTGGAAAGGTAACACTTTTCATGTTCTTCCAGGCCATTTCTTCCATACAACATCACACGTATGCGCAAAAGTGTCCTGAGAAAAGCAAAATCTATGTATATGAATACATAGAGCTAATCATTCTTCATGAAACTCTAGAATACTTGCATTCTTTTTCCTCATTCATGTTGATTAAAGAATATTTTCTCTCGGCTGCGTTTTTGTCACATTTGCAGGTGATGGAGTTCAACGAAACATCGTGACTGATTATCATTTGATCCTGTCTTGTGCTGTCTAAACTGAAACCAGTGGGAGATGGACAAGGAAACAGAGAGATGTGCAAATTGCTTTGATATGTGAATATTGTGTATCTACAATGTACGGTATATATATGATGGAGAGAGATGAGGAAATGTCTCTCTGCCCAGTTAGCTTATGGAGTTGTGAGGAAAGCCTCGCAAGAATCTGATGTTATGTTTCTCATGATTTGCCTCTGGTTCAGTGTTAAGTCCAAAGCATGAAACTTTATACACCAAATTGTATGAATTAATTACTTTAACCCATTTATTAATATATATGTGAAGTTTTATAAATTTGGCATACAGGTTTACATTGGGTCAAGGAAAGATCCCCATTGTATACCTCAAATGTTTCTCATTACATGACAATGAAACAGTGAAGATCCTGTAGTGGTTCAATGTTAAAACAAGTTGTTGCACACATTTCAATCCTTAATATAAGCAGGGGTTCCCAAAAGACACAAATGTCCTGAAGATCCTCATGACCATTATCATATAGCACTCTTATGTCTACAAATTCAAGTCTTGTGTCTATACTTTTATAATATAACAAAAGTCTTTTTTTGGTGAGCATGATCACAGCAATAGAATGATCACATGACTCTCAGAGCATCCAGCCTGGGATGTAACCGTTTCCTGGCTGCGCCTGAGCTTGTGTTGTCGCTGTCATCTGCTCTGAGCATACCGGATTGTCATACCTGTCATCATCATCATCATCACCATAACATCAACAATAAGTTAAAAGGTTCACATGTACAGATGAGATTGATGATCCTCTTTTAGCGCAAGCCACTAAAGAGCCTTAAACAATGACAAATCTTAGTAGTGAAGTACACAAGCTGAATTGCAGAAGAACTTAAATGTTTTTACCCGATTTGCAGAGTTGGATTGCATTCGAGAGGCTGGAATAGCCCCTGAGACTGAGCTTGATGATGAGCGTAGGAAACGTTCTGTTCATTACCTTCCCATCCTCCTCCTCCTCCCATATGATGACTTCTCACACCAATCATATCATCCAACTAACAATTACAATTACAGTATTTCACCAAAAGACCATTAATAATCAGAAACAAGAAAAGAGTCAAAATGTCAAGAGACTTCAAAACCTATGAAAGATATTGATCACGTACAGTAACAGGATCTTCATCAAATGCATTTATTTATAGTGTATATGAGATTATATACCTTCATTGCCAAAGCTCTATTGGTTTCAAGCAACATTTGCTCTTTGCTTTGAAGATCAGAGAGCTGGTCAAGCATGTACTGTGTCTGCAAACAATCATCATGACACCATATGTAGTAGTCATAGTCAAACAAACAGTTTCACAAATTAATCTCATTTAATATCAGACAGCTCATGATCATTACCTTGATGGAGCGAACTTGCTTGAGAGAGCCATCTAGTTGACGCTCAAGCTGCTCTAATTCCTTTGAATTCAGAGGTCCTAAATCCTCCCCAAGAAGATTCCTGCACCAACAAAATCATATACACACAAATATGAATGATATATGTATATATATATATATATATATATAGAGAGAGAGAGAGAGAGATCTACCTTTGTTGACGCTGAAGGCTCTCATATCTACCCTTAAGTTTCAGATACTCTCTGTAGCTGTTCTGAAATTCCAAGAAGGAACAGGCTTTCGTTAAAGGATCTTTCTTGAAATGGTATGATATAACATCTAAAATCTAAAGACTACCTCAAGTTCTTTGGCAGGTTTATTGTTGACTTCAATGGAGCCATAGCTGCATTTCTGGTACCGGTCCAGGGTTTTGATCATGCTGAAAGAAACTCACAAGGAAGAAAATAATTAGTCAAGATGATCATACTTGACTTAGGACACAAACCTACACTCACCATAAACAAAAAGACACGCAAGTATATGTCTCTCTCTAGTATCTATATACTTAAGCCCCTTAAGTTTTAATAAAGTGTTTTCCTATCAAACATGAAGATTATTTTCACCAGTCAGGCAAAAGGAACTACTGATCTGACTGTTTCAAAAACGTTATAGTTTTACATCTGTATTTACATGTATCAGAAATAGGGATTATTATGTAAACAATATCTTCCATGTTTCAAGATTCACAGATGCAAATAATACTTTTAATAAAATAAGAATTTAATTCTGTATTTTTCTTGAATGCAGCAAATCATTTTAACATATATACACAAAATGAAGAATAAAACCTTCATGGATACACACACGTTTAAAGTTTTAACCGCCATAAAGTATGAACTAACAGTTGGTTAATGCATGAAACCATATATTAGCATTCTACGTTGGGTTCTTATTTTCATAGAGATCTGTGTATCCAACTTTTAAGTTTCCAATCACATATTAATTAATACTATCTCGTTATATAAAACCTTTCTGATTGCATATCTGGATTTGGATTCACTTTGAAATCCACATACATATGTGTATATAATATATAACTAAAAAAAAAAAAAAAGAAAAAAACATAATTGATTCCAAACTAATTCTCAGTTCTAAATTCTTGACAAGAGAAAAAACAAAAAGAGAAACCAGATCTCAAACTTCAAGAATTCAAAACCAAATATACAATTTAAAAAAACTTAGAAGATGAAATGAAGAAATCCAATTGAATTCAACACCTTGGTAAAGAAATCAAGATCATGTGATCTATATAGTTCCAGACAAGTTCTTCAGACAAATTAAAGATCTATGCTCAGATCTAACAAAAACCAATGAGAATTATAGTGAAAAGAGAGAGAGTGTTACTTAGAGGTGCTGCAAAACTCATAAAGCTTGCCACGATTGGAGAAGATGATGAGAGCAACCTCAGCATCGCAAAGAACAGACAATTCGTAAGCTTTCTTCAACAGACCGTTCCTACGCTTTGCAAACGTTACTTGTCTGTTGATTTTGTTCTCTATCCTCTTCAGCTCTACTCTTCCCCTTCCCATTTTTTTTTGTATCCTCTTTTATATATACACACAATTATATGGGGTATGTAATGTTTATCTATATACAGACACACAAAAACATGAGTTGGGGTATCTCTTTTTCTGAGGAAATCTGATCTTTTTGAAGAAAGATAGATTTTAAGGCAAAAAGGAAACTAGCCCTAATTTCAAGAACAAGCTACTAAGGAAGAAGAAGAAGAAGAAGAAAGTTTTGGTTTTTTAGTTTTGTTTATAGGGTTCTTGTTTCTTTTTCTCTTTTTGTTTTGGAAGTGTGTGGAGGTTGCGAATCTAAATGAAATTTTTGTGGAATGGAATCTGATTGGGGGCAAAAGATAAGAAATTTGTGAAGATGAGGTTAGGGTTTGGTGTGTTTTCATTTCAAGCCATCTCTCACTCTCTCTGAAAAAAAACCATCCCCACGCTCTCTCTCTAAGCGCGTGATGGAGTTTGCCAGTTTGGTTTGCATTGGTTTACTTCAATTTACCGGTTCGATTTATCTACTAAATTCCTAATTTCATTTTCACTTTGTAGTTGTAGGAAATTATGTGTTTCTCTTCAGGTAGAATTCAGGTCTAACATATGGTGTCTACTATTTTAGGTATATAAGCCTGACATTAGACAAAAATAGTCTAAACAAATCCTTCTTACAAAAAAATCTATGTTTATATCATAATAACAAATTGTGTGTGTTTAGTTATATATAACACAACAACTTTATTGATGTTTGAGTTTGACTCGTAACTAAACACATGAGGTCTGATATTTGTTTATAAGCAACCGTGTGTATCGGTCTTTCAATGATCACATTCAGAAAGTCAACGTAAACCAATATTAGGAATGTTTGAAAAATGTATACATTTGCGGATATTATCTCGTGCTAGATGTAAATGTATATCTAAAACTGATCGAAGTTAGACTCTAACGGTGAGGATATATTTACGAAATACTAGAAGAACAGTTAAATATGTTTAAGAACAATATTCAATGTTATGTTTCGTGTTTTTTACCCGGCGGTAAACTGATTTGTTCTTTTTTTGTATGATTTACGCAGAGAGTCTTGAAAACCTCATTATTACATTTTGAAAACAAAAGCAAACATAAATGTACAAGTTGTAGTCTTGTAGTCGTTGATATAAAGCGCGTGAGTAAAATTTTATTTTAAATAAATGACAGCAACTTATCATATCATTTTCTAGTTGTTTTCAGAAGCCGCAGAAAAGCATATCCTACCTTAAAATGGATTTGCACGTGTCGTTTTCTTATTGGAAGTGAGCATCTTTTACATTTTAAATTCTGTTTAAAGTTTAAACTAAGTTGAAATGAAAAGTTCAATAACCCATAAAACACTAAAACTGAGAAATAGCCATATACGATGTATCCAAGTTAAGTTATGCAGCTGATATACAAAGTATGATAAAAAAAAATGCAAGTATATGGCTATTTGTCACAACAGTTTCACCTAGATCTGGAAAATATGATATTGAGAGTAATTAATCTACTAATAAGTGAAACTTTTATGGTTATAAGAAAAACATGTAAAGTAAAATTATAATTTTCGAAACACTGTAATAAACTAATAATCATTTGCTTAGTGGATTTTTTTTTTGACCAAATGTGGATTTAAAATTTTAAGTAGATGATATTACATAGATGACGCTTTTTTTATTAATTATCTCTTAATTTTCATATATACTCGATCAAGTTCAATGTCCAAGTGCCCCAATCCATCAATCAATTAAATAAAGTGAACGCATATAGTTAAAGATTATTCCAAAGAGTGGAAATGTCTATTTTTGGATTGCGATTACGACATAAATCAATATAAATGGACTCAAATGCTTATGTTAAAACTGGGAAATTAAAGTATGCCACTAAAATGTTTAAAGACCTTTTGTTTTGGTGCAAAGAATCTACAAGGAGTGCGAAACTTTAACAAAAAAAAAAGAATATACAAGCGAAAAACTTTCAGGTGATATTGGAGGTCCGTACGGATTTACAGAGGGTAAAGAAGCTTAAAAGGTCAAAAAACAAAAATCTTAATTACACACATCAAGATGGGTGATGTGGTCTGACGGATACGTGTCGACTTATGGTTGAACTAGACTTTTGTCGGAAGCGTGTTCGCTGAGCCAAAGCCTCCTTTCTAACAGTGACTTGTCTACGTTATATTATTTACATTTCTACCCTCTTATTTTTCTTTAAATATGCTAACATCGTATAAACTTATTTTTGACAAAAAAACCATTGTTTCATTTCACACGTTTTTTAGTCCTAAAATTTATACTGGATTTATTAATTCTGTGGTCTATGTGTGTAGCTAAATATAGTTAGGAAATGGTTGATTTATTTTTCAAGTGCAAAAGAGAGGTCATCACTTAATTTTAAATTGAAAAAATCCTCACAAAAATCTGTGTTTCCAACAATAATGGTATATCAACCGCCAAAAACCAACCTAAATGTGCTTACAGAAAGAAAGGACAATGAGAGCTTTTGCTTGTTAAGTGGATTTCTCCGGTTCAGAGGCGACAAACCCGGTTAACAGAACCAAATCAATAACCACCAACATTTGTTTAGCTATTCATCAAGAATGAGAGAATATGAGACTTCTCAAACGGATTAGACATACTTCAACTTCAACATTATCATTGGACTGATTACATAATATCACAACGTCAAAGAAGATGAAACAAGTATAGTTTGTAGTCTTATGGCAAACTATTACAAGGGTCAAGATTTTGAGCACTCGGGGCAAGGGAAACAACCTTTGGCTTGGCACTTATCACACGGGGCTGATCTAGCGTTTGTTGAGTCACCGAATCCAAAGATTCCTCCTGATTTGATCGATCCTGTTCCTTTGCAGCGTCCACATGCTACACTCTTAAGATCTCCACATTTTGTGCACATCCCAAGAGATCTGCAAAAGTTGTTTGGTACCAAGTTAGGTGTAGATTCAACAACTCTAGCTCATTTCTTGGAGACATCATCACTTGCGCAATGAACAATAAAAGGTCTTTATGACCAACGTTTGCCTTCCTTTTACAAAGGCAACACTTCAAAATAGTCTAACTCTTTGAGTATGAGCTAACACCTGAACATTTCAATTAGTAAATCCGAGAATCAAAAGATTGGAACTTGGAAGAAACATGATTCCATTGAATAGTGAAACCAAAGCATAAAAGTTTTGATTTCAAAATCTACTCTTCGGTTGAGATTTCAAACAACATATCAAAAAGAAACGCTTGTCATTTTCAGATTTCCAGCAAATTGAGAAGAAAAAATTATGAGAAAATGGTTTATCACAATTCTATGCAGCTACTACAATCATTATCATCTCAAACGCCATTAACGCCAAAATCAGCAAAACAATTCACATGGGTTAATCAAAAATCCAAGCATGTTCATCCAAAATTGGTTATTGAATGAACAATTGCCGCAAAAATTTCGGGTTTTGTGTGTGTTTCTGAAATGTTTGTGGTGGACTAATTATACTTGAAAGCTTGTATTACCTTCTCTGAGCGGCGGCAATGAAAGCATCAACTTTTGGAGCAGCGATGGTGGCACCGAGAAGCAGAGCTCCAACTGCGAAACCCGCTACTTCGTTTGATGTTAAGCTCTGCATCGTCTCCTTCCTTTCTCTCTGCTCTTCTTCTCTCGTTTCTTCTTGGCTTGATAAATGATATCCTTAGCTGACACACATAACTATCTTTTAGTAAATATTGTATATACATTCAAGCATCAATGGCCTATTAGCTCAGTTGGTTAGAGCGTCGTGCTAATAACGCGAAGGTCACAGGTTCGATCCCTGTATAGGCCATTATTTTTATATTTTGTTTCTTCTTCTGTTTTTTGTTTATTATTGTTCTTCCATCAAAGTTAAATTGTTTATTTAATATAATCAAACAAATGGCCTATTAGCTCAGCTGGTTAGAGCGTCGTGCTAATAACGCGAAGGTCACAGGTTCGATCCCTGTATAGGCCACTTTTTATTTATTTTTGTTATTCTCTGATAAATTTTATTTTGATCCCGTATGTTTTGATATCACCAATTTCACCCCGATATAAATTAATTGACAAAAACCTCTGTCGTTTGTACATTGTAGCTTGTAGGGTTTAATGGGTCTATTCGCTTCCAACCCGTACGGCCTCTTCTAGCTTTTCCTCTCTCTCTCTGTAACTGAAACAAAACGAGTAGCGATAGGGTTTCTCCGAGCTTCACTCAGTAAGTGGCGACATCTTTATAAGCTCTGTGATTTTCCGTTGGCGTTACAGATTCGTGTTGGTTATTCAATCTGCGAATCTTCTGCCACTGAAGAGAAGTATCCGAGAGCAGCAATGGAGACAGATCTGAATGATTATACCGTTATCAAGGAAGGAGAAGCTGAGATTCTTATGCACAAGAAGAACCAAGTCTTCTTCAACAAAGCTCAGGTTTCCATTGTTGCCTTCCTTTTTGTTCATATTGGATTTGAATTTGCTGCAAAGGTTCTAGCTTTTGCTAATAATTGACTCAATTACATCAAGGGCAATCTTAAAACTGATCAAGTATTAGTTTGAGAGCTTTTTATTTTGTTGGAGATTTCAATTTTAGTGTTTTCAGCCATTAACACACAAAAAGCTTAATGTTTTATCCTTTTTAAATGCCTTTGGTTGAAATGATTACACCCGTTATTAGTTATGGACCTATGGTTAGTGTCAATTTTTGGGTGTGTGAGAAACTAAAAGAAATTTGAAAACTAACGAATCCCAAATCATTCTTAGCAATTGTAACACACACTTACGTTTCTATGATAATGTTTTCGTTTGTGAGCTAAACTAATTGCTGCTTTTATTTTTAAATTGTTAGGTCAACAATAGGGACATGTCAATTGCTGTCCTAAGGGCATATATTTCGAAATGCAAGCAAGAGCATGAGGCCGTGTTATCTAAAAGAGCTAGATCATCTGGGAAAGTGGCTGAGAAGGCTGTCGCTGAAGTTTCCAAGGAAGAAACTCCTACTGAAAACGGCGAGGAAAATGGTAAAACCAATGGAGAACATGAAGTAGTAACATCTCAGGATGGTCCAAAGGAAGCTGCCAAGACCGCTTATGAACCTGCACGAAGAGAACTCAAGCCACCAAGAGTGCTTGAGGTCGTCCACCTATTTTCTTTCCCTTATCACTGTAACAATTTACTTTGTTTTTCTTATTGCGTTGCTTAATTGTGTTGTCTTCTTACTTTGTTAGGCTCTGTCAGCTTCCGGGTTAAGGGCTTTGAGATATGCTCGTGAAGTTGAAGGAATTGGTCAAGTTGTGGCTTTAGATAATGATCCCGGTATTGTTTTTCTCCCCCAACATTTTTGCTTGTGAAGATGTATCACGAAACTTTGACTTCCCAGAATAATAACGTATCACCATTTTCCTGTTCTAGCATCGGTTGAAGCTTGCCAGAGAAACATAAAGTTCAATGGCTTGATGTCTTCTTCAAAGGTGGAGTCACATCTTACTGATGCTCGTGTCCATATGCTCACCCACCCAAAAGAATTTGATGTGGTATGCAAAATCTTATGCTCATTTTGAAAGTTTTTCATCTTATTATCTGCCTGATTCTGTTAACTAATTTCTTTAGTTGATGTCTTAGGTTGATCTTGATCCATATGGTTCGCCTTCGATTTTCCTCGACTCAGCTGTTCAATCAGTTTCCGATGGTGGGTTGCTGATGTGTACAGCGACTGACATGGCAGTGCTTTGTGGAGCTAACGGCGAGGTTTGCTATTCCAAGTGAGATTTTACCCCTTTCATTACTTTACTCTGAAAACAAAATTTCTATAGTTTTTGTTGTCTGAATGTCTTTAATCTGTCTATTGTTAGATATGGCTCCTATCCACTGAAAGGGAAGTATTGTCATGAGATGGCTTTGCGTATCCTCCTCGCCAGTATCGAGGTAATTATCGACTACCACTGAAGCCAAATTTTCTAGGCTTTGATTGTTTTCAAGATGCTCTGTTACTATTTGTTTCTTCAACTTTTCTGACTTTGGTCATATTGTTGATTTGCAGAGCCATGCAAATCGCTACAAGCGGTATATTGTTCCTGTCCTATCAGTCCAGATGGATTTCTACGTCCGTGTTTTCGTCCGCGTTTACACGTGAGTTTTCCTTTCTTTTCAAACACTTCCTCTCAGCTAGTGCCAAGTAACTGAAAGAAGCTTTTATGAAATGCAGTTCAGCGAGTGCGATGAAGAACACTCCACTAAAGCTCTCATATGTGTATCAGTGCATTGGTTGTGATTCTTTTCATCTTCAATCTGTTGGAAGATCTCTCCCTAAGGTAGGTTTCGTGTCTTTCTCTTTTGCATAGTTTAGTTTCTGAAAAAAACCGACTTTTTTTTAAAATCCTCTTTTTATAATTTGGTGTTGCAGAATAACAGTGTGAGGTATCAAGCAGGAGTTGGTCCTGTTGTTCCTCAGGATTGCACTCACTGTGGAAAGAAGTACAACATGGGTGGACCGATCTGGTCAGCTCCAATTCACGACCAAGAGTGGGTGACTTCGATACTAAACGGTGTCAAATCCATGAAAGACAGATATCCTGCTTACGACAAAATCTGCTCTGTTCTCACCACTATCTCTGAGGCAAAACTCCAAACCTTGGAAAGTTTCAGTTTTTATTGGTTTGTGTCAATTTCTCTAAATCTCTGTTTGTTTGGCTTGTCTCCAGGAGTTGCCAGATGTTCCGCTCTTTTTGAGCCTTCACAGTCTCTCTGGAACGTTGAAATGTACTTCACCCTCAGCTGCTTTGTTTCGATCAGCTGTAGTCAATGCAAAGTACCGTGTCTCGGGGTCCCATGTGAACCCGCTCGGGATCAAAACTGATGCTCCAATGGAGATCATCTGGGACATCATGCGTTGCTGGGTAAACAAACCGTCTCTGTTCCTTTATTTTCCTCAACCAAGCTTAAAGGCAGAAGCTTTAACGGTCTTTTGGTTTTAGGTGAAAAATCATCCCGTGAAGGCGCAAGCACCTGAGCATCCCGGAAGTGTAATTCTATCTAAAGAACCATCTCATCAGGTACCTCATTCGCTTGCCATATGTTGGTTTGATCTGATTTGGTGGAAGCTGAAGAAATTTTCAAGCTTGAATGTTTGTTTAAACACTGTGTTTTCTTTTGGACAGGCTGACTTTTCACGCCACTTTGGTTCACTTAGCAAAGCACAGGCGAAGAAAGTAGCCAGGTTTCTGCCAAACCCTGAGAAGCATTGGGGTCCAAAGGTTAGAGCTGGTCGTCAGATCACAAGCAAACACGTCTCGCTTCTTGGTCATGAAGCAGTTAACGGTCATCTCAATGACCATAAGGAAGTAGAAGAAGGAGAAGAAGAAGAAGATATCATTGAGGGTGAGCCAGACCTCAAACGCCAGAAGACAACAGAGGATATTGCCTCAAGATCATAGGAGGCTCATGTTTACGCAAGAATTTAATATTTTATTTGCAACAGATTTACCCAATTTTTGTTTTAAACATTCGTCATCAGAGTTCTGCGTTTTTGATCCAAGCACACAGATAGTGAAATTTTATGTTGCAACTATATTTCTTGTATTGGTCCTCTTTGTTAGTTTCATACAGTTTTTTAAGAAACGAATGAGAAGCAAACACAGTCTCTGGGACAACTATATATTTCGAGTATTTGGTTCTCTTTGTTAGGCTTTCTGTTAAAAAAAAACACGAAGCAATGAAGCATTCTAAAAAGCAAAATCTTCACCATCTATGCAGAACTTCAACAAACAGTCGATCATCTCAAGCTCGCGTGGACCTAACGTTGCGTGACAATAATTTGGACTAAACGAAGATTCTATCAAAAGGTCGTTGTAGTATAGTGGTAAGTATTCCCGCCTGTCACGCGGGTGACCCGGGTTCGATCCCCGGCAACGGCGATTATTTTTTTTTAATTTTTAAAACAAGATTGGGCCTAAAATATTGTAGATATTACGTGGCACAATCTTGGCCCACGAGTACATAGAGAGATATACCGTCATAATATATTTATATACTTCCTTTTATGTACATACGAATCTTCCTTCCATAAATTGTTTTCCTTCACAAAGTTTATTTGATTTCTTCTCTCAGAAACTCGGCAATGGCGTCTGCTAAAATTTTCGGTTGCGCAATCCGCGTTGAAGCGGAGGACGAAGACGGTGGTGGTAGCTCAATCGCCGGTGAGGTTTCTCGATCCGGTATCCAGCCGGATTACGAAGCTATGAATTTGTCCGTCTGTCTCCCTCCTCCGATCAATCTGATGGAAAACACTACGTATTTCCGTTTCCTAGAGTCGAATTCAGATTCCGGATCGGAATTTATGGATTCAGAACCATATCCTCACAATCGTCTCATCGATTTCTTCGATCGAGAGTCGCACAACATCGGAACCGCCGAGGAGTTTTACATGATCCCGACTCGGAGGTTTAGTGCTTCGGGTGATTTCGATGTCTTGGGATTTCACGAGACGGAGGAGGATACAGAATTAGGGCTCGGGATCGGTTCAGGGCCGGGTCAGCTACGTGGTGATTCGGGTGGGGTAGCTACGGGGAATACGGAAACTGATTCGGGTCGGGTCGAAGTTGCTATGGGTCATACTCATGCTGTGGATGATTTCTTCGGCGAGGAAGGCATGGTGGGTGCTGAAGTACTGGTGTGGGAGGATTTGCAGAACGGGATTAGCTGGGATGAATTCTTTTCCCCTGAAGACGAATTAGTTCGAATGGATGATGGTGAAGAAGCTTGGCAGATCTTTTTTCAACCTGAAGATATCATGGTAGACGCAACTGCTCATATGGATTTTGATTTCGGGATTTTTCTAGACGGTGTGTATGAATATGGGGAGAATCAGGTAGATTTCGGTGCGGTTGTGTCACGAATGTTTGATAACGACGAGTACGGAGACGTGGGAAGTCCTCCGGCAGCACAAAGCGTAGTGGATCGTCTTCCTGATGTGAAGATCACGGCTGAGGAAGTGAGCAAAGGGAACATGGTTTGCGCGATCTGCAAAGATGAGATTGTGGCGGAGGAGAGAATCAAGAGGCTTCCATGTAGGCATTACTATCATGGAGAGTGTATCGTGCCTTGGTTAGGGATAAGGAATACATGCCCGGTTTGTCGGTTTGAGCTGCCTACCGATGATGTTGAGTATGAACAGCTTAGGAGATTACAAAGGCGGTAGATAGAAGTAATTTGTGCTTTATTATCTTTTGGCAATGTCTCAGTGGTTAAGTGGTAAGTTAGGATCTGTTCCTGATTTGATATGATGTACATATTGGTTTGTAGACAGTTTGAAAGGAAAAATGCTTTTGGAGCCATATTTTGTGCAAGTTATTTGGGTTTATTAATTTTTTTTTCTGAGAATTGCAGTCACAGTTCGTTTTTTAGTTGAATATTCAATCTGACTTTCATTAGTTCTAAATATGGTTTGTGCAATGGGATCTGATGCTTCTTCAAGAGTGTTTTTTAACTTTTCAGATATATGGATCAAAGATTATACAAGTACAACTGCAAAATTATTGCAAAATATGGAACGTCTGGGTAATCCGACATTATCTATACAGATGTCAGATGTGGAATACAATACAGGTCTTGTCCGGTCATGTGACTATATGGCGAGCTTGTGGTTAACCAATTACAAATTAAAAAATGATGGTTTTGGTCCGGTTTAACGTGGCGTTATATACTTATATGGACCTGATCTAATTCAATAAGTGGGCTTTGGCCCAGTATTGAAATCCTGAAATTTATTGGCGGAAATCTAATTTCATTGGTAAATTGCTAAATTCTTTCTATCATGATCATCGAAATATCCAAAAGGTTATCTGGATATAAGTAAAACTACTATCCACACTTTCAAGACAAGTCAGATTGTAAGTTTTTTATTTTAATAAATTGGGGGATATTCCCCCCTCTTCCGACCAATTTTTTTTTTTTTTTAAATCCACACTTTCAATTCGGGTAATAATAGGTAAGCGAGTTTCCAATATAATTTTGTTTTATATATTTTCTCAACTTTTTAGTTGCGTTTCCTATCTGATATTTTCCACGTTTTTTTAATTAATTCACTACTAGACAATATGAACCGAAATCCATTTACGAATACGATTGTAAAATAATAAAACTAAAGTTAACAGTCATTTTCGCGTGGGAGTGGCTGGCTCCTTTCTCTATAGAGACTCTACGTATCTAAAGAGCCAAACTTGTAACATTGAGTGTCAATTTTTGTTTTTCAATTCTTTTTATGATGATCACTGGCTCTTGGACACCCAATTGGTTAACACTATTTGCTATCCTCTTATGCAATTATTATGTCCCTAGTCCATTCCATATAACAAATACTCCACATGTAAATTTTATGGGGGAAATTTTTGAGCTCCTCTGTGAAGTCTAAAGTTGCAACCATTTGCATCAATATATCTGTTTATTTTATCTACAAAGAACAAAAACTAAAATAATTTAAAGAAATGAGAAATAGCATAAAGGAAACTTGATATACGTTTGAAATGAAAATAAAAATCAAGAGAATTGGAATCCTAGGGATCTGTTTCTATAGAATCAATCACTCATTTATATAGGCATTTTATATTTGTGGATCTCTTTCGATTAAACGGGTTAAAGAAGTGCATCGAAAAGTAATTGCAAGAAGAAGGAAAAAAAAACATTAATATATAAAACGTACTACATTGTAGTTGGGGTGGGTGAATAACATCACATCAAAAATAAACTCATCACACCATTTGAAATGTTTCATTTGATAATTATTACCTCAATCATTTTGGGATTGAAATCTGAGCTCAAGTTTTCCGTGACGTTCTTCCACTTTGTCTTCTTGTCTCTTTGGATTCTCTCTCTCTCTTCTCCGTAAGGGACATTGAGCTTTCTAGACCAACATGCACAGCAACTACTAACCTGACAAAGATTATAATAGTAAACAATAAAAAAAGCATACTAATTAATTATTTATCTGGTTTTGATACAAAACCTAAACACCATTTTAACTTAAAAGACTAAGAACATATCTCAAAAACAAAATTAAGTTTCGGGCAGAATAACTAGACAAGAACAAGTGAATTATTTGAAATTTTTAACTCATCGTAACTAAAACTAATAGCACAATCATAACTTTTATGATTATGACCGACGATAATGATACAAATTGGCAGTGATAATGCTGCAAACCTTTAATAAAATTGACAAGTATATGAGTACATTTTTTTTTTGAACAACATATAATTCTCTTAAAACTGAACTAGAAGAAAAGTGGACTAAGTACGTGACTCAAAATATATATAATTCGTTAGCTAAAAAGTAAGTATGTTTTTTATGTAGTTTTCACAATTTATTAAATTAGTAGTTATGTAAATATGAGATTAATTTTACTAACTAAAAGAGGCACACCTATTTCTTATGAACGAAAAATACAAAAGTATTAAATGGCTATATAATTAAAAGTTTCCATACAACTAAAAGCTGTGGAATTATAAAAATTATCGGAAAAAGGTGTGATGATACAATATACTTCTTTTTTTTTTGTTAAAAATGATACAATATACTTCGCTTTGGTGATTGGCTTATCCTTAATCCACCAATGATCAGTTGGACCATCATGACATCATCTATTTTTCTTTAAAAATAATGTGTAGCAATAAATTAATATGTTGATGATTGCTTAACGAAGAAGATCAATGGAATTTTGGAATTCTCATATGGTATTTACGAGGCCAATGAATCGAAGAGAAGAAAACCAGCGAGTCAGAAGCTTCACTTCTTTAGTTTTTGTTTGTTGGAGCAAATATAGTTTAAGCTAGAAGAGCATTTTTCGATACTACCACAAAACTCGTACATGACAAATTATATTAGATTAGATCTCGATACTACTTACATTAGGTTTCAGTTTGACAAATGATGACTTTCTATACAAATTATAAGACCTCACTAAGAGTATTCTGTATGTGTAATATATTTTTTGGTATAGAAATGAAAAATCATGGTAGGCCAATATCAGGTGGTAGTGTTACTGATGGGACTAAAACAATGAAACATTCAAAAACACTTTTTTAGTTTATGATCCAATAAAAATATTATTGAAAGAATATTAGATAAAGGAAACACTAAGAAAAAGCAAACTGGAAAAAAAAGTAAAAAGATATGAAACAGGAAAAAAATATGAGGGTGTGGAAGAAGAACAAACTATGCAAAGGAATGAGACTGAAATAAAGAAGAAATAGACTTTGTCTGAATGATATGACTTGATGTTGTGTATTTGCCTTTTGTTTGACCAAAACAGTCACACTTTCTTTCATTCAATAGTCATTGAACGTGCCAAATTATGCAATTTAATGAAGCTTATAAGTCAGTCGAATTGTTCAAAATTACACATCAAAAAGAGTGTTGATGGATATAAACTGTTTTCTTAATTAATTATTTTGAGATGAAAATATTAACATCAGCTGAACTTATTAATTAAACTCAAATGAAGATTTGATCCGAATTTTACATGTGTTCAACGGAAACTAGTGGTCTCTCGGATATGTGATTTCCTCGAATAGTCGAATGATAAAGTATTGCATCCCTATTCCCTAAAGGCTAAAACAGTGAAACCTGAAATTAACTTTTAGATAAGACAACTTCCATAGCTGTGTTTTAGAACTTTCAGTCAACACCCAAAAAGTCTACCTAAAGAGGACCAATATCAATATGCACATATTCTAGTTAATACTGCCTTTTTACAAATGGATTATTATATAACCCTGCATGCCTAAGTTTTTGGTTATATGTATTTTAAAGAAAGATACGTTCTAATATTATAATAGTGGCAAGAAAGAAAATTAAGAGATAAAGGGACCAAGAAGATTTGTCCAATTCTCCAATTATCAAATGGTTTTCCTAGCTACTAATCATCTTTTGGGTATATATATATATATATTTTTTTTTTTCTTCTCTTTTCTTCAATTTAACGAACCTAAGTCAGGAGACTGTATGGCAAAAAAAACCCCAACGAAATTAAACACGTTTACAAGGAAATTAGCAAATATGCGGTCGGTATTATTGGGTAATAGCCAAATTTCTTATGCTTGAGCAACATAGGGATAACACTCGTCTAGTTTACATAACTCAGTTAGTTAAATTTAAGCAAAAACATTTGTTTTCATTTCGCAAGTGTGTGGTTTGAGTGGTTGGTGAGTCATCAGCTCCTCAAACGTATTATAGCCTTTGTAGTGAAAATCAAAAAACGACAAGCCAAGCCTGCCTAACACATCTTGCTTTCCTAGTGCAACTAAGGAGTTTATTTTGTTTGGTTTTCTATTAATAGCGGTCTTTGACCAAATCTATATAAGTATAATAAGAGAAGAGTTGGAGTCATAATAAAATTCTTGAACTCTCCTCTATGCGACTTGATTCAATGATACAAAATACATAACACTTGGAAAAAACTAATTTATGTTGGTCTAGTGGTTAAATATTCATTTTATCTAGAAACTAGGGCTAACGTTTTTCTTTTCATTGTGTTTTCAATTATAGCTGACTACTATAGATGTTTTAAATGGGAAGAATATAATAAACTGTTATACTGTATATGCTTTTGCCCGAAACTCCAGTTAAAAGAAGAAAAGAACTTGAAAAGATTTGGGTCATGGAATTCTACAATCGATGGATAATTAAAGCATATTTGAGTTTTACATATATAATGCATGGTTGAAATTTTATTATCTCATGGTTGTGCTTAAACAACCGTTTAAAACCTAATAATAGTATTAACCCTCACTAAAATTTAGATTTACTTTTTGGTTTGTGATAGTAATATAGTATTAGAAAACAGAACATTTTATCTTGGACCTCTCTAAGTCTACGCAGAAAACCATATAATTGGTTGCTTGAGAAAGAGAAAAAAAAACCCATATAATTGTTGATGTTGTTTGAAGAAAAGAAAGAAATCTCAAAGGTGCAAGAGATAATCTTCTTAGTTTTCTAAAAACGAAAAGAAGACAAATTAATTGTGGGTAAGTTTGTGTAGGTGTTAGAATTAAATAAAGAAGATATCTATATAAGCTTTATAAATTGACTTATTTGGCATCATCACCACTTTTTGTATATTGGCTAACAAAAGCATGGTTTCCAAACTAAAATAATTTTCAAACCCCACAACTAGCTATAAACTAAAATTTGTTTTGTTTCTCTCTGATGTAAGCACATAACACTGATCCAAAACTTAATTTTATCCACAATATATACATATTGTACCCCAAGTCCTCATGTGTCATTATCATCATAATGCATGGGCATGACACTGATACAGAAACAATTTACTGTACATGTACGTTTCAAAATTAACCTATATATCTATGTTATTAATCGATATTTACAACAACAAAGAAAACATAAATTTTCTTTAGTGTCCATTGTAGATTTATACGACAACCTGTAATTTCAAAAAGTAGTCTAATTTGATATGTGATTCCAATAATTTAAAAAGGGAAAAGACATGCAAATGGGTCATGTAGAAGACATAATCTAAATTATTTTTTCAAAAGCTTAAGCCTGTGTCACGAAAGGGTGTGGTCCACTTTTATGGCTTTCTCTGCTGTATAAACACTCCTTCTCATCCAATCTCCACCATTAACTCACCCTCTTCGACCTCTAGTGAGAAACAGAGAGAGAGAGAGAGAGAGAGAGAGAGAGAGAGAGAGAGAGAGAGAAAGAAACTGATCATGCAGCCAAATTATGATAGCTCAAGTCTTAACAACATGCAACAACAAGACTTCTTCCACTTAAACCACTACTACAACAACTTAAACCCATCAACCAATAATAACAATCTCAATATTATCCAGTACCCTCAATTTCAAGAACTCAATCTACAATCTCCGGCAAGCAACAACTCAACGACTTCCGACGAAGCAACTGAAGAAGTCTTCGTCATCAACGAGAGAAAGCAAAGACGTATGGTATCTAACAGAGAGTCAGCGAGAAGGTCAAGAATGAGAAAGCAAAGACACTTAGATGAGCTTCTCTCGCAGGTTGCTTGGCTTCGAAGCGAGAACCACCAGCTTTTAGATAAGCTTAACCAAGCCTCGGACAGCAATGATCTTGTTCTTCAAGAGAACCTGAGTCTAAAAGAGGAAAACTTGGAGCTTCGTCAAGTCATCACATCCATGAAGAAGCTTGAAGGAGCAGGAGGAGGAAGCGGAAGCATCCATGACAGATATCGTTCTTCTTCCTTGGATCATGACTTGGATCAAGACTTGTCTTCTCTTACAGATGATCCAAGAACTCATCATCCATCGTGAATTGTTATCTGATTGAAGAAAATTACTTTATATTTCTGCTTCTAATTATCTTTTTTTTTGTATCCGCGAAATTCCGACCCATATATATCTTTTTGGACCGGGAACTAAAGCGGTTTTTTTTTTATGTAGGCTATAGACTTAGGTCTAGCAGCCTGAAACCTTACTTTTTTAACGGTTACATACAAAAGTTTGTGTTTTTTTCCTTAAGATAATTAAGCTGTTTCCTATTTGTGATGAACGGAAGATTTCTTCTCTCTGTTATAATTTGTGTAAACAGAAAAGAAGATAATTTGGATTTTGGAGATGATGGATATTTCTTCTTTCATTGAAAGATTAATGATGATATATAACTTAGTCTGTAATTTTAAGCTCTCTAAACAAAGGAACTAAAAGAAAATGATTGTATTCTATATAAATTTGGAAAAAGAGAATGTATTTATTTATGCATAGAAAAAGAAAAAGAACAAAAACAACTGAAGTACCTACCACCAACTCTCCTCACCCATTTTTTTTCTTTTCTAGATTTCTGATATCTACTTATATTTAAATAAATAAAATGATATATAATTGTAATGAATGTGATGACTGATGAACAATAAATTTGATCGCAGTTTAGGTTTTTAGGTGTCGGAACCAGAACGTAAAACGATCTCACCACCATTACCGGCATAATACAAGAACGATGTCGCAAAGAGTACCACCACCACGACTGATTCTTCTTTAAAAATCAACCGCGAAGAACAGCGAACGCCACATATTTTGAAAAAATGTATATGTGGATGCATGTGCATGGCCATGGATCAAAACAGAATAACTTCCAATTTCCAAAAACAAACCAACAAAAATCTATCTTTAGGCAAACATGTTTGGTAACTGTAAGAAGACTAGAAGAGCTTAACGCGTGAGACTAAGATGGGCCCTTCTTTATTCGTTCCTCAGTTTTACTAATGGGCTTCTATAAGGGTTTATACGCTTAGGCCCACAAATATTGAACATTAAGAGACACGTTATCTATCCATCATCATTCTGAAAAAATTACAGTTTCGGAAAATCACTCAAATTTCTTGGCTTTTCTCACTCGAAAGGGTCACAATCAATCTGGGAAGGTTTTGGATACATTGAAAGTAAGATCTTTAACTGTCTTCTAACTAGCCAATTTGAGAAATTAATTAGATTGGATTCCATCACTCAAATGTTTTTTTCCCAGTGTTTGATTTTAACACTGTGATTAGTGTTCAGAGTCTTGTCTCTCAATCAGAGCTGGAATGTGTCCGAACTTAGTCTAAAATTGTACATGAAGACTTCAGTAACTTAATCATGGAATAAGTTTAGCTCTTTCCAGGTGGCAAAAAGGGAATCCTTCTTTAGTTACAGTGTCACATGTCATTCTTTTACCAGCATATACCTTGGGAAAGTGAGCCAAGTGTAGGCTTTTTATTCTAAAAGATAAGAGCATGAAATTAAGTATTTATGTTTATGCGGCTATAGCATAAGAGGACTCAATTAGCTTGCTCATGCATGTTTCACAAATGGGGATTGCACATGTTTTGTTTACCTAATGCAGAGAAAAGAGGAATACTGACTAGAAATAGTTAGCCAAAACTATGCATAAGCTTACAGAATCTCGAACTAAAAATAATTTACATTTTTCAATCTAGTCTTTTATTCTTATTTTGTTGCCATACAGATCAGAATGAAGGAACAATGCCATATCCTGTGTCGTACATAAGCATTGCGTTGAACCCTAGGTCCTCATCTTCGATTTCTATCCTCTTTGCAAACCGGCCATTGATCCTTGGTCTTCTCTCTGCGTACGCTTTCCTTGAAGCATACCTTATCGTCTTCTCAAATTTCCTTGTCTTCTTCTTCTCTCTATATCTCATGACTCTGGCTTCTCTGTCCATTGCACCGAGTTGGGTTATCATCTGAATCGGAGGGTCACTTAGCTGGTCTAGCATCTCCTTGGGCCTTCTTGAGTGTGAAGCTATTGTGTCACGTGGTGTTGACTCCGGCACCAAGTCAGTTTCCATGGATGAATTGTATGCCTGATGACAGAAACAACAAAGACATTCTCATGAATCCCCCAAATAAGAGGACTAAAGAGAGTCGATGCATATATAAGGAACCATATTCTTTTTTTTTATTAAATGGCTAACAAAATATACAAAACACTTACGTTATGGTTTATGGAATCATTGCAGTTGTAGTGATTTCCAGAGGAACCATATGTGAAATTCTGTTGCTTGTGGCGCAAGTGTCCCCTTGACTCTTCAAGTTGAAGCGGAACAACTCTATCTGCCCCATGGCTTGCATGTGGTACGCTGGAGTCTTGTTGATGTTGTTCTTGATTGTATTGAGCTGTGAACTTGTAGTCCATGCTCGAGTTGTAATCCGCAAGGTCTAGATACTCATCACTATACAATAACCCATTGTTGTTGTTGTGATTGCCACTAGTTTTCTCTGTGTTTGGGAACAACCACGAGACTGCCTCTTTGTATTTGGCATCCTCTTTACCTCCCTCTTGTTCCACCACCGGTCTCTTTTCTGGATCGGTCTTTGTTGACGTCTCGGTTTTGTGGTGAGTGGTCATGGAGATGTAAGAGTTTCCATAGATTGGAACTCGGTGATGGCGTCTAGCAAGTGGGTTTGCGGAATGAACCTCTGAATCGCAGGCTGCGCAAAGAGAGGCATCATCTGCTTCACAAAGAAAAGCAGCAGGGGCACGCTCGCATGACTCGCAGATCACAACCCGTTTATGTCGGGAAGCAACGCGATTGGCAGAGTGGACTTGATCATCACATCTCGTGCACAAGTAGGCAGAGTCGGCGTGGCAGTACACGGTGGAGGCTGTTGACCGGCATGTGTCACACGCTCGTGCCCTCTCGTTACTCTCTTGTTTCAACATAATAGTTACACTATGATGTTAGTTAGTTTGAAGGTGTGGGAGATTGTGTCTGAAAGAAGGGGCTAATAAAGCCATGTCATCTCTTGTTTGTGAGAGAATAAGCAGAGGAAAAATGGAATCGAATCTTCAGTGCCTAGACGTGGCAGAGTGCAAGTGGCTATTAAATGTTATTGGATCATTTTGCGGCTCGCTGAGCTTTTGGAAAGGCTTATGTGTAAAAGTGTAAAGCGTAAACATCCCCTCCTATATACTCTTCACTGGGACCCGTTCACAACTTGTGCTATACAGAGATTCTCGTAAGTGGTCCGGATACACCATGTTGTTGTTACTATTTTTCGTATCACCTTTTCCTATTTTGAAATGGGATTTGCATATGGTGTTCCAGAGATGTTGGTTACTATTTTTCATATCACCTTTTACTATTTTCATATGGAACTCTTTATTTAGAGTAAAGCTATAGATATATTTTTTTCTCTTTGGCTCTAGGCAAAGTGTTCTGTAGTTGAATATTTCTTCTTGGACCTTATAATAACTGTCTAGGTACATGGCCGAGTTATGCTTCGAGACTTACCCATCAAGGTTAGTTATAGCATTATTTTTGTTTTTGTAGAAATCGGCACTTGATCATATATATTAACAAAACATGACTCATGTAAAAAGTTTGAGGACATGTCTCAAGGATCACATAGGCAATAGTAAAGTTTTGAGCTGCATCCGTTTACTAGTCCATAGGAAATTGAATGATACCCATTTTGTGGTCCAAAAAGAGAAGGAGATTGTAGGACAGCCCTAGTGGCCAAATTCATGTGGCTTCAACTCTATGGCTTTCTACTGCTTAAAAGTGAGTTTTCTTGTATAAAAAGGTTGGTCCTAGGATACACTTTTCGCATCTCCTACCCTTTCTTTTCTGCTTACACCATTTACTTTTCTTTCCCATAAGGGAAAATTTTAAACTCATGTGGTTTTTTTCTTCTTTTCTTGGTAACTGGAACTTGACTTTTAAGTTTTTCTTGTTATTTAGTTGTTTTAGGAGGGGAATGTAATGGAATGGAGAAATGTTATGAAATGGTTTCATGATCATTTACTCTAAAGAAAAAGATTATAGGTTCCTTACACTAGCTAGTAAGCATATTTAGAGATCGTTGTTACCCGGCCAAAGTTTGATGTCTATACCATATAAGTAACTGGATAAAATTGAGGCATCTGATCTGTTTTTTTACTTTAGTGTTTTAATGATGAAAATAGTGGAGATTTTAAAGTGGTTCTAGTTCATGAAGAGTTATGTCACATAGTGGAGTTATTGTTGCTCTTGTGGTTCAAGAAATAAGTGTTTTGCTTATTGTTGCTCTTTTGTCAATCTTTAGGTTTTTAAAAACTTCTCTCGCACATGTGTAGAGACCTTCACCTTACATGAAGGTTGCATGCATTTTTGATCTACTGTTGTGGAAGGAAACTACATGGCTTATTATTTCGTTTTCAATTGTTTATTATCAATTTCCGTGGTTGCGAATTCTTTCCTTGTTTCAGATTTAAGGAGAAAAAACGTGTTTTCTTGGAAAGAGTGAGGAGAGAACAAGAGTCCAGGGACCATATAAAGGCTTTGTAATTGTAAGTATTGTGCGGATTCTCCACTTTCCATGGCTGCGATGAGAAATTATTCGAGGAAATGTGCAAAAAGTGCAGGGACTTTTGGCAAAAAGGTAATCACTTTTATGCACTTTCACGTGATATCTATCTCGAATCCATCACTAATATATTAACATTTGTATTGGCTCGTAATTTGGTTAGTTCTCAAATTGGTTGTTATTGCAGTTATGGCTGCTATAACGAATCTTTTGATTGGTACAGGAACTCATCAGCTTAACTATGGAAGTGGTAAAGCTATCCCTAGTGGTGGACAAAAGTGAAGGCTTAGTTACGTTACAGTGCTTCGTTGTTCTTTAATGCACACAGCATATACCTTAGAAAAGTGAGCTTTTTTCGACCAAAAAAAAAATGAGTTTTGATATGCTCTTTATTCTAAAAGATAGAGCAATAAACAGGTTTCTCGAACTGAATATCTTTGGATGGTCCATTGGCATTTGACATATTGTGCTAGTAGACTTGGTTGTGAGTGACAAAGATGTTAGAATTTTGTTATCAAATGTTAGAATATTGTTATCAGAGAGAGCCACGTGGGAATATGGATTTGGTACTGCAACCATGCTCCAATGCTAATCATGAACAAGTATATGCTTTCATGTAATTATTATTACCTCGAAAATCATAATAGTGTAAAACCTTCTTTTCTCAGGGCGGCACAAATGGCATCATTTATCTTCTACGTGTTCTAGTGATGTGGAAAGTGTCACCAAGAAAAGGAATCAATATGGTTATTTGCTTTGAACCTAGGCAAAGTGACTTTCGTGTTAAATGTTCTTGGTACTCCCTTTATAGCATCAATTCTGTGATGGTGGTAGTTATTGTTTTACCAGAGTAGCAAAAATGTGAATATATCTAAGTAGATGGTACTAGTTATACAAAAAATACAGACCTATATGCATTACAGTGGTGATAAACTTGCAGGTATTCAAACCAGTAAGCAATTTACAAGCATGCAATCTCTAGTTCCTGAAGATAAGAGAATATCAGAAAGAAGGAACAATTCCATATCCGGTGTCGAACATCATCACTGTGGAGAAAGCATTCTCTGCCTCTGCATCGACTTCTTTCCTCTTTGCAAACCGGCCTTTGATCCGTGGTCTCGTCTCTGCATACGCTTTCCTTGAAGCATACCTTATCGTCTTCTCAAACTTCCTCGTCTTCTTCTTCTCTCTGTATCTCATCACCCTAGCCTCTCTGTCCCTTGGACTCAGCATCTGAGCTGGAGGCTCAAGTAGCTGTTGCTGTTGCTCTGTTACTGCTTTGGGCGATCTTGGGTGTGATACTGTTGTCTCACTCGTTGCTGACTCTGGCACAACTCCTGAGGAGACATTTGTGGTGAAACCAAACTGGAAGTTGTGTTGCTCGTGGTGCATGTGACCCTTTGGTTCTTGGACTTGAAGTGGAACAACTCCATCTCCACCATAGCTCCTCTCAGGTACGTTGCAGTCTTGCTGATACTGATGACTGGATTGGTCTGTGAACTGCTTATCCATAGTACTCGAACTGTAATCTACAAGGTCCATATAGTCGTCACCAATCGAGAACCCATTGTTGTTGTTTTTCCCTGAATTAGGCAACAACCAAGAAGCCGCCTCTGCTTCATCCTCTTCTTCTTGACCCACCACAACTCTGTTCTCTTGATCTGTTGTCGTCACTGTTGTGTCACTTGTGGCCATGGAAGCGTAAACGTGTCCAGAGATTGGCAGAATCGGGACTCGTTGGTGGCGTCTAGCAAGTGGGTTTGCGGAATGAATCTGTGAGTCACAGGCTATGCATAGAGAAGCAGCATCTGCCTTGCAGAAGAAGGCAGCCGGTGCTCTCTCACATGACTCACAGACACGAACACGTTCGTGGCGGGAAGCAAGACGATTTGCAGCATGGACCTGAGCATCACAGCTGGTGCACAAGTAAGCTGAATCAGCTCGGCAGTAGACGGTGCATGCTGCTGAACGGCATGTGTCACAGACTTGTGCCCAGTTACTCTCTTGTTTCAACATATTATGATTAACTTCAGGGATGAAGTTTAGTGGTTTGATGGTGAAGGAGAATTGTATTCTGAAAGAAGGAGGGACTAATAAGGCAAAGGAAGGATAGAATCACGAGGGGCTGACACGTGGCGAGAAGTTTGTGGAGTTGAAAAAGTTTGTGTAATCCATCTTGTGGCTGGCTGAGTTTCTCGGAAGGGTTGTGTTTATGGGGTCCAGTCTCATAGATGCTTACATTGGCTTTTGGAATCATCAACCACCAGGCAAAAAGTGAAAGCTACTAGTCTTCTTCTTATATCATAAGTAACAATGGACAAGAAAGCTAAACCAAGTGTTACTAAACTCTCTCTCCCTCTCTCTCTGTAGGCTTGTATTGGACCCATCCACATGTTGCCTAGGCCCTGGCACAACAGCGTGAAGTTGCAACTTTTAACTATTTTTGTATTATGCACTACTATTTTGGAAGCTGGAAGCTTTAGTAGCTGTTTGGGTTGACCCATCATCAATGAATGCTGTTTATTCAGATGGGAAGTGATAAGAATGGTAATGACTCCTAACTATTTGTTATCTTCATATGATGCTGTCTACTTTGGTGATAAGTAAGAGATGCTATGGCCTGTCCTAACTTCGTTTGATCCCACATTAGGTCGGTCAAGCCGACGTGGGAAACGGGATCGTAAGAGCCAATTGGAATCTTTCAAGTCTAACGATTAGGAAGAACAAGAGCCACAAGTTGGACCAATAGGTGGGTCCAAAGGTGGTGAATAAAGTTAGTCATATCAACATCACCTATGGTCTATGTTAATACAAATCCAATTTGCATATGATCACCATCATTTTCATAGTAACAAAACATGCAAGGAGTCCATGAGTCTTGTCACATCTGATCTCTATCTCCTTTTGAAAATTTTGATAAAACTGGATGTTATCAATTCTACCTTTATTAGATTTCAAACTTGTGGAAGTAAATCATTTTGAAATCTAATAATATTGGTGGATAAACAAAGTTTAGATTTTGAAGCCCAACATATTCTAATCGGACTGACACTTTAAGTTAGATAGATAAGCTCTTGTTGACTACCAGTATGAGTTAATAAGGTTATATCATTCAGCGTCAACCACATAACAGGTGAGAGTTTCTATTTATATCTAAGAAACAAATCGAATAACACAGAACAAACAACAAGGATCAACAAACTAAACACGATTCTTTTTTCTTTTTGTTTATTGGCGGTCAGAAGGGGCTAACCTCACGAGCCAGTTTCAGTAACAACTCTGGGACAAGACGCTTTCTGGGAGGAGCCACTGAGTCTTTGGTCAGGGCATCATTGTCATCGGCGTGTATCACAGAGACTATGTCATCAAAAAGTTCGTCTTTGCCGCCTCTTAAGGGATCCTAAAAAAAAAAAAAAAAAAAAAAAAACTCTCATATGCTTATTATAACGAGACAGAGCTAAAGTGTGACACATGTAATCTAAGGGTGTTTCTGTGGCTCACCTGAAGGAATAAATCAGTATGTGTTTTTCCGCTGTATAAAATAAGCTCAGCTTTGGCTCCAACAGCTTGGAGAGCCTCTGTAAATGTTTTGCTGCAAAAAAAAGAGAGAGCAAGTTTTAGTAAAGTGCAGAGGATTAATTACCAACGTATGACTTTCAAAGAGGATGATCATATAACCTTGCATCGCATGGTATGGAGTAATCTGAGGATCCGTGGAGAAGTATAATAGGAGGCAATAGAGACGCAGCGGCTTTTCCAACAACTGGATCTTTCAGTCTTACTTCCGGAGAGAATTTATCAAAGGACTCTTCTCCTTCCATTATGCTACAAGTTGGAGTTGAATATCAGAAAGATAAAACTCATCAGACTGGTTTAGGATTTTTGATTAAACTGATAGTTTACCTAAAGAAAATGGACCGATACAGACCCCGGTTGTGGAAGTGATCAACCAAGTTGTATAGATTGTACCTGCTCAAGCTCAAAATGATAAGCAGGTCAATTGCTGTAGATACAAAAAGGACATAGATACAATACGTTAGAAAACAGTACCCTCCAGATAATCCGAAATAAGCTTTAATCTGGGAAACACTCCAGGAGATGTTCTCTCCTTTTGATTCTTTAGTAGCTTGTTCCAATAGAGCACAAGCGGCTATATGTGCACCAGCTGATTGCCCCATCAGGTAGATCCTACAGAAACAAACACATGCAGTTCAATACCGGAGACTAAAATTATGATCAAAATGGTAAGCAAAATCAAAGCAAAGGAGTTTAAACCTGTTGGGGTCACCTCCAAATGCAGATATGTTATTGCACACAAACGAGATTCCTTGAGAAGCATCCGTCACCATATCACTAATTGTTCCCTGAGGAAAGTTCCTAGACCAAAAAAAGGAAGGGATTGCTTGGTAAATGCATGTAAATCTAGATTTTCATTAATCATTAAACAGAGCTAAAATTCTTTTCATTCTGTAAGGACGTAAGTGAAATCCACCGTAAGGAACATACTTAAAAGAACACTAGTTTTGAATTGTGTGTGCACTTTTCGTTACCTGTAGTCGACACATGCTACAATGATATCTCTTTCAGCTAGCTGCATTCCCAAGAGCGAGCCCCAAGCCTTGTAACTAAAACATCAGCACAAGAGTATCAAAACATGAACTTATTAACACGCGACTTCATCTAGTGCAAGAAGATGAAACTTTGGCGAGGTAAGAATACAGAGCACATCTTTGTATACTCACCCAATAATCCAAGCTCCACCAGTCACGAAAACCACAACCGGCTTCAATCCATCACTGTTCTTTGGTAAGTAGAGATCCAACCTGTTCCTTGGTTGATCTCCATACACTACACTCCTCCGTATTTGAGATGAGAAAAAATAAATATATGCAACTGCACAAGCCACAAACATCATCTCTATTAAAAAGAAGTCCTTTCTATGTAGTTGTTTTGTCGGAAAATACAAAAATAAAGAAACAAACCTTGAAGAAATCCAGGCATAAGAAGCATAGCGTAAAACGTAAGGGCGGCTAATTTTGTGATCCATCGATAGCCTACCCTGAACAAGACTTAGCAATTAAATAAATTCTTGCTGAAAGTGGAAAGAAATTAGACAGAATCAGTTTTAGATTTCAATCAAATTTGAGATGAGTACCCGAGGTATCGAAGAAGCTTGAAGCTAAGTCCGGTAATAAGGTACGTCTCAGACGCCGCGTGGCTGATTTCGCGGCCAAACGATGGCTGCCGGAAAATCCGACGAGGTCCTCCGTCCACCGGCAACTTCCCGGACACTCGACGGCGCAGCGGTTCGGTTGAAGTCAAACCGTTAGAGCCGTTAAGCAGAGTCGTTCTATCGGATTCCTCCGGTATGACCTCTTCGATCTCCGATACAGTCGAGGTCATCGGCCGGCATCTCTCCGGCTGCTGAGTCTCAAGTGGCGAATGCATCTTCTTCGCCCCTGGAATGAGTGGATCCCGATTCAAAGATTGGTTCTCTCTCTCTCTCCGTCTCCGTGTTCGTCTTGGTGATGAGCAGATGTACTGTATTCAAAAATTTCAAACTCTTTCGTATCTTTCGCTTTTGTGCGCTATGCGTTATTAACCAGTAGGAAATAAATATAACCACAAGTCATACAAGACGACGTCGGCTTCATCATTAATATTGTTCTCCTAGTCCTAAGAAAATTTATTACCTTACATCATAAAGATGAAATGTATTAAAGAGAATAAATGTCGATAAAATGAAAAAAAAAAAAAAAAAAAAGTCTTATATGCCAAAATAAAATAAAAGGATAGTATATCAAATTTTGTTAGTAGCATTTATTTATATTTTGGGCGATGTTTAATTGTGATTATTGGTTGTTAATCATTTTTTTTTTTGGATGGAGTGGGACGATTTCCTACATTTGCAAAAGGCTAAAACTCGGGGGGTCCCACGTGTGACGAATATTTCGGAATGTTACAGAAAATCCATCACTTTCATAAGACTTCCAGATCATGTGGCAGTGGCACACCCACCAACCACTAGAACATACCACGTTAATCTTTGAGTCTTTTGGGATTCAATATTACCTATGGTAACATTTTTCTTTGGACCAAATGGTAATCTAATAATCAATCGTGTGGTTGGAGTATTAATAATATGATTTTGTTATCTTTAGTAATATATATTTTAAATACTAATCTATTTAGGAAATTATTCATGTTTTATGATGATAATAATAGATCTGGCTTATGCTGATTGACAGCAAATTCTATACAAGCATCATAAACATACTTTCTTTAGTAACAAATAGTTTCATCAAAGCAAAAGCCAAACTAATGTAAATATTTTGCTTTAACAAAAAAAAAAACTAATGTAAATATTTTGGATAAACAAAAGATAAACTGGAGCCACCTTATCCAGACTTGTTTCCACGTCTAGTCAGTCCATTCTTTTGAAAGAAACAAGATTATGAAGTTTCTTTTACAAAACAGAAAACATTGTCTATGCTCGAGACACATATGTCCATACAAGATGACAATAATTGACTCAGTTCAACTCTATCCTTTCAAGGCTTAAGAAAGATAGGAGACGTCATGGTGTCTACACAAGAACAAGGCTGTGCGTTGGTAGATACAATTAATAGTTTCGCTACAAAAGTAATTCAAAATGATACAATGGAGGGAACTTATGAACGTAAAAAAAAAAAAAAAATTATCATGTGAGCGACATTATGTTCCTCTGAAAGGTGTTCATAACAATTATGCACCCCTATTCTGATGGGGTATAAAATGTGTATAGTATAGTTTAGCTAAATGAATTGTGATTGTTTTTGGATTACTTTTGTTTAGCAACTGTATACATGCCAAATGTAATGTTTTCTTCACGAATACCCCATTGGATCAACATGAAGTTTTTATTTTATAAAATCAAGTTATATGAAACATAGATTTAATAATTTACCAAACCAAAAATAAAAAACGAACAACTTAGAAAGCTTAATTACAATAGTGACCAAACGAACAATACTTCCCGCCACCGCCATGACCACCGTAACCACCTTCCTCGTCTTCATCATCATCGTAATCACCACAGTTTCTACTATGAATCCACCACAACATATTAGTCAGAGAGTTCCCATCGTCATGCCCATTTAATCCTTTAACCTTCTCGATCGCTCCATCTTTGTCGTAGATACTTTCCAAAGCATACACGAATCCTTTCCACCCTTCTCCGACGCCTTCTCTCGCCAACGCCGGCAAAGTCCAATTCACGAGCTGCTTCACGAATATCACATCGGAGAAGAGAATTTCCGAGACTGGAAGTATCGGTAATAACTGTATTCCCAGGCGACACTCTTTCCATTCCTTCGGCCCGAACCATAAGCCACTGTCTCTCTTCGTCGACCATAAAACTCCAACCACACGATTCTCCGCCGTGAAATCTTTTGGGTATATTGTGTCGTCTTCTTTCACCTGCCACCACCACCACCACCAAGAAGAAGACACATTAGAAATCAAATGATCAAATCACAACTAGTGTTAGCACTTAGCAGTAACAATCGCTCTGCTTTGGTTTGAATTTGATTATCTAGAGGGAAAATTATGTTTTGGTTTGGTTCAGATTTGATTCGGTTGAACTGAACCAAAGCCATGTCAAAAAAAACTCGATTCGACCAATCCAAACGAAAGTTGAGGTTAGTTAACTAACGCAATAACAAACCGAACCAAAGATAACCAATTAAAAACCTACAATCTATAAAATTCTTTGCAAAATCAAACCGAACCAAAACCAAAACTGAACCGATTTCATTTAATTTCTACGTTTGCCCAAACTTGGTTTTTATATCGAGCGTTCTCGGTTCGGTTTGATTTGAAAAAAAAAACAAACTATTGAAAACGAAAATGGTTACCTGCCACCACATTTTTGCGGCATGAATCTCAAGCGACAAGACCGTCGAAGCCACCGCCACCAAATGTGTATCGCCGTAAGCTAACCCTAACAAAGCAGCGGAGTAGTACGCGTTCACGGCCTCGCTCGTGCTCTCCTGATTCCTCCCGTCGGCAAACTCCGTTAACCCTCCAGCCCAAGAATGAAGCTTGAAAAGATCGAAGCATCTCAAACGCGGGTAAACGGAGTTGGAACTGGAGCTAGCCCCTTTCTTCTTCCCCAATGTCATGTAATCCGCCATGAGAGTATACGCCTGAGGTCTGAATCTCTTCCCCCACAAAGGATCGATCTTAGCGAGCACAGCAATCGCGTAGAGAAAGTAGCCCAGGTGATAATGGTGATCGTTGTAAATCCCGAATCCGAAATCCGCTCCGGAGTCTCCGGATCCTTGCTTCGTGATCACACCTCCCCATTTCGGATCGTACAGAAACCCGTTCGGTTCGAAACTCCCGTCTAACCACGGCTCGATCATCTTCTTTAAGTAGTTTCTAATCGCCGGGATCACATCGAGATGGCAAACTTCTTCGGCGATCAAAGCCAATCTCGCGGCTCTCGCGATCAACTTCGCGTAGAAGTACGACGAGTTCGTGACCGGAGCTGATGGATCCAAGGCGTTAACGTCTTTGACGAGCGCTGAGATGATCTCTTCGTGAGAATCTTCTTTGACTCCTTTGATGGAGTGCCACGTCACCGAAACAGGGTCGGGTTTCAAAACCCATGAATCTCCGACGACACCTACCAAATCTCCGTCGAGACTTCTGTACCTGAATTGATCTAGAACGGTGACGGAACAATCGTCGGTCGCTAAAAGCTTGAGATGAAGAGGATGAGCGAGCATCAGGAGATCTCCGTAGCCTCTCTTCTCCCATTTATATTCCAAAGCGAATGGTTTTTTGAAATCAGCGTCGCCGGAAATCGGGTAACAGCAACTGAATCGGTCGAGGATCGATTCAAAATCTGGATTTGAATCCGGTAACACGGCGATCCGGATTATACCCGAAAACCCACCACTGCAATTTATCGAAGAACCGCCGTCGTTGGCCAGATTAATCGGCGAGGACGCGTAAATCAGCCACGTCTGGTTGTTGTTGAGTTTCGCGGTGTACTTGGTAGATGAGCTGTTCCCGGAAAACGATAAAACCGCGTGGATCGTTGAGATTTTGATGGAGGAGTTACCAGAGGAGACGGAGCAGGTGATGAAAGGGCTTCCTCTGACGAGGAAGAATCTGAGATTGGAGGAAGGGAAATCGAGCGTGACGCCGAGATCGCTGAACGAAGAGATTAGATGAGATTTCCGGGAATGCTGGTCGGGTCCATCTGAGCCGGAGATGGTGATGTCGGCGTTGAAAGCCTCGTAGATGAAAGCAGAGTTGTGAGAAAGAGATGGGTATGAGATGGAGATAGATGAATCCGACGATTTGATGATGTAAGGGTGAAAGTACTCGGCTTGGTCGCCGTTTTTGAGAGTGAAGTTTTGGAAGAAGGAGTTTGTTGGGAGAGGAGCCGAGAGGAGATCGGGGCTGAAGAAACGAGACGGGTCGGGTAAAACAGAGGAATTGGATGTCGGGAAGAGAAACGGAGCGTTTTTTGGTCTCGAGGAAGCCATTTCAGGAGGCGGTGGAGGAGGAAGAGCAGGAGGTGGTGATGGAGGCAGAGGTCTGCTCTTGGGCTTTTTAAAGGGTTTGGTGATCAAGACTTTGACTTTTCGCTTCACTTTTTTCAACATTTTGCTTAGTCAAGAGGAGAAAGAGATAAGGACGGATTTGGAAGTTGGAGTAAACAAAAGGGGTCTTTCTCAATTAATATTATCGGACTGTCGTGGTCTTCGTGGGGTTGGTTTTAATTAGAAAGAGAAATGTAGGGGAAATTTCATAAATTTATAAAAGAAGTTAGCTTGTAACGCTAAGTTTTTGGAAACGTGCAGGAGACTTGCTTGATGCAAAACCTTATACTAGACGTTGATATATGCCCAATATGAAAGAGTAACAATTACAAATATGTTTAGTTGATTACTATACAATAGTTTTATGGCAATGTTACTTGCATTTTGCAAGAAAAGCATTGGTTTAATGAAACTCGTATGTATGATCGAATATTATGATGTTTGGTTTGAATGAGCTATATAAACATTCCAATTTTTGTGTATAGTTTTGGAAGATGCTTGAGGTTTTGTCAATTTATGTTTTGCTTACAGAGAGAGGAAGATGGTTGATTGCAAGCAAAGCGATTTGCGAACACGCGGTAATGCATATTATGTCTTTTAGACTTCTATTGAATAAAAGGATAAGATTTCATTTCATAATTTATTTATCACCATTTTTAATTCCTTTTATAATGTTGCCTTCAATGCATATATTTAATATCATCCATAAAAGATTCTAGATTTTAGGAAAATACATCACATTTCTTATTTGACAATTGATGTCTATTTTATCATTAAAAATTTCCGAAAAATGTAGACAAAATTTATTTCCTTATGATATATAATTTAATTATAGGATTTTTAATTTGTAAAGTTCTGATTTGATAGAGAGATACGTTTTTGTTTTGAAGGCCTTTTCACGGCCCATACATACGACGGAGAAAGAAGCCATATTGAGCGTTCCTTTCTTTTCAAACCGAACCAACAATAGATAACTAATGTAACCGAACCGTTCCGGTTTGAGAACCAACCGCTTCGGTTTAGCTCTGCGAACGTTCTGCGAGTCAGTCCTGCGTCTGTGTCAGACCAAAGAGACGTAGAAGAAGAAGTGAGGGGGAGATATGGCCGGACTTCTAGCTTGGGCCGCCGACGTCGTCGGTAAAAATGGAAAAGAGGACGGCGATGAGAGAGATCGGATCCCACTGGTTTTCACGGAGGATCAGCAGAAATACGTCGATGAGCTTGGCCGAAAAGCGACAACGCTCAGCCGTTCGATCCAAGATCTGCGGCTCAGATTGCCTCCACCAGATATCTCCCAGCGTCTGCCTCACCTTCTTGCTCACTCCCTCGCCTCCAATGCCGCTCTCACTCTGCAGCTTGACTCGCATTCCGCTACACGTGAACAGGTTTTTCCCTCCGTTTTTTCCTGAGTCGAGAGAATTGGATCGGTTCGAGTAATTCGAGCTTTCTCCATTAAAATGAGTGAAGCTGATTCGAGAATTTTGATATCTTCTATTGGGGATATGTCTTTTGGTGATTTAGTAGTGATCCATTTTACAGAGAGAAAGTTTACGATTCTCATGCTTCTTCTCTTGCTTTTGTGATTAGGCACAAATGAGAGAGCAGACGCTTCTAGAAGAAAACAGTGCATATAAGAATGCAATTTCAATCTGTGAGTCAAAAATAGAAGAGAAGAGACATGAAGCAGATTCTCTTCTTAGAAAGTTGAAGGTAGATTATCAGATGATAAGCATCCTCTTGTTCAATCATAGATTTGCTTGATGACATATGGTTTGTTTGCAGGAGCTAGAAGATGTTGAGGAGAGCTTGAAAACTGAGCAGGAAGGTGCAAAAGCTTCTCTAGATCCAAGGCAGTCCAATAGCTCTGTTGAATCTGTTATCCAGCCTGATGCGAATGAACAAGATAGAGCAGATACAGAGGCCATGAAGTCTGCTATGCTAGAGAAGCTGGAGAGCAAAAAGAACGATTTGGTTAGCTTACATTTTACACTTCATGAGTATGGAATCATCTGATCATGTATATCTGACTGCTGTGGATTTTTTCTTTTATTCTTCTAGAGTTCAATGGAAGAAAAAGTTCAGGAGTTAGAGAGGAATTGGGCTGTTATACAGGAAAGAGCATTGAAGCAGCCTTCTCCAGGTACTTCCTGTCATCAACTTTGTTAGATAGCCTGAAAAGTTTTCATTCTCATTATCTGACTGGGAAGGTTTTGCTTTCACAGCTCAGAGAGAGAAGACACTGGACAAGCAACTTCATAGTCTAATCGAGCAATTAGCTGCAAAGCAGGTCCATCTCAAGCGAAATGAATTTACACTTTTTTCCTTTTAGAGTGTTTTATAACTGGAAACTTTTGATATGCGTATCAGGCACAAGCAGAAGGGATTGTTGCTGAGATTCATACGAATGAGATGGAGTTAGAGAGACTAAACAGTTTGTCGAGAAGAACTGAGAGCTTTAACGTTGAGGGGAACGCTGCGAGGAACAGATTCAAGAGAACAAATTCAGATAGAGGATTTGGGTCAGACGTTGAAGTTGATGCTCATTCATACCTTCCGTATACATCTGCTCCAAGAAATGAGACTCAAACAAGGCTTATGTATCTCAGGTCAGCTTTTGTAGTCTACCTTTTGGCCTTGCAGGTCCTAGTTTTTATCAAGATTTCCTTTTGAGAGATTGTGTACTCTATTGTGCTTTTAGTTTGCACAAAGGGTCAACATACTGCATATAAAATTTATAGTAATACGAAAATTTTCTTTAAATGGTTTTCCTTGCGCATATAAATACATGGCAATCGAATACTGAGACTCCTACAAGAATCTTTTTTACATTTCTTTCTTGATTTTAGATATTGTTTCTCCTCTACTCGTTGTTGAGGATGGTTGCTACGTCTCTGTCTTCATCATTTCTAGCAAAATATCATTCCAAGTATCAATAGGTCCAGGCAGACACCAATGAATACAGTCATTTCTTAAAGTCTCTTCTGCATTCTGCTCATGGCCGTATCTCCCAGGATGCCCATCTGGTCGCATTAGCATTGCCTGTGTTGTGTCCATCAATTTCAGTCTCAAGCCCTTCTTCTTCCTCCCTGCTTCTTCTGCAGCTCTAAATTCCTCCAGTTGAATGTCACGAAGCTTGAGATCTGGACCTTCGGGTATAGTCTCGTTTCTTCTGTAAGGCCGTGTCCTTACACAGTCCCCTCCTTCGTTCCATGCCCCACCTTCGAAATGTTGAGGAGAAAAGCTCCTCAAAATTGCCAGACCCTTGAAGTTTTCGAGAATAGCTTGTAGAGATATTCTTAGAGCCTTCTTGTAACCATAGTACAAAGGCAGCTCGGTCGTGTTTGGTAACGCACAGTATTGGCAACCAGAGATTTGTTGGTTTTCATAGAAAATAACAGGCCGGTAAAACCAGTGGCCGGATGATATGACCAGATAGTCGAGCTGGTTGATCTGACTCGTCCACTTGGTGTCATACTCGTCGAGGTATAGGCTGAAGAGGTTGAACTTGGGATCTGTAGGGTCAGGTTTGGTAGACTTCACTAGAAATGGTGACCACATGGCATGAAGAGTGAAGTTATAGGATGTGTAGTTCCATACTTTGAAATCTGTTTCTGGTGAAGAAGAAATATCTTCAGGATATTCAACCTGCAAGGAAGGGAAGTGAAAAAGTCAACACAGGGAGAATGTTTGTATATAGGTTGGCGATCACTGACAATGAGATTGGATTTTACCCTAGAGAGAAGGCACAAGAGAGACTGGACTTGGTTTCTGCTAATGGAATCACCAACAAACCCCATGGCTTTGTCTCTAACCATTTCCAAAAACTCTTGAGGGTCAAAGATGGGGATATCGCAGCCGTCCGGCTTCCACCTCCATCTCAAGAACTCGGTGTCTGGTCTACCGTACTTCATGCAGTTCTGGTGCTCGTGTATCGCCCAGCAAGTCGTGTTGGTGTAGTATGGAGCCTCTTCGTTCGGTACCCATTCCCCGTTAAAGAGATCACACCTTTGCTCATCATCTCTGATCCGCGTCCTTGATGTTGATGTGGTGACTGAGGATGAAGAATTCTGATCTCTTAAAGACGTGTGATTTAAGGGAGCGGGAATGGGACCGTTCACGGGTGAAGGACTCTGATCGGATGAAGAATTCCGATGTCTTGAAGGTGTATGATCGAGTGGAGCTGGAATCGGACCATTCTTGGGTGAAGGAACCTGACCGGATGAAGACTTCCGGTGTCTTAAAGGCGTATGGTTTGGTGGAGTAGGGATAGGACCATTCTCGGGTGGAGGAACCCGATTGGGTGAAGAATCTCGATGTCTTGAAGGCGCATGGTCAGGTGGAGCAGGAATGGGACCATTCACGGGTGAAGGAGTCTGATCAGTGTCGGATAATGAGATTGATAGAGGTAAGATTGGATTGGCAAGGAGAGAATATAAAGCAGGGACTATTGTGAGGAGAATTAGAACAAATGCTAATGTAAGTGCAACTCTCGGTGTTCTTTGAAGGATTGCAAACAAAGGAAGCTTCATTGTCAGCTTTTCAAGACTATGGTATCTGGTCTTATCATAAATATGTATGTATATCTGTATGTGTATATATGGAGTGTAATGGTGAGGTCGTGGTCATCCAATAACTAGGCACAACATTTGACCATTTCTTCAAATTCAATTAAATAAACCGGAGAGACAGAGAGACCAGACGACTTGATTTGGCGGCCATTGTTACGACAACATTTTGCGAACGTGAGCCAATAATCCTTTGTCTTCTTCTCTCTTTAGCATAGCGAGCAAGAAATCGTTGAGGTTATCAATAGGACCTGGCAAGCACCAGTGGACACAGTCGTTGTACAAGGTCACATTGGCCTCAGGGATATGACCGTAGCGGCTCGGGTGACCGTCAGGTCTAAGCCACATTGCTTGAGTCGTGTCTAGTAGTCTTAACCTCTTCCCTTTCTTCTTCGCTTCTTCTTCAGCTCTCCAAAACTCTTCCAGCTGAATCTTGTGTAGCTTCATCGTCACTTGGTCTTGAGTCTCGTTGCTCTTATAAGGTCGTTTCCTCAAACAGTTTCCTCCTTCATTCCACAAACCACCTTCGAAATGTGACGGCGCGAAAGTCCGTAAGTACACTACCCCGTTGAAGCTTTCCGAGTCCAAGATCGCTTTAAACGCGGTTCGAAACGCTTTTCTGTACCCGTAAAACATTGTGAGATCTGTTATGTTCGGTAATTCGCAATAGTGGCAACCGGTGATTGTCCCGTTTTCATAGTAGACGGATGGCCGGAAATGCCAATGGCCGGAGGAGATGATCACGTAGTCAAAGTCTCCTATCTCTGCTGTCCAACTCTCGTCCGCCTCATCAAGGTGTAGATCGAAAAGATCAGTATGCTCGGGTTTGGTCGGGTCGGGTTCTGTGGACTTTACCAAGTGTGGTGTCCAAAATGTGGCGATCGTGAAATTGTACGTCTCGTATGTCCATCGTTTGAAGTATTCGTCAGCCTTAACCGAAGCATCCACCGGGTATTCAACCTGAAACGTTAAATCTAGTTTAATCTCGAGAAACTAGTGATTTGTATATATGGAATTTTATTACGTAAATGATGATCTGTACAGCTGTACTATATATGAGAAAAATATCATTTGACAAAACTCCTATCCAAAATCATCATTGACAGATAAGTGAAATTCCTAAATATCATTTGACGACAGATAAGTAAACTAATTTAATTAAAATATCTAAAATCATTGGACGTCTGCTCCGGTGAATAAAACATTATTTCAATAATTGTGGCACCGGTGAACCAAAATCACCTTTATGCACGTACCAATCGTTTGTTTTAACTTTTAAATATAAATAGTTGAGTAGTTATATGATTTTATCAACTTTTAGGTAATAAAATACATGTAAATGTATCTATACGCACACACTTCTTAATTATATGACGGTCTATGATCAATGTAATGTAATGATGCGCATCTAACTTCGTTTATACTTTATCAAAAGTGTAACTTCAACTAGTATTTAAATGATACATATGACCTAATGATTCAAGTTAAAAGCTCATCGATTAGAATGTTACTTCGAAGTCAAGAGTGGTTTAAATGATTTTGATATAGTGCTTGTGCATGAGTGCTAAAACATGATTTACTGATTTTGGTCGTTAAACTTAAAACTGTCTAAAAGAGAGGCTAGTAACAAAACAATTATCCGACGATACATCACTAATGTAACTTTACTATTTTCGTAAAAACACTAAGTGAAACTACTATTTCAATTGAGAACAAAATTAAAACTTGTGTTTTCTCGTATAAAGTGGAAAAAAGGTGTTACCTGAGATAGAAGGCAGATCAAAGACTGCATGTGGTTTCTGCTAACGGAATCACCAACAAACGCCATGGTTTTCCCTCTCACGATCTCAAGAAAACGAAACGGGTCAAAAACCGGCAAGCCATCTTCACACCCGTCTGGTCTCCATTTCCACTTCATGAACTCCGTATCGGGTCTTCCGAACTTCATGCAATTTTGGTGTTCGTGTATCGCCCAGCACGTCGTATTGGTGTAGTAAGGCGCCTCGAGGTTAGGGACCCACTCTCCTGAGAATATGTCGCAGGCCTCGTGTGTTGTTACTACACTGTTTTGGAGCTTAACGATGTTGGTTTGGCTTGGAGGTTGTTGCTTGAGGAAGAAGTTAGGGTCTTCAACAAAAGGGTAGAGAATAGGAATGATGGTGAAGAGAGCTATGGCAATTGTCACGGCAATGAGTAGCTTTTGTTTACTTGGAAATGTTGCAGACTGAAGAAACTCCATTGAAGGAAGACAGAGAGAGAAAAGAGGAGAGATTTTGAGGAAAAGAAATCAAGTTTATCTCAGAGTTGGGTCTAATTTGTTTATATGTGGTGAATTATTTAATCATGGAAAATTTTGTGAATATTTTTGTTCTACAAAAAAAAACAAGAGAGTAGGTGTCACATACTAAAAATTATGAGTTAAGATTATTGCAAAATAGCTCGAATAATTTTTTGAAGGCAATCAATCAACAATTAAATTCATTAATTTTGACGTTTTAGGTCGGCAATTTGGACGTTAATTTTCATCTTTTTTTAATAATCTGATTTTCTCTCTGCTGGTTTGTTTATACAAAGAGCCACAAAATAATGAAAAGTTAAGGGTTAATTGAAGAAAAGGAAAAGATGGACGAGAAAATAGATATTTAATTTTAACTCAAAGCTTATACGATTTGTTCTTTTTAGTTTATAGACAAGAGAAAATTTCCCTTTTTGAAAACAAATGCCAAGTTTGAAAACAAAGCATCACATGAGCTATTGTTGTTGCGAAAAGACCGTGTCTACATCCCGGGGTGACATTCGAGTGCTTGAAGCTAAAGACGTTCTCGCTCTGCATCACATGATTGACTGCATTGTATTTCCGCATAAGGGAAATACGCCATATCCAAATGAGTATTCAGAGAGTGACTTGGATGGGGATGGGGATTTGTATTTCCTATCTTGGGATTGTGATTTGATTACAACAGGAATGACTATACTCTTAAACCAGTCGACGAGACAACTTCCTCACCTGTCACGGTCCAGAAAATCAGAGAATTTTTCACCGACCACGCTATGAATAATAGCATAGGAATTATCCAGCAAATATTGAAAAATGAGTAAAGTTTTATTTACCCTATATAAATATGTGTTTGGGAGAGCAAATATTATTCAAATTGCATCAAAGTTTTTCACAACATTAGTGGAAAATGAGTAAAGCTTTAGTTGAAAAATCTGACATAGAGAGTTTACCCATGTATATCGGAATCTTGGTGTCACCCAAGAAACTCTTGCAGTGATTTCCCTTCGTTTAGATATGATACGCATCATTTGTACTTGTTGATGCGTTGGAATGAAAAGATTTATCGACTGGAGTTGCCTTATGAGTTAATGCATTGGTGCAGAACATGCGCAAACGATTTCAAGCTGACAAAGAACACAAGTCCATGAATGTTCATACAACTATTATTACATGCATCTATGGTCCAACCACCAACTCAATGTTTATTGGCAATATATTTTTGAGGCATGATTTTCTCTCTCATGATCTATTATTCAATCCATCTTGTATATATCTCAAAGGAAATGGGACAAGTCTATCACTGATTTGTGTAATTAAAGATTAGGACCAAACATGTATCAGTTGTCACTTGTTCACTAACCATGTTGTCCATTTCTTTTTTGATTAGTCGTTATCATTTTAAGCACAAGGTGTAAATGATTTGTAAAGTATAGATTTGAAAACTCTTTAAGAAAGTGTTGAATCGAGTTAGTACAATACGGTTTCGTTTTATCAAACGGTTTAACAATTAAACTTGAGTGTGGATATGATCTAAGAAACACTCAAAAGCAGACCTGTTCCATAAACTAATAGTAAAAGTAAAACCATTGATTCGATAAAAAAAAAAAAACAAGAAACAGTCCATCTTTCTTAATCAAAGATAGAGTTGAATAAAACTTGGAACCAAACTTAACTCGAAGAACCCGAACTCTTAAGACAGTGACACGTGGATTGTCTACGTGGACGCTGGAACGCCACAGTCATATGCTGTTGTGATTGCAAGTTTGTAACAACATGTCTCGCCTCCTTTTTACTTTTGGCTCTCCCCTCTGATTTGGATTTGCTTTCCATATCACTCTAATGATTCCACAAAGCTTCTAGATTTCTGCAGTTTCTAATTGTTTTTTTCACTTGCCCAAGTTTAAGTTTCATATTATTTTTACGGAATAAATAAGAAAATCGAAATTCGGGGTTACGTATACGATGCTTAGGTCTCTGATTCGGACACGATCACAGGCATCATCTTCAGTCGTCACGATGTCGTGAGTTATTCTATGGTTTTCCAGTTTCTATAGATTGCTGCTTGTTCGAATAAAGCATTGATCTTTGCAGTTATTTTGATTCTCTCGATAAAACGCTTTACCAGAGACGAATTTCGGGTTCATATCTGTCTCTGCCCCAATTGTTGATCGTACTGCTTAATTTGTGTGATTTCTTCATAAAAAATAATAGATACATGTTGCAGCACTACAGTGATTGCTTATGATGGTTTTGTCTTTTATCTCTCTGTCAGTTCAATTACTCAGAGAGGAAACAAAAGGCTTTTGTCTGAAACTGCTGGTTCACATTCAAGAGACAAGAAGGTAATAGTACATCATACCTTTTTTTCATTGCTCTTGATTTTAATGACACATTCTGATAATTTTGCTATCAATATTCCGATGACCACATTGGCAAATTAGTTTAAGAATAGAATCAGTTGAAACAAGAGTCGAGAGTGCTCTTAGATTTTCACAACCTGTTGATTCAAACAAGATTGTTTTGTCTTGTGTTGAATGTCAGATATTGGTTTTGGGAGGAAATGGTTATGTGGGGTCACACATATGTAAGGAGGCACTTAGACAAGGTTTCGCCGTATCTAGTCTTAGCAGGTATTTATTTGTATCACTTATTGTTCTTGATTGCTACTTATTGTCTGTCTTACATAGCTTAAATCTTTAAGTCTACGCACTGTTACTAGGTCTGGAAGATCTTCTCTGCATGATTCATGGGTTGAAGATGTAACCTGGCATCAAGGTATGCTCAATATTCGAAAAACACATTTCATTCTCTTGCTCATTTAAGAAACAAAAGACTTTGGTGACATTTGGTGAATGACCTGCTTACTAAAACAATAATAGGTGATTTGCTCTCACCTGATTCTCTGAAGCCTGCACTAGAAGGAGTTACATCTGTGGTAATTAAGAATTCTTCTGGAAAAAAATGATCTCATCGTATTGCATTCTTTCAACCGCATCTCATATGGAAACTTGTGTAGATTTCATGCGTTGGTGGTTTCGGTTCCAACTCACACATGGTCAAGATCAACGGAACTGCAAACATTAATGCCGTTAAAGCTGCAGCAGAACAAGGTAAATAAAGGCCTCCTTTGTTTGTATGGGGACAAGACGAAACTCGAATTTGTTTAGTAAGTTATCTGCAAAAATGTAAAGAAAAAGAAGCTGATCATATTTTGTGTTCAGGTGTGGAGAGATTTGTGTATATATCAGCTGCGGATTTTGGTGTCATAAATTACTTGATTCGAGGTTATTTCCAAGGCAAGGTACTTACTTCTTAGTCTTTGCCTTCTTGTCTTAGTTCTTAGCAATTACAAGTAATCTCTCTGATCCATTCAGGTATCTATCTTACTTGCAGAGAGAAACTGAAGCTGAGGTTTTGGATAAATTCGGAAACAGAGGTGTGTAACTTATATGCGTGTATATGCGTGTCTTCGTCATATTCTTCACTGATATGATAAGCTGTTTTTTTTCTTTCGCTCTGCTTTCTTAGGATCGGTTCTAAGACCAGGATTCATACACGGGACTCGTCAGGTCGGTAGCATAAAGCTGCCTCTTAGTCTCATTGGAGCTCCTCTCGAAATGGTAAAAGAAGAATTTGCACTTGCATATCAAATCTTCTTTTGATTGTTCTGAAGCAATCTCAAATGAAAGTCTGAATCTTTGTTGTTTTCTCATTACAGGTTTTGAAGCTGTTCCCGAAAGAAGTGACGAAAATTCTTGTGATCGGACCGCTTCTAATACCACCGGTCAATGTTAAATCCGTTGCAGCAACTGCGGTTAAAGCTGCGGTCGATCAGGATTTCGCTTCTGGAGTCATCGATGTGTACCAGATTCTTCAACAAGGCCACTGAAAACAACAGTCTTTTACAAACAAGTTCCTCTCCTTTTTTTATGGTTTCTACGGATTGGTTTTTTAACTTTCTGAGTCAAATGTAGTAACTTTCGTCTCTGGTTTTGCCACCAATAATAAAATATTGACTTTTCGCAAATTACAAAAGGAGAAAAGAGAGAGAATTTTGAAACAAAAAGAAACAACAATGTGAACTGAAGCATCAATTTTGGAGAGGGAAAATGCTTCTCTGGGTTTGAGTTGATGAACCGGGTTAAGTTTCGAAAACCGGGCTGAACCATGACCGTGTGTGAATTGTTGACCCGACATTGATTTTAAAACTAGTCGAACCGGATTATAATTAAGCTTTTTAAGCCACTAACCTAAATAAGTGTCCTTTTTGTCGTCGTGCATCTCTTTTCCCGGGTTTTCGCTTTTCATCGTTTCACTTTCAGGTCTCCACACAAAAAATCGCGATTCAAATAGACACACAGAGAGACAGAGAGAGTCTAGGGTTTTCTCGTATGGTACTATATCGGGCACGAGAATCTTCGATTTCGGCTAGGGTTCACTTGTTGGAATTTCGAGTTGGTTTCAATGTCTTTTTTCGATTTTCGCTAGGCGAATTGGGTTTCTATTCTTCTCTTGGGTTCTTATTTCCGAATTGCCTTTGATTTTTTCGTCCTTGCCTTCGTTGTAAATTGCTTCTGCTTGATTTTGTTTTGTTCCTAGTACTGTTCATTTTCAGTCATCTAATCGGTTTAAGTTCGACGGAAGAGATAGTGTGAGACTGGGCCTGCTTGTGAATTTGTGATTTGAAATCGGAACTAGAAATTTCAATCTAATCAGATTCTAGTTTTCAATTCTTCACTTTAGGTTTTAGGTTAAGCTTCTTCTTTCCCCCCCCCCCCCCCCATTGTCCAGATTCACCCCCAGATTCTAAGTTTTAAAGCTTCTCAAGTTTCTAATTTTTGCAGGTCCTGTGACTGCTGAAACGACGATGACTGAGCGTCGTGCCAAGCGCCTCAAAATCTCCAGAGGAGAGGATGACTTTTTGCCTGGGAACATAATCGAAATCGAGCTGCACAACTTCATGACATTCAACCACTTGGTATGCAAACCAGGATCACGCTTGAACCTTGTGATTGGACCAAACGGATCAGGCAAGAGCTCTCTCGTGTGCGCCATTGCGCTTTGTCTCGGTGGTGAGCCTCAGCTTCTTGGGAGAGCCACTAGCGTTGGCGCATACGTTAAGCGTGGGGAAGATTCTGGCCACGTCAAGATCTCTCTGAGAGGGAACACGGCGGAAGAGAAGCTCACGATTTCACGGAAGATCGACACACGTAACAAGTCGGAGTGGATGTTCAACGGAAACACAGTTAGTAAGAGAGAGGTTGTTGAGATAATCCAGAAGTTCAACATCCAAGTTAACAATCTCACTCAGTTCCTGCCGCAAGATAGGGTCTGCGAGTTTGCCAAGCTAACACCTGTGCAGCTCCTGGAAGAGACGGAGAAAGCTGTTGGTGATCCGCAACTGCCAGTTCATCATCGATCGCTTGTTGAGAAAAGCGGTGAGCTGAAGCAGCTTCAGAGAGCTGTGGCGAAGAATGGAGAGACGCTGAATCAGCTTAAGGCTCTTGTGGATGAGCAGGAGAAGGATGTGGAGCGTGTTAGGCAGAGAGAGCTGTTTTTGAGCAAGGTTGATACCATGAAGAAGAAACTGCCGTGGCTTAAGTATGATAAGAAAAAGGCTGAGTACACTGATGCTAAGAAGAAAATGAAGGATGCTGTGAAGAAAGTGGATGAAGCTGCAAGGAATTTGAACAGCATGAAGGAACCGATTGAGAAACAAAAGAAGGAGAAAGCAGAGATGGATTCGAAATGCAAAAAGGTTAAGAATCTCCTGGATGCTAATGGAAGAAAGCGTTGTGACGTGCTCGAGAAAGAAGATGAGGCGGAAGCACGTGTAGTGGCAACACACAAAGAACTGGAGGAATTGAAGAAACATGAAGAGCATCGCCAAGAAAGGATTGTGAAAGCTAGAAAGGATCTGGATGCTGCCGAACAAGAACTCCAAAACCTGCCTGTTTATGAACGTCCAGCTGCCAAACTCGAAGAATTGGGCTTTCAGGTTACAGAGCTGCGTAACAACATAAACCAGAAGAAAGAGCACAAGAATGACAACGAGAGGCTCTTGTCTCAGAAGAGATACAACCTGAGGCAATGCGTAGATAGGTTGAAGGAAATGGAAAATGCAAATAACAAACTCTTGAATGCTCTACGCAAGACTGGAGCTGTTAATATAGAAGAAGCATATCAATGGGTGCAACAGCATCGTCATGAGTTTAAGAAAGAAGTATATGGTCCCATTTTGTTAGAGGTTAACGTTCCAAATCGAGACAACGCTTGCTATTTGGAGGGTCATGTTGCTTACTATGCCTGGAAGTCTTTTGTCACCCAGGATTCCCAGGACCGCGATTTGCTGGTTAGAAATCTAAAGCGATTTGATGTTCCTGTTCTAAACTACGTGAGGGATGGCAGCAATCAAAAGGATCCCTTTCATATTAATGATCGTATGCGTTCTCTTGGGATCCGTGATCGGCTTGATCAGGTATTTGATGCTCCTGACGCCGTAAAGGAGGTTTTAAACTCCCAGTTTGGTCTGGAATACTCGTACATTGGATCCAAGGAAACCGATCAGAGGGCTGAAGAAGTCTCCACCCAGTTGCAAATTACTGATTTTTGGACACCGGACAATCACTACAGGTGGTCTTCCTCAAGGTATGGTAAGCATACCTCTGCAAGTGTAGATTCCGTATATCCATCACGTCTTCTACTATGTGGGGTGGACGTTGGAGAGCTTGAGAAGCTGAGATCAAGAAAGGAAGAGTTAGAAGACTCTGTTTCAGCCCTGGAGGAAACTCATAAGCGTCTTCAAACAGAGCAAAGACTTTTGGAAGAGGAGGCAGCTAAACTTCATAAAGAAAGGGAGGAGATCATTAACGTTTCGAATCAGGAGAGGAAGAAACGCCGTGAGCTGGAATCCCGTTATCAACAAAGGAAGACGAAGCTTGAATCCCTGGAGCAAGAGGAGGACATGGATGCTTCAGTTGCTAAGCTGAATGATCAGGCGTCCAGAGCTAACCTTGACCGCTATTCATGCGCGATCAATCTCAAGAAACTACTCGTGGAGGCTGTTGATCATAAGTGGAGTTACGCCCAGAAGCATTTGGCTTCTATTGAATTGGAAAGAAAGATCAGAGAGTCAGAAGTCAATCTCAAACAGTATGAGAAACTGGCGCAGCAGACGTCCCTCAATGCTGAGTACTGTAAGAAAGAGGTTGAAGAGAAACAAGTGCAGCTAGCAGCTGCCAAGAGAAATGCAGAAGCTATCACGAAAATCACGCCTGAACTTGAAAAGGAGTTTAGGGAGATGCCTACTACGATCGAAGAACTGGAAGCGGCTATACAAGACAATCTCTCTCAAGCCAATTCGATCCTTTTCGTAAACCAGAACATTCTCCAGGAGTATGAGCATCGCCAGAGTCAGATAGAAACTATCTCTACAAAGCTCGAAGCTGACAAAAGCGACCTGACCAGGTGCATGAAAGAAATCGAGTCGCTGAAGGAGAAGTGGCTTCCAACACTGAGACGGCTTGTTGGTCAGATAAATGAAACGTTCAGCCACAACTTCCAAGAAATGGCAGTTGCAGGAGAAGTCTCATTGGATGAGCGGGGCAATGACTTTGATCAATACGGAATACATATCAAAGTGAAATTCAGGGAATCTGGGCAACTCCAGGTTCTAAGCTCTTCCCACCAATCTGGAGGAGAGCGTTCTGTGTCAACTATCCTTTACCTCGTCTCTCTTCAAGATCTCACAAACTGTCCTTTCAGGGTTGTTGATGAGATTAACCAAGGTAAAACTGCAATGCTTATAAAAACTGTCTCCAAACATCATCATTATCTATCATCAAGGTTTCTAAAATCTGGAAATGCTTATGCAGGTATGGATCCTATAAACGAAAGGAAGATGTTTCAGCAATTGGTTAGAGCTGCTAGCCAACTCAACACACCACAGTAAGTTCTCTTTCTCAAATTCCAGAAGTTAGTTCTTGTAAATCAATGTGGTGAATGGTGATGGTCGTTGCTCTTTTTGTAGGTGCTTTTTGCTGACGCCAAAGCTGTTGCCGGAGCTTGAATACAGTGAAGCGTGTAGCATTCTGAACATCATGAACGGGCCTTGGATCGAGCAGCCTTCAAAAGTTTGGAGCTTTGGTGATAGTTGGGGCAATCTCATGAGACGAACCGAAGCAAGTCAATGTTCCTGACTTCACCAGAACAACATCAAGCTATCATCATCTATTTTGGGTTTTTTGGAAGAACAAATGTATTTAAAATTTAGTATTTATGCTTTTAAACCAACCGGTGTAACCAGATTGAACCTTTAACCGGCTTAAACGTGCCTCTCGTTTTTTGGTTTACATTTTCTCCGGGAAACGAAAAAGTAAAAAACTTTTCTATCGGATAAATTCTCAAGCTTTGGTACATCTGGAAATGTCCTTAATACGCGTATGAGATAGTTTTCGATGTGATCTTCAACGTCTTCTTCTTCTCTCTTTTTTTTCTTCTGGGTTCCTTCCTTTGAACTCATCTTCCTTCAATTCACAGCTCCATTGTTCTTCAGATACCAATTTCGTCGGGGTAAAACCCAGAAATTAGAGTCGCTACTCATTTGATCGTTCCGATTATAGAGGTTTTGGATACGACCATTTTGATCTGACACCGGAATGTTGGTGAGTTTTTCCCCTGGATCGTCTTTGTCTTTTTCTAGTAGGAAGAACTGATCACCATGAGTATATACATATGTTAGTCTCTTCCTCACCACTTTTCTGTAAATACCTTATTAAGTCATATTGAGAACAAATCTCCAAGATCTTAAATGATTATGATTCTGGGAGGAATTAAGCTTTTAGGTCTGATTCATCTGTGTTTGTCATTTACTTATTTGGTCTATAAGATTGCGACATTGCCTGCTTGATCACAATGTTTGTGGATGTAGATATTTCTTAAGTTTTGGTTTAACTAAAATTAGTCTTTTCTTCAGGTTAGTTAAATGGAAAGAAAGAGAACAGATGAGAGTGAACAAGGATCAGCCCCTCCGCTTGTACCGGTTGATAGATTTGGGTTTCTGAAGCAAGAACAAGGCAATTCTCCTCAACGTTTCACCAAGACTAGATCATCTAGTAATTATGAGAAGTAAGTCTCAAATCTCAATGGAAAATGTATGTGCACAAGTGAGACACTTCTGTTGAGAATCAGTATTTGACCATGTATGCTAAATTCTGTAGGGAGGAAAGAAGAGTGACAAAATGGAGGAAGATGATTGGAGCTGGAGGTAGTGACTGGAAGCATTACGTTAGGAGAAAACCTCATGTGGTCAAAAGGCGGATCCGAAAAGGGATCCCTGATTGCTTGAGGGGTCTCGTTTGGCAATTGATCTCTGGAAGTCGAGACCTTTTGCTTATGAACCCCGGTGTTTATGTGGTAACTATAATTCCCCTTGTGTGTGTGTGTGTGTTCTGTTTTTGATTCTTATATGTTTCATTTTCTATGACTTCATGGCTTGAAAATAAAACTGATAGTTCTCTCAAATTTTCATTGTAGCAACTGGTGGTCTATGAGACGTCAGCATCAGAACTCGATATCATTCGGGATATAAATCGTACTTTCCCATCACATGTGTTCTTCCAGAAGAGACATGGACCGGGCCAAAGATCGTTATACAATGTTCTAAAAGCATACTCTGTCTATGACAGAGATGTCGGATATGTTCAGGTCTATCCATGGTTTTTTCCCCCATTTGCTCTTTATTTACACCAAGATGGTAGTGACTAAACACTCATTGTTCTAAAAAAAATTGCAGGGGATGGGTTTTGTCGCCGGTTTGTTGCTTCTTTATATGAGCGAAGAAGATGCGTTCTGGTTATTAGTTGCGTTACTCAAAGGAGCCGTTCACTCGCCAATGGAAGGATTGTATCAGGTGAGACTTTCTTTACTCTTGGAAATACTGATATTGTAGCTACTTGCCTCTTTCATGACGCGAGTTTGACAACGATAGAGCTGATTTAATTGATTGAAGGATAAGTAAGAAAATGACTTAAAGTCGAATAAAAAAATATCCTTTTCTTCATGATGAATTAGTTTATGAATGCTTTTTTTTCAAATTCTCTGTCAACTATCTTGTAGAGTTATATTCTGATTGGAATCTTCAAGATTAGCGGTTTATGATATAGTAGCTATTTGGAACATTATGCTTGTAAACAGAATCTCAATATCCTCAGCGATGGGAATGATTAGATATGATTTTTGATGATTAAAGAATCTATTTGATGTGTGTAAATGTAGGCAGGGCTTCCTCTTGTACAGAAATATCTGTCACAGTTAGAACAGTTGGTAAGAGAGCTAATGCCGAAACTAGGAGAGCATTTCACTCAAGAGATGATCAATCCGAGTATGTATGCTAGTCAATGGTTCATAACAGTCTTTTCTTATTCGTTTCCTTTCTCTTCGTCTCTAAGGATCTGGGATGTGTTTCTAGCCGAGGTAAATGAAAAATCAACATCATATAATCTCATATTTCTCTTCCTGTTCTCTCTAGTTTTGTATCATCTATTTGTTTTTTTTTTTTGTGGGTGTAGGGTGTTAATATTGTGTTCAAAGTCGGATTAGCACTGTTGAAGTATTGTCATGATGATTTGGTGAAATTGCCGTTTGAGGAACTCATGCATGCTTTGAGGAATTTCCCTGAAGATGCCATGGATCCTGATACTTTGCTTCCATTGGCTTACTCCATCAAGGTTCTCTCTCTTTCTTCACTCAATAGACTAAAAAGCTATCCAAATGGCTTGTGAAAACCCAAAAGAGATGCTTGATATTGACATTTTAGATCACACTGTATATTTTTGTTATGAAATCTCCAGGTATCAAAGCGTTTGGAAGAAATGACACAGGATAGTGACAAGGCCACAGCTAAACCGGATAAACCGGCCAACCCGGTTTAACTATAGAGTTTGATAATCTTGAGTCGAATACTGTTGATTTTTTTTTCATTTTTCCTTTTCATCATCTTGTTCAAGTCTCTTATGGAATGGAGTTGTTTCTCTCTCATTCTTTGTAAAAAAAAATGTTCAGTTCCAAGATAATCAACCCTTCGTTGCTCCAAGTCAATGTATTACTCCCTCCGTTTCACGATGTATGATATTTTAGATTTTTTGCTTGTTTCACAATGTATGATGTTTTAGAATGTTTAAGGTACTTTTGGTCAATTAATGCTAGCAAACTGCAAATTTCAAGAACTAATTATTACAAGTAGTTGAATTCTTGAATTTCTATTGGTTAAAATTTATTAAAAAGTTATTTGTGTAAGAAAACTTTGTATTAATTGTTAAACAATAAATGTTTCTTAAATTGTGTAAAAACTCTAAAACATCATACATTATGAAACAGAGGGAGTACATCTTTTCAAAGTTAAAAAATGTAATGACTAAACAGATACTTTTGGTTTCCCTAATAAGCTCAAATTTCTTTCTTTCTTTTTTTGTTAATCTTATCTTTGAATTATAGATTCGGGCACCCGTTTGAATATTTTAAAACAAAACTTGAAGACCCGCAAAACCCGTTTCCTCGATCATAGTGAATTCAAATTCGAATCTTACTCTTTCTTTAATAAACAGTGTAAATGCGAATCTTACTCTTTTCTCACTCTATAATCCGTCCTCGCTTGTCGCTTGGCCAGTCTGGTTGATTTGCTCGAGGCGGAGATAACGTTTGAGTCAAGAAACTACAACTTATTACATTGCTGTCTTTATTAACTCTTAATAAAATTGCTGCAACCTTCACTCCAAATCTCTTCTTCCTTCAAAGTTTGGGGATATTTGTTGTTGTTGTTGTAAGCCTTTGCGGTTTCTTGAATCATTTTGGATCTCGGGTGAGTTTCGTCTGATAAAATGTAAGCATCCATTACCACTAGTGATATATAATATAGCTCAACTGTCTGATGAACAAACAGTTTGTTGAGATTCAGAAGATGATGAAAGAGGTGAAGGAGGCTTTTCGTTTTGTAAATTCATCTGCCTTGTGGTACATGCTTCTTTGGACTATTTCTCTCGTTTCTTCCTACTTGCAATTGCTTAGAGCAAGGATCTTGGGCTCAAAATCTACTCCCATTTCTGCCTCCATTGATCCAAATCTTGGATCTTCAAGACCCATTTGTGTTATCACTGGTGTAAGTAAAGTAAATGTTGTGCTCTTTACTTGCAACTTGCTTAGAACAGAGGATCTTTTGCTTAAAAATTAACAATAATCGCTCGTTGAGAGCTATTTGTGTTAGTGTAACTAATATTGTGTGACTTGATTATGTAATGTTGTCATGTAAAGTAATGCCTCCATTTTCGAATGTAGATTTCTGATCATGTCTATCTGTCTATGGAGTATTGAACAGTGTTGGATTTTGATTGCAGGCTACTTCTGGACTTGGTAAGGCAACTGCATTTTCTCTTGCCGAGAAGGGTTTCCACATTGTTCTTGGTAAAAAAATTTATGATCCATTGCTTCCTAAAGAGATAATGTCTCAGTATTTGATAAATGTATATTTTTGTTACATTGGTTTCATCAAACTTAGCATTCTTATATGGTGGCTTAATGAGTTGAATCTCTCAATGACTTTTTTTTTTTATAGTTGGACGGTCCCCACAGCTTCTTTCAGAGGTTATTTACAATCCCTTTTGTTATCACTTTGTTATTTACAATTCTCTTTGACCCTTTTCTTGGCATGTCATGACAGACTTTGAAGGAAATCAAGAGCAGGAACAAAGATGCACAACTCAAAACTTTCGAAGTTGACATGTCTTCTTTTAAATCAATCTTCAAGTTCAAAAACTCTCTAGAGAAATGGCTCCCGGACTCAGAGTTACATCCTTCGATTCAGCTTCTGGTGAACAATGCTGGGATCATGGCAACTTCTAGTCGACCAACCACGGATGGTTATGATAGGTACTTCAGGTTTCATCACTCTGACCATCGAAATGGATGCGCTTAAATTTATGTTTCACTTGTCATAAATTTAGCTCATGCATTGGACTATGGATTTGATTTTTTTTTGTCTCACTCTTTGTCAGGATGATGGCTACAAACTATATAGGTCCATTCTGTTTGACCAAACTTCTTTTGCCACTTCTGAAAAACAGCTCTGTGCCTTCACGGGTCGTCAACGTTACATCTTTCACACATCGTTACGGTGAAATATGCTGTCACAATTCACAAATAGATTATAGTTATAGACCTATAAATATAATGAGAGTAAAGCCAAGTGAACCTAAAATCTTATATATTTCCTCTATGTAGCTTCTCTTCGGAAGTTTGACAAGGATTCTGTAACTGGAGTATATTTGTGGGCACTAAACAAATATCCTTATCCTCAGACCTACGAGTATTCAAAATGTAAGCCAAAACCACGCATATATAGTTATTATTTACAAATCATATACATAGTTATTATTCTTCCATGGACTGATGACTTTGTGTTCCTTGATAATATATAGTATGTCTTCTACTTTTCTCATATGAATTGCACAGACAACTTCGCCTCACAGACGATTCACACCATGTCACTGTTATGTATGCTTCCTATATTACTTATTTTGCTCTCTTTATTTTACACATCTTTTAAAGATTTATGCTTTTTTTTTTGAGTTGTGAGTTTTGGTTGTTGAGTGCAGAGCTGCAGATCCCGGATTTGCGAAAACCAATATAATGCACGAGTTTCCTTCATACGTACTTGCCATAGCGTTTCTTGGTTTCAAAATTCTTGGACTCCTCCAATCTCCACACGAAGGAGCTGAATCTTTCATCGATGCTGCTTTAGCTCCACCTGTTAAGAGAACCTTTTTTCTCTAAAAAAGCTTTTTGTTTTAGTTGTCCACTTGATCACCTGATCTGTCTTTTTTTAACAAAATTTTTGCAGGAAACATCAGGTGCTTATTATTTTGGAGGAAAAGGAAGGACCATTGAGTCATCACAAGTTTCTAGAGACTCCAAACTCGCTGAACAACTTTGGGAAACTTCTTGTGATTTGTTCAACGAATTGCACCTTCTTCATCACAACAACTAATGCATCACTCACTTGAAGATCTTTATCTATTTTGATTGTATCAAATTATCTCTGTTTTTGTTGTTAAACAAATCTGCAGATATGCAAACACATTTTAAGATTCATGTTAAATAAATAATTATACTCATGGTTTATGAATCAAGTCAGTCTCATTGATATGAGAAACTATATGATGCAAATAAATAAATAATTGATTTTGGAAAAATGCTACTCTGCGAGATTGATTTGAATTTTCTTAGATTAACTGAATTTGGCAGACCAATCTTAGAGTATGTCCAGCAGTAAGATGGAAGTATGAATATCATAACATTATTATATTACTTTAATTTAAATTTATAATTAAATATTAAATATTAAATTGTGTTACCCATACAAACAATAACACCTGTACTCTAAGTCTCACGAACGTCTTTTATAACTTATACGTCTCACCTTTTTTTACACTCTTTTTCTTCTTTTTTCACATTTTTTATTTATTTTTATTTATAAAAGATTGGTACAGATCACCGCAGGATATGCTCTTACTTTCTCTTTTGTTTACTGTTTTTTAATCGGCGTTTACTGTTTCACTAGTTCTGATCGAAAAGTGTATATTGATTGGTTACTTTTTATTTTTAACCTTTATGCTTTGCACTTTTGACCAACGGATGATTCGCGACGATAGTGACAGGGTCATTTTGGTCATTCTAGAGAAGACTAAAGTGAAAAGAGAGCATAATAAAAAAGAATTTGATTCTCTGGGCCCCACTGAAACAGAACACAGCTCACGTACTCCTCACCTGTCTGTTTCTTGAGAGTATCGAAATCTAAACGTGGCGTCTCAAACAAGACACGTGTCGATTTCGAATAATACACGTGTCGTCATTTGATTGGCTAGTATGCTTCTTCTTTTGGTAGCGTTTTTTTTTTTTTCTAATTTGGTAGCGTTTCTGTGGCTTGGCCAACCTCGTAGATCTAAATGTTATCGAAATGTGTAAATCCATTAAATTTCTTGTTTGACTAAAAATCACTTACCTAAATAAAAACGATTTTATCACTGTTATATTTTTCGTGGTCAGGAATCGTCCTGATTTAACGCTGTTATATATTTTTCTGTGGTCAGGAATCGCCGTTAGTATCGAAGCTCTGAACGTGGCTACCTCAAAAATACACGTGTCACTCTACCTTTCCTTTGATTATTTTGTTGTTTTGTGTAGCTTTAGCCGAGGCCGTAGATTTGTTTTATCAAAAAACCTAATAATATTTATTTTAAAGTTATTTGATAAATCAATTAATTAATTAGTCAACAAAAATAGCTAATTACTAGTAACAGATTTGTTGCTCATATTGTTTGTGTGGTCAGAAATCGCCGCGAATCTCGCACCAACAATCTTTCCACATAAAGAAGGCGTAAGGCTATTTTGGGCAAAACTCATAAGGGTAAATACGTAATATTGGCCGAGCCCTAATAGCCGCACAACGCATCTGGGCTGGAGGCTATATAAACAAGTCCTCTCTCCCCTTATTCTACAATATCACAAACTCGTTTTCTTTTCATCATCACCAAATCATAAGCAGAGCTCTCAGATTTAAGCTTTTCTCGAGTTTTCTCAATCACCTTAATCAGGTTGGTTCCCTTAGCCTTTAGAGATCTGTTTCATCTTGAGATTATATTCTCAGATCCTCTCTTGAGATTATCATTGTTTTGATCGATTGAGATTTTTTCGGTTTCAGGTTTCGTTCGTTTGATATCTTGGATCAAAAGGTTTTCTGGTAGAGGAGATTATAATCACCGGATCGAGATCAACATATATCTATACATGTAAGTCTCTCAACGATCTACAATTCTCGTTATCGCATCATTTAATTAGATCGCGATTCCCTTTGGTTTGATTCGATCCCTTGTTTCTCCATTGCTACGTAGTTATTCGATCATAGGTGTAGGATCTGAGTATTGGGAATTGTTCGTTGTGAGACTTGATATGATAAAATAATCTGATTTATGTGTTCGTGAGATATCTGGATTTGTTGGAATAAGAATCAGATCTTCTAAAAACATAATTTGATCGATCATTATAAGCTGGATTAAGTTGCAGAATGATGATTTAGTTATCTTTTTGCATCCCATTGGTTGGTTCTGTTGATCTAACCTTTTTACGAATTGATTTGATTTCTCTTTTGCAGAAAGAGCGTGAATGAGATTATGATGGAATCGAAAGCTGGTAATAAGAAGTCTAGCACTAGTTCCTTATTCTACGAAGCACCCCTCGGTTACAGCATTGAAGACGTTCGTCCCAACGGTGGAATCAAGAAATTCAAATCTTCTGTCTACTCTAACGTGAACCTTCTTCCATTATCATTCAAAACATCTCCAAATTTCATCACTGTAATGTTAATAACAAACTTTTTCTTTTGATTTTGATTGCAGTGCGCGAAGAGGCCTTCCTGAGTACCACTAAACTCGGATAGTCTTGATAGTTTAACTTGCTCTCTCCAATTTTAGTCTTCTTTTGTCAAAAGCTCTGGTTCCCAAACCCCCTCGTTCTCTCCTCCAAGAAGGATCTTTTCCTCTCACAACAACAACAACAATGTCTGTCTCTGCAATCGGGTTCGAAGGCTACGAGAAGCGTCTCGAAGTGACCTTCTTTGAGCCAAGTCTCTTTCTCGACACTCAAGGGAAAGGCCTCCGAGCCTTGGCCAAATCTCAGATCGACGAGATTCTCCAGCCAGCTGAGTGCACGATCGTCTCATCTCTCTCCAACGATCAGCTCGACTCTTACGTCCTCTCCGAGTCCAGCCTCTTTATCTTCCCTTACAAGATCATCATCAAGACTTGCGGGACTACAAAGCTCCTCCTCTCCATCGAGCCGCTCCTCAGGCTGGCCGGTGAGCTCTCTCTCGACGTCAAGTCTGTGCGGTACACTCGTGGAAGCTTCCTCTGCCCTGGAGGACAGCCGTTCCCACACCGCAACTTCTCTGAAGAAGTCTCTGTTCTTGATGGTCACTTCGCCAAGCTGGGGTTAAACAGCGTTGCGTACTTGATGGGCAATGACGACGAAACCAAGAAATGGCATGTCTACTCTGCTTCGTCCGCCAGGAGCTCCAACAACAAGAATGTCTACACGCTCGAGATGTGTATGACGGGTCTGGACAAAGACAAGGCGTCCGTCTTTTTCAAGAACGAGTCAGGCTCTGGTGGCTCTATGACTGATAACTCCGGGATCAGAGAGATACTTCCTCAATCCCAAATCTGCGACTTTGAGTTCGAGCCATGTGGCTACTCGATGAACAGCGTCGAAGGTGGCGCAATCTCCACCATCCATGTGACTCCGGAGGATGGATTCAGCTACGCTAGCTTTGAAGCTGTGGGATACGACTTCACCACCATGGACTTGACTCACCTTGTCTCAAAGGTGCTAACTTGCTTCGAGCCAAAGCAGTTCTCAGTAGCGGTCCACTCTAGCGTCGGACAGAAGGGTTACGACTCTGGTCTCTGTGTAGACCTGAACGATTACGGATGCAGAGAGTCGACGGTGGAGTCTCTAGGAGAAGAGAGAGGAACAGTGATGTATCAGAGGTTTGAGAAGCTGGGAAGGTATTGTGGTTCTCCGAGATCGACTTTGAAATGTGAGTGGAGCAGCAACAGTAGCTGCACTAGCGAGGACGAGAAGGAAGAGGGAATCTAAAAGCTTTTTACTTTTTTTGTCGAATAATAATGTCTTGTGGAATTGTGTTGGATCTTCCTTTTGCATAATTGCGTCTGGTCGTCTATGTGAAATCCGAATTCGGATGACCGAATGTTATGAAATATCAATTATTATGATCATTTTCATGATTTTATACATTATGATTTCTTATGTTTGGAGTAATTTTACTTGACAAAACATAAAAGGCTTAAATCTCACAAGTCCACAACAACTTTCCTTGCGTCATAGTCATAGACTCATTCTCTTAGTTCCGCAAAACTTAGTTAACTTGCACGTCTCAGCCATAGTGAATGAAGGAGAGACGAAAGAAAGATGGAAACGAGATTGAAACGACAGTGTTTTCACTGGGTAGTATTTTACATGAGTGAAACGACGTGGTTTATGTAAAGGAACATCATCGTCTACGTTTACTCTGAACTGCGAGTATCTATCATATTTTTATAGTTTAATTTACTTCATGAGAGAGCTTCTAGTCTTGTATACGTCGATATTCTAACAACGACGATTTCAAAAACAGTTGGTTTATTACATTTTCAATAATGGTTAATCATTGTGCTCGTATAAATGGCAAAAATTCCAGACTAATCTCCATATCACCATATGGTTTGAAAGTTAGTACATGTTATCAAATTGCATTTCTTTTTTTCTTTTTTTTTTAAAAGGTTTTCTTTTCTAAAACAGGTTAGAACGAGCCAAACTACACATACTGACATACACTGATACACACATAATTTTGGTTCCGTGATTTTGGTGGCTGCAAAAAAAAGAGGGTCCACTACGCATTGATTATGGGAGGGGTCGATTTTTTCCACATCCTAGATATTTAAACTTCTTCTTAGCATGGTAGTCCCTATGATTTATGAATACTAAACATACTAGCTCAATACCCATGCTTTTTTTTTTGTTGGTCAAAAAAACCCATGCTTTTTTGGATTTTGGGGATAAAACCCATACTTGGTCACCTTTTACATATATAGAACCGGTACACTGATACACATCAAGCAGATCACGTAACCAAGATTGTTACATGAGGATTGAGGTGAATGTTCATAATTTATAATTTGTAAAACTAATTTACATAATATAATCAGTATTTATTTAAAGAACTGCGAAATGGAAACGGTTCGGCATTCGGCAAATGCAAGTGTGCAACATTGAACCTGCCAAACACACAACTCGCATGCCTAACCTTTTTCCCCTTCTATTTTGCCGTGAACGGCACCATTTTTTAAATTTCATTCGCCAACATGATTCTTTAAAAAAATATAAATATAAATTATTTCTTTGAATAAAAGTTGTAAGATCACACGAACTTCTAATGTCTTCGCGAATAATAACACGAAATGTTTGCCTAACGAACAAACCCACGTTACAGAGTTATAAAAAAATAACTACAACAAAAAAATCCGAGATTACTATACATAGTTAGTTAGTTACATACCTTATCTTATATAGGATCGAGATATTTTCTCCGAGTTATCATAATAAATAAATGAAAGAAGAAAATACGGAGGCGAGAGAGAACCACATAAGAAAGAGTCTACAATAATATCAGTTCCACAAACACAAACGACACGTGAAGTATTGAGAGCCAATAAGAAGCTACCGACATAAGGCAAAACTGATGGTACCATTGAGGGTCACCCACGTGGTATCGGAGTTCACGTGGCACCACACAACCATCTCCATTTGGCTTATAAATAGAAACCATAAGCCAACATATCTTCTCATCAAATCACAAACAAAAAACACATAAACTCTCACATAAACAGAAATCTCTTTAAGAAAAATGGCAGACAACAAGCAAGCCTTCCAAGCCGGTCAGGCCGCTGGCAAAACTGAGGTCTCTTTCTTTCTTCAGACCTTAATAATGTTGTGCAACTGATTATCTTGAACCAAAACCTATCTATTTGGCTAAACCTACTCTTCCTATTTGTTTAATGTGTTTTAATTTCTATTTTCTTCCATAACTAAGTAAAATGAATTGATGACTGATATTGTGTGGACAATGGTGTGAATATACAGGAGAAGGGTAATGTGCTGATTGAGAAAACCAAGGATGCTGCTGCCGGAGCTGGAGAGACCACACAAACCGTAAGCGATCCATATACCGACCATATATATATACACACATAAAGCATATACTTCTTTTAATATACATGCAACTTATATCTCATATCTTTTATATGGTATTTGTTACTTGATATAGGCGGGACAGAAGATAGCGGAAGCCGCAGGAGGAGCTGTCAACTTCGTCAAGGAGAAGACCGGTTTGGGCAAGTAGAACGATCCCAAATTAAAACTGGGATTTATAATCTCCCTTTAATTGTTGTGGTTTTAAATAAAAGAAGGGATTCTAATTGATTCTCATCTTCATCGTAGTTCATGTTGTTGCTGTTGCTTTTTAGTGTTTTAATTCATGTCTCTCCATTTAAATGTATGGGGTTTGATGTTTATGAATGTAGTTTCCCGTTAATGAACATCTAATTTAAGTTCCAATAACTTTATCCTTGTTCTTCCTGCACTAAGCGAATTATAAAGTCACCATCTAATTTAAGAAACGTATTTGGATGGATAACTGGATTCATCGTTTAATAAACAAAGCAAAAAAAAACTAAAAAATATCCTAAATGAGGACACGACACGACAGAACATGTAAGAAGAAGTTTTACAAAGTCAATAAACAAAACAAATATAATAATTGAAGGCAATTACAATTTACAAGTTTATACTTTATAAAAGTATCCGACAGAAACTAGTAACAACAAGGAAACTAGGGGCTAAACCCGAATTGTACCAAGTTTTTAAGTTTGTTCGCAGTGTGGACCTTCTCCCTCAGTTAGCTGTGTTTGCTTTACCTCAAAAATCAAAATCCTATCTAAAACCCTAACATTTCCCAGAGCTTCGCTACAGCTTTCGTTCTTTCAAAAGGATCAAGCTTCAGATCAAATCCAGTTTACGAAACTTTTTTCTTGGTAACCCAGATCACATCAGAGATGAGATATCAACAATGGCGGTTGATGCTTCTCCGAAGCTACTACCGTCAGTCTCAATTCGCTTATCCTTGTTCTCAGTCTCAGGTAACATCCATTTCGACCCGATCTATCTCTTCTTTCCTTCACCGACGTTCTGGGATCGGATCTATGAACAAAAGCGAACAACTTGGTCCCTTAAGATCCCCAATGACGAGCTCCACAGGCCTGGTGAAATCGGTGACTCGAAGCTTCTCGTCCGAGTCTGCGATTGAAGAGAAGCCTTCTGCTGAGAGTACCGTGATCGATATCTTTAGCAGATTGAGTGGTGAGGATGAGATCAGGAAAGAGTTAGAGTCGAGTGATATCGTGATTAGCCAGGATTTAGCTTTGAAGATTCTGAGAAAGCTCGAATCAAACCCGGATGTTGCGAAAAGGTTTTTCCAGTGGATTACGGAGGCTTTTCCTGGCGAAGTTAGCTCGAAAAACTATAACATGATGCTGCGTATTCTCGGCGGTAATGGACTTGTTGATGATTTTTGGGGGTTGGTTGATGCTATGAAGAAGAAAGGTCATGGTTTATCAGCTAACGTTAGAGATAAAGTGGGTGAGAAGTTTCAGAAAGATGGATTAGAGAGTGATTTGGCGAGGCTGAAAAGCCATTTCGTTTCAGATTGTTTAGATGATTCAGCCGAGAAGATCTGCAATAGAGTGTGTAAGATTGTGATGAAGGAAGAATGGAGTGATGATGTGGAGAAACGGGTGAGAGATCTGAATTTTGAGTTTCAGAGTGATCTAGTGAAGATAATTGTGGAGAGTCTTGATGTTGAGCCCAGGAAAGCTTTGTTGTTCTTCCGGTGGGTTGATGAGTCTGGCCTCTTTAAGCATGATGAGAAAACCTATAACGCTGTGGCTAGGGTTTTGGGAAAAGAGAAGTTTCTCGACAGGTTTCAGAACGTCGTTGAGGAAATGGTGAGTGCTGGTTACGAGGTGGAGATGGAGACGTATGTTAGAGTTGCGACGAGGTTTTGCCAGAGTAAGTTGATCAAGGAAGCTGTTGACTTGTTCGAGATTGCCATGGCGGGTAGTGTTAGTAACAAGCCTACTCCACACTGCTTAGGTTTGTTGCTCAAGAAGATTGTCACTGCCAAGGTTCTTGATATGGATTTGTTTGCAAGAGCTGTGAAGGCTTATACCACAAACGGTAAGGCTTTGACGGATGCTTTGCTGAAAACTGTGTTGAAGTCCTTGAGAAGTGTGGACAGGATTGTCCAGAGCAGTGAGGTGTTGAAAGCAATGAGCGAAGGGGGCTACGTTCCAAGTAGTGATCTGCAGAGCATGATTGCGTCAGAGCTTAGTCGCAAGGGGAAGAAAGACGAAGCTGGTGAACTTGTAGAGTTTATGGAAGAATCCGGAAACAACCTGGATGACAAGGCAATGGCTTCTCTTGTGGAAGGGTATTGTGATTCCGGGGATGTTGAGGAAGCGTTGGTGAGTTTCGAGAAAATGATTGGAAAAGCTGGAGCCTCCTCTACTGATTATGCGCTTGAGAAGCTGGTTCGTGCTCACTGCAACAGGAATCAGGCAAGAGATGCGTACAAGCTTTTGAGTGCGCAGGTAAAGGAAAAGCTGCTGAAACCTCGTCACAGCACGTACAAAGTCTTGGTGAGGAATCTGTTGACGAAGAAGAATGCAAGAGAAGGTGGGTTTGAAGAAGCTTTGAGCCTTTTACCAATGATGAAAGGTCATGGGTTCCCTCCTTTCGTTGATCCTTTCGTGAGTTACTTCTCAACAACTGGAACAAGCAAGGAAGCTCTCGGTTTTCTCAAGGCTATGACCTCGAAGGATTTTCCGTCTAGCTCAGCGTTTCTTCGTGTATTCGAAACAATGATGAAGTCTGCAAGGCACAGCGAGGCGCAGGATTTACTCGCTTTGTGCCCAAACTATATCCGTAGCCATCCAAGTGTTCTTGAACTCTTCAATTCCATGAAGCTCGATGAATCTGCTGTAGAAAAGCCTTTGGCTGCTTCTGCTTAGCTCCGGTTTTAGTTTACATTCCTCCAAGTCTTTTTGTTTTGTTTCTAGGCATTTGATTCGAAAAGTTTGGCCAGAGAAAATTACATGCTGTTCTCTTTTGTTTACATGTATCACCACCATTCACCAGTTAAGTGTCTTCATCAACCTGGTGGCACTGGCAAAATAATTTCAAGGTGCTCTGTTATTTTATTTATCACATCATCTTCTGCTTCTTGGCTCTGCCACGGAAGCCCATGATTGTTCCTAAGTATTATTAGCAATATCAGTCTGTAACTCCATTTATCAGTTTCGACTTATTCTTGTACTATTGCCTATTGACCAAGTTCTTGTGTTTCACATAGCTAAGTGACTAGGTCTATGGTATCAAAATGGGTGATCCTTGAAACCTTGTTTAGTTAAGTTGGATCTTGAATATTAAATGATGCTCCAAAACCCAAAAGAAGCTTCAGTCTTGTAATCATTCATGGGCCTGAGAAATTCAGACACCTAAACTAAGCCAGCAGAAGAGAATAGAAGAGATTCAAGATTAGTTTTCATAGTCTTTGTTCTTTTGTGATCATTGATATAGAAACAGGACCACTAACACATCCACAACCACAATCGAATTGTAGTGCGGGTCTTTGTCGCGTTCTAAATCAAATTCTTTTGCTGTTGTAGATTGATCACAATCTTGCTCTGTATATGTGTACATGTTTTCAAAGCTTGCACCGTTTTCATTCTCATTGTCAAAAGCATCATCTCTGCAACTCCTTTTGATTTTTTCTGAAGAGTGTGGAGAAATAAAAGGACCGAACGAGGAGGAACAGATCGGAGAGAGAGCGACGTAGCAACATAAGGAGACAAGCTTTGATTCATGCTCTTCCAAGAAATGAGACAAAAGAGTGGAAGAAAGAAAGAAAGAGAGAGATGTGTCATCATTTCTCGATGATTAGTTGCTATTTACAAAAAGGGGACCGTTTCAAACCCTTGGATTCATCCGGCGGGTTCCTGTTTTTCTTGCAAAGCAAATGCTCTTCTTCTTTTTTTGTTGGAAAGAAAAAAGAGGAAAAAGAAGGTTAAAGCAGGTTTCACATTTCAACGCGCAGACAAAAGTTTCTATTACTTTCCCGGAAAAAAAAAAGCTAAAAAGAAGAAAAAAATTCAGTAAGCACTAAAGCACGCTTATTTACCTGCTTGCTTTGGACAAAAAATGTAGAATCAAATATCTCAAGTTAAATATTTTTTATTTTTTTTATAAAGCTCAAGTAAAATATTTTCTATAATTCTCTTCACGTTTTATCTGAATGAGTGATACACTATTTTGAACTCGTTCGGTATCTGGTGATGTGAAAACGGCGTGGCTAATGGCTACGAGTGACGAAGAAGTTTAATAGATTTGAATAGGCATAGCAGTTGGTATGTTAGGTGAATCTCGAACGCATTAAGCATATGATTCGACTGTTTAAATACAAATTGTGATATGTTTTCGAAACACAATTGTCCCAGGCATCCAAAAAGTCAAAAACAATGATCATGAGTTTGCTAAACAACAAAAAAAAGGAAAAAAAATGAGATACTGTACATAAATAATCCAAATAATCTTATGAATATTTCTTTTAGGCCCTTAACTAAAAACTTCATTTACATCTGAAATGGAATTGTAAAATATATTTTTGTAGAATTTTGATTCATCCTTTGATATTGATGCCGATATATTAGCTTTCTGATGATGTTTTGAATTTATAGCAGCATACGTACTACTAATAGCATCGTTACGAATGCCACAACTATATTGATTCTTTAAACAATTGTTCTTTTTCACTAAAAAAAAAAAAAAAAGCTAACTAAGAATGCCACGGTTTGATGCAATAATCACATAGATAAGGGAAATGATGGCAAGTTGCCTCGACGATTCACTTTCATGGACCGACAAGACATGATCATTATATTCCAATAAACCATGCAACATACAATAATTGATAGATTTTATCCAAATGGAACCCAAAATTAATTTCAAATTTTCATGATTTCAACGGATTCTAAGAAACATTATGATTTATACATTGTTTGTTATTGTCTACTTGATCACTCGTACTGAACAGTCCACTTATTTTTAAGGAATCATATAAGTATAATTCTGGGGAAATAAAAAGCTAAAAATGATTCCATATGCTTTTAAATACCGTTAAATATTTACATCCTGCCTGCACAAATGTGTTCAAGTTCACTTATTCAGTTTGCAACATTGTCATTGTTCAACGATACAAAGTGTGATATGTTCATTGTAATCCGTCTACGTTTCTCGTTATATTTGTTACACGTAACATATTGTATAGTTTTTTTTTTTTTTTTGGTAATCAAATATTGTATAGTTTTTGTTTTACTTCCAGCTTCAGTAGTTTGAATCCTTATTTTTTCGATTAACCAGCATCTAGTATATCATTTAATGTAAGAAAACCATATTACTATATCACATTCTTTTAATAGGAACTCGAGGACAATTAGGTGAGCTAAAAGACAAATACAAAACTCTAAGTGAGAAAAACACAATCTTAGACAGTTGGGTGTATAGTTTGTATTTTTATATATAAGCGTATATATATAGTGTAATGGCTGTATATAGATCACTTGCAAAAGATAAAAATAAAAGTATAAATCATATATATTCGTAGCTCTTTTTAAATATCCCATCTTGAGATATACATACTTGACCATGGAGTTTTGTGTGTGTGCTTTAGAATCATTTGTGATACCGTCATGATGTCGCACTTTCAGTAATCACAGTGAAACAGTACTATTTAAAGTTTTAACAATAGAGCGGTGAGTAGTGTGTTTTTTATAGTATGGTGGGCATTGGGAAATTGTGTAAATCTTGTAATTAGCTTTCATTAACTTGTCACCAACATATCAAACTTTAAACTAGCATAAGAAAATATGCAAAATTATAAGTAATCACGAAAAACGTGTAACAAAAGGAAAACAATCCGTGAGTATAAATAATACAACGATGGCCAATAATCTAGTATAATGTCATCAAATACTATAGATCTCCCTATACATTATTGAAGTTGAGACAGTTTAGCTCCACCACCTCAGGCATACGACTCAAGTTGGGAACCATCTTTCACTATCTGCATTCTGCACAATATTTCATGTCATTTTTTTGTTTTCTTGTAATTACTATACTACTCCAGTATTTATTAATTTTATTTTTGCTTCCTCTGAAATTCACAGAACCCATTTTCCATCAAACGTCAAATCAAAGAGAAAAGCATTAACTATTAATGATTGTTTCTCATAAATCGAGTTTTAAGAAACCGTGTCACGTGGACCAAACTATAAAAACTTGACTAGGAATGACGCTTGGGAAAGTTTATACTTGAACAGGAATATTAAATCTATCGTTCGCCACAAAATTTTAGAATACTTTTTTTTTGTTTGTTTCTTTTTGGTTTACAGGTCGGTACGATCAATGAAGACAGAAGATAACTAGCTATGATGTACGAATGTGAGTCTATTATAAACAGAACGTTGCAAACTCATTTTAATGCCTGACATTATAAAAAACAAGAGCTTAATAACATGCTTATCTTCACTAATTCAAATTAACAACATTGTTTTGTTGATCGAAATCATAACCTTTTTTTTTTTAAATCCAAAGTGAGATTCGATAACTCTTAACTTTTCACCAATTTTTAGATTTTAAAAAACCAACAAAACTTTTAACTTAAAATCAAAGTGTAAAGGGAACAATATTTGTTTTAACACCATATGTAGTACATACTTTGAACAAATGCAATTGCTTGTCATAATATAGCTGCCAACTCACACATAGACAAAACCTAGTGATAATGACGCGTAGTTTGGACAAATACTAAGGTTAATGTTTTTTATATATTTAATATCTTCGAATTTCCACTCATCGAGAAGACAAAGATACTGAAAATCGAGTGGGCAACAAAATCAATACACAAAATAAATCTTTAGCATAGTTTCATTTTTTATTTTATTTTTTTGACCAAAGGATTTTCATTCACATAATCTTCTCATCGAAGTTCCCACATTCTCAAAACATATTTAACCACAATTTTTGAGTACATGTAAACATATACATATAAAATTTAGGTTTACCAATGGAATATTGGATTCCCTTTATAACCAAGCACTCAGTCATCGGCGTGTATTTTTGGTGAAAACATAAAAATATACAGTGTTAATCATCCCTTCAAACTAAAGAACTTGTTTTCATCAAAATTAAGAGAGAAAAACGTGAAAGAATATATTTAAAAATAAAAATCTAAAAACCATGGACAAAACACATGACAGAGTGGCAGCTAGCAAAAGAACAGTATTCTAATTCCCTGTTTTACCCTCTTCAATTTTGAAATACAAATTAGATTTGTTCTACTGACTATCCTTGTCCATTGCAAGAATTATGGGCAAATATTAATATTTTTCTGTTCACATTTTTTTTTTATATAAAGTTTTTACTTTTTTAACGGTCTCCCCACACACAAGCTTTATCGACAAGCATGCTATGCACCTTCACTTTACACTACCAATGAGTCTGGTATTTCTTTTCCTTTTCACTTGTTTTCGTTTCTGACACACACAAAAATATATTTTTTAAATATATAAAGGTTATGCTTTTGGTGAAGTGGGTTCTTCTGTCCTAGAAAGCAATTTTTCTTGATGTTGAAATGTTTATACTTTAACCCAAATTTAAAAGAAGAAGAAAAAAATAGAAAGATTTGGTTATTGATTCTTCCACTCTCTCTCTCTCTCTCCATCAAATACCAAATTATCTGGAAACTGAGCACATCTTGTTTTCTGCTCATTCCTTTCTCTCTGTTTTCAACAATGGAGAGTACAATAATTGTGATGATGATAAGAAGATTTTTGGTTTATTTCTTGGGATTTTTATGCCTTCTCAGCTCTGCAAACGGATTGCTTTCTTCTAAAGGAGTTAACTTTGAAGGTAAATTCATCATAAAGTTTCAATTTTCAGTCTCACTCCTAGTTTGTATTGCTACTTGATCCAGACTAATGTGAGAATTGAAAATTCTTCAGTGCAAGCTTTGATGGACATAAAAGCTTCATTACATGATCCTCATGGTGTTCTTGAAAACTGGGATAGAGATGCTGTTGATCCTTGTAGTTGGACAATGGTCACTTGTTCTCCAGAAAACTTTGTCATTGGCCTGTGAGTTTCACATCTACAATTCATACATTTCTATATATTATATTCATGAGCAGCTAAATTCACGTGAAGAGAAAAAAAATGCTTTAATTTGATTACAGGGGCACACCTAGTCAGAATTTCTCTGGTACATTATCTCCAAGCATTACCAACTTAACAAATCTTCGGATTGTGTGAGTACTTGCTTTTTTTACTTCATCATGATAAACTTTTGAACTGTGATTATTACTTCATTACTCTGTGTTTTGTTTTGTGTGTGTTGTTGATGATTTTTTTGTCTCTTGCAGGCTGTTGCAGAACAACAACATAACAGGCAAGATTCCTTCTGAGATTGGTCGTCTTACAAAGCTTGAGACTCTTGATCTCTCTGATAACTTCTTCCGCGGTGAAATCCCTTTCTCAATAGGCTCTCTACGAAGCCTGCAATATCTGTAAGTATACAACAACAAAAAGTTGCTATAGATCTCTGTGTTGTTTTTAAGGAGTTTCTGATCTTGATTTGTTCAAAATTATGTTACATCAGGAGGCTTAACAACAATTCTCTCTCTGGAGTGTTTCCTCAGTCACTGTCAAATATGACTCGACTTGCGCTTCTGTAAGCTAAATTTACATCTTCAGTTTTACACTAAACATGTAGTGTAATGTTGAGATTTGATCTGTTTTTCTTTTTTTCATAGTGATTTATCATACAACAATCTTAGTGGTCCTGTCCCAAGATTTGCTGCAAATACCTATAGGTGATTTACTCTGTCTCAAATGTCTCACTCTCTCACACTCTCTCTCTTTATCTCTTTATTCAACTTCCATTGTTTCCCTTCTACTTACAGCATCGTTGGGAACCCTCTGGTATGTCCAACGGGTACTGAACCAGACTGTAATGGAACTACACTGATACCAATGTCTATGAACTTGAATCAAACTGGAGGTAACTAACTAACTAACTTATTACTTGGGAAAACTATATACCTTTACTAACAACTGTTTTCTTTCTTTCTTAAAGCTTCTTTATACTCCGGTAGATCAAAGAATCACAAAATGGCAATCGCAGTTGGATCCAGCGTTGGAATTTTATCATTGATCTTCATTGCTGTTGGTTTGTTTCTCTGGTGGAGACAAAGACATAACCAAAACACATTCTTTGATGTCAAAGGTTTGGTCTTTCCACAGTTTCTTACTCTGCATCGCATACAACATTCTTGAAATTTGAAAGAAACTTCCTTTATTATGTTTTCATCAGATGGGCATCATCATGAGGAAGTTTCACTTGGAAACCTAAGGAGATTCGGTTTCAGGGAGCTTCAGATTGCAACGAATAACTTCAGCAGCAAGAACTTGTTGGGGAAAGGCGGCTACGGAAATGTATACAAAGGAATACTAAACGACAGCACGGTTGTTGCCGTGAAAAGGCTTAAAGATGGGAATGCATTAGGAGGAGAGATTCAGTTTCAGACAGAAGTCGAGATGATCAGTTTAGCTGTCCATCGGAACCTCTTGAGACTCTACGGCTTCTGCATCACGCAAGCCGAGAAGCTTCTTGTTTATCCTTACATGTCTAACGGAAGCGTTGCGTCTAGAATGAAAGCAAAACCGGTTCTTGACTGGAGCATCAGGAAGAGGATAGCGATAGGAGCTGCGAGAGGGCTTGTGTATCTCCATGAGCAATGTGATCCGAAGATCATCCACCGCGATGTCAAAGCAGCGAACATACTTCTTGACGACTACTGTGAAGCTGTGGTTGGAGATTTCGGTTTGGCTAAGCTCTTGGACCATCAAGACTCTCATGTCACAACCGCGGTTAGAGGCACGGTTGGTCACATTGCTCCTGAGTATCTCTCAACCGGTCAGTCCTCTGAGAAAACCGATGTGTTCGGGTTCGGGATTCTTCTTCTTGAGCTTGTGACAGGGCAAAGAGCTCTTGAGTTTGGCAAAGCGGCGAACCAGAAAGGCGCTATGCTTGATTGGGTTAAGAAGATACATCAGGAGAAGAAACTTGAGGTGCTTGTGGATAAAGAGTTGTTGAAGAAGATGAGCTATGATGAGATTGAGTTGGATGAGATGGTGAGAGTGGCCTTGTTGTGCACACAGTATCTGCCTGGACATAGACCGAAAATGTCTGAAGTTGTTCGAATGCTTGAAGGAGATGGACTTGCAGAGAGATGGGAAGCTTCTCAGAGATCGGAGAGTGCTTCAAAATGTAGCAACAGGATCAATGAGTTCATGTCATCTTCAGATAGATACTCCGATCTTACTGATGACTCTACTTTGCTTGTGCAAGCAATGGAGCTCTCTGGTCCTAGATGAAGAGTCTATATATGAATCTGAAGTTGGAGAAGAACATGTTTCTGTTTCTTGAATCTTGAGGGATTTTTGTTTTCTCTTCCTTTTCTAGATTGTATAATATAGAGGTTTTTTGTTTGGAGTGTTTGTCTCTGTAACTGTATATAGGCTTGTTATGTAAGAAGTTATTTACTGTACTTAGAGTTAGGATTAATTCATAAGTTTTACTTCAAGTTTGGAATTTTCAAGTTTGAGAATGCAATTTGTTCTGAATATTGAGTTTCAGCTTAATCCAGCAAGAAAAAAAAACAATGTTAGCTGCAATCTACAAAATTTTGGCAGAATTTAGGAACCTTAGTTGAAATCATTTAAAACACACATATTAAAACTATCATTAATGTTTCAGCTAATGTTTCGTTTATGGTTTTTTGTCGGTTTACGTTTTTTTATTCACGAGAAAAAAGGACCAATAATGTAATTTTTCCGTTTTGGTTACCTTTATCTACATTATTTTACCTATGCTACGTTTTATTATTTTTATCTTCCATCTCCCCCATTTGCACCACATCCCTATTGCTCTCGCCGCCGCAGCTCAAGACTCTCCGGCCAACTCTAGCTAGTAAGTCTCCCTCTGTATCGTAGCTTCTCTGAACGAGCCCTCTTGTTGGTGAACTAGTAGAGCTTGTTAAGTTAGATTGGAAACAAAAATCGATTGCTTCTTATGGATACTGTTAATTCGTTGATTCACTGGATCTTCTCGATTGTGTCTATAGCAGCTGGATTTTAGGAACTAAACGTTAAGTAGAATCGAATTTTCAGTCTGAGCAAATCCACGTTTTCGATTGGGGATTTTTGTTCAGCTCCTCGCCTTTTGTCTTCCGCAGGAAAAATCCGACGATGCCTACCGTCACTGTTGGCAGAGACCTTTTGTTCGCTGCACTTGGCGAAACCTACGGTAAACCCTAAGAAACTCTTCCTTCTTCAATCCGCAACTGTAATTTTTTTGCCTCCTTGCTGATTTCGCCTCTTTTTCTTTTCAACTATGTAGAAAAGGAAGAGTTCGAGGATCTGTGTTTCCGTTTCGGTATCGAGCTTGATGAAGAGGTGAGTTGCCACTTTCTTTTGTTGCGTTTTTTCCGTGAACGTTTTGTGATTGTTTTTTTTCCTGATTAGTTTGTGCGTCTTGGTAATGTGTAGACAACTTTGAAAGCAATGATGAGGAAAGAAAAGCATATCGTAGAAGAAGCTGGTGACGACGGGGAAATACTTTACAAGATTGAAGTTCCTGCCAACAGGTGGAATCATCTGCTTTTGAATGATACTTGTTGAATAATGGATTTAGTATTCACATCTTAAACATCGCAGATACGATTTGCTATGCCTTGAAGGGATTGCTCAAGCTCTTCGCGTTTTCAACGGGAAAGAGGAGACACCGACGTATAGGCTTGCTGACATTGGCAAAGACAAGATGCTTAAAATGAATGTTAAATCAGAGGTCTGTATATATTGGCCGTGACAACAACCTTACCTTCTCAAGTTTTTTTGTTTCCCTTCGTTATTGAATTTTTGCCCTTTGCAGACATCTAAGATCCGCCCGTATGTTGTCTGTGCTGTTTTAAGAGGCATAACCTTCGATGAGGCTCGTTTCAACAGCTTCATCGATCTTCAGGATAAGCTACATCAGAATATTTGCCGGTAAGTGACATTGCCAGTTTTGCATACAATATCTGGCTTCTATGTTCACCAAACGGTCTGATATCCAATTGTTTCTTCACTGCATTTGTCAGGCGAAGAACCCTGGTCGCTATTGGAACTCATGACTTGGATACATTACAAGGCCCGTTCACATATGAGGCGAGTGTTGTACTCATTTCTACTTTTATTCTTATCTTCTACTCTTCCTATACTGATCTCGTTTCGTTTGCTGCCCATGAAATGATTATCAAACGCATATACAATCTCTTTCTTTCTATATGGGCTTTAGTGTGCCATTGATAATGTGGTATTTGCTTCTTATTTTTAGGCTTTGTCGCCAGTGGACATAAATTTTGTACCTTTGAAGCAAGTAAGTTGCCTTTCTCTGCTAACTGACATAGATATGTGATTTGATTTCTCGTTGTTTATAGCATTTGCATCATCTTGCTGATACAGATATATGATTTTAATTCTCATGTCACAATTTCTCGATTATTTTATAATAACTTCTTATTAAAGATGGTTTCCATGTTTGTTACCCTGGCTAATATTAATCTCTTGGCGCAGACTAAGAGCTTCAGGGGTGATGAACTAATGGAATTCTACAAGGTACATCATGAATGAAGATGTTTATTTTTCGAACAAGAGAAGTTCTTATTTTCTGGTTCATATGAGCCTGAATATTTAGTCTCCTGCAACCTTTCTGCAGAAGTTTCTTCGTAAAATTGTACCCTTTTCTGATGGTTGTTTTATCTCTTTCACCCTTTTTACAGTCAGATCAGCAGTTGACCAAATTTCTACACATAATTGAGAATTCACCCGTCTTCCCAGTTTTATATGACAGTAAAAGGTATTTAGTGTTCTTTCACAACAAAAGATGTGTATCATCTGAAACTAATGATGTTCACTTTTGCAGAACTGTACTGTCATTGCCACCTATTATCAATGGTGCACATTCAGCAATTAGCCTGCAGACAAAGAATGTCTTCATTGAATGTACAGCAACCGATTTGACAAAGGCCAAGATTGTTTTGAATACAATGGTAACGTGGTTAACATATCAAGATTACTGTGTTTAACGATTAATGTTTCCATGATCATTCCGCCATTCTGCTTCATTTTCCAGGTTACAGCCTTTTCCGAATTCTGTGAGAGAAAATTTGAGATTGAGCCTGTGGAGGTTACATATGACAGCGGAGAGTCATACATCTCTCCAGATTTAACTGTCTACGATATGGAAGTTCCTCTCTCTTATATCACGGCCTCAATTGGAGTCTCTTTGGAGGTGGAAAAGGTAACAAAGGCAATCACTGTGATCAAGTAGTTTTGTTACTTAATGATTAATGAACCATTCTCCTTTTTATTTCAAACTTTCTGCTAGAGGTTGCAGTGATTGGCATTTATATTAGGAGTTTTCTTTCTGGTCTGCTGTGTGTTTTCTTGAGTCTCCGTATGGAACAGTTCTATGTTTTAATCCTTCTGCTCTGTGAAATGGCATTTGTAACCTCCAGGTTACAAGTCTGCTGAACCGAATGCAGTTGCGCGCTGAGCGTTCAGAATCTAGTGATAGTGAGTGTCTTTTAAAAGTACATGTACCCCCCAGCAGAAGCGACGTGCTCCACCCCTGTGATGTTATGGAGGTAACTTGTAATAACCAAGACCTTTATATGTTGATGCATTATGAATGATTTTGTGTACAAACTAAATAGCTTGGGCTACGTTTTGCCAGGATGTCGCCATTGCCTATGGTTACGATAACATCCCTACAACAAAGCCTGCCTCGATTAAACCACTGCCTTTGAATGAGATCAGCGATCTTCTCAGAGTAGAGGTTACTAGCAGCTCCACTTGCTTCTTTTGTGTCGCATCCCGTTTTTTGTTTGTTAGCATTTGTATCTCACAGAGGTTTTATGTATTCATCTTTGGCACTTATAGATTGCGATGAATACGTACACGGAGGTTCTGACATGGATACTGTGCTCGCACAAGGAAAGCTTTGAAATGCTAAATAGAAAAGATGATGGCAAGTCAGCCGTTAAAGTTGGGAACCCAAGGGGTGCTGATTTTGAGGTGCCTCTCAAACCCCTTTCAAGTGTTTTTTTTGTTTCTCTCTTCATATACCCCATTGGACATTGCTGAAAGATCTTTGATTAAACAGGCAGTCAGATCGCGTCTCATGCCTGGAATATTGAAAACAGTTGGTTCTAACAAAGACCACCCTAAACCTATCAAGGTATAAGCAAGCCTTCCTTTCTCCAATTGCTGTATATATCTAGATGTGACGCTTCCTGATACAAACTTTGTTTCTGGTTGAAGATTTTCGAAGTAGGTGATGTGAGCTTGTTGGATGAGACGAAAGACGTCGGTGCATCCAATCGCCGCCATCTCGCTGTACTATACTGTGGTGCTACTTCCGGATTTGAGGTATATGATTGATTTCATCTCTCTTCTTTTCTTTTCTCTAACTCATCTTTTTGGCTATGGATGATGCTTAAAACTTAAAAAACTGAGGAACTTCTCTTTGTGTAATTCAAGCTTATACACGGCCTCGTCGATAGAATCATGGAAGTTATGGCGATCCCTTATGTGCCAACCGGTGAGGATACCGGATACCATGTAAAGCTCTCTCAAGTAAGATCCTCTTTTTTGGTTTGATCCTGAGTTTAATGAGTTACATACTCTGTGATTACCAAACGCAAAGGCTCTAACTGATTTTTGCTCTAATCTTGAAAGGAACCTGAGTTTCTACCTAAAATACAAGCCAGCATCGTTTGCAAAGGGAAAATTGTTGGCCACTTCGGAATCGTGCACCCTCAGGTACACTTTCTTCATCGTCTTGTTTCGATGAAAAAGCTTGGTTGGTTTTGTGATTTACATTTAGCCGATCAAAATTATGATTTCAGGTTTTGGACAACTTTGGCATCACTGATCCATGCTCTTTCGTGGAGATTAACATCGAAGCTCTCCTTTAGGTTGCTGTATCTGTGCTCAAGTCAACTATTGCAATCATGATTTTTGTTTAGTTTTTCACTGCAATACTTGGATCTAAAATGGTGTTTTCTTATTTTGTCAAGTGTGAACCATAATTTTGAATCTTTGATAATCGCTGGTTAATCTTTTAGAATGAAGAAACAAATTACTCTTCTTGGTGATTTGTTTACGTCTAGCCTGAAAAAGTTGAAACTCTTCGACACATATATACCACTTTGCAACTATATATATTCACATTTACACCTACAATCATAGAGATTTGTTCACATGGCTTCAAATCTAAGAAGTAAGAATCAGAATTACATCCACAGATGGAGTTTTGTTCGTACACACTTAGCATCGAAGTCAGATTTATAACCACAAATTATTATATACGTTTCTACGATTGTGTGTTACCTAATCAAATCAAAGAGTTGACCGAGGGAAAAACGACAGCTAATCGTATCATATTTACGTAACTACATCGGGTTGTGTCGGTGTCTCCTTTCAATAAAATAAAATATGGCTATAAAAAGAAACAAATTGGAGAGGATAAAAAATCATCTAAAAATTCGCAGAAGCAGCTTCTTCTTCTTCCAAAGCAAACAAAAAAAATGGAAATGGCGACAAGTTTCCTATATCCGCCGCCTCCGTCGATACTGCTCAATGCTATGAGCGTCGTCGGTTTAGCCGCTCTGGCGAAGATCGGCTGGTCGGAAGTGAGAGGAAACCATCTGAAATACTCCAAATTCAACAACGCATCACCATCATCATCACCAGCACAGCCACAGAAACAGCGACTCGGCAGCATCTCGAGCCGAACCGGAATGCTCTGGCTATACACACCTGCGTTTCTAGCCGCTTCGGCTTCTTTCTTCGTCTTACCTTCTGACGATCTCAGGTTTCTTCTCCTCAAATCCGCACTTGCCTTCCATTTCTTCAAACGGATCTTCGAGGTAAGAAAAACCTTAGCTTCTTCTCTCTCTCTCCAACTCCAAGTTGTGTTCATTCTCAATCATTATAAGCTTCCTCTCTTTGACGCATTTGATCGAACAGGTTCTGTTCATTCACAAGTACAGTGGAGAAATGGCTGTAGAATCAGCCATCCCCATAACCAGCAGCTATTTCTCATCCACGGCGTTGATGCTATACAGCCAAAGCTTCACGCTTGGACTCACCGAGCCAGCTTTGGATCTGAAATTCGCCGGGATTGTGATGTTCGTGGTGGGAATTGCTGGGAATTTTTACCACCATTGCTTGCTAGCGAAGCTCAGGAAAGAAGAAGGTGGTGGTGGGAAGAAAGAGTACAAGATACCAAAAGGAGGTCTCTTTGATACAATCATATGCCCTCACTATCTGTTTGAGATACTTGCGTTTTGGGGCTTCTTCATGATTTCTCAGACCATTTATTCGCTTTCTTTCGCCATGGGAACGACTTTGTATCTCGTCGGTCGGAGTTATGCTACAAGAAGATGGTATCTTTCCAAGTTCGATGACTTCCCTAAGCATGTCAAGGCTCTTATTCCCTTTGTATTCTAGATAAAATGATTAAAATCTCTATTCCACTACCATTTTTTGGCCAAGTTTTTACTTCTTGTTGTTGTTGTTGAATACTTGTTTTAGTATATCCTTGAAATCATTAATTTAATTTGGATTTTTCAGTTTATTATTTCTCTTTATATGTTCTTTGTTATATTTGTCCGTCATGGGCAAGAGTATTGGGCCATGGTACTATTGAAGCCCAAATAATACGATAAAACGGCTAGACGTTCTTGTTAGAAGTAAATAAACGGCACGCAGTTCACTTCATCTTTCGGTTTTGAAGCGGTAGTTTTCGCTCTCTATCTTCTTCTCGTTCGTTTCTCAGAAATCTGGCAACAATGGTGGCTTTGAGATTATTTTTCCTCTCCTTAATTTACTTCTTCTTCTTCTTCTTCTCTGCAGTTTCTCAGTTAACAGGTTCAGTTACATTCTCCGCAATTTTTTGAATCATTAATTTTCAGCATAATTAAACAAGTTTTTTTTTAATTTCTCAAAACGTTCCAGACCAAATCACGATGAAGAAACCTGTTCGAGTTCTCTCGAAAACACTCATCGGCGATGACGGCAGAGTCTACGCTTGCTCCGACAACAACTTCTTCTCCTTCGAGTCTAACGGTTCGATTGCTTGGTCGGTACACATGAATTTCAAATGCAACACCGATTTAGCCCCGGTTTATTCTGGTTTAGACCAGGTACGTACATAACACCATAACTGTCAAACTTTCTATGTCCTCTCTTTTCTCAAAGTGATGGTTTGTTTGCAGATGCTTGTTCTTGCAGAGAATCGGATCCTGAGAGTTGATTTCCCGAGAAACGGAACCAAATCTGAACCGGAACTGTTCTTCGATCCGGGAGAAACGATTATCGGTTTCGCGGTTAGCATATCGAGTTCGTCGGTTTACGTCACAGTCAAGGATCACGGTCTCTACGCGTATAACATGCTTCGGCAGCAACTCTGGATTGCTGAGCCTAAAACCGAACGTTTCGGTTACCGATTAGGATGTCGAAACGATTACGACAACTGTAAATTCGATTCTCGACCAGTGATTGATTCTTGCGAAGCAAGCATCTATGTAAGAAAGACCTCTCTCTTCTTCTTCTCAGTTCACACTTCATTACTTGATTGTTGCTCTCATTGATTGCTTCAGATTTCAAACAATGAAGGAGAACTCTACTCGTTATCTCTACGTGGCACTTACTACCAATGGATCCAAGATTTTAGTCTGGTGGATCGATTCTTCACCGTTACACCGGGGAATAACGGTCTAGTCTACGTTGTTTTCCCGACAAAGTCGCTCGTTTTCGCATTAGATTCGTTTTCCGGCGACATTCTATGGCAAAAAACCGTCGGTCCATTGTCAGAAACTTCTGGTTCAGGCCTTGTCATAGACTCAAACAGTTAGTTCCATTAATGAAGTGTTATTCAGATTTTTGTTTCACCTGTAAGATCAATTTTTTTATCTAACCACCTTTTTGTGTGTTTAACAGGTAGAGTATCGATTGGTTCACTAGATGGGACATTGTACTCTTTCTCAAGAACAGGAGAGCTTTATACGATACCGAAGAATGCAGAAACAGATTCAGTGATCCATGCAGATCCGTTACTCGATTGCTCAGGCAATGCTGTTTATTATTCTCAGACAAAACTAGAAGGAAAGATTGACAGAGTCATTGGTAATAATACTTATGTGTCGTCCAAGAAACCAGAAACAGCGGTCTTTTCACTTGTGGTTCCAGAGACAGGATCTATCTACTGGTCTCATAGTTATTCTGGTAAAATCCAAATCTTAATTAAGACTAGTTTCATCCTCTTAGTTTTTTTTTTTTTGTGCTTTGAAAAATGATGTTTTTTTTTTGTGTCAGATCAAATCCCGACTTTGTTATTAGACGAAGATCTGCAACATTTTGTGTTGGACGAGAGGATCGTTCTTGCGTTCGTTGCAGCCTCTAACTCTGGAAATCCATTTCGATGTCGTTCCAAACACGACAAGCTATCATCTAGCTGTTTGTTTGCAGAAGCAGAGCATCTTGATATCTACATTGGTAAACTTCAATTATAATTTCAAAGCTCTATAATTTCAATTATCTTTCTTGGATAACCATGTCTCAAGAAACTCTGTTTTTAGGTAACGAAAGAGCAATAATCTGGTTTTTACTGTTCGAGTTTGTGACCATTATCCTCTTTGCGTCTCTTGTGAGGTTCTGTTTTATATTCTGGAAGAAAAAGAAGCTTCAAGGCCGTCCCTTCAGTGCTTTCTTGGACAAGCGAGTAAGAAAACCTAGCTTGTGTAACAAGTATCTTAAACTTCATTTTGCTACTTGTGTTGTACATCAAGAATCCTGTGTTGATACTTGATAATGTTATTTTTTTTGTTTTGTAGCGTTTTCTTCACAGGAAGAGGAGGGAAATTGATAGAACGATCACGAGGCTTCAAAGTGAATCAACGGCTCATGAATTCTCTGTTGATAAAATCGGTGATTTGGTTCAAGAAAGGGAAATCGTGAAGAGGAAACTCTCTTCGACATATAGTCTTGGAAGGGACACAGATGAGTCAAAGTCGAAGTCAAAAGATTCTGTTCTTCCCTTGTATGGAGGAGGTTCTAGAAGCTTTCCTTTCAGAAATAGGGAGAACGAGAGTATCACGATTTTTCAAACACCACGCGGTGCGTCATCCTCAGACGAGAGCTCTAGGGACCTACAATATGATGATGACGTTGCTTATGATGAACATGATATAGATGACTTGAACCGTAAGCAAAAGGGAAAGTTTCTTGCTCATTCAGAGGGTTCTTCACTTCTTCTTCCAGTGATGACGATGATTCACAGTAGAAGAAGCATTGAAAAGTTGTAATATGTACAGTGAAGTAAGTTAAATGCCATTTGTAAAACCATATGTTCTCACTTTTTTCGTAAGTTGGTTGTTTTGTAATCATTTAACTTTCGAACCCAAAACTATATTATATTGAGTTATTTTAAATCTCTTGGTAATCTGATGAACTAATCGATTCGTATGTTATAATCCGTAATGAGGAAAACAATACGTAAATCATCACATAGCGTAATACTAGTTGAAAAACAACCAACGATGGGTTGAGGTATATATACAATTCGGTAGAACTAAAAGATCACAAAATAAGACCAAGACCAACGCATCAAGATCACTCTACCTAAAACCACTCTTCCCTCACAAAATCAGCCCAAATGCACAAACACAGTGACACGTGTATCATACATTTGAACTTGGCATTGTTGTAAACTTTGTTTTTTTTTTTTTTTATTATCAATCATGCCAACAAAGGAGCATGACCACACATCTTCTGATGATGTAAATCCTTCCCTTTTGTTCTTTCATGCACTTCCCCAATCTTCTGCTTATTGTTCTCTTCTTCTCCTTTGATCTCTCTGAGCTCATCATCACCCTCTCCATTTTTATTTTCAAGCTTCCAAATAACCAGTTTCATATAACAATGACGGAACAGAATTTGCAGGTGAGAAAGTTTCGATTTAATGGCAAAAAATGAGACTATTTCCGTCTCTTTAAGAGTAAGCTAAAGAGCAGAATTATTTTGGTAGTTTCAAGCTGAGAAGAAAGAAGAGAACTTGATCTGAAGGAGGAACAACTTGTGTAGGTGTGTATATATAGAGAAAACTTATGGCATGCATTATGCAAATGCATGCATGGTTTAATTAATAGTAGATATGTTTCCATCACCTAAAATGTACAATACAAAATTCTATCTAGAAAGGTGTATATTTGTATTCACCATATATAACTACAAGCAATACCAACTGTCACAGTTATATGTCTATGTAAAGAATTGATCATATACAAGTGGACTGGTCATGTTTTTCATTTAAGTATCGATGTGGAATCTTAAATAATTTGTATATACTAATATAATAGTATATACTACAAAACATAAAATCGTTGGTTGTGTTTATTAATATTATCGGATTAATTAGGCAGAAACATATTGAGAAAAAAAAATGAAAAATTGATTTCATGTGTTAGAAAAAATAACATTTGTAATAAACGGATAAAATATACTCAATGACTTGATCAAAACCAAAATATATTGGAACTTGGGCTGATTATTACTTTAAGTTTTGTCAATCAAACCAATTTATCAGACGAAGTTCATGTAAAACACAATCCCACATGTCTTTTCTCGTGTTCCACCATGCAATCAAACATAACTTGAACCTGGCCTTGCTTCAAAGTCTCCACTAGACCATACATCTTAACCTTTTTAATGTATTAGACATGTTTATCTGTTAACTAATTTAATTAATCACATTTCAAATACCAAAGCATAGAATACGGGGAACTGTTTAATCAATAGTCACCACACTAGCTCTGTTTTCCCAATGTCATGTTTCAAGAAATAATTTTTATGATTTACGGATGAAAGAATACTTAATCAGATTTTCTTTCATATGCACGAATTTGCCAGTCAAAATTGTGTGAACACATCTCAATTAGATGTTACGTCGCGGGGTCGGTTTTCTTTTTTGTAGAGATTTTTGGTGGGAATATTGTAAAGATTTTTTTTCATTCAATGCATTAATATTCTAGTTTAAATTCAAATACCCTGAGGAGTGTCAATATTCAAGAATCCATCAGACTTTTCAGAAAAGAAAAAAGCAAACATATTTTGATGAGTTACAAATATCAAAAAGGCAATGTTTTTGAAGCAGAAAAGTAACTAACCAAAGACAAGTCTTGAAATTGTGTCGTCTCCAAAGTTCACGTTCCCTCGTTTTCCAATCCACTTGTAATTTACTAATTTCTATAAATACTTGATTATACCAACAGAAAAAATTCCTAATATACTTGAAGTTATTAAACAATTTTTTTTTTATACAAATCAAGTTGAAATAAACCCTTTAACACAAAAAAAAAATCAAGTTGAAATATGAAAAGAAAAACAGTAGCAAATGAAAATGTGGAGCCAGGCGCACGTGATATTCGCGTGACGGCATGCTTACTGTTTGGCATAATCCAGACAACCTTGTTTATCTTGTCTCCTTTTACTAATATTCATGTGAATCATTTTCTTTTTTTTTGACCAATATGTGCATCATTTTCTTACTGGCATTTTGATGCTCAATAATTATTGATTAAGATGTACAAGTGAACTTGAACCTAATTTAAGTATCACTAGGCCGTATCTTGGCCTTGGATTAATCAAAGATTGTGTCCGTAATTTAAGACACTGTACGGTGCAACGCATCCAGTACAAGTTTTGACATTGTAATACTAAGTTGATTAACTAATCATTGATTATAGACTTTAAACTAGGGTGATTAGTTTCTGTTTTATGAAGCATCCGATATCTTGGTCTTAGCGATTCCATTTTTTAATTTGGACCTTCCATTTATAAACATTGATACCTATACTGAATATATTTCTCCGTTGTTATTAACTCTAGGATCTTCAATGTAAAAATCTTTTTACAGGTATATTTTTCAAAACTAAATTTTACGAATAAACTTTTTGTTTAAGATTTTCTTGATCCAGATTTTTTATGGGCCCTTCCTGAAAACTTTTGTCCGTTAAAATCTTCCTCACCTTTTCACTTTCACAGATCATATGTAAATATGTTGGCCCATTGGTTTCCCTAGTCACGTCACGTGATCATTAATAATTTACTAATAGTCAAAGTCTAGTCTCACAATCAGGCCATTATATAGGCTGAACTCTTACTTTTTGGGCTTCTATTCCTTGATGTGTAGTAGTAAATTCAATTAAATCTGATAATATATTTTCGCATTACTGAATTTTTAATTTTCCGAAATAAAATACAGTAAATGAGAATATCATCTCGAAATTAATCTCAAATCAACCTATAAAATTCAATCAATTTTCATTTTTCAAATGTTTTAAATCTTCATATATAGAGTAAAAAATAAATAAATAAATCTTCACATGGATATGTACTATCTCCTGCAATAAATCTAGGCTGATCACATTGGAAAAGCGGTTCGTAAATGTACGTCCTACTCAATAGGTAAAAAGGAGAAATTTTCATGATTAGTACTGTAAAACCCCAAAAAAGAAAAAATAGGCTAAAAATTTGAATTTCATGGGTGAAATATTTTAGAGATGAACAACAAAATAGACATAAGAAAAGACAAGAAGTGAGAATATTAGTAATAATAAAAATAGAGTTTTGGGAAAAGATAACAAGAAAGTAATCTGCAAAGAAAAGAAGAGACAAAGATTTATAAATGAATCATTTCCTTATTTCACCTGTCACTAGTGATGCCTACATTTGCATGCCTCTTCTGCTCCCACCACAATCATTAGTTTCTATTGTGGGCCTCCCATTAAGTTGCTTAACCGGTTTAAACCAAGAAAAATTAAAACTATATGGCAACCACGGATTTTATCTAACTGCAATATGCCAATATCTACTTGGAACGTTTGATTATTATTATTTTTTTTAAATCAGAATACTAAACCAATGTGATTATTATGCCAGTATGCCAATATGCCAATATGCCAATATTCTTTTCTCATATTTGGCCTAGTGAAATCTGAGTGTTTCTTGGTTTTAGTTTTCATATATGTATGTTTTATTTGATAACTTTTCACACTTGCTTGTTTTTTTTTTTTTTTTCATCACGTTGTTACAGCAACATGAAATAAAGTGGTTTATTTTTATTTTCTAATCATACTCCAAAAACATCATTGAATTAAGTGCAATTCTTTTAAAAACAAAATTATACTAGTTCGACTTGAATTTAAACATTCATGCCTTTGAGATTTAAGAGACTCACTTATTCTCAGAGTTAGTCATCTTCATCACATGTACAAAAATGATGAATGTGACATTCACATGGACATGGATATTGATTTGTGTACGACCACAAAACCACTATTTGTAGATTCTCTTTATATAGAGTCCACTCGATCACACCGCAAATTCATTTGCCTCACTATAACCAAACAAAAGAAGACCATGTTATTGAAAACAACTCTACTCTATACGCACATTACACATACATCATTTTACATTTAAAAAAAAATAAAACACACCACATTGTATATAATTCCATTTCATCCTATCCATTCTTCGCATTCTGCCAATTATTTCACCATGTGCCATCATCTATCCTTTGGTCCATCTCAATTTCAGACGTTGCCCAACAATATTTTTCGTTGGTCCATTTTGAATTTTTTTCATTATTATCACATATACGGCAATAAGCCAATAATCATTAATTGTCAAAAAGAAAGTATGAAGATTTTTATCCACTTCATTAGACAAGAAAACTCCTACTTTGCTACTAGTTTATCTACAAAATTTTATAGGTATAGCGAGTATCAGGTGTAAGTTAGGATTAACGCAACTTCTGATTATTGATAGTCAATCTGGTAGTGGTATAGTAGATTTACGTAAGAAGGTCGAATCATTATAAGATTCGAGTGAAATATTATAAAACTCAAAATATTTTGCATTAGTTTTGATAAAAATACTTCCTAATATGAACAACTCAAAATAGTTTGCATTAGTTTTCCTTTTATCCTTTTTTTTTGGTGCATAGTTTTCCTTTTATCCATCAACCAACTAAAGTGAGTATCGAACTATTTATTTATTTCTTATTTACTGTATCATGATTTCAACATTTCCTTTGATGTGAACATTATTATATTTGGTGAAATGGCATGTGGTTATTAACAACTCATAAAAGATCTTGTGTCCACCTTTCTAAAATCTGTGCCAAGTTTTTCAACTCATAAATAGTCTGTACCAGTAATACTACTGTCACACATAATTAGAACTGCTAAAATTAAATAAATAATTGAATGAAATACACAAATATTTTTCTAACAGTAGTATACATGATAATGAGTAAGTTTGACATTTCACTCAATTATCTTTTCGCTCAATAGACATTAACATATTTAATTAGTAATTCTTGTTTTAAGCCTAATGTGTCAACTTAATTGTGTTACAGTATATCTATTATCTGTGAAATGTAAAACGCAATTTCTGAGAAATATATTTTTAGATGAAATTGAACTCAAAAGTTTGAAATGAAAGAAGGACCATATTTAAATAAAAAAAAAAAAATCAACAAAACAGCAGATAATGCCAAGTGAGATTGATTCCTATAAATGGATTACAGTACCCAAGAAAAAACAAAAATGCTATACTGTAAAACTTTTTAAAAATAAAGGGCAAGCAGCCTATTTGATTAACAACCTCATACACATTCTAGTAGTATTCAAAAATTTAAATATTTTCAAAGTCAAGAGAAACGAAAGAATTTTAATAATAATACACAACATGTTTTTTTTCTTGTAAAGATAAGGAACTAAAACAATTCATTTTTTCAGAACAAAAAAAAGAACTTTATATAGGTGCTGCCTGATTGCTTCATTCTCTCCCTCCTCAGTCCTTAGCACATAGGCTTTTTGCTTTTTCAAAAAAAGAAAAAACTTTTTACAGAAGAAACATTTCGTTTCCATGGCGTTGCGAGGAGATGAGCCTGAGATTATGAACCTAAGAGAATGGGATCGAAGAGCTCGGTTTATCCGGGAAAACCCGACTTCTAGAAGGTTCTCTGCTTCATACATAGGAAGCTTCCGAGAAGATCATCACAAGTCTTTTTCTAGAACAAACTTCAACAACATCTCTAGAACAAACTTCAACAACATCTCTAGTACTGCCTCTTCTCCTGGCTACACCCTCAAAGGTTACAACATTTTTTATTTCTCTCTCTGTCGACTTAATAAGTTCATATGAATGGTTTTCTTTTGAAAATGTTTTGAATTTTCAAATCTTTTTGAAACAGAAGAGATAGACCCATCAACATATTCCTTCACCAATGCACTTAAAGGTAACTTTTCACTTTTCACCACCAATCGAAACTTTATACAAAGAACATAACGAAGGAGTGTATAAATTTTTTGTTCTGTCTTTTTTTCTTTTGTTTGTCGCAGCATTACAAGCAAAGACAATGATTAACAACAGAGAATGGTTATCACAAGAAGGGTTTGCGTTGAATTCAAAGTGGAACGAAGCAGAGAAATATATCTGCAATCCATTGTCCGGAGAAGTTCCAATGGAGTGTTTGTCCTCTAAAACATTAAGTGCAAGATCATTCAGAAACTTGACCACCATGTCTGCTCCTCTTCACTGTCCTAATCCCAATCCATTGGTGAATATTGGTCAGAACAAATCCAATAATAACCCTAACGTTAGAGTCATTCATGAGGATCTTTATTCTCCTGATCCTGTTCTTGTTCGAGGTGATTGATTTTAAATATGTCCCACTTTTCTGTTCTTGGTTAATAGTTTTCTTGATCCTTTTTTCTCAATCTTGGTTGTTTTTGATTAAGAGGAAAGTTTTGGGGATGTTTTTTTTAGCTGAAAAGAAAGTTGTGGGGCTGAAACGAGATGTGGGTATTCAGAGTACGTCGGTGGATCTAAGCTCCGGCAGTCCTAGTCCGGCAAAGACGCCTCCGATCGTTGAACGGTCGATGAAACGACACGTGGAAGCCAATGATTCCCCCGTGGATTTCAATCTCAAATTGAAAGGTCAACAAGAGGTATATATTTTCATATATAACGGTCTTGTGCAAGTTTAGCTATAATTCTTGAACTTACTCATCATTTCCAATTTACCCAAAAAAGCTGAAAAAGCCAAATTCAATTACAACATGTTAAGTTTTAATTCTTATCATTATAAAATTTGTTTGACTACTTGTATACGAAAATTAAATTAACTGTTTATGTTTTGGTACACTTATATAACTTTGAAAAAAAGAAATTACAATTAGTAATATATAATTCCCTACCATGAGGGTATAGGTCCATCAAAAGGTACGGAAATTAATAATTGCATAAATTTTTGAATTGTTCGTGCATCAATAATTAGATTCTTTCGCAAGTTAAGAGAAGCACCAAACAAATGATAGTACCAATGTTTTAAATCGTAGAAAGTGACAATGATAAAAGTCATCTACGATGGGGCTATGTTATAGGATTCATTTTAAGATTAAGATTCTTTCATAATATATAGGAAACATAGTACACATGAGTGTCAATCACAGAAACACAAAAACGTATAATCATATGCTATCACTATTTCTGTATTTCATGAACAAATCTTTCATACCCCATGTCAAGATTTTGTCTCCAAACTCACGTGACTACTATCTATATTCTTTATACATCTCCACCTATTTATATTTATACATAGATATATGCGTGCATGCTTATATGTCTTTATACATTTTTAGTCACTTTGAGGATTACCAAATAAATCATACGTGTAACATGGACATGGTTGATGGTTTATATACGTTTTTTTAAAAAATCGATAAGGCACACTAATTATTAAAATTATGATAGTCTCATTTGATTCAAACTCCACTAGTTCTAAGAAGTTTGTTTCATGTCCCCAAGTTTACATGAGATTTTACTTTTAATAAAAATATGATTTACGTTATTACAACAATTACCGATTGCTGGGCTTGGACCTGAAGCTGCATAATTTCTAAGGCTATTTCTTTAAGATATTATATGTTAATGATGAGTTATTTGTATTTTTTAAAGGATGTGAAGTTAGAGGAGAAAGATAATGAAGAAGAGGAGCAGGAGATGAGTAAAGAAGAAGAAGAAGAGAAGCAAGAGATGAGCGAAGAAGACGCACAAGAAGAAGAGATGAAGAAAACGAAGAAGAAGAAGAGAGGAAGTGGATGCTTCTCATGGGTGAGATCAAGACAAAGTCGAGCAAGAAAATCAAAGTACATCTTCCCAGTTTGTGTTCCTCATCTTGTCAAAGGTTGTTGAAAAAACCTTAAAACCAGAATAAATAGAATCAAGAAACAACATTAAAGAGTTAAAAGTGGTTGCAAGATTCTCCATTTTCCTCTTTGTTTTTCCATTTTCCATAATCATAATGATATACTATTATATTAGTCCTTTCCCTCTTCATAAAGATTCATCATTCATGGGAGTGTCCAAAAGCTTAACAATTCTATTGCTCCCTTTTCCTCTATAACAAATGCTTCTCTCTTAAGAGCCACTTTAGTGTTTTTAGTTTTTTGCTCTCCGCTCTCTTCTTCTTCATGGCTCTTCTGTTTCCTCCTGATCAAACTCCCATTCCACAATAGCTAAAGTGTGTCGGCCTCCACAAGCCACAAACTTAGCTATCCATTTTCCATCTTCTTCTTCATCCGCATGGTTAAACCGTCCTTCTGGTCGTGTAATGTTTATAGGAAGCTCCAATGGTTGTCCTGTCGTCACTTTTCTTCCATACCCCAGTCTTCCATGGTCTCCTCGACCAAACTGATCACAAGAATGGGCATAAAAGAGGTTTAGAGATTAACTTTTTTGGTTTAACCCAACAATGTTATTCCTCTCTAAGAAAACTTACCGAGAAGATTCTACCGTCTCTTGTTAAAGCGACTGAATGAGTTCCACCACAAGAGACCTGAGAAGAAACTATCTATAAGAAGCTATCAAAGTTAAGAGAAGAGAAGAGAAACTGATGGTTTAAATTTTTACCTGAATGATGTCTTGTCCAGATAATAGGTTAACTTTCTGTGGAAGCATTTTGCTGCTCTTGTCATTGTCACCAAACCCGAGCCTTCCATGTTCTCCTCTTCCCCAACCATACACCTTAATATTGATCACAACCAAGTCACAACATCTACAGTTAAGATCTACATCAAGCTTAAGAAAAACACCCAGCAATGGCTTGACCAAGAACAAAGATCCAGCTGAAGATGAAATAAACGTGAGACTACATGAGTTCTCTAATACCTCTCCTTCATCGGTTAAAGCTGTTGAATGCCATCCACCTGCAGCGATATCAACCTAACACAAGCGTTTAACAAAGGAGAAATTGTTAAGCTTCTATCGTAGACTTGGCTTTAACATAGACTTTTAAGATTAAGCATCAGAAGGTATCAAAGTGAGACCACATACCAAAGTGAGACCATCGAGGCCTTGGACTGGAATAGGAAGAGATCTTGGTTGGGTATCTCCGGTTCCAAGTTGTCCATATTCATTATTACCCCAAGCCCACAAAGTCCCGTCTTCTTTCAGAGCCAAGTTATGAAATGCTCCAACAGCAATCAGACGAACGTTTTCGAGACCCTGAACTCTTACAGGAACAGATATCTGCTTTCTGCGGTTGCAAAGAAATACAGCATTTAGTAACAACAGACAAGTAAATGCAAAAGTTATATCGATAAAAAAGAGACAAATCGGTCTAATACATGTCACCAGGAGGCCACGGTTGACCCCAAGTCCACACATAACCTTCACGCGTTAGAACCACAGAGTGAGTACCCCCTGCAGCTACCTGTAATTTTTAACCATAGAGAGCCGAGAAGAAAAAAATGGTTTAAACACAAAAAAAAAAAATCAAATCTTGAGGTGATTGCAGTTGCAGAGAGGTTAACCGTATAAAGTACCTGTCGAACTGTAAGTTTAGGGGCACAACGCTTAGGGATTACAATATCTCTCCGCAAAGGCTTCCCTGTATCATCTTTGGAAGGCTCTTCACCACATTGCCCATACTCGTTTCCCCCTAAGAGTTTCCATAGAAAAAGATGCACAATTGATCACTTTTAAGATCTTTAAGGTCACAAATCAATATATATAGAAGTTGAATGCATACCCCAAGCATATGCACGGCCTTGATCATCGACAGCCAAACAATGCCAGCCACCAATAGCTGCCTATGATCCATCCCAGAAACATCACTCCGAGTCAACAACAATGAGGAAATAGTGAAACGGAAAATAAAAATAAACTTTGGAAGTGAATGAGTTCTCACCTGTGTAATCTTAACATTGGCAAGAGACTTGACTAGACTAGGGATGCTTTCTGTTTTTGTCTCTGGTGGGTGTCCTAAGGTACCCCTTTGATTCCAACCCCATGTAAACAGCTGAGAGACCATTCAAGAGATTTCAGAAAATATAATATCAAACTGGTGACACAAAATCCAAACAAATCATAAACTACTCCATGGGAATAGAGCCAGAGACTAGTGGTCTGTTCAAGAACAACTCAAAACAACTTGGTTATTTTGTATCCCCATTCAAACGAGATTGAGAATTAGATTGGAGAAAAAGTTCATTGGTGAAATTAACCAGAAAGAGACAAACTTTAAACCCTCTTGATTGGTCATCCAAGTCTCAAAAACCCTTGCTTTCTTTTCTTTCTCAAAAATGTTCAAAGACATCATCGCCAAAGCCAACTCAAAATCATATCGCGAATCAAGCCAAAGCATTGGAGTTTTAGCAAGTTGTAAGCAAAACCCATCAAACAACAAGGAAGAGAAAGTGAATCGATAAGTTTACCTTGCCATCATCGCAAATGGCGAGGGAATTGCGGCTACCTCCGACGACGGAGCGGACAGTAAAAGGCTCAAGAGCCTCCAGGACGCAAGCCCATTCCTTCTCTTCATATGCTCCAAGTCCTAGTTGCCCGTCTTCTCCAGAGCCCCTGCAAAATAATCACACGAACGAGAGAGCACAGCTCAGAAACAGAAGTAGAGAAAACAGAGAGGTGGAGAGATGGTTAGAGGAAGCGAACGGACCAAGCTATGACGGAAGTAGCTGAAGCCATTGAGAATTTTGAGACGAAAGCGAGAGCGACAATAAGAGAGACAGAGAGAGAGAGAGAGATGAAGAGAGATAAAGAAAGTGAGTGGAAAGACAACGAAAAGCAGGGCACACTCGGTGGGATTCAATTCGAGGGATGTGTGAGTCTGTGTTGAGTCAGAAAGTTAATTTCATTATTTATTTTGGACCGGTTAATTATCACCTGCCATGTAATTAATCCAACTTTTTAGGTTATGGAGATGTACAATTTGTAAAATTGACATTTCATAGAAAATACATGAATAAAATGAAACTGTTCGTCTGTTTTTTTATCATTAATTCGTTCGTTTTAATTCCATTGATTGTAGATCATTGGTTGTTTGATTGTTTCTTATGGCTCATGTAATGCAATGCAGTGAAACCCGCAACAACATAAAAAAAAAAACAAAGTAAGAAGAAGCACACAAGAGTTTCCATGGATGGAATCAAATCCTAAAGCTACTACAAATCCATGTTTAAGGACACTAAGAGAGAATCGTTTTTTTCTTTGTTTATCTGAAAAACAAAGAACCACACCATACGTTTTTTCCAAGGACCTGGTTTCATCACTGCGACGGTGGTGGTGGTTGGGCTTGTTCCTCATCTTTCTGCACCTCTTTCGGGGCTTCCTTGATATCATCACCAGCTTCGTCCTGCGGTTAGAGATAAGACACAAGACTGTTAGTGCAAACACCCACAACAATCTTATCATTCCAAGAAATGCTAACAATGAAAAGTGCAAAGAGAGACGAAGTACATTGAGGTCAGAAGTCCAGAGGGTGAGATTGTCACGGAGAAGCTGCATGATCAATGTACTGTCCTTGTATGATTCCTCTCCCAATGTGTCTAGCTCAGAGATTGCCTCATCGAAAGCCTACCATCATCACAATCATATTTATATGCAACTGAATATTAAACCTACTTGAATCAAACTACAATCAGAAACCATATCTGCAAACCATTACTAGATCGACCATATCAAAACTAAACCCACAGGGAAGTGTAGTACACGTTTCTGCCACAGTATGAAACAAGTTCTATGAAGCAGAACAGTTGCAGAAGAAGAAGATTGTTGGCTAGTCATAGAAGACAAAAGCATAGCATATAAACCATATTCTAAATGAGAAAGTAACACAGACCTGCTTAGCGAGATTGCACGCACGATCAGATGAGTTGAGAATCTCGTAGTAGAAAACAGAGAAGTTCAGAGCAAGTCCTAGCCTGATCGGGTGAGTGGGAGCCAGCTCCGCAAGAGCAATATCCTACAACAAAAGTCAAAACAAGTCAACATCTTTTCTTAGCGCTCTATAGGTTTAAGAGCAAGAAACAAAAAACCAAGATTAAATAACCTGAGCTGACTTGTAGGCAACAAGAGTGCTCTCAGCAGATTCTTTCCTCTCAGCTCCAGTCTTGAACTCAGCGAGGTAACGATGATAGTCTCCCTTCATTTTGAGGTAGAAGACTTTGGACTCAGCCATAGACGCAGCAGGAACGAGGTGAGAGTCGAGAAGGTTCAAAATGCCGCCGCAAATCTTGTTGAGCTCGGTTTCAATCTTGCCTCTGTAGTCCTTGATGATCGAAACGTGATCGCTGTTTCCCCTGCTGTCTTCCTTCTGCTCAATGGAGGAGATGATCCTCCACGAAGCCCTCCTAGCACCAATCACGTTCTTGTAGGCAACAGACAAGAGGTTCCTCTCTTCCACGGTGAGCTCCTCGGTGTCGACGGTCTTCGCAACTTTCTCCATGAACTCAACCATCTCCTCGTAACGCTCAGCCTGCTCGGCTAACTTGGCCATGTACACATTCTCTTCCCGGGACGAATCAGAAGTCATCTTTGCAATTCTCTTTTAAACCTGCTCCAAAAAGAAGCTACATCAGGAAGACGACAATGTTGCAAAACTCTTGCATTTGCTCACAGAAGATAACAAAACAATCTCTAGCGAAATCAATCCCGGCGCCGAACAAACGGACTTTCACAAACACTACAGATCTAACCGGAAACTAACCGTACTGGGGAAAATAAGAGTAAAACTCCATAGAAAGAAGTTCGAATTCAACAGATCTCGAAGAGACAACCAAAACGCGGAAATCAACATCGTAATAACAGGAAACGGAGATTATCAGAGAGGAAAAATCAACAGTAGAAGAGGGAAAAAAAACATCGTCGAAGAATGAGCGAAGCGGGATGAGATTCTCCGTACCTGGGGATTTTCGAGTTAGGGATTGTGAGTCCAAAGCGAGAGAGACGCGAAATGAGTGAAGTGAGAAGAAATTGGGGAGACAGACGTGAGAGCATTAAATTGGAAGAGAGTGAAATCAGCAAAGAGATAGAGGGAGGAAAATAACTGCCAATGAAAATTCGACACGTGTTTCCTGTTGACCGGCTTACGACTTATTTCTCGTAATTTCAACTTAGGTGGGTGAAACTAGTGAATCATAAGTGACGAGGTTATTTTAAGAGAAATCAAAATAATAGGGGGGAAAATGGCAATTAAAGGTGAGTTTCCAGACTTTCACTGACGGATCTACCCTTTGCCCTGAACCCTTTCAGTCATTGATCGATTCGATCGGAGAAGTCCGGGAAAGCACAAAGGTCCGTCAATGGGGGGAAGTTATGTGGAGCAAGCTCGTGAGAATCACGTCAAGAAGAAGGTCGAAGAAGGTAAACAATGTCGCGACTTCTTCATCCTGCTATGCTTTTAAACTCTTAAACCCCCAAAATGGTCCTTAATTGCCTCCAAAATGGGATAAACCACACACACACACACACACAAAATTGCAGTCAATCATAGACGCAGATTCTTCTTGATCTCTCAAACCCTTAGTTTGAATTGAGCTCACCAATCCTCGGAGAGTTATAGATTGAGGATTATAGTTTCCTTAAACCCTTCGAATTAACCCCTTCTCCCTTTCATCCGAGCTAGTTTGATCTCGTAGCTCTCATAGACTATGTTGAATTGATCTCTGAATTGAGCTAAGAGATTTTTAATGGTGATGGGGGTTTTTGTTGGAAGAATGAAGATTGTTTGATTGATTGATTTGTGTAACTTGTTGATAGCTCTGCGTAGCAAGATGAAGGCAAAAGCATTAAGCGAATGTGACGAGTTCGTTTCCAAGTATGCTGAATGCGCAACAGGAAGAACATTTTCTGTGGTATGGACATGTCGTAAGCAAGCTAAGGAGCTCAACACTTGCCTCCATGAATTGTAAGTCTTTACCTTTGCGTGCTCCTTCGATTAAAATTTTCATCTTCTTTGCACTCTTAGATACATACATGTGTTTAGATCATTCACTTATGGAGCATCGGCTTTTGGTTTATGCTTTTCTTAGTCCTTCACGGGTATTGATGAAATGATATGTGGTTAGGACTTAGGAGATGCATTATTTGTGTTACTGTGATAACTTTATTCGCGTTTGGAGTTGAAAGAGATGAAAAAACCATGTTCTCTAATGGTGTTTGATGGTGTAACATGGTCAACGTCATGGTGTTTCTCTGCGACACTGAGATCGGATCAATGCTTTAATGTCTCTTTTGTTGATTCTGCAGCACTAATGACGATGTCTTGGAGAAAATGAAGAAAGAGTACATGCTTCAAGAAGAGGGCAAAGTCTCGGCGTCGACCATTTAAGCTTTTGTCTGACAAAAGATATGAGTATTATTATCATCGCTTTTGTCTTATTTCTTGTTTATTATGGACAAATAGATCCTTTTATAACTTCACTTTAGCCTTTCGTTAATAAGGGTTACAGAAAAGTAATTGATTTTGTATTCTCAGTTTGCAAAAGTCCAGTAAATCTAGAGATTAGATTCAAAGATGATTCTCATTACCAAAAACATAGGTTTCACACAACTTTCAGGATTAAGCCAAAAAAACAAAAACTTGAGATGCTTGGAACGAAGAAAGCAAGTAAAAAGGGAAAGACTTCAAGCAGTAGGCTTCCTCATATTCCTTCCTGCACGAATCACTTCGTCCACCAAAAGTAACTGCGACGCAATCACTGGCCTGCAACACAAACAAATAGTCGTTGTTAAAATGGCTTGAACCGATACCCACAACTTTATTATTAAACTTGGCTCGTTGGTTTTAACATTACCCTGAATTGATAAGTTGGCGTTTGACCGAGTAATTGTCAAAAATACCAGCGAGCTGCGGGTCAATTGGTTCACCGTCCTGAAGGTTCAATCCCACGACGTTTCCTTTCTCATGCTCGCTCTGCATAACCGGCACGCATCACATTGAGCATTCTAATTATCGTAGTTTACACAATATTGATTTCAGTTTACGCAGATAGAGAGAAATGCATACCGTAAGAGAGATGATCACGTCTTGTGTATCAAGACCTGCATTTTCTGCAAGTGTCTTAGGCACCACGAGCAGGGCATTTGCAAAAGCTTCAACACCAAGTTGGGCACGCTGTAACATTTGATGACAGCATTAGCGATCTTAAAAATTCTATGTACATTATATAATGTTACGATAATTAGGAGTTTGAGTGACGTTATTATTTACCCCTTCAACGGTTTTCTTGACTTCGTTGATTAAGTGATGTCTTGCTGCAACTTCAAACGCTCCTGCTCCCTATAAAAAGATGCAACAGTGCATAAACATAACGCAGAAAATATACATCCTTACTTTTTCACAAAATAATTCAAGATATAGTAGGTACTTACTAACACAACACACTCGTCTTCTAAGGTGTTCTTGACCGATCTTAGACCATCACGAACAGCGTCCTTAATTTGAGCAATGGTGTGGTCATTAGGCCCTACCAAAACCAACCAATAAATCATGAATGGCCACCAAAGTGAATACAAGAGTAAATGAACCTTGATAACTTAATGAAGAGATAGAAGATGGCCTAATACCTTTTATGAGAATGGTACATGAATAAGGATTCTTCACTTGCTCCACAAATGTGTACTTTTCCTCCCCAAGAACGTGCTCATAGACAAGTCCAGCCCATCCAAGCGACTCAGGGGTCAAGTCGTCGACTGAATTCACAGCTTCTCCACCACATGCCAAAACTAAACGTTCCATGTTCCTCCTCTTTGCTCTTCTAAGGGCAATAATCTGGATACATAATGAAAGGTAATTAGCTTCAACAGCCTCTAAATAAGGTGCGAAAGAAGCGACATTAGTGTGGACGCAAGAAATTACAGAAGAAGTTATAGCTTACCCCTTCTCTAGCAAGAAGATCCAATGACGGTGGGTCAATACCCTTTTGATTTATGATAACAAAGTTATTATCATTATCAGCACACACCTGCACAAGAAATAAAACAATATCAATTTTTACAGAAATTCAAAATACGGCTGGGTATAAATGGTCTCAGTCTCACCTTGTTCTTCAGCTCAATAATTTTCTTAACTCTTTCATCAACAGATCGCCTCTCGGCAATAACCATCGCTTCCCTCTGCTCCGCATTAGAGTAGAAAAACCCTGCATTAATTTCGCTGTAGATAAATAGAAATATTAGTCTACATCACCAGCAACATCTAGACTCTACTGGTCTTATGTCTCTTCGCAGAATAATCAAAGAACTATATCACACACCTCTTCTCATACTCCAGCGACACATTGCAAGTTAGGATGTGGCAATTCTCTGCGCGTCGTTTCATATCAGGGTGTCTCGAACCATGATCTAGAACAAGCCCTTCAACCTAAATCAGGAATGAATCAATATAGTACTTGCAACAGGTCCAAAACTATGAAATCGTTTAACTATAACCAGCAATAAAAAAATTTATTCCATACAAGCAAGTATTTACAACTTCTAAAACTATGAAAACATTACGAGGGGAAAAAATTGTGACAAACCACACATGTCAAAGACATACCAATCGTGTGTCAACATCAAATTTGTGGCGCATGTGCATTATCTCCACCATAAACAGATCAATACCTTCTTCAGGTTTCCGGATGCAGAGAACCTGTATTGAGCGGAAAGAAGATAATTAGTATACAAACAAGCTTGAAAACCAATATTTGGGCAGAGATGAGTCCTCATCTGTGTGAGAAAAAATGAAAAGCATTAATAAATCTCCACTAGATATCAGTTAACTCACTGAATTAACGACGATGTCAGTAAGTTGATCAGCCAGGCCTTCGTACAACTACACAAGCACAAGAATAAATCAACATTAGAAAGTGAAAAGAAGAATCAAACAAAATGAAAAAGAGATAATTCATAAAATTAAGAAGACCTTTGTTCTAAGTGTCGTTCTTGCAACCATTTTTAGGATCTCTTTATCAGCTTCTTCACCCATAACCACAGGGGTCTTGAAGTTCTCAAGAAACTGAAGAGTAGCTCTCTTAGCAATCTCAAAACCATCAACTAAGACACGTGGATGCATTCCTGATAAACATATAATCCTTCATCAGGACTTTTTTCTTACTACGCTATTGGATACCAGTTTATAGTGTGGCACAGTTGTAATTTTTCTGGATTTAATTAAAACAAAACTTGGCACATCAAAGTCGCTAAAGGTAAACCTTAGAGACTCACCTTCATCAATGCAGCGCTCGGACTGTTTCATGAGCTCGCCAATGAAGATGACAGTGGAAGTAGTACCATCGCCACTTATATCATCCTGTGCAACAGCTGTCCTTGCAATCATAATGGCTGTTGGATTCTGAATTTGCTGCAAACATTATGAATTGAACATGTAAGCATCATCGAATCAGGAGAAACTGTAAAAAAGCAATAGCAGTAACGCTTTCCTCTTTCTTCTCTATCACAATGCTGACAAACACTTTTACCTAATCAGAATAAACCTACATTGACTATGTGAAATTCAATCATTCCCAATTTAATTAATCCGGCAGAAATTTGGCTACATGTACTCAATCAAATCATGCTTATGAACACCCTTCACCACTAAAAAGCAATACAGACCTCGATTCGTACAGATCAATAGGAATAGGATCTAGATTCGTTTATTTAAGACTCACCATTTCTTTCAACAGCGTGTTCCCATCCTTGGTAAGCTTAATATCCCCAGAACCACCAACAAGCCTACATCCAGTGAGCAAATAAATCAGAAAATAGACAAAAAAAAAAGAAAGAATTAGATAATATCCGGAAAACGAAGATGATGAACAGTATAAAAACAGATCAGAGAAATCAGAAGAGACGATACATTTTGATTGTTCCCGTAGGACCGAGATTCGACTTAAGTACATCCTGCAAACCCTTGGCGGCGTTGATGGTCATATGAAGCGCGGCGGAGTTGTTGAGAACCTCGGCATTTGGATTCAGAACTCGCACTGACATTTTCGATCACTTTCGCGTTCGTACGGATACAGAGCAGAAGAGTGAGCGAAAGAGCTTTTATTAGGGCTTTCTGGGTTTTAAAATTTTGGTGTGAGAAATGAGGAAAAGAGAAAGTTCTGAATTCTCAACGATAGTGGAGACGCTAACTCGTCGAGAGACTTTAAGTTTATGTAAATTACAAAATTTACCCCTCACTATTTAGTTTTTACAATTTGAGCGATGTTTTATTAGAAAGTTCTACAAGGCCAAACAACATTTTTAGCCAAAGAAAAGTGGGCTTAATAGTAAGTTTAGAGCTAATTTGTTCCAAAATAATGAATGGGTTAAGATTTTTTAAAGTTGTTTTATTTATCAAGTAATTTATGTAAACTGAGTGTTTGGTAATTGGTACATCCTTTGTTATCAAAAGTTAATTGAGATAGTATGTTTCGATCCATTAGAAAATGTCTCTGTCACGGAAACAAAGCTATCCAAGTCAACTATAAGAACATTATTGAAGTGCAAGAAAACGGAAAAGTAGATTCGAACTTTTGATTTCTCTTACAAAAAGAAAGTCGCAGCAACAAATCTAAAATTCTCAAAATTTGTTTCATAGCAAGATTTGTTTTGTAAACATTGGAAACAATAATCGTAAAATACAAGTCCATCCATCGTAACACGAACCAAAAGCTTATATAATTATATCACAACTATATATATGATTTATCCAAGTACAACAGGAGGAGGAATCGTACTACTAATATCTATACTAATCACATCCATTGAAAAACACTACAAAATTAACTTACTTAGATAACGTCTTAGTAACTAACAAATCCATAAAGCATAACAGATGAGACGAATATCAAAGGTTGCAAAAGTTTTAGGTAATTTATAATGGATGTATGAAGTTGTGAAGACGACACATCATGTCGTGGATTCGATCACGTGCCACCGGAGAGTTGTCGAGAATATGAAAAGCGTGACCAACTCCTCCATGAACAATACCTTCAACTCTCTTCCCATGGCTTCTCATCACTTTACACATCTCCACGTTCCTATCTTTCAATATATCAAGCTCCGCCATAAACATCATCGTCGTCGGTAACTTCGCTGCTCGGAGAAAACCCGCCGATGAGCTGACCAGAGGGTTACACCAAGGATGGTCCCTGTTCGCGCCACGTGGCAGAGCCAAACGCCAGTACGTGTCGGAAGCGGACAGAGTCAAAGCCGATGACTTGGAGTGATGCTGTTGCTGTCTCTCCGAGGACGTTCTTGATTCGCCGCCGAAGAAAGGGTGGATTAGAATAACGCCCTTTAGGTTTAAGGTATTTACGGATTTGTCACCGGCGGTGATTCTCACGGCGACTTGGTAAGCTATGTTGGCTCCGGCGCTATCTCCGCCCAAGAAAACGTTTGAGAGATTACATTTGCTCACCCAAGAATATCCTCCGTTGGATATTTGTTGCTTCATTAACCACGAGACAACGTTGACGCCGTCGTCGTACGCCGCCGGGAGCCGGTGTTCAGGGGCTAAACGGTAATTAACCGAAACGACGACGCAACGGGCTTTAACCGCGAGACTAGTCAAGAAGTCGTGGTAGCAACTCCAAGCGGCGGAGCCAACGCAGAAACCACCGCCGTGGAAGTAAACGAGGAGAGGGAGAGTAACGGAGGCGTCGGGTATGTAGACGCGTGCTGACGTGTCGTTGGAGAGTTTGATGTCAAAGGCTGTGACTTTAGCAGATGGGTGGACGGAGGCTGAGACGGTGGGGACTATGGGAGGTCTCTCCACGCAACCGTCGTTGAAAACTTTGATGAGTCCATCGATTTCTTCTACCACGGGGCCGTGACGGTGGTGATGGGATACACCACGGCGGTTGTCGGAGGATTGGTGGTTGTGAGAGAATGAAATTGCTGCCATTGGATCTCTTTTGTTCTTTTTTCTTTAGAAGAAGAAGTGTAGTGCTGGTTTGAGTAAGATACAATGAGATGTGATTCATTCAAGTTCTTTATATAGAGAAAGTTTGTATTATACTGTACAGTACTTGTAAAATACCCGTTTTTTTATTTTTGTTATTTAGAATCTATGCTAAATTCTATACTGTATGAGGATAAGAGATCCATATGACGAAGATCATGCAAGTGGGTGAATCTTTACTTCACCTCTCTTGTTTTTTCTTTTTCATTTTTTGTCAACTACGAATCAGTATTCATTTTTTCCTTTGGCAACACCACACGCATTTTATCCGGCATAAATTGAGTGGTGACACAGTAACGACGCTAATACAACCGGTGTTTGTTTTTTGAATACGAATATAAGATATCTGAAGATCAAATTTTGTTTTATTTATGTTCATATAGTTTTAGAGTCTAGTTTATACAAAACCTCCTGTCCTGATCTATGATAAACTGATACAAAATTCAGGACCATAAACCATATCATAGTTAACGTGTGAAACGAATAACATTACAAAAAGAAATTAAATTTCACGTGGGAAATTTTCATACTAAAAGGAATATTACCGTTCAGAGAATTATGCTTACTGTACATGAAACACATATAGAAGAGTTATCCTAAAAGAATAATACTATAGAGTCAGTCGTGGACCTCGTGGTATTATGAATAGTTAGATGATTGTAAGTTGAGTTTCAGTTGATTTGATCCCCAAGCAACTCGTGTTGTTCCATCACTTCTTATTTGTATCATCACAAAGTGGAACTCAAACTATCGTTAATTTGTCCTATCCGAACATCTCTGTTTTTTTTGGATTTTTATATCATTATCTACACAATTATCCAATAACCAAAAGACAAATGGATAATATTAAACAGAAAACTTAAATCATTCTGAAACTGTAATCATTCTTTCCTTTTTGTGAACCAATTGTTCTTCTTCTTAACAGCTCCATCTGTAAACCAGTAGATTACCAACTTCAATCGAGGGCGTATAGTTATCGCTCTTTTAACCATTTTGAGATGCATAGTTCGCTATACCCACACAGAAAGTCAAAAAGCTTTCAGAAGCCACGTAAAAAAACAATGATTCGGCTCTTTAATTTTCTAAATAGAAGAAGAAATGTATAGTTATATCATATGCATGCATAATAACAATGTGGAAGTCTTTTTTTTCTTTATGAAAAAGGTGAATAACTAAACAGAGGTAGAGAAGTCAAAAGAACATAAAGTCGGCAAAGAAGTCAAAAGAACATACAATTCACAAATCTTCTAAAATTCTTTTGATATATTCCTCCCCCGAATGTTCTCTAGATACATTTTTGTAATTGGTTTATATTATCATTGGTAAGTTGTTTGTTCATTGAACACAAATATTAACACTAACCTTCCAAGTGCAAGATAGAATATTTACATTACATATGATCGAAGAGGGATTCGATTAGGTTAGATCAAAGATGAAGTATATGATAGTATTTACAACTTACGTACAATACTGCATGTAATTTGAGGTGAACGAAATAAGCTAATTCGAGTGTTGCGTTTTATTAGCTGCATGATCCTGTTTGGCTAGCTAAATTAAGGCATCAACTCAACCGTGTGGAAAAATCTTTTGAGAAGTTTCGTAATATTCGAGCTTTTCTTATATTCTCTTTGAAGGCACAAAATGGATTTTTCATATCAAAGAATATTTACTTCTGTTATTCTTCACCCCTATCAAAATGGATTTTTTTTCTCTCTCAAAAAACACACAAACGGCATGTAGATTAATAAAGCAGAAAGAAATTTGATTGGAAAAATTAATATATTTATAGATTGCTTTGTCTTGTAGCCAAAATTTTATACTAGCTAAAGAGATAATTCTTCAATGATAGAAATGTTTTTATTGATCGAGATCAAATGTCTTTTCTTTTATTTTAGCCAGTACAAGTTCATATGAAAGCTGCAAGCATCAGACAAAATCGTAGTGTTTTTGGAAATCATTTTTGTAACGGAAGGTAGTAGATACACATCAATCATCTCAACTGTGTGGGAAAAAAAAAACAAAAGTAACCACAACAAGACATTTGATTCTCGTTTGGAAAAAAAATAACATAACCATTATGACTTCCCCTCAAAACAAAAAGAGAAAAATAAGAGACAGGGCCAAATTAGAGAGTTTGGTAGTGGAATTGTTACTGCTGAAACTCGTGCTCGTCCATGTGTTCGAGAAGGTAGATTGCAGCCGAGTCTTCATTCTTGTCGCAGAGGAAAAACACCCACAACACAACACTTCTCTTGAAACCAATTGCTTCAAGCTGCATTAAGCAAAACAAATAATAAATCACAAATTTATAACTAGTAACGAATCAAATGAAGTCGAAGTTATATATTATAAGTTTAAAAGGAAAGAGAGACAAACCCGTTTGATTGATTCAAACTCCTCAGGTGTGAGTGTGGCTACGCGTTTAAATTCCTGGTCCATTTCGTTGTCACTGATCAATCACACCAAAACAAAAACAAGAAAACGTTAAACCAAAAGAAAGCTTAATTTGCTCAAATCATATCACATCATCTTTATCGTAAACTTTATACCCATCTCTTCCTTGGTTGAGTTTCTTGATTCGAGAAAATGGGAGGTCGTCGATGCGACATCGGCGTTCCTGAGGCTGTGCCATTTGCTTCCCACTGGAAAATTTACACACACACACACAAAGTTAGCCAAAAGCTTTCATTTTGTCTTTGTTTCTGAATCATAGAGTAAGGCAATTTGTAACATACACTGCTCTTCCTTGAAGGGGATTTCCCAATAGCATGCGTCCGAGGTCATCTTGGTTGTCCTTAATCATATGATACAATGCCGGGTTTTGTTTCCTCATCTCCATTAGTATTCCCTGCACCAAAATTCACCATTAAGTCTTCAACAAAAAAAAAAAAAAAAAAAAAAAAGCTCAACAATCGTTTCCATTTTGTTGTTGGCTTTACCTTTAGGAGAGGAGGGTTTGATCTCACCAAACGTCTCAGAAACTGGAACTAATTGACACAATAAAACACTTAACTAGACATCCACCGAATTACTATTTAAATTAATAAAAGAAAAAACTAAAGACAAATTCGAAACAGCTCAATACCTGCTCGATGTGGCGCAGAAACTCAAGCGACCCATCATTTGGCAGGCCCTATTGTTTATCACCAAAATCACTTTTTTATTAGTCACAAACACTCACATGCACACGTCAAGTTTACGATCAACATTGCACCAAAAAAAAAAAAAAGTTTACGATCAACAACTCAACAAGTGTATAATCACCTCAGGCAAGTAAAAAAACCCCTTGTGGACTGCTTCTGGAGGAGTTTCACGTACTCGAGTGACTGAAGACGAAGGAGGGGCCGTTGCCTTAGCCTAATTATATCAATCTCAACAAGTTGTAACAAAATACACATGCAATCGTTACAAGAATCTCATCTTAATAAATTGGAAAAAATGAAACAACTCACTCACCTGAGATTTACGGCCAGAAGAAGATGCAGATGCAGTTGACTTTCCAAGAAATGCAGCTTTATTCTACATATTATTTTCCCGCCAGAGCAAAGATCAGTAAGCTAAACTCTAATCAAACATTACAATTAACTTCCACAATTACTAAAGCCAAAACATACCTTCATAATGACAATAACACTTTTCTCGGAAACGTTGTTAGCCTCCATTGTTGTTGTTTCATCTTTAAGCACTTTCCCTTTATGAATTAGCACCTGTTCTTCAGCAGGATATGCTTCTCCCAGCATAGTCTCTATGATCTCCTTCACATCACCAACCTAACCAATTTTACATAGCCATTAGTTCTTGAAAACCAAAAGAGCACACATAGTTAAAAGAAACGTGAATACAGAAGAGAATCGTGAATCCAAGCATTATGATTATGAAAGAAACGAAAACGAAGCAAATCGTTGTCGCGTTATCTCGTTTAATATCAAGTCAAGAATCGTCAATCTAAGTTTCTACCAAATGCGTTTCTGCGTAAACAGTAACTAACTTCCAGATCAAGAAATGGATGATTAATCATAACAGAGAGAACTTTTAATCGCTGCCATATCAAGAATCAGTGACTAAACGTAACGAGCAAGAAATCGACCAAGCTACATCTCCAGATATGAAATTCGACTATTACTATATGAACGACAAAGTGAGAATTGATCCGTACCGTATGCTCGGGTTTAACTTGGATCTTGAAGCGAATCCCCTTCAAAGTTTTGATAATTATCTTCATCTTCTTTCACCGATGGAAGAAAAAGAGAAACGATTCTAGCTCCAGCAACCGATTCGCCGGCGAGGATGTTCTCCGATCGATCACCGCCGGTAACAAACTTCCGAACAGAACAGAGTTTAGAGAGCAAAGGAAGCGCGAATATTTTATGAGACGAGAAAGATGAAGAAAACGCGCCACAATTGATATAGTCTTTACTCTTCCACACTTGATAAATCCAATACCAGTTTGACACGTGTTATCTGATAACTGAATTAACCCACTTTCTAACGTCTTCTCTTATTGGGCCTATATCTCTCACTATCTTAAGCCCATGATACTCATTCTTTTACGTACTGTACAAGAAAGAGTTACTCATAGAAGAGAGGTGGAAACGTAACTAACGGAAGATGAAAGAAAGTTAAACAAACTTTCAGCTGCGATACTGACTAGAGCCTTGAAATTAAATTTAGGATAACTCAGTTTGATAAACTCTTGAAATTGACTATTTCATAACAACATCTTTGTAATTGGCTAGTTCATGAGAATGCATCTAATTCGATTCATGAAAATGCATCTACTTCGCAAAGTAATTTGTGTACTAACACCTCTTTGTGGATATAAATGTCCACTACTAATATGCGAACTATGATGATATCAAGAGTTGTTCTCCTGTTTATATGTAATGGTTATGTCAATTATCGTTTTCCTTCAAAATTAAACCTATTTCTATGAAGAAGTAAAACTGTTCCCATTGGGGGACAAATGGTTTGAGATTGTTAAAACTTAAAAGCATAAACAAACTTCTTCAGTTACTTGTATAACCAGATGTAATTAAGATAAAAACGTATCGAATCTTTCAGTTTTATTCTTTCCATGAGTATTGTCACCGCCTTCAAATAAAGAGAAAAACACAACTCTTTTGTTCGAAAACAATAAAAATCACTTGTATCTTCTTAGCGCTTCGCTACAGATCTCGTTGATTTCTTTCTCAAGTTTTGCTATCTCCTCTTCTGCATGCTTCCTAATCTTTTCATTCTTTGTATTGCTCAACGCGTTCTTCAATGTTGAGATCTTTTTCAGCATGCTTTTTATCTACAAAAATCAAATTGAAAGATAAATTAGCTAAAATAACAAACGATGCCAAAAAAAAACTAGAATAAGGTATTGTACTTTATCGTCATTGAAGACGGTGTTAAGCAATACAAAAGTGAATTGATTCAATTACCTTACGGTGTGGCCATCTTGGCAAGCCTCCCTTGCGACAAATCTTCTTCATAACCGTAGGACAAAGACTCAATCTACGAGCAGCTTCTTCGATTGGAAGATGAAAATAGTGACCAACATCCTTCAGAGTCATCTTTCCGGTCCGCTCCCTCTGTTCTTGTACGTAGAACATGATTCACAAAACCGAACATCAGTGACTTACATCAATAAAAATGGTTTCTTATAGCACAAAGCCATGTTTCCTAATCTAGATCCCAACCCTAACGAGATCACTAACATCTTTTCTCTATCCAGGCAAGTATTTATGTTTCTTTAACCTATAATATCCGTTATTATTCCTCTATACAAAGAGCAAATCAATGTTTCTAACCTATGATGTAACTAAATGTTTATAAATTGAGATAAGAGTAAGAAACAAGACCTGTTTAGCGAGAGGGGTTTTTCTCTTTTCCCTTTCTTTCAACGAAGCAGTTGGTGCATTTCTCAGCCCAACATATTGCGGCACAGGTGGGACATTAAGAGCTTCATCTGGCCTAGTCAAGGACATTGGAACATCACCGCGCGATGGCAAAGACGGCATAGGCGGCTGGTTGCTTGTATAACAAGCATTCAATGCTTGATAGAATTCAGCATTGCTATCTTGCACAACTACAAATCCGTCTTCTTGTCTCGCCAAGCAATAAGTTTCTATAAACTTTCTCACTTCCTCCATCGTTAAACCGGTCAAGTGAATTGTTTGGTGTCGAGGTTCTAGAGAATCAACGAATAGTCGAGTCTCGAGAACCGCATGGCAGAAAGATCCAATACCTCCGTATAATTCAAGTCTCATCATCTCATTACCTAATATAACCAACCAAAAAACGATTAGATATTGCACCAAACACATTAGTTATATTAACGATAAGTAAATAATTTATACCATTGGCATGGACTAATGATCGAAGGATGTTGCAACAGTTGCATAAGAGTATTCCTCCGGTTATCGGCGGTGTAATAACCGGGACTGGCGTCGCCGCTGATGATGTCCCGCCGGTTTCGACACGTGCCGCTGATGATGGCCCACCGGTTTCGAAGTTGACACCATTTTCCCGGAAGACTCGAGTACTCACTTCAAGTCTGCCATTATCATCGCCGACGTTGTTACAAACCTCTCCAAGGACATCATCGTTACCAAAGTCTCCAAGGACATTATCGTAATCAATCTCTCCAAGGAAATTGTCGTCACCGGTCTCTCCAAGGACATTGTTGAACATGTTGTCGTCGAGATTATCACTTAGAATATCGAACATGTCGTTACCAAGGAAATTATCGTCACCCATCTCACCAAGGACATTGGTGTACATGTTGTCGTTGAGATCATCACTTGGTAAATCGAACATGTCGTTAAAAATATCGTCACCAATATCTCCAAGGACGTTAGTGTCGACGCTGTTGTTGGGACCATCGCTTGGTTCATCGAACATGTCCCACGAGATAAGGAGATCATCAGCGCCAAAAGGCGGCCCAAGAAACTCCTCGTCGTTGTTGTAGGAGAGTTCTTGAGACAAGCCAGTTTCGGTAATCTCCATGGATGGGGCAAGCGGAGGAGGAGGACTAGGAGGAAGAGGAAGAACAAGAGGAAGAGGATTCTGGTTGAAGTCTATGTCCATTAAACTAGGGTTACTGTCAGCCATGACATTTCGGAGATCTTCTTCAGAGAAGAGACCATCGCCCTCTAATGGATCATAGTAAGGATATTCCTCAACGTTGTCTTCAACAGTGGATGACAATGAATCACCACCACCCGACATTTTTTTTTGTGTGTTTTCGCACTCTTCTTCAAATTGCTTTCTCTGTTTTTTTTTAACGGACCCAAACAAAAATTAGAGAAAAACTCTCTCAAGCATGCACCGCCGTGTTGATGCTTGAGAGTTGAAGAACAAAGAGTGAGTGAAGAGGGTTGTGTTGGATTTGATCAGAGAAGGGCTTTGTAGTGAGATGGCAGCGAGAAATTATGGCGGTTAATGGTCGTTGCAGTTAGTTATTGTGATTCAACAGATGTGTCTGTTCGGGTAATTGTCTTGGCGCGAGAAATAACCGTCTGTCTAAGTTTTTCAATATAACGTATTAACGTACAGTAATTACATAAGGAATTTATAACATATAGTACTACACATACTACTACATAAATAATAATTAAGCGTACAGAATTATTTTTTATGCAATTAGTATTCCATTTTCTTTTTTTCTTGTTATGTTTCAGTGTGTTTCGAATAAAACTGTGACAATGTTATTTTTTATAAAACCAATGGTAATTTAACACCTTAATAGTATACATGTATGAATGTGTATATATTGAGAAAAAAATGTATGAATGAAATATCATTTATGTAATTAAAGTTTTTTTCCAATTAATATCTCCATTATTGTTATACAGGAGCAGTTTCTAAGTTTATGCTGATTCAGCAACGAGAACGTGAAATACACATACAAGCAGGTCTGGTAGTAACAAAACACAAGGTCTGGAGAATTATTCAGTCTGTTTGGTTCATCGCTCACAAGTCACAATCCTGAGAACTTAGAAGAGGAAATCCAGCATCAACCCAAATGAAACCCGGTTATAAAACAGAGCATCTGAAAGTTAAAATTTCATCCAAAGCTTAAAAACAAGTTTTTATGGCTGAGTTATGTCAAGAGTTCTCGGCACTGCAAGTCATCAGCTTTGTTTCAAGGTAGAGATATCCATATTGAGGAGATACTTTGTATGTTCACCATAACATTTGTATGTTCTTGTTAGTGATAAAGTTCAAAAATTGTCGGCAAAATAAAATAAGCAAGAACACGAAGAAGCATAAATATACAGATTTATCGATTTTCCAAAATACATTATACAAAGGTGTTGTGACAACTCACCAGTAAGTGGATGTTCAAAAAAAAAAAAGACAACTCACCAGTAAGTTAAAGCGCCATTACTATAAACAATGGTGATACTTCTCAGAAAGAAGTATATATTACAAGGAAAACCGAAAGAGGAGAAGATAGAAACCATAGTTCTTTCCTAAGAAAATTTTACAGATTCCTCTAATCTTCCCCTTAATTATACATATCACATTAATAAAGATCCGCCCGACCCAGAAAAACACCCATCGAATACATCGATTCGACTCTTTTTTTTCATAAATACTGCATATTTATATACAAACACTAACCTGGAAAACAAGTTATAAAAAAAAACGGTGACCGGCGACGGTATCTGATCTTCATCTTCCTCTTCTCTCCTCTCTGTCTCTCTCAGGAACAATCTTAAATGTTCATTTGCTTCAAAAATGGTACCTAGTAGTCGTAGTAGTTGGTAACAGTAGTAAATCGAATCCTCCTCTGTTAGGAACTGGTGAACGAACGATTTCCGGAATCTCTATGTACACTTGGTTTTGTTGTCCTCCACTAAGCCATGGCAGGGATGCTCGCGTTTTGGCGGTCACGGTTCAAGCAGTCGAACCCTTCTACTCTAACCGCAGGCGTCTTGATCCCAAACTTCACTCTAGCGCAACCGCGAGCCGAAGACGACGATGACGATGGGGATGGAGATGGAAAACCGGTAGCTGAATTGGGTTGGAGGAAAGGAGAGTTTGGTGAAACTGGGTTGAGTTTCTCATCTCGAAAGCGAGCATCTTGCGCTAATGGGTTCGCTGCTCTGCTCGGTGGTGATCCGGGAAAATACGGCGGCGATGATGATAGTAATTGCCCTATTGTTCCATTATCCTCCTGGAGAGAGATAAAGAACTGAATCAGAATCTCTCATAAAAGCAAACTTCGATTATCACAGAGCTTATAGCTAAAGATCAAAAGCACACCTTTCTTCGGATTATGTCCAGAAGCTCTGCACCAGCTTTGGAATCACACAAATCAGCTGCAGCTTGACTGCAAATCGAAGATTTGGGGGGTAAATGTTTGTTTCTAATCAGAGGAAACGGAGAAGAAAGAAGGAGGAAGCTTTTATACCTCATGTGTAATCGGAGAGGACGAATGACGTTGTTAGCGAGTAAGCCAACACGACGAGGCTTTGGACAAACGACGAGATTCTTGCGATCGAATCCAATCATCTCCTCGCGAGACATGAAGGCGTTCTGCTGAAGGTTGCATTGATTCATCTTTTTAGCTTGATCCACAGAAGAACGCCTAAATCAGGTTTAAAATCAAATTTAGATCAGATCCATCACAACACTCACGAGGTCAGGAAATCGATAGAATTGATATAACTCTGAATCTGATTTCAAATTCACTTTGTAAGATCTGAGAAATTCTCCAAACTTCGTCGGAAACGAGCAAAAAAACAATGGATCTGGATCAACTAAGGGAAAAAAGGAGCTTTTCTCTTTGATTTGTGACTCAAACCTAACGAATCGCTTTAGGGAAGAAAATAGATCACTCGGAAATTCAGAGAGATCGTCTATAAAAGGAAATTTTTGAAAACGGAATACGATTTCGGGTAAAGCCAACTATGATGTTTGACCGGATGGCTAAAGACGAAACCCAGATCCGAGAAAATTCAAAATTCATGAGAAAACAAAGAGAGCAAAAACTAGACGAACCCAGAAATTTTGACTCGAATTTAACCAAGCTTTCCGAGACTAGAAACGAGGAAAACGACGGGAATAAAAAGCAGGGATCTATTGTCCATAACGAAGCTATTGTGAATTAACACAGACACATAGGAAAAAATTAACAGCGATCTGTGAAATCCGCCATAAAAGGAGCTTGAGAAAAGAAGAAAGACAGAGAGAGAGATACCTGAGTAAAATCCCCGAGAGAGGAGAGAGCACGATGATGACACGGAGAAGATAGGAAGAAGAGAGAGGCGAAAAATCGTCTGAGGAAATAGGGATTTTATAAAGGGATGAGAACAGAGAGTGTGGGTGAGGTTGAAGACGACATGAAACGACTTCGTTTTGGTCGATTTGGAAATTTGCTTTTTCTCGCCGTCGTAATAGTGATATTTGTGGACAGCTTAATATTCCGATTTCCATGCATTTGTAACTAATTATTTATTTATTTATTTTTTCTTTTTTATATATACAGTCATTCTTTTCTTTTTTTTTCCCGGCATATCATTCTTTTATTCATGATCTAACACAGTGCATAACATATGATTTTGCTCTTTTTATAAAAAAAATATTCTTAGTAACAAAAAAATTTTCTCAAAATAAAAAGAAAGAAAAGCTAATGGCTTAGAAATGGAAAAAAACAAAAAAAAAAAACAAAAAACGGAGATATTGAAACGCTGCTATCTTTGAAATAAATGGAAAGTAATGTAAATTTGAAGAGATACTGTATTATCTAAATTTGAAGTAAATGGTAAGTAGGTAACAAATTTATATTTTTTTCTATAATATCGTTCGGAATCATGGAAACAATTAATTGTAATGTACAAACAAATATACAAATGTTTGTTGTTACTTTATTATTACCATCTCCTATAGTTTAACAAAGCTACCTCACATGGGTATCTAGAGTTTACTTTATTACTATATTTAATACGAGATCTTAATATTTTCTATAGATTCTGTTATTTATTTATTTTGTCGTTTGTTTGATAAAGGATACTCTATAAAAAAACGCATGCCTGTGTAACAATCTCTCAATTGTGAAGTTTGACATTTTGACCGAAATTGTTGGTTATTTATTAGTTTTAATATTTTATCAAAAAAATTGCTGGCTTCCCAAAAAAAACGTTTCCACGTCAGCAGACAGTATAATACTCTCAAAGTTGACACTTCCTTCTTATGGGAGCAGGATTATTAGTTTAAAACTTTAGTTAACAATGCATTACTAGTTCAATGAATTGCAGTTTAGTCTAGTTGTATCTTAATATTTTTTTTTATGTTTTGCTTCAGTTTGGACCCGTTATAGAAGTGTGGATATGAATCATATGATCGTACAAAAAGCATATCAATTTGATGGGTAAAGCTATCTTCTGTTTGGATCCTTGAACATCTTTTGAGCATATCATTTGTACAGTCAACTTGTTCAGTGTTTATCAAGATTCAAGCCAGCTAACTCGTTTTCACCCTTAAAAACCTAAAGATATCTAATAAGGAGGCATAAAACTCTCGATTTTTCATTCACATGAGACTCATGAGACACTGGTCTTCAAATGGACGGATCCATAAGACCATAAACCGATTACCACACCCTACACGTAACTTTTTCTGTATTGATGGAAATGATGTTTGGTTACTAACAAAAGTAGATGTATGCAAGAAGACCATCGATAAAAATTGAAGTACGCAAGCTAAGTACCAAAATGTAAATGTATATGTGTTTAATATGTCAAACTAAGATAGGGGAAAGAAAAAGCCATAATTGTGGAGAGAAGAATAAAGAAATAAGAAGATGTTTTGTTTGTTTTGGGAAAAGAAGGGACAGTGGTAAGAGAGACATGCGAGCCATTTACGCATTGAACAAAGGAAGTATAAAGCCAAAAGCATTGTTTGAATTTGATATATATTGATAATATATCATCCCTTTTTCCAGAAACATATATAAAAGCATATACCGTGTGGTGGGGTTATATGCTTACATTATAAAAATCATACATAATTAGTAGTTGAATCTTAAATACGTTTGATATCAGTCAGTAGTTCGTTAACTATCAATTTACGGTTTACCAACAGTTTCGTAAACACCAAACTTGTAGACTTTAAGAGGCTTTATTAGATCGAGTTGAAATGATCTATAGTTTATAAATACAAAAACAAAAAGCTCAAGTAATTGACACTACTGCATTTAAATGTAACTGATGATTGGATAGGAAATAGATCAGACGAAAAGATAATTATTTTTACCAAAAGTCTTAATTAACTCGGAAACAGCAAATATAAAACGATGGGGATGTGAATCATGTGACGTAGGTATAGAGTTATCAACATCCACGGATGGACCTGTTTCCGACCCTAGTTGTCCCAAACAGCTGTGCAAAAGTAAATAAGTTGGCTAAATGTGGTTTCAAATGGAAACCAACCAAATTAATCAACTACCTTTTACTGCATGCATTTTTCATCGATTTTGTTTTTATTAGGTCCATCCACTATGTACTGTCAGTAATATGCAACATCTAATTTACCGGTTAAAGATTTTAGGCTTTTACCCTTGGTTAAACAACCATCTATGGGTAAAACACAAGAGAAAACGAGTGATCTAGAGAGAAAGTAAAGAGAGTTTTTGTGTTTTCATCTGAACTACTTATAATAGTTGGAATGTAGGCATATTGTTAGCATATTTTATGAAAAACTTATATTCTGCCAATAATTTTCCTAAACAGTATAGTGTTTCGTGACTATTAAAAACTATGAAAATCGCGTTTGTTGAGATTCATATATTTTTGAAAGAAAATCAGGAGGTTTCCAAGTTCCATCCAACTCTCTTTTGAAAAACCATGCTAACTCCTCACCTAAATGCACGTGACGTGACTCATTGCACACACGTGGCATCGCATTAATGGATTGTCGTCTATCAAACGACACAGACCTGTACGCATATCGTCACAGAATCCTGTGAGGATCCCATTCTCAAGCTCTACGCAAATAATAGCCCCGACAGTATTGTTCACACGATGAAAGCATTACTCAAGACAAAGAGAAGACAAGAACCAAGAGAACTCATTGATGTAATAATAATTGCGTAATTCTGATGATTTCTTTAAACATTTTCTTCCTCACTTTCGTGTAATCTTATCCTTCCAAAAAAGAAGAAAGGCTGGAAAATAATACTACTAGCGTTGATAGTTTCCTTTTTTATTTAAAAACAAAATTTTTGAACGATTCTTTTTTAGAAATTGATTTTATGGCTCTGAGATCAGCAAATTTATTGCTTTTCAGACCTTTACACGGTAGCATTTGTCATCACTGATATAAATTATTCGTAACTATCCATTCAATTTCATTTTTTTTTTTAACAAAACTCGAGATTTAGCTTGGAATAAAAAAAGAAATTATAATTTTTTTTTTACTTGGGTCCTATGGGCAATGCCAGCTGAACTTTGCCAGAAGATAACTTTTTTTGTTTCTCGCGTCGATTAAATTTGATCGATTCTGATAAAAAATACTTTTTTTTTTCAATCCTAGTGTTTGTTGATAAGGGAAGATCAGTGTGGCAAAGGAGGAGATCGATGGCTCCGACGGCGAAGGTAGACAACGAGGAGCTCCGGCGACTCAAGGAGGTTAACATTGACGAAGCTCCGGCGCGTCGTCATGTTCGCGATTCCTTAAAAGACATTCAGCAAAATCTCGATCATATCCTCTTCAAGGTAAACAAAACTTCCGAAATTGGAATCTATTCGCCTTTTATCGGTGGCATTTTTAGGGGTTTTGTTTGTTCATCGTTTACAATTGAAGTGGGTTTAAGAAAGGTTGAGACTTTACCAATCTGCTTCAGCATTTTCACTGAATTGGACGATTCTTTGATTAAAAGTGTTGTTTTTTTCGTGAAATTGCAGACGCCAGGAGATGGAATTAAGACTAAGGAGGTAAAAAGAAAAGGATTTGACTTGTCTTCTATTTCATGAATCTAAGTTAGTTTGTAACTTGAAGTTAATTTGTAGTCTTATGAGTTGAATTCAAGAGGAGTAGAGATCTTCTCCAAAAGCTGGCTTCCTGAAGCTTCCAAGCCCAGAGCTTTGGTTTGTTTCTGCCATGGTTATGGAGACACATGCACGTTTTTCTTCGAAGGCATGTTTGATTATTCTTCATAGCAGCAAATAGTTTTGTTAATGAAAATGGAGGCTTGTTTGATTGCTCACCAGCTTAGCTTCTTTGCAGGGATTGCAAGGAGATTGGCATTGTCAGGATATGGAGTTTTTGCTATGGACTATCCGGGATTTGGCTTATCCGAGGGCTTGCACGGTTATATCCCAAGCTTTGATCTTCTTGTTCAAGATGTCATTGAGCATTACTCTAATATCAAAGGTAAAAACTTTATGACTCATTGCTTAATCTATACTTGAGGTTTCATGGTTAGGTAACTTATAAGTTTTGGAACTTTTTGGTTGTAGAGAATCCTGAGTTTAGTTCTCTACCGAGCTTTCTCTTTGGTCAGTCAATGGGTGGAGCAGTCTCTCTCAAAATACATTTGAAACAACCAACTGCGTGGACCGGCGCAGTCTTGGTTGCACCTATGTGCAAAGTAAGTCTTATTTGCATCATCGTTGAATTTACTAGCCGTAACAGTAACTTGAAGTATCTACTCGTTCTGTAGATTGCAGATGATTTGGTTCCACCACCGGTATTGAAACAGATTTTGATCGGTCTAGCTACTGTTTTACCGAGACACAAGTTGGTTCCACAAAAGGATTTAGCAGAAGCAGCGTTTAGAGATATCAGGAAGAGAGAAATGGTAAAAAAAAACTTAAATTACAGATTTGAGGACCTTTAGATCCTTCTTGTTCAATCTTCTTGTTTATAATTTTGCAGACGCCATTCAATATCGTCTGTTACAGCGGTAAACCGCGGTTAAAGACTGCAGTTGAAATGCTTCGAACAACTCAGGAGATTGAGCAACAATTGGAAAAGGTAATGACAGTGAGTAAACCGGAAGCTAAAAAAGGCAGAATCAGAATAATGATTGTTTCTTGATTTTTTTTGTCGTTGCAGGTGTCTTTGCCGATACTGATACTACACGGAGAGGCTGATACAGTGACGGATCCTTCAGTGAGCAGAGAGCTTTACGAGAAAGCGAAAAGTTCAGACAAGAAGATAGTTTTGTATGAAGATGCTTATCATTCTCTGCTTGAAGGCGAGCCAGACGAAATGATCCTCCGTGTCTTGTCCGATATTATCTCGTGGCTGGATGACCATAGCTTGCAAGCTGAGGCACCATTAGTTACTCCTCCTGTGTAGATCCTGAGCATTTGTTTCGTAGTTTGTACGTAACATTTATTTCATTTCATTGAGAGTGTTTTTTCAATGGATTAGCAATAAAATGGTCACTACATTTGCAAAAAATCGTTTAACTTTGCAGAAACTAACATATAAAATTCGAGTTACAGAGATTATTATCATCTTTTGTTCATTTTCTTGAGGATTACGAAGTGTGAATTTCTTTGTGAATTTGTGAATAAGTGGGCCAGAACCTTCATTGAGAGAGTGAAATAGAATATTAAACCGGCCCATAAGCTTTAAGAATCTTTTAACGGCCCATATCTGATCACATTGAGAATAGGGCACCCTTGAAGCCCTAGTCATCGAACATTAAAACCTCATTTTTACTCTGACTGCTGCTTTCTAAGGAGAAGCCGCAACTCTTTTCATTTTTCAATCTAGGGCTCTTCTTCGTTCCTGCAGATTTCGCCTCCGTTTCTGCTATCTGGTACGTCGCAATTTGGTTTCTCTTTTTTTGCATCCTCTATGTTCCGTTCGGTTTCTACGGATTTTGTGGAATCGGTTTTGTTCTGTTTTCCTAGAGTTGCAATACTGATGCTTCAGCTACACTTAAGTGTAGAATGGTGGAAAATATTTCTCAATTGGTCTAATTCATGGGGGTTTTGGTGGTAGAGAGAAGGTTACTATAGGTTTAGTTTAAGCCTATATAGCTCATCAAGCAATGTCGATTGAAGAATATAAAACTTGCTCCAGAGTATCATTGAATATAGAAGCTTTGTTTATATGATTAACATTTTTGAAAACTGTGTTTTTCTCCTGATCCACATTTTGGAAAGTAAACTTTGTCAGTGACTTTTACTGTAGATTCTAACTTTGGTCATTAGAAATGTATCTGCAAGCTTAAAATTCATGGTTATTATGATAGTAATCTCGTAAGCTACATGACTTGACCTCTTGTTTTCTTTATTTAAAATTGAAGATCCGTGAAGATGTTCTCCGCTCAGAACAAGATCAAGAAGGACAAGAATGCCGAGACGACTGAATGCGATGAGCAAGTTGCTCAGGTAATAATAATTCTTTTCCTGTCTCTGTCTGTAAACATATCCTTCCTGTGAATTTTCCATTCATAATACAATTGTTATTTCAATTTTTTTCAGGCGTTGTTTGATCTGGAAAACACCAACCAGGAGTTGAAGAGCGAGCTGAAAGATCTCTACATCAACCAAGCTGTGTATGTCTGCTGCATTTTGTTTCTTCCCCTCTGCATTGGCTTTATCATAGGAAATAATTTAATAATATCAATGCAGTCAGATGGAGATCTCTGGAAACCGCAAAGCTGTTGTGATTTACGTTCCATTCAGATTGAGGAAAGCTTTCCGTAAGATCCACCCCCGTCTCGTTAGAGAGCTTGAGAAGAAGTTCAGTGGAAAGGTAGTTTTCTAAAACATTTCCTCTTTAGGTGAAGGTCTAAAGATTTGTAGAATGTCTCTTATTACTTTGCCATTTCGTTCTTAGGATGTGATCTTTGTCGCCACAAGAAGGATCACTCGTCCTCCCAAGAAGGGTGCTGCTGTCCAGAGGCCACGTAACAGAACACTAACCTCTGTTCATGAAGCCATGCTTGAAGATGTCGCGTACCCTGCTGAGATTGTTGGAAAGCGTACTCGATACCGTCTTGATGGTTCCAAGATCATGAAGGTATCAATCATATCATTTATTTGAATGTGGACCCGAATCTTCCGAATCTTTCTCTGGATTCTTTTGAGATGAGCTTTACATTCTTGTTTGACTTTTGTTATAGGTCTATTTGGATGCCAAGGAGAAGAACAACACCGAGTACAAGCTCGAGACCATGATGGGTGTGTACCGTAAACTTACCGGAAGGGATGTCACTTTTGAGTACCCTGTCGAAGCCAAGTAAAGACGTTGAAGAATCATCAGGATAGAGAAGAGAGCTTTTGATTCTGTTTTGTGGTATTTAGGATGATGGATACTCTCTTTTGATTCAGTTCCTTATTCACAATCTTTATTGTTCTCTTTACAAAGACCACTTCCTGTGCTATTTCAGTTTTGAAATTGATACCTCCACTTGTCAAATTCTATGATACACTGACAAGAGAATCTACGACCACAAGATTAACAGTATCTTTAGTAACACTAATTTAGTCAGTAGATATCAGATTATACTCGATTGCATGAAACCATGAACATTATGTTTACTTCTCTGTTAAGAGCAAAATTAATTTATTTTAGAGACGAGAGAGATTCTTAGTGTTGCAATAAAATGAAAATGCTAAGCCAATCTGAAACTCTAAGCCTTTTCATTCATATGATCTTTCATCTATACTTTGTTGAGTTTATACTTCTGGACAAGATTAAATCTTGAGATTCCTTGATTGAATCCATGGAGCACAAGAGTCTTCACTGCTTCGTTTCCTTGCTCTAGTGCTTCATCGATCTGTTTCCGTTCCAATGGACTAAACTTCTGAAGAAGAAAAGCTCTCATATCCATGTTTCCAGGTGGATTCCCAATTCCTGACAAATATCAACATAACAAAAAACCTGAGAGATAAACAGAGGATAGTTAAACCGAATCGAACCAAAACCAAAAGCTTACCTATGCTTAGACGAGGAAAGGTTCTTCGACCATCCAAATGCCCCATCACACTCTTGACTCTGCGACAAATACAAAAGTAACATTCAGTTTCTAGATCAGAGAACATAGTTGAATGTTCAAGAGGCATACACACACATACCCGTTGTGATAGCCTTGACCTCCTTTCGGTTGAAGTCTCAAAACCCCATTTGGTAAAGCCATCTCATCGTATATCTAAAACGGAGGAGAAACCCACATCAAGCTTCAATCAAAGGGTTCATTCGAAAAACATTGTGCTGCTTTCTAAAGATGATAAAGTCAGCAACTTTACCATTAAAATGTGACGCATTGGTACTTGATAGTGTGCAGCTAAAGATCCAACCTGTAAACGACAAGAGAACAGTTTCAGGTATGAAGCTTTGATCATGCATCTGATGTTACGAAACAAGAGTTTGATACATCAGAGAATACAAACCGATTCGCCGCTGAAATTCATATAAGTCTGAGGTTTAGCCAACACGATAGGTACCTCTTCAATAGCACCTGTACTGATCGTACATAGAACCAAAAAATTCATCAGCTTTTAATATGCCGATAAGGGGAGAGAAAGAAAGCCAAAGCAAGAAGAGTAGAACCTATTCCGATTAGAGCTTTTGACTGTATAGTGTTCATCAAAACGCCATTTTTTCTAGCCAACACATCGATCATCTCAAAACCAACCTGAAAACAAACACAAATTTGCGGCATTTTCAGAGCTCAAAACCCAACCATCTCGAAATCAATTTAAAACTAAGAACAAAAATGATTGATTTTTTCAATTACGTTGTGTCTTGTTCCATGATACTTGTTTCCTGGATTGCCCAACCCTACGATAAGCCAAGGAGTGAACTCTATTTTGAATCTGTCATTTTCACTAGAAGTAGATGAACAAATCCGGAACCTCGGTTTCTGAAAAACGGGCTTTTCCGCATGAAAATGGTAAATCCTTGGTGGTGTATACGCTGAGCAAAACATCTAACTGTTGAATTTCAAAGAAATGGTATCAAATTCTCATTATGAGTCATTTGTGCTACAAAAATCAGAATAATCAAGTGTAATCGAATACATCAGAGTTTCAGGAGAATCGGAGGTTAGCAATTATTCGTGCTTTAGATTATGTGATAGCTTGAGAATAAATTAGAAAAATAAAAAATCGCTGACCTCTTCTTCTGAAGATTTCGACTTAGGATGACGAACAAAAAAGTGTAGAGATTTTTCTCTCGCGAAGCCGTTTGAAATGAGAGAGTGAGAATATCAGAGAGGCAGAGACGATGATGTTGGAAACTGGTTCCATTTTGGATTAATGGGCTTTTAAACAGAGCCCATAAGAATAAGATGGGCTAAATACTAGTAGCTCAAGTTATTATGATAAATGGCGTAATGATTGCACGTGAGAATTTTTCAGATTCACGTGCGGCCCACGTCATCCAAAATCTAATCCAGAAAATCCAGCGTTGTCAAATCGTCACTTGCGGGCTCCTCTCTCTTTTTTCTTCCCTCCTTTTTAGCATTACATATTTTACCCTTTTATTCTGTTAATAATTTTTTTATATACAATTTCGCACCCATCATATCTCCTCGAATCGCATTATACAGTTTAATATCTTATCTATACCACGTTTGATAGTTTTGTCAAAAATAAAAAATGATTTGTCGAAATTAAAGAATTTGATTTGTAATGTATAAGTATGCATGCCAACATGTCTACCAGTCATTGGTCAAAGATCATACTGTATGTCAATTAAAAAATAGTTTTTTAATTGATTAACTGAAAGTTAAAAAATATAGAAATGATATAATAACTACATGATTCTGAAGCTCAAAATTAATATTTAAAAAATTCACAATCTCACAAGTTTAATACTGGCCATAATTTGATTTTCTATATGTAGTTAGAAGATTCATCACATTCAACTCTTCATTAAACTAGAGGTCTCTCTTCAAATAGAATGAAAAATATGGATAAATATGAAATATTACACAAAAGTCCAAAAATTGTAAGGAAACAAATCTGTTTCTCTTTTTCATTTTGGGAGTTTTAGATACTTCGAAATTATTTTCTGGTAACGACAATAAAAGCTCTCTGTAGCAAGTTCTTTCTCTGCATCAAAATCTCTGATAAAGCTCTCAACATCCTCTCCTTTTTTTTCTCTCTCTCCGCGGAGTCTCCGAAGTTTCTCTGGTAATTTTTGTACTACAAAATGGTTTATGTTTCTGTTTGGTCGTCGTTGTTGTTCGTATTTTCAAATCCGAAGTTTCGATTTGGTTAATCAGTCGCGATCGAGAGAGCGTTTTCTCTCCTTCTCGTTCTCACATCAATGTATCGATTTCCCTCTTTCGTGACGAGTCGTCTTCTTCGTTTCTCACTTCTCTTTCTAGCTCTATTTGGATTTAAATGCGATATTTTCTCCTTTTTGACTAATCTACTCTCTTTTCCTCGCAAATACAGTTATAAAAAAAAGGATTAAAAATGCAGTCGTCAACGTATGCGGTTAAAGGAAACGCCGCGTTTGCGTTTCAGAGACGGAGCTTCTCTAACGTCGAGAACAGATCGGCGACCAGTGCCGGGATTCGCTTCACCGGTAAGAGCATAGCCACCGGCTCTTGCTTCACACCACTCCACTGCTCTGGCTCGAAAGCCATGGGAGCTAAGCTTGCTCGCGCTGAAAACGGGATCCAGAGCGTTATGAGTATCTCTTCGGTCAAAGCTCGATCGGTCAGAGCTCAAGCCTCCTCTGGTTCGTCTTTCAAATGGTCTTTTGTTTGTTTATAGTTAAATTCTGTGATTGGTTAAAAAGTTCATACTAATCTTCTTCCAAGTTGCTATCTTTGTTGGCTTTGGAGTAATCATCTGAATGAATGTAGGTGGAGATGCAGAAGAAGCTATACCTCTGAGATCTGAAGGGAAAAGCTCTGGGACAGTTTTGCCGTTTGTTGGTGTTGCTTGTCTTGGTGCTATATTGTTTGGATATCATCTTGGGTATGAGTAACTAACTACACTTGAATCTATGGATGTTGATAAATATGTATATGATGATGATGATGTTCATTTTGATTGGATCAGGGTTGTTAATGGTGCTCTTGAGTACCTTGCTAAGGATCTTGGGATCGCCGATAATGCTGTATTGCAAGGCAAGTATATATGATCGACTTCTCTGACTCTCTCCTAGTGCATGAAATCGTTAACTGAAAAAATGTGGTTTGTATTCTCTCTGAGCAGGATGGATCGTTAGTGCGCTGCTTGCTGGTGCAACGGTCGGTTCATTCACCGGAGGTGCATTAGCTGACAAGTTTGGACGAACAAGAACGTTTCAGCTGGATGCTATCCCGCTTGCCATTGGAGCTTTCTTGTGGTATGTTTCAAGCTCTTAGTCATATCTGATGGTGTGGAACTTAAGTGAAGTTTCTAACGCATTGGTTCTGTTTTAATTCGTAGTGCAACAGCTCAGAGCGTGCAGACTATGATTGTGGGACGTCTGCTCGCAGGAATTGGAATCGGAATCTCATCAGCTATTGTACCACTTTACATATCTGAGGTTGTTTGAACACTTTGAACCACAGTTTTTGCACAGCTTTTTATATGGTATGTTGCTGAAGCGTGTGATGATTGGTGTGTCAGATATCACCAACGGAAATCCGTGGAGCACTCGGATCTGTGAACCAGCTGTTCATATGCGTAGGAATACTTGCAGCCTTGATAGCTGGACTACCCCTTGCAGCAAACCCGTTATGGTATGTGAATCCTTTGTTATTCATTCATCCGAACAACGTTTTTCTTCTTTTCGTTGTATATTCTGGTAATATACGTTTTGATCTCAAAATTTTCTAGGTGGAGGACGATGTTTGGTGTTGCTGTTATCCCTTCCGTTCTATTGGCCATAGGAATGGCTTTCTCTCCGGAAAGCCCAAGGTGGCTTGTTCAGGTACTCTCCAGGAACGCAACTTATACTTAACTGAGATCACTTGTTGTTGACAATTGAGAGACATCAATTTGCAGCAAGGAAAAGTTTCTCAAGCTGAAAAGGCGATCAAAACTCTGTATGGTAAAGAAAGAGTGGTTGAACTAGTGCGAGACTTATCAACCTCTGGCAAAGGTTCTTCTGAGCCAGAGGCAGGATGGCTTGATCTGTTCAGCAGCCGATACTTCAAAGGTATTGCAAGACTTGCTAGAGTATATTATATTGTTCCGCTTACCTCATATTGTATTTGATCTAATTACGTACTTTCTTTCTTGTATGTTCTTGTTGTAGTTGTAAGCGTAGGTGCGGCTCTCTTCTTGTTTCAACAGTTAGCTGGGATAAACGCAGTTGTGTACTACTCTACATCGGTGTTCCGTAGCGCTGGAATCCAATCTGATGTTGCAGCAAGTGCTCTTGTTGGAGCATCAAACGTCTTTGGTTCGTTTTCTCTTTTATGTTCCCATTGAGTTCCAATAACATAACAAAACAAGTAAACTGATAAATAATCCTGTCTCAGGCACTGCTGTTGCTTCGTCCTTGATGGACAAAATGGGAAGGAAAAGTCTCCTACTTACTAGCTTTGGTGGAATGGTACATGATTCAAATCTTAACCTGCATTAACATTTTTTGTACTTAATGGTGCTAACTAAGATTTGTGGTCTGTTGTATTGTAAAGGCGCTGTCGATGCTGTTGCTCTCTTTGTCCTTCACGTGGAAGGCTCTTGCTGCATACTCTGGCACTCTTGCTGTTGTTGGAACTGTTCTGTAAGTCAATCTCTCTTATGTTTGGTTTTCGGCACTCTTAGAGTTTCTCTGTATCTGACTTGACCGACTCTTCTGCTCGCTTGTTAAACCAGATATGTCTTGTCCTTCTCACTTGGTGCTGGCCCGGTACCAGCTCTTCTTCTTCCAGAGATATTCGCATCTCGAATCAGAGCAAAAGCTGTCGCTCTTTCTCTTGGCATGCACTGGGTATGTATATCTATCTACAAGTCCAATGGTTCAGAACAGAGTTTCTTCTCTCTATTACTAATGAACAAAGTTATTTTTTGTTTTTTCCTTGTGCCCCAACAGATCTCAAACTTTGTGATTGGACTCTACTTCTTAAGCGTTGTGACTAAATTCGGAATCAGCAGTGTCTACTTGGGTTTCGCCGGAGTCTGCGTCCTTGCCGTCATCTACATTGCAGGAAACGTCGTCGAGACTAAAGGACGATCACTCGAGGAAATAGAGCTTGCTCTTACCTCCGGAGCTTGAAATCAAACAAGAACAAACAAAAAAAAAAAAAACCACGCTGTTTCATCATTGATCTTATGAGTCTCTTTTTCGTTCTTGCTTTTTAAGTAACTTGTACAATGGGGTAAGTTATCAATAACGAGAAATCGATTCATCCCTACATGTTGGCTTTCCTTTCCCACCTTTCCCTAGTATCAAGCCTGTTTCCAAAACAAAAACATTGCATTAGCTTGGTTTCACAATACCATGAAATTTTTCTAAAAACAGGTGGAAAACAAAAAAAAAAGCTTACCCCCAATACAGCTTTTGTGGCTTCTTTGGTACTGTGACTACTGGCCTATGTTGCTGCTGTTCTGAGGTAGAAGAAGTTGATTCATTCAGTTTCTTCGAGTTTTCGCCATCTTCTATTGCTCTACGCTGAGAATTCTTGCTCGCTGCATTCCAGTTTAGAGCTATTAGTCGACAGGATAATGAACCACAGAAGAAGAAGAAGAAAAAGGAGCTTTACCTTTAGGTTTCTTATGGATCTTTGAATTGGCTTTTATCTGCATACGTCTCTTGTGTAGCTCCTGTCATCTCAAAACATAACCAAAATGGCTTTTCAAAGTCAAAAAGTGCATAGTAATTCGGTTCAACCAGTCCAAAATTGAAACTAAACCAAAAATAACCGAGAGAACTAAAATTAATTAAGTAACAAAGATTTTTGAGAGAATCAAAACCGAACCGAATCGAATCCTAAAATATCAGGAGAATCTGAAAATCGGACCTGTAGTTTCGAAATTTGTTTCTGGGTGACGTTGGAACCATTGAAATTAGGTTGAAGAGATTGTGTTGATGCTAATAACGCTTCTTTTCGATTCTCCTCTGCTTCTCTGTCGACTTCCTCTCGTGTCCTCGTCGACGCCATGGTTTCGCCGTCGGCGTCCATCCCGAGAAATTTGAGAATGTCGAGAACGACGTCGGATCCGTCCAGTTTTTTTACTCTAATATTTTCGGAAAATTACTGAAACTAGCCCATACAGATTACGAATGCCTAACTTACTACCCCAAATGTTTTTAGTTATTACAAAACAACCATTATAGGTTCTGGAATGGGTAAATAACTATAACAACCTTTTTATTATGCTCTTATTACTATAACAACACCAAGTTTTTTTAATTACTATAAATAGTTTCATACCTTTTTTATCCCTTTTTCTTTGTATATAAAAAACGGTATTTACGAGATTGCCATTAATGAAATTTTATCAAAACTCTACCGTGAAAAATTAACTCTACCACGGACGATATGGTAGATTTCGTATTGTCCGGTAGATATATTTCATTACACAGTAGATTTGAATGAAAACGATAGGTTTATTTCATATTTCATAGATTTATTAAGTGTACCGTAGACTTATTGTTTGCCCTAAAATATATAGTTGTGATAGTAGATTTATATTGTTTGGTAGAGTTGTTTAGACGTGGTAGAGTTTCGCTATGGGTGGCAGATTTATTTAGCGCTCGGTAGAGTTATTAGTCGATTGTTGTAGATTTATTTTTCTTACTGGTAGAGTTTTAATAATCCTGTAGATTTATTAGATGTGACGATAGACATCTAGTGCTGGTAGATTTGTACGTAATTATGGTAGATATATGGCCTTGTGGTAGATATATTTTACTTGATGGTAGATTAGATGAAACGCGGTAGATTTACTTGTTATAGTGGTAGAGTAAGTAAGATGTTGATACTTGAAAAACCGTTTTTCAAGTATTGCAATAACGAACAATTGATGGTAGATTTACGTTCATATGGTAGAGTTATAGTGGAAAAGGTAGACTTATTATAGAAATTGAAAAACGGATTCCGGATTTAGGGTTTAGGGATTTGATGTGAAATGCCATAATACAGTTGAGTGTAATAGCATTTGGGTGTTGTAATGCAGTAACTATTTAACAGTAAAGATTACAATTTTGACTTAAAAGTTTGGGGTTTAGTATTGAGAACCCTTTAGTATTTGATAGAGTTTAGGGTTTACGGTTGAGGGTTTGCAAAGCAAATATGCTAGAGTACTCCAACATAAGGCATATTTGCAACATTTCAAAAACATCAAAACTCCAAATGTGTTACTGTTTAACATACACCTGAGGTTTAGTGTTTGAAGTTTGAACACACATTCGAACTTGCATACCCTAAAGTGGCAGAAGCAGTTTATATTTGCTGTTTACGGTTTATGCTTTAGGGTTTGCAAAGCAAACCTGTTACAATACTCTAATGAATTCAATACACTTAGGGTTTAGACATTCAATATGCGTTTAGGGTTTTGGGTTTAGAGGATTTTTAGGGTAAAAAAAACGAATGACTTGAAAAGCACATAAAATGAAGACATTACACATAAACGAGTTCAAAAGTACATAACAGTAGAATATCTTTGTGTGTGTGTGATGAAGACATAACACATCTACTTCATCAAACACATTTAAACACACATAATTCATCTTACACTTCAAACATAGCATAAAAACCACTTAGTTGTAGACATGACATAAAAGCGAGATAGATAGTTGTCTACTTAGACACCACAGTTTTGTTTAACTTCGTCCTTGCACGGCTGACACCCGCAGCTTAGGGACAGGACCGAGTCCCACAGCTGTCTAACCTCGGTAATTATCTTTTCCTGTTGAGCAGTGAGGTCACAAATCTGGTTTGCCTGCTCTGCATTCTCCTCCTTGAGCTTCGCAACCTCCTCTCCAACCTCCCTTGTAGCCTTCCTTTTAGCAATGTCAAGCTCCCCATTAAGTTGACGAATCTTCGTGGTCTGCGCTTCATTTGAATCCCTTAGCCTAAGAACCTCCTCTTCAATAGCCAGATCCCACCTCTTCCGAACGTGAAGGACGCTGTCGTACTACACGATTCACCACATGTCATCAATTCGAATACTATGTAATGTAATGTTTTAAAACAAACAAACAATGTGCAATCATACCTTGTACTGCTCGCATGTGTAGTATCTTGTCCCGTCAACAACTTCTTGGATCAAACCCTCACCGCAAGGACACCATGTCATAATGCCGTAGTTACCATCGGCCCAAAAACCAAGCATCTGGATGTGGTCCTTCGTTTTCTTCCATTCATAGACGTTAGGATCGTTGGGGTCCATGGGATCTGCAAAACCACTAACTAGGGATTAAATCTACCATCATAAATCTACTGCCAATGAAAATAAGTCTACCCTCATTGCAAATAAGTCTACAGTGATATGTATTACTTAATAAGTCTACTAGTGAAAGTCTACCATTACTAAATAAACATGTAAACTAATCACCATCAAACAAAATTCACGACAATCGTATCTACAACGGGAGGAGCAGAAGATATCTCCTCCTTAGGCGCAATCAGGTAATTGTAGTTCGCAAAACAAAAATTAGGGTTTAATGGATGCGAGAGACGACTATGAATCCCGAAATCTATGAAACATGCTTAAATAATTGACATATGCGAACTCATATAACAAGATTCAACATATATATGTTTGATCTGACCTTGAACCAATCGCACGATTTGAAGAAACGTTGTAATCGCCTCTGAACTGTCTCTGCCGTCGAAGAAAGAGGTGAACACTCGTTGAAGATGAGTGATTTAGGGTTAAAAAGGTCCCGGTTTATACCGGTTTAAGTTGATTTTAAGTTTATTGCCGTTTAAATCTATACCGATTACCCATTCGTAGATTTATTTTCCTGATATATGTGGTGATAGACTTATTTACGGGTGAAAGTTTCGTTGGAAGACGATTTAGCCCCCCAACTCGGGGATATTTCAAGAAAACCAGTCATCATCATCAACAATTAGGGTTGCCGTCTTCCATGGCAGTTCTCTGTTCGATCTATATTCGTAGAAGAGATATCATCAATAATTCTCCACAGAGAAAATTGTGCAGCATCTTCAATGGAGCAGGTGGTACTCGTTTGTGGGTCATGGAAAGAAGAAGGAAAGCGATGGTTTTTCCTTTCAGACAAGTCTAGAAGATCTTCACGTGTTGGAGCTGATCTTCGAACCTCATATGCTGATTTCCATCAGATGGTGCTCGAAGAGTTTGGAGTCGATCAGCAGATCTACCAATTAAAATTCACATGATTACCAAAAGCGTCGCTGCTACACCTCCTGTGATAGTGACGAATTCAAAAGAATTTTGGTCGTTTCTCAAGGTTTTTGCGAACCATACGGCTCGTCTATGTGTGGAGATCGTCGAGAAAACGGTATGTCATGAAGGTGTTCGAGATACAAGACGAAATGATTTATTGCCTGATAGTGATACGGACGAGGAGGATGACGAGGACATGAGATACGACTGCTGCGATGATCCAGACGGTGCAAGCTCCGGCGATGAAGAATATGGAACCACGAAAGGAAGATTTGCACAAGAAGAGGAAAAATGTTTTATCTGCCACCAAAGAAAAGAGGAGAAAGCTCGATGCCTGATTTTTTGCAGATCGAGCGTGGTTCTGTTGAATTGGCCGTTGGCCAACGTTATCCAACGAAAAAGAATTTGGAGCTCAGATTGAAGATGCTCTCAGTTGCGCTGAAGTTCGATTATAACGTCGGTTACTCAACGCCTACTTTGTTGACAGTACATTGCTGGATCGAAGGGTGTTCATGGAGAGCGAGGGCGCCTACGCTTGGGTCTGCTCCCGAGTTTTTCATCAAGAGTTATGTCAAAGATCACTCATGTTCTGTTACAAAGCGTTCTTCTCGTTCTAGACAAGCGAAACCTGATCTGCTTGGGAAGCTATACAGTGAATTTGTAGGTTGTGTTGGACCGACCGTGCTGCCTTGCCATGTTGCAGATGCGTTGAACAAACGCTATGGTATTAAGGTATATGTTCTTGACGGCACACTTCATTCGTTGTTATGATAGACTTGTTACGGTAGACTTGGCATGCTATATTAGTTATAGTAGAGTTATTCTATTAGACTTATTTGATAGACTTCGCACAATATACTCGCAGTAGACTTTTTATGGTAGAGTTGTTCAGGTATACTTATTTGATAGACTTGCAATGTGTTGCAGATGGATTATTGGAAGGCGCACCACACACTACGGTTTGCGCGCCAGCTAGTAGCCGGCAGTTCAGAGAGTGGATACGAGGATCTGCCGGCTTACTTGTACATGATTAGACGGGCAAATCCTGTGACACTCATTAAGCTAGACGTTGATGAGGAAGACAGGTTTAAGTTCCTTTTCATAGCTTTTGCTGCAAGCATACACGGATACCCACATATGCGGAAAGTTGTCGTTGTTGATGCCACCTATTTGCAAGGAAAATATAAGGGAACACTACTAACAGCGTCTACACAAGACGGAAATTTCAACATCTTTCCGATTGCGTTTGGCGTTGTTGACACTGAGAACCATGAATCATGGGAGTGGTTTTTTAAACAGCTAAACCGTGTTATCCCAGTCGATGAAGACCTAGCCATGATCTCGGATAGACATAAGTCGATTAAATACGCGATAAAGAAGGTATATCCTTTGGCTTCAAGGGGAATCTGCACATACCATTTGCATAAGAATATTATACTCAGATTCAGGACACGAGAGTGTTACGGACTTGTGAAGAAGGCCGCATCCGCATATAGGCTTCTGGAGTTTAACCAGCTCTTTGCGCAAATACAAGCTTTAGATCCAGCTCTTCATAAGTACTTAGTGGAAGCTGATGTTCGGCTATGGACTCGGGTGTATTTTCCTGGAAATAGGTACAACTTCACGACAAGCAATATAGCAGAGTCGTTGAACAACGTCCTATCTCCTTTTAGAGGTTCACCAATTGTACAACTTCTCGATGCTGCGAGGGCTTTGTTAACGAGATGGTTTGCGGCGAGGAGAAAAAACGCTAGCCTAATGAAAACAACATTGACGAGAGGTGTGGAGAAGCTGCTAGAGGTATGTCATTTTATTGATGAGCAGCTGTTCTTTCTTTTTTCTTCTTTGTTATTTTCTTATCTAATGCAAATTTGCCATACTTGATGAGCAGTCTCGTGTGGAAGACGCAAAGCTGTAGACAGCGCAGGAGATTGACGGTCATCAATCACAAGTGCCTACTTGCTTCATCTTCCCGTCTCTTTGATGCTGTCTTTCTGTCAACTTCCTCTTGCAAACTCGAATAATCAACATCAGCAGACATGGAACATTTCGTTGCATCGTTTCTTTTTTCCTTCCTTCGTGTTGCCTTCTCTCTTGGCTCTTCAGTCGTCGTACTATCCTTCTTGCTCGCCGCATCAGATGTCTTCTTTGTTCTTTGCTCTTCCTTTCTCTTTGTTCTCAGCTCTTCCTCGTGCCCGAGAGGTTTCTTCGACGACTTTCGTCCAGGCTTGTCAACAAAATCGTCGTCGCTTTCATCGGCTTTGCTCTTTCCCTTTTTTCTGGGACCGTCCTCGCTTTCACCCGCTTTGCTCTTCCTCTTCTTCTTCGCAGCAGCCTCAGTTTCCCAAAACGATTCATCCAAACAGCCGTCAAGGATATCGCGAATCATATTATCAAGCTTCTTGTCGCAATCAGGATTTTCACCAGCCCATTGTGGATATATCTCAGCAGGAGGCACATCAACTAAGTGTCTAACGCGAGCCTGCATCCACAAAGCAAATATGATACCAATCAGATTCAGTTAAACAAGGTTATAGGAATAAATCTACCGTAACAATTTTAAATGAGGACATACCTTCTTGTCGACGCTATTCTGTTTATCCTCCTCCATAAGGGCCTCCAAATTGTACCTTGTACGAGATGATTGCCACCGTAGTAGAGGGATTGGACCATCACGTCTCCTCCCAAATCTTTCTCCGATAATTTCAACAGATTCATATCCCCATATCAGAAGCGGATGCACAAATCCAGGGATTGTGTAGGAAGGCACGTCAAATTTTGCTATTTTTATCGATTGCACTAGCTTCTGAAATGCAACTCTACCCCATGGATACCTCTCAAACGCCTCTTCATCCAAAACTCTTTTTGCAGCCACAAAAGGTATTCTACATGTTCGAGCAAGGCCATATACTCCAACGTGCAGCACAAACAACAAAGCAAGCTTCCTCTTCTGCTGATAATTCCACATACTGCATGTTTCAAACGCCTTGACCAACTCATCCCAGCTAGGACCTTCCCCTGATTTGATGCCCGCTAATTCCCAAAACTCAGTGTGGTTAACTTTCAATTCTCCTTCATCTTCAAACGGGTCACAGTTTAGCCTCGTAATATCACGAAACTCATGGAGGCTAAACCTTATGGGTCGGCCCCCAATTAAAGACCATATCTCATAATTGCGCTCAATTGCCAACTGATTTCTTAGAAGGTTATGGCATGTCTTCGCACACCATACGTAGCTCAATGATGCAAGCTTCAGAATCACTCCCACTTGCGAATTATTCATCACGTCGTTGTAAATGGTGTCCCCAACGGCGGAGTTGAGCTCTCCAAAACCACTGAAGACACAATTATGATGCATACTTCGGTTTTTCTCAGGAGATTTCAGGACCGGATACAATCTCGGTGGATATTCTTTTCTCGTCTTTTTTCCAGATGCCATTCTGCACAAATATGCAATTGCATTAAGCTCCTACGAAGATGAACAAATTACCAACAACTAAACGCTACTATTAACAAACAAGTCTACCACATACAAGTCTACCACTACTACATACAAGTCTACCACAACTACGTACAAGTCTACCACAACACATCGAAAAATTAATCCCAATATAAAGTCTACCATCACTTTTACATCTATCCCTAACAAATCTACCATTACGCTTAACAACTCTCATGAATTATCAATTACGAAACCCTATACCCTAAACCGCAATCAACAAAACCGCAATCAAAACCTCAAACAACCCTACCATATCGAATTTCAAAATTAGGGTTCTAGATTGCGAAATTTCTGGTTTATATCTCTCATTTACAGAGGCGAAGTCGAGAGTTTTGATTTTTGGAAAGAGAAGCCTCTCGGAAATTAGGGTTTCTAAGTTTCGCAGTGTTAGAAATTGATACCTTCGAAACGCCACCGCTGCTCTCTTGAAACGCCGCCGCTGCTCTCGTCGAAACGCCGCCGCTACTCTCGTCGAAACTCCGCCGCTGAACAGATGGAACGGAGGAAGAAGAAGAATTTGCAATCGCCGATGTTTAGAGGCGATTTTAGGGTTAATGAATTTTTGGTGTTTTTTTCGAAGAAATGTAAAAGTGATTTCTTTTCACTATTTTTTGAAGAAATGTAAAAGAGAAAAAGCAATTTCTTTTCACTATTTTTTTTAAAATGTAATGGCAAAGTAGTAATAAAAACGAAAATGAAACAAGAAAATTTTTCTCCACAATGGCACAGCCGTAAATAACTCTAACCCTCCAGAATAAATGGACTTTTCACCCTTTTTTTGAGATTCAATCTCTCAAAACATCATTCTAGTCATTACACTAGAATAAGAGGTTGTTATAGTCATTATCTCTTCTGGAATTGCTAATTGTGCTGGATTTTAAACAAAGCGGTAGTATAACAACGACACAATTACAAATTAGAAACCACAACATAAACTTATCATAGTTAAAAACTTAAGATTAGGTCAATTACTAGTTTTAATGATTTTTAGGTATATAAATGAAAAGTCCTAATAATTATATCATTGATCGTGCCGATAATTTCCAAGTCTAACAACTTTGCGTAGAAGTAGAAATTCTCCAGCCTGGTTGATTACTTTTGTGCCTTGTCTAAGCAAAGTAAATAGACCTTAATCAGTATTACCGATGTTTGCAATAGCTGTATAAAAAACTGAACTTCGCGTATTTGACTATTTAGCACACATAAAATGCGAAAGTTCGGGTAAGTGCACCTAAAATTAGGCCTGAAATCTTATTCCTTTGTTTGGTGGGTCAGCGCCGAACGTATCCTAAAATTTCGTCAAATCGTATGAAAGTTAAGGTGTAAAACCTAAGTTTTGTATTTAACACATGATCTTCATATGTATAGTTGACTTTGGAACAAATGTAAAAAAAAAAAAATCAGGTCGACTCTTCGTTCCACTTCCAGAGTCTATACCCTATTATTCAATATACATCAACTTGCAAAACCATACTTGACTTTGTCTAATACACTCCAAATACCTTGGTTTTCTTTTCCAACTTGTAATAATACATTTATATAGTTTGGTTGCAAAATCCTTAACGATCACAACCTCTCTCTCTCACTCTCTCTCTTTCTCTCTCTCTACAATGGGAATTACTGATCACAAGAGCAAGAAAGAAGAAGAAGAAGAACCAATGATCTCAAAGCCCTTGAGATTTATTGCCTTACAAAAGGGTAATCATGTCTTAAGCTCACTCTTCTTTGTCATTGGTTTCTCAATTGGTCTCTTCCTTTGCCTGCAACTAAAAGCCTTCCACATGTCGACGACGAAGACACAGCAACAACCCTTATGGTCCACATTATTCATCAACCACACAACAACAACGGAGGAGATCAAACAAGAGTTACAGCTGCAAGTACTTAAACACAACATGAGTGATCAAGAACTCTTCACCAAGGTCTCGTCCTTATCACCACCATCATCATCCTCATCCTCATTATCATCATCGTGGTTTGGGAGGAGACAAAATGATGATGAGAAGATAGTGGCGAAAGTGGCTTTCATGTTCTTGACAGGTGGCCGACTCCCATTGGCTGCTTTGTGGGATAAGTTCTTCGAAGGACATAAAGGGTTTTATTCCATATATGTTCATACTAATCCATCTTTTCAAGACCATTACCCTGAATCTTCCGTCTTCTACTCAAGAAGAATCCCAAGCCAGGTAAAAATATTAACTTGAGCTTTGCTTAGTCTACTTCTTTTGTCTTTTCTTAATAACTACTACTATTTAGTTACTTACCCATATACATGATTGGTACTACATATATAGATATATCTCTTAGATTTGACAGGTTGGTTTTGTCACGTGGCACGTGCATAGATCTTGATTCGACCCTTGCATAATGCTCCATGAACCCATTTGATATTATTCTAACATAGATTTCTACTATCCAACCATGACCACTTCTCCTTTATCGAGAGGACTAAATGATATTTTTAGATTGTTTTAACGTGAGTGAGAAATCATATAAATACTTTAAGATTGTTTTATCGTGATAAAAATAATAAAACTATAGTAATAATGATGAGTTGTGCAACGTTGTGAAACAGGCTGTATATTGGGGAACATCAACAATGGTAGACGCAGAGAGAAGACTCTTAGCCAACGCTCTCCTCGACGAGTCAAACCAAAGATTCGTCCTCTTGTCCGATTCTTGCATCCCACTCTTCAATTTCACAACCATCTACGATTACTTAACCGGCACTAATCTCAGCTTCATCGGCTCATTCGACGACCCAAGAAAATCCGGTCGAGGCCGTTACAACTACACAATGTATCCACAAATCAATATCACACATTGGAGAAAAGGATCACAATGGTTTGAAGCAACTCGCGAGCTTGCTCTTCACATCATTACGGACACGGTTTATTACAAAGTGTTTGATCAGCATTGCAAACCGCCTTGTTACATGGACGAGCACTATATCCCGACTCTAGTTCACATGCTGCATGGAGAGATGAGCTCGAACCGGACCTTGACGTGGGTTGATTGGTCGAGAGCCGGTCCACATCCTGGTCGGTTTATTTGGCCTGATGTGACCGATGAGTTTCTTAACCGGATCCGGTTTACAGAGAAGTGTGCGTACTATGGTCGTGACGGAGAGAATATTACGACTTCTACGTGTTTATTATTTGCGAGAAAGTTTACAGCCGAGACTTTAGAACCTTTGTTAAGAATTTCACCTGCTGTTCTTGGATTTGGTCCGTAATAAGTACTTTAAAATTGTGAGTTTTTTCAGTTAGTAAATATTATGCTAATATAAAGTGATTAATATTTTGATTACCTTTCGTGCAACTATAGTTTTGCTATTTCACTAATGATATTTTTGTCATTTGTTTCCAAATTTTCACTATCTTATATTCTTATTCCTACCCATATATTTTAATTTTGATCGATCGATAACCAAAGAAACGGTTTGCACCAAACCGAAAAAACCGTCAATTTGGTGGAAACCAATTGAGAAACTATTATCTTATCCACGATATTTTGTCGTTTTGTGAGCCTTTGTGCTCGCTCTCTCTTGAGTGACTTTGGCGAAAACCCAAAGTTGCAGACTTTACACTGATGCTAACTTCTCTCTTCCTCTCGGCGCGAGCTATACCATCTCTGATCACTAACTCCTCCTTAAACCCTTCAAATGGCTCGAAATCTCCCCAATTTGATCAATTTAGAGAAAACCCAGGACACTCCGATGCCACGATTAAGGTTCCGACTGCTCCGTGGATGAAAGCTCCTCTCTTGCTTCGACCCGATGAGATTCCCGACACTTCACATCGCCGCGAGAAGAGGAGCAAGGGAAAAAATGACGAGGAGAAGACGTTCAAGGCGTTGAACCGTAGAGAGAGCGGTGTCAGGGGAATGAAGGCGATGAAGAAAATCGTCCGGAAAGTTGAAAAGCTCGACGAAATCAGCGATTCGGAAGAAACCCAGATGGATGATCCTGGCGAATTCAAGCCCTTGGGTCGAATTGCGGAGAAACACGAGCTGGGGAAGAGATTTGGCGGTAAAATGCCATGGGAAAGAGAAGAAGAGAGGTTCATATTGCGGAGGACGAAGAAGGAGAGAGTCCGAACGACGGCTGATCTTATCCTCGACGAAGCTCTGTTGAGTAGACTGAGACGTGAAGCTTCGAAGATGAGAAAATGGTTGAATGTGAGAAAAGCTGGAGTTACAGAGACAGTTGTGAATGAAATCAGATCGATCTGGAAGTTGAACGAGCTTGCAATGGTGAGATTTGATGTCCCTCTTTGTCGAAACATGGAGCGAGCTCAAGAGATCATAGAGGTTTGGTTAGTTCTTAACCTCATTTTATCCATTGAAACTTGTGAAAAATCTTGACTTTCCTCATTTGTCATGTATTTAAGAGTAGATGAAGACTGGAGGCTTGGTTGTGTTAAGCAAGAAGGAATTTCTCGTAGTGTATAGAGGACCACCGAGTTATTCATCAGAGAAAACCAATTCGGAGATTAGCTTGTCACTGTACGAGAGAGAAGCTGATAGGTTATTGAATGGTTTGGGACCTCGTTATGTGGATTGGTGGATGAGAAGACCGTTTCCGGTTGATGCTGACTTGCTTCCTGAAGTGGTTCCTGGATACATAACTCCATCTAGACGCTGTCCACCAAACACTAGAGCAAATCTGAGCGATGGAGAGCTTACCTACTTGAGGAACCTTGCTCAAGCTTTACCATTTCATTTCGTCCTTGGTAATTTTACACTCACTGCTTTTTAGCTGTCTTCCTCACTTTGTGTGTGTGTGTGTGTGTGTGTTCTTCCTCAATTCCTATCAATAGTGTTTTTCTTTCTTGTTAAGGGAGGAACCATAGGCTTCAAGGTTTAGCTTCTGCTATCGTTAAACTATGGGAGAAATGTGTTATAGCAAAGATTGCAATCAAATGGGGAGCTCTTAATACAAACAATGAGGCAATGGCAGATGAATTGAAGGTAAGCTTTTAACTTTTTCTTTGGACCAGTTGATGAATACATTTGAAATTGATGTGGCTAATGCGACTTTTTGGGGCATCTCAGCATCTCACTGGAGGAGTTCTGATACTACGCAACAGATACTTGATTATACTTTACAGAGGAAAGGACTTCCTTTCTGATGAAGTTGCGGATTTGGTTGAAGACAGAGAGAGATTACTCGGAAGATACCAACATTTTGAAGAAACCAAACGTGAGAGCGATATAGGAATCTTAGAGGTGGTAACAAATGGTAGACAGTTGGAGGAAACAAGCAAAACCGGAACTTTACTAGAGTTTCAAGAACTTCAAAGAAAGTTCGGAGAAATGGAGATGGGAAACCTGGAGACTGAAGCTGAGAAAGAAAAACTAGAAAAGGAACTCAAAAGCCAAGAACACAAGCTTTCCATTGTAAGCCTTTTAACTTTTTTTTAGTTAAGCCTATTGTAGTATAAGGTCCATGAGTTGCTCTGTTTTTTTCCTGCAGCTAAGATTAAAGATAAAGAAATCAACTATGGAGTTGTTCAAATTGAATTCTTTATGGAAACCATCTGAGCCAGACGATGACATCGAGATATTGACGACTGAAGAAAGAGAATGCTTGAGAAGAATAGGGCTAAAGATGAGCAGCAGCTTGGTTCTTGGTATGAGCCATTATTGGCTGCTTCTTATTCCTTGTCCAATGCCTGTGAGATTGATTTACACAAGTGTCAATTTACATTTTTAAGGTAGAAGAGGAGTCTTTGATGGTGTAATGGAAGGTCTGCATCAGCATTGGAAGCACAGGGAGATTGCGAAAGTGATCACTATGCAAAAGATCTTCTCCAGAGTTGTTTACACAGCGAAAGCCCTTGAAGCAGAGAGCAATGGAGTACTAATCTCAATTGAAAAACTTAAGGAAGGGCATGCGATACTCATATACCGTGGCAAGAACTACAAACGTCCTTCATCGAAACTGATAGCGCAGAATCTTTTGACCAAAAGAAAAGCGTTACAAAGATCTGTTGCGATGCAGCGACTTGGCGTAAGTGACATGAATGACAAATCTTTCCTTTCATTAAATTTGATTTAGAGAAATAGAATGTTGTAAACATCATCTGAATTAATCTTTTCTCTGTTTTTTCTTTTTGCATTGTGGCAGTCACTGAAGTTCTTTGCTTACCAGAGAGAAAGAGCAATAGAAGATTTGAAGGTGAGGTTGGCAAGTCTTCAAGACTCATTCTGAGTTATGCTGTTGATGCAGACTGATTTGCAAGGAGGAGCTGAAAGGAAATAACTTGCTGGTTCAAGTAATCATTTCCTGTAATTTACTCAAATACTTTATTGAGTAATTGAGTGCGTAATTATCATGTGTATATATCATGTAAGGTCACATTATTTGGACAAAAAAATATATAAACACTGATAAATGCAACTTCATTACTAAATTTGTTAGATTGGGAAATATTAGGTGTTACAAGCGATTCAGCATCAATCTTCTAGAACTATTCATTTATTCTTAGGGACCGAGATCCATAATTTTGCATACTTTTCAAAAGTTTGTGAAAAAATGCATCCTAACTTTTGCTGTCCAAAAGATTTGTTTTATGCATTATATTCTTCTCTTTTTATTCTGTGGATAAACAAAAAAAAAGTAGTGCTGCCTTTACAGAATGACTATCAACTCGAGTGTTTGAAACCTTTACAAGCTGTCAGAATAATTGAAGGATCGGAGGAGAAGTTTTCTCTGAACCACACAAACTGCACAAAAAGATGATTGGTGGGCGACTAAAGAGAATCGAATCCAGTTTGTTCTGAGATAGTCTTGAGATGTAAAAATATAGTATTACTTGTTAATCTGGGTTTAAAATACATAAATTATTCATCTATTTGACATGGAAAGTGAGTAACTATTTTATTTTTTAATAAATGGATTTCTGTAATGACTTGTACAGAAGAATTAGAAAATCTTATTAGAAACTCAAAATGCCTAAATAGGACATTAATTTAAGTTCCTACAAAACCTACACCAGAAATAATAAATGCAAGAGCCTGCATGTAAAGATAAATATATAACAATGTATTCCCAAAGACAAGGTCATAGGAGGCACAACACAGTATGTATATCCCCACCATCATCTCCTTTGAATTTACTCTGCAACAAAACAAAAACAATTTCTTTAACCAAATTAATTTTAGTTTATTGGCATTATCTTGATGTTTGTATCATTGTATGTTGTATGCACCACCTCAAATTTTGAAGATTATCATATGAATAAAGAAGATAATCCTAAATGGTTTTCTTGTGCTTCGATTAATTTACCTTTCAAGAATCCCATTGCGAGGTTTTCTCACTTGAGGAAGTAACTTAGTCTCTAAAGCATCTCCTAATTTTTCTGTGACGACCCATTCGTTACATCTTCCTCCTTCAAGTAAGCCAATAAAAGTTCCTTTGGTTCGATGCATAGCCATTACATTCTCGAACAAGACCCAAAAAACCACGAGATAGAATGACCTACGTACATACCAATAATTCATATTATTGAATAGTGTAAAATTGTATAACAATTAAATGTTATGGATGTACTAGAAAGTGGTACTAACCTTGGTGTGGCAATGGCATTGAAGAGAGTGATCAGAAAAGGAACATACATAGTTGACCAAGTCGGAATGTGGACTTCGTGAAAGAATACGCTCGTTGGAAGAATGACGCAATAAAAAAAGAATGTGAAGAAATGGACAATGATCTTCCGTACGAAGAAGAAGCTGTAGATCACATATAATTTCTTCCAAATCGTCACTCTCTGTTCAAATTAACAAACCAAAACTGATGTTAGTGTCTCATGAATAATATGGGACAAAAATATAAAATGGTTGGCACGTGTGTGAAACAAAGTAAAATAGGTTGGAAAATAAAACCTTGTTGTGAATAATCTCCATGGTCATTTTTCTGAAGAGATTAGCTGGACCGCATGACCATCGATGTTGCTGGAATCTGAAAGCCTTAAATTGGCTTGGTAGCTCACTTTTCACCTACAACGATGATTAAAAGCTTATTGTTTTAAATCCAACTAGTAAATACTCTATTCTTGCTTTATGGAAAATGTTATCATACTGTGGATATATCATATCACTGTTTTAAATCATGTGCAGCTGCATAAAGTGTGTGCAAAGGCAACAACACATGTGAGAAACATTAATTAAGATTTGGACGGCTTATACGAGGTAAAAGAGTTTCTTTTAAATTCACATTTAATGAATTATAGTCCATAGAAAGAATATTAGGTACCGCAAGGTCGTGGATGAAGACAAATTTCCAGCCGTGTAGACCAACTCGAACTGCCAAGTCCATGTCCTCCACGGTGGTCCGATCTTTCCATCCACCGGCTTCTTCCATCGCCAGCAGTCTCCATACACCTGCGGTCCCTGCAAAACTCCAATCATATTTTTTTCTTTATTTTTATTTTTTTATTTTTAAAGTAACATAAGAAGAAATTTAATGTAAAGTGTGATTAGTTATAAAACAATGAAATTATAGAGAATATAAAAATGGAGGATCTAGGAAATAAAATATGAAGTGTTCTGACAAGAGGATAAAAGTATTTAAAAAATGTTGATATGGACGTACCATTGAAGCCAAAGAAGGCATGTCTAGTGGATCCGGATTCTTGCTCTGCCATGAAATGGTAATTGAGTGACATCTCCTGCATCCTAGTCATCAAGCACTTGTTTGCGTTCACTGCACCAATGAATCATTTCATCAACCATATGACTCTATACGAGTCTCAAAACCAATTGATGTACACAATAAGTGAAAATGATTTGTTAATATGACAATTGTACGTATTCATACCAAATTTCCATCGAGCTTGAACAAGAGCGAGTTCGGGATTGTGGATGAGGAATGGAACAGCGCGTTGGAGGTAGTCGGGATCTGGTTGAAAATCGGCATCGAAGATGGCAATGTAGCTGCATTGTTTGACGTAGCTATGCCTCATGCCTTGCTTAAGAGCTCCAGCTTTGTAGCCATTTCGATTGTCTCTCCTCTCGCATTTTATGTTTATGCCTTTGTTTGCCCATTTTACACACTCCATGCTCACCATTTCCTGCAATCAACACATTATAAATTTAGTATTAAATCATTTTGGTTATCAGAAATATTAGTATTTGAAAATTGTGAAAAGGCAAAAGAGAAACGAAAACAAAAAGACTTATTTTGTTGTGTTTCACGCTTTCATTTACAAATAATCAATAATAATCTTTAACAAGAAAAAAACTAAAATGTTTGTGTCTTTATATAATGTGAACAAAATTTTAATTAGTAACAAAATATATATGAAGCAATTGATATACGGACCATAATGGTGGGATCAGTGGAATCATCCAAAACTTGAACGATTAGTCGATCCAATGGCCATATGAGCCTGCAAGCAGCACCTATGGATAATTGAAAGACCTGTGGATTCAATTTGTTTAAAGGCTGCATCATCATTTATTGAATAATTATTTCAATTTATAAACTATTAAATAAATACCTCTCGCTCGTTGTACATTGGTATTTGGACAAGAACCATGGGATGGTTTTGATCTCCGAGCTCCAAATCCTCCTGCATTGCCTCCCAGCTGTAGATCTTTTCGGGTTTGCGTTTAAAGAGCTTGACATAGATTACCACAATGTTCATATAAACACTTTCTATGAAAACTAAACATGAGATGACCAAACATATAGCCACCAAACACTTGAACACTGGAACTATGAGTAGACTTATTATTTGTCTCCACCACGAAGTTTCCATGTTTATATAGGTATTCTCTTCACACCATCAACATATGCTTCAAGCTTCTCGAAAGTAGCAGCTGCATCTTCATAACTCCTTCCATGGAACTTCTCGCTAAAGAAATATAACTCTTCTTCTCGGAATGTGAGGGTGATATGATTGTGTAGGAAGAGGAAATGATTTATCATTTATAAATGGGTTTTTTGTTTGTCTATCAGTGACTGACTTGAGAGAGATTCTCTTTTCTTGTCTAGTTGAATTTAAGTAATATATCTTTCGTTAAAGAATTTTGTTTTCATTTTCATTCGTCGTCGTTTCACCGGATTATGTGGACCATAGATCTTAAACATTATCATAGCTAGTGGGAGCAACAATATGAGAAAGGGACCAAACTACCACTCGATCAGTCTCGCTATTTTTATTCATAATTTTCACGTGATAGTTTACTAGTAACACTTACTGCTCAACCCCGCACTTGAACGCTATCTTAAAACTTTCATTTTCTTGAGCGGCTAATACATGATTTATTTTTAATTGTAATAACATTACATGTTTACTTTATCAAAACAAAACAAAAAACAGTACATGGTTTATGGGTTAGACTACAATAGTTTTAATATATGGACTGATATTTTTAGTATATAATTTGAATGTGTGCACGAAAAGGTACATGATTTATGTTTGGGTTGAATTCAAATTCAAATTAACATTTATAGTTTAATTTTATAAGTAAAAATGACAGCTGTAATCTCGGGAAATTTAATCTGAAGTAAAACAACCACTGTAAAATAAGATAAGCAATACTGTAATTTTGAGAACAACAACAATTAATGATTTGTCTTCAATGGCAAGTTGGCAACCGTAGCATTTCCTACTACAGTAGTTGTTTCGTACGTAGGAAAGAGACAAAGAGTTATGAACAGAAACATGTTTTCTTATTTCTCCCTATGTCTCAAACCGAAGCGCAGTGACTGACTGATTTGATGAGAGCTATCTTTCAATGGTGTATTGCACTGAATAACGAATAGTCTAGCTGTTATAATCTCGCAACTAAATAAATTTGATTTTGTTCTTTGTAAAATTAGTAACATTAAAAGATAAATTATTAGTTAGCAACAGCTACTATGCAGAAAAAAGGGTACAAACTTCTATGTTTCTATTTTTATAATCCCAAGCTCTCTGAACAATGGCGTTACAGGACGAAAGGTATTTACTTATACATGTCTCTATACAATGTCCAATACTAATTGTGTACTGACGACAAAAGAAAATGGAAATGTCCAAGTAATATTTAATTAAACTATAGCAAGAAATGAAGAGACAGATCTGGAAAATGTCTTTGCACTAACAGAAAGAAAAATGGCCCACTTGACTTTTGTCCCTTTCATAAACAAGCGGCAAATGTCAACCATTATTGTTCAACACACGAGTCGAATAGTTAGTTTTGTGAGCGGTTGTATTCCACGCGCTAAAATTAGTGGCTGAGAAATATGTATCCGGGTGAGCCCGGCCCAGAAACCGAATCGGGTTGGAGCCAGTCGTGTTAAACTGGCCTGTCTGGACCAACACAATTTAAGGCCCATTAACATATGGGCTATTTGAGTCTACTATGAAGCGGGAAGCTGAGATGAACAATTTCATGAATGAGATGCATACAATTTACAGAGAGATATTGGAGGAGAAGTTTTACTTCGTTCTTTGATATTACAACTTGACAGAACAAACAAAGGGTAAAGACAAACTTTAGGAAGAAGCAATTGTGTGTCTCCAGTTTTCTCCTCAGACCTATTGGCTCATTTTGCACTCCACGACCACGAAACTAAAAATCCCAAATCATTTTTAGGAGCCGTTGCGAAATATTCAAAACCCCCTTTTAGTGTATATGATATAATGATTTGTTACACGCCAAAAAAAATATACTTCACACGCCACATTATTACACGCCAAAAAGAAATTAAAATATATTTTACCCCGCCATGTGGTTAGCTTGTCTTGTTCTATTCAAAAGATTCACTAGATGAGATCCACTGATATTTTTTTTAAAAATAATGTACCTCGAACATTTGTTTTGTTTTGCTCGTATTCATTTCATGATCTCTAAGTAAAATAATTAAATCTAGCTAGTATTAGTCTGCAAAAAAATATCATAATCGTAGTAAGAACAAAAAAACGGCCATGGAAAATATGACATTTCAGAACTATGACATCTCTCATAAGCATTTTATATGTTTTGTAACAGAAAAAAATACCAAAAGAAGTTTATTGTTCAGGAATAGAAACAAGCACTGGTCGCCAATGTTTTCTAACAATTCTTAACCGAAATGATTGAACCGAACCGGTGGAACCAAATCGCCGACCCGTTAACTCTCTGCCGTCACCGTTAGAAGTAACGGAGTCGACGGTTACCGGCGGAATCCCGCTCCTCACTTCTCCACCGCTGTCTATCTCTTCTATACCTTTGAACGGCGGAGACGGCGATGTTACCAAGAGCTCTTTCAATTGACGCCTGCCACGGTGGTTTCCCCTCTTCTTTTTCCCGGAATTTCCATCCGATTCCGGAGATTCTTCAAGGATCTGACGTAAATTCCGTCTGCGACTGTCGGAGCTCTTCTCGAACAACGTACGCAGGGTTTTGCGTCGCCGGAGATCAAATACAGGGCTCTTCGTCGGACTCATTGAGGGGTTACTGCTGGCGGCGGATGCTTTGAAGCTACGACTTGCCGCGAAAAGCTTGAATTTGTGTAGGCTGGAGAGTGACATCGTGGGATCCGACGGTGGATCGAGACGATCGCGAATTGGCAGTCCGATCGCTCTTCTTCCCTTCCCTTTGTCTTTTTTTTTCTTTCTGTCACAACAGTTATAGAAAATGCGAGAAGTCAGCAACTTCAGTAACGGCGATGTATTTATATAATTATTTTAAAACTACGGATAAAATTACGTGTAAGTATATGTAACTAATTAATTATTGGTAAACTCTTACAAAAATCACCAGTTTATTATATACATTTAATTTATTTTTTTGTGATGTTTCATTTTTAACTTGTAAGCCGGAGAATTTTTCATTTTGCAAAGCGAATCATCTAGAAGTGATTTAGTCGCTACTTGCTAGTTGACTGATAATTAGTTTTTTTATGACACAAGATAAAGCAAGTAATGAAGTACTTTTGGTTTCAGACTTGCATAAACCGGTTGTCGGAATAGAGTTTATTTTAAGATCGCGAAATGTCTAAACCACGCGTACGAGGCCCACACTCAATTTCTTATCGAGCGATTTTGGATTAGAAAAACATCGACCGCTCCAAATATTCATGTCCTTCAAAGTTCTAGAGAATGAACACTGCATTACGTACAAAAATGATATTATTAATAGACAGTTCATAATGGGAAAGGAGTTGGAACAAAATTACCCTAGCTTTTGCTATTACAAAAATTACGAAATTCTGAAATGGATGTAATCTCACTCAGAATATATATAGAAGAAATATTAAATTATGTATAAAAAAAACATGGTTTATATTTGGCTTAGTGATTTTGCGGCTGTGTCTCATCTGGGTTCTTGGCTTTACTCCTTAGCATCTCAGTGAAGTTGCCTCTCATGATACGTCTGAATCTTGTGTCTTCAGTCGCAGCAGCCACTGCCTTTGGTGACTCAGGTCCCTGAATTGTAGGTGATGAAGGTGAAGCCACAGTGGTTTCGGTTGCTTCTTTCTTCCCCAACAAGCCACCTTCTCCAAACAAGCTTGTAACAGATGATGCAATCCCCAAGTGAGCACCCATGGCTTTGCTGATTGCTTCAAATGCCCCACCTGATCTCTCCTTCAGTATGATCTCTAAAGCTTCCTTGTGAGCAGGATCGAGCGCGTCTGGATCTTTCAATAAGTTTTGAATCGTTGGAAGGAGGTATTCTTTGACACTTGTTTGAGACAGATCTTCGGAAATATGGTTCAAACAAAACGAGTTAGTCTTTGGATCATTCAAACATGTAAGAAGACGAAGATGAACGTTTTGAATCTGATACTCTTACCGGTTGCATCGAGTGCACGAATGGCTTCACAGTAAGCGTTAGCTCTTTCCCGGCGACGGTTTACGTCTGTTGACGAGCTTGGGTTTGCTGAAAGTTGGAAAATCTGGGACAAAAGATAGTCTCTTAGCCGTTCCGTTGTGTGTGGAATGGCAACTATGAGTGCCCGAATGACTGCGATTATAGCTTCATGAGAACCATCTTCGAGAAAAGCATCCATCTGGACTAGGATTTTATCAACAATCTGCACCACATCAGAGTTGATTAGCGTATAAAGAAGATCTTTAGATAATTCGAGAGTTTATTATGTATTCTTACCATGTCGACTTTGAAATGCTGTGCTACAGATCCAAATGCATCTATACTTGCGTACTTCACATTCAGGTTCTGGTCCGAGCCAAGAGTGATCAAGGCTGGTAAAACATTGGCTGAGGCAACTTTTGCGTCGATGTATGGAACCTATTGCGAAAGTAAATAACATAACTTCTATTAAAAAGGAAAAAAAAATGGGAAAAACAGGGAAAGTGTGTGTGGTTGAGAAGCTTACGATGGTCTTCAACAACTTAGCAGCGTTGATTTTGAGTTCTGCAGTGGAATCAACGATCATTTCCCACAAAATGCCGAATATCATGTTATGGTGTTCTTCAAATGTGCTGCAACGTTTGAAGAGTTCATTGGTAAGAGGAAGCAAGCTCCTAGAAACCATAATAAACAGTCAAAGTTTAAAAAAAAAAAAACATACCAAAGGAAGCGGACTGCATCCAAAATCTCGTTATTGTGCTTCGATGACTGGTTTTCTTTTGTTTTGCTCTCGACTAAGAGTTGTCGTAAGAAGTTTGTTAGCTCTTCGCGTTTACTTGGTGCACCAAGTACTCCTGCCAAAAGAAGAGGTAGAATACAAAGAGTGGCAAGCCTACTGGCTACAGCAGTTCTTGGTTTCAGGCCTGTAGAAAGGGATCAGAACTCTGTGTCAGATCCTATTTTAGAGATTTCCGTGTTGCTATGTATTGAGCAAGTTGGTAACCTTTTATCCTTGGATGGATTGCAGAAGGTAAATACCGAAGATCAGCCTCATCATCTCCAACGGCCACCAAGAATACAGGTAACTCAATGTGAGTTAGGTAGAAACTTCCAAAACGTTCAGATACAGACAAGAGAAACTGCAACCAGCACGAAGAATTGTTAAAAACTAGTGTTATAACAAGTTATCCGATTTAGCAGTTCAACACAAGCCACACCTTCGTTATCCGATTTCTCAAATGGTCTTCCTTCTGGGGTAACATGCATGCCAATTGTAACAAGTTAGCGAAGCAATCAACATGCATCCATTCAAACATAGGCCACTCAGAACGTCCCCTGGTCAGATAAGACGTCGTAGTATGATTATATACAACAAGATGTCAGAAACTAGATTAACTTTTTGTGTTCTTGAGGACGTGAAGAAGCTTACTCAGCATAGGTCTCAAGCAAGGAAACAGAGAATGTAGATTCCTCTGACTTTGAGATAGAAGAAAAAGGACATGTTGCCATTGCCTTCTGGTGTACAGCTGGAAGCAACTCCATAAGCATTCTTAGTAGAACATCAATGTTCCATCGCTCCCGTTCACCTAAGACTCGTAGATGAGACTCCAATGACCCTTCAACTCCAGAAACGGGTGGGCAGTGCTGCAAATGAAAATGACTTAAAAGAGCTACTCCAAACAACCACTTTCAGTAACAATCTTTAAATAGACAGTGTATTGAGTCTATACCTGAGCAGAGCTCAATGTGTGAGAGAGAAGAACCCTCAAGATATGATCCAGCCTGTTACCCCACTTTATCAACGCAGGAAGTAATTCTGTCAATGTGGTTTCAACCACCAGGCCAGATGGATCGCACATCAACTGAAACATCATCTCCTCAACCTAGTAAACAAACAGAAAACTGGTGTTGTAGCATTTTGGTCTATTATATGAACAGAACTTCTTCGTTAATGTCTCATGCAAATGTAATATGCACCCTTCTCCTAGAAGTTCTGTAATCAGCCTGTTTTAGAGCTTATGCAGCACCCACGTCAGTCAATACAAATGTAGTGAAGCTGACCTTGAAATATTTGTCCGTGTTCGGAAATAGTGGAAGCAACAATGCAAGATTATGAGCGGCAGCCTCTCGAACAACGGTCGCAGAATCTTCTAAAAGTTGTTGTACGATAGACAAAATAAGTGAGTCACGTATCTCAGGGCGGACATACTCTGCAAGTTCCCCGCATGATTGAGCAACTAGCAGTCTGCGTTCTTCATATGTGTGACTTATCTTGAATAGACAAAACCAACAAGCATGCAATAACTCATGTCAATAAAAAACACAGAATGTTCAAAACGGAGGCAGACAACTTGTAAAAGCAAGAGTAGCATTCACCTGTTCCCAGCACTGTGGAAGCAATTCAGTTTCTGTTCTCATTTCCCCAACATTCCTTGATAGGCTAACACATGCCTGAGATAAATAGTAAAAGGCCTCAGGCTCAAAATGATACCAGTCTTATTATGCACAAGGAAAGCTTCTAAGTTAAAACAGTAACCTACGTCCATGATAATCCGCCTCTGCTGTTCATCTGGGCGTTTGATCAGGTTGAACAATGTATGGGTCAAGGAGTCTCTTATACTGCCATCTGGATGCCGCTCAATTGCACACATCATCAGGGGAAGAAGTTCCTAACGGTCAAAGAAACCAGATCATTAATATTCCGTCCACCATACTGAACGGTAAAACTGGAAAAAAGAACTCAAACCTCTCGATGGTTTATCAGAACATATGGAACAATCTTCGGCAAAGCGTCTGCAAGTATCTGAATTGTTCCTAAACCCTGTAAAGGAATGGAGAACAAATTATTCAAACAGTTCAGACTGCATTTTGTTGACACAACGGTAGCATTAGCATAGCATAAGTAAAGCAAACAGCTACGCGGACTGCTACCAGTTTTGCTGATGACAAAACATACGCGCTTTAAAAGTAGTCTAGATCAATAAGAAAAAGGTAAAAATAACAAAGAATTCACGATATATGAGGAAACACTCTAAAGCGTGATCAAAGACTTGCCATTTCCTCAGAAGCAGCTTCACCATTTGGAGTTTCCGATTTTGAATTAGAGACACGACCTATTCCAGGATCGACTTTCAAGATGCTCTCAAGGTCTTTGGGTGAAAAGTTACCGTTTGATGGATTTAACAAATAGTTTGAGACTTCTTTCTGGTTCTCCAAAGTATTATTCAAGGTTTTATAAGATACAGTGCTGGCCTCTGCTGCCACCTCGTTTTGATCAGCAATTATATTTTTAACTTCTTCCTCCACCGTCTTGTCTTCTGTTTGTATGCGCCCTTCCTCAGCAGATATAGAAAGTTCAGATATCAAGCCACCATTCCTTTCCACCGTTTGTTTCTCAACTTCCTCCGGCAGAGAGCTTATCTTTTCTGTTACATTTTCCACGGATTGGGATTGTACAAGATCACCTTCATTAGCTGACACATATTGACCAGCACGAGACCCTTCGATATGCATTTTAAGAGAAGTGATCTCAGCTCTACAGTCATTGAGGTTCCTCCTCTGATGCTCTGAGGATTGCTTCAAGCTTTGCACCTGAATACTATCAGTGTCATTTCAGGTATTTACGTTCCAGATGTTAAAGTTCCTATTTCTGTAATAAGTCCAGTCTATAAAAAAGACTACCTGCTTTTCTCTGTCCCTAAGATCCTTCTGAAGTGATTCCGTAGACTTGTTAAAAGTACTGATTTGCTCTTCGAAGTTTTCTTTGTTCTTAAGTAGTCCATCCTTTTCTTTGCTTAGCCTTTCAATCTCCTTTTTCAATGATTCGTTCTCCTGAAGCATGGCTATTTTCTCCTGCATCCAAGAAATTGTGAACCATGAGAAATTCGTATAATTAAGCATACAGAACATTCTGGTGGATTTTTAACCTCGCAGATGCTCAAATAATTAGTATGATTCTAGAATATAAAAAGTTATACTTTAAGCAAAATTTCATTCTATATAATATTAACCCTACAATCAGAATAGCGTCAAGTTTACAGAAGATTTAAACGTAAGGAGAGAGAAGTTGGTTCTGTATAAGACAATGACGTCAAAGATCTAAATGTCAAGGTACTGATCTTTCTGACACCATCAGTTCAAAGTGAACTATAGCCATGCGAATTAAGCTTTCAGGAAATAACCTCAGCTGCCTCTGAAGTTGATGAAAGGTACTGATAGTAATAATAGCGCAAGGCATCAGGCACGCGTGCTGGACTGTCCTGCCAAACGTCCAAGTTCTGGTCTGTGACCTGAGATAAACAAATCATAAATTATACTCACAAAGTTGTTTCAACTATAATATCAGCAGTAAATAGGTCAGACACTTATGTACTCTCCTGGAGTTGGAGATAAATAAGTTACCTCCTCATAAAATGTCATTGCTGTAAGTCTGTAACCTGCTAGAAGAAGATACTCTTTCACTGCACAGTTTAAGTCTCGACGTTCATTGTTCTTCAAAGGCCCTATATCAGTGAAGGAGAAATCTTTCTTTTTCCGTTGAATTTCTGGCCTGTTGTCTCCAAAGTCATCTGAGTCCAACTCTGAGAAATATCGAACAGTATGAAGACATAGTTTGGTGATTTAGTTGCTACCATGGTGGTACTGATGAAAGTAACAAAGGAAAAAACTTATATGCATTACAAACTATGGTTGCATATAAAAGAGAAGAGGAGATGGTTAATGCAATGGAACTGAAAAGCAAGACTAACAGCTACTTATTGCAGAGAAAACTTGGATATACATTCAAGGGACTGCACTTGAGACTAGAGAAAGAGAAAGAGCATGATCAATATTTCAGTTAACTAATCAATACCTTTCAACTGTTCAATCGAACAATCAGACTTCTTCTGTCCTTCAGCTTTCAATCTTGCAATATCCTCCTGAGCTAGACGAAATTCATATTCACTGATAGCTAACTTCTCTGATAACGCTTCTTTCTCCTCCAACAAACTTTGTGGATCCGCAACTGCATTGCAGGGTAACAATTACTTGGAAAACATGTTCATGATCAAACTTTTACACTTAAATAGCTTTATTAAGTAAGACTAAAACAGGGGAGCTACTTCACATTATACAACAGATCCCCCAAAACGATCTCTAGATAACAATGCGATGCTGAAATTCACCAGAGTGTATATACAATACAAATGCAAGGCGAAGAATTAGAGCGAACCTCGAATTGAATTATACCGAGAAATCTGATCGGGAGGGAAACGTGAAGGATCGGAGAAGAACTCCTTAAGACGAATCGTTTGGGCATCGCGGCCATCGTCGAGGAGCTCGTGGAGAAGCTCAAACGCCGTCAAGAGGTAGTTCTCCTCCATCAGGAAGTTCACAACGAAGTTGCACAGCGACGATCGCTCCGCGTTCATGTTTTGTTTCTTCTTCTTTCGCAGGGGACCCTAAAACCCAATCAGAGGAATTCCCTCCTTCGTTCCAATGTCACCGTGCATTCCGAAAAGAGAATTCAAACTTTCTCTCTCTCTCGATTCGATCTGACGCGCGCTCGATTTCTTTTTACCAGATCGTGACGGGTGTTCTCTCGCCGAGGAATCTCTCCGGTAGGGGGTGCGGTGGTAGGAATCAGGTGCAGCAATGTCTACATAACTCAGAGATTCCGATTGTGTAACTAGTGAGCTACCAGAGACACGTGGGCGGTTCAGATCTGATAGGCAAATTCGTAAAAAAGTCAACGTCAAACGTTAGTCTTTTGTTGCTGAATGCTGAAAAAGAGAGGAAATGCTAAATTGCAAGTTTACAACTACTGCAAAATGTTGAAGTTTACTGAAAGAACATAATTACCCAATAAGTTACTGAAAGAACTCGAAAACCTACTAATCTATGATAGAGTTTTTTGTTGGGACAAAATTACTAAAGATGACATAGTAGTTTTCTTTGTTATTAACTTAGCCGATTTGATGAACAACCAAATTAAAGCACGATTTTACATAATTGATTGGTAAGAAGTGTAAACTTGTAAAATATGTAGCATAGTTATAATCCGCTAAATCATCCGTTCAAAGTTCTGATTTTGTGGTAACGTTTGCTAGTTGGCTAATCCGCTAACCAATGTACTTCTTATAGTAATATTTTATGTTCTGGAGGCATTGCTTTTTTGGCAGATTTCTTTTGTTTTAAAGTTTCTGCCGAAAATTAGTCATTGTCGTAAGTTTGAGGAGGGAAATAGACTTTGAACGTTTTAGGAACTTTCCCTTTTCTTTTGCTGTTTTTCGATTTAGATTCATCGTTTGAGAAACATTTGCTCATAAATGTTACTGAAAAGGTAAGTTATGATTGTTAACAAAAAAGAGATAGAAATAGTAGTACGCTTTCAAGATTCTATAAAGTTTATAAACTAATTAATACTCCACGTACTGACGTACATTACAATTTACACACACATGAAACAATCTTAGCAACTACATAACCTTTTAGTATTAAAAAAAAAAATTACATAAAAAAACAGTACAGACAAGTAAATCTAAGAATTGTAAAAACACATAACTCAAAAGCTTTTTATAACTATGGAATAATATAAATAGATTAAAACTTTCATTCTAACATTTTCAAATAATTAATATATTACAAATTTAGCTATGAACATTGATTATATATGTTATAGAATCACATAAACACAACTAAAAAAAACATTTCAAAAAAACTATTGTCAACAAGTTAAGTTCCTAACACGGTTCGGGAAAAATTCAGAATATAATAATTAATAATTATATTATTATGTAATGTCAAATATTATGATTTATAATAATTTTACGTTATGAAATCACTGTTACCTAAAAAGGATATCACTTTGTCGTATATTCTATAAACATGATTAATAAATATATTACAACGTAACGTTCATAATATTTTAAAAGAATTTTTACCTTTTTCTGTTATTTATTTATTTATTATTTTTAAATCAAATAATGTTTCTTTCACACACTTGATAACCTTTCTCTCGTTTATTAATTATTTATATTTTTTTTATTGGCAAATTCAGTGAATCAATGTTATAAAAAACTAAATTTTATTACACGACAAATTTACTTTTAATTTTCAAACAACTGGTATAAACCGTCAGTTCCATGCTTCCGCACTTTACTCGCATGCGAAAGCATAGTACCAAAGATAAAAAGCTAAATCAGTTTTTTGTGAACCGTCGTCGGTTTCATGCTTACTCACTTTTAAACAATTAATGAAAGATATTTAGACTAAACAAACGAATTTTAATCTAAGATATAAATCTATTAACGAGCAGACAGAACACTCCAACTCAAGTCAACTCTTTTTGTATATATATGGAGAGAGAGAGAGATATTCCTCCTTGTAACGCACAAACACAAGCGCAAGACAGATAGAGAGAGAAAGAGAATCAGAGAGATCTGTTGAAGAGAGAGAGAGAGAGCAAGATGTCGATGGCTTTGCTTTTGTCCTCGCCGTCGATAACTTGTCCTCACCGGGGCTTGGGATCTTCTACTTCTCGTCGTCTTCGAGTTTCGTGTGTTACCACGAACCCTGCCAGGTATTAATTTCTTCGTTTTTGACTTTTTGTCTTTCTGTTGTTTTTACTTATTTTGGATCTTCGCTATCCCTTTTTCCCATTTCCTTATATTTATTAAAAATACACATCAGAAATTAGTATCATCATTTTCGATTTCGCTGTTTTTCTATTTATTCTGTAATTATGCAGATTTAAATATTTCCGTCATTTCCAAAACACAAATAAATACAAATATATATTCTGGAGTTTTGTTCATGACCTTGACGTTTTAGATCAATTTTGTCTTTTCAAGAATTTCATATTCACGATCGGAGGTCTTAATGTTAGTATATACATAAGCATAAACACGTAACGTTTAATTAAAGTATCAAATGGAACTAGAATTTCGTTTTTAAAAACATTGGATTCCACGATCCGTGTTAATCCCATCGTTCGTATATCATGTCAACTTTTTTTTTTTGGTCCACCTGAAAACTTCTTTTTATAATGCAGAATTGCCATACTTTATGTACACATGCATAGCTTGGTGTTTGGTTTCACACGGATCATGACTATATAGATAAAAGTTTTATTGATTCTCTTGAAGTAGTTTAGTGAAATTTTAGTCATTTGCAATAAATTTTAAGATACTTTTAGGTAATTTAAACGGTTGATTTACAAGTAAAGTATAAATTGAAAACTTGTTAGGTAGATTATATTTTGTCAGGCAAAGTACCATTCTACCTAAAATAGGCTAAGTTGTTGCTTTTTATTTTAAAAAGAATTCAATCTCCAATCTGGAAACAGCGACCCAACGCCTCCACTCTCCCTATAAAGCAAACAGAAATGGACCAATCAAATATATAAACAAAGTGCTTTATATATATACTACTAACATTTTTTTTTGCAATTAACGAGTCATAGGGAAAAAGGTAGATTAACAATTGCATTTCGTAATTATTAAACTAAAAAATAGAGGCATATAATGGTTGTGTTTCTCTTATTGTTGTTGTTTAATTGTACTATTTACTCTTTAATATTTGTTGTACTCTTAAAAGATATCGCAAATCTTTTCTGGACGTACAAAGGACCCATTTATGTTTGATATATATATAATCTATGTGTTTTTTTACAGGAATAAAAATGAAACAGGCAATCATTTTAGACCCATCAAAGAAGTAAATAACCAAATAACACACACAATATCACAAGAGAAGCTTGAGATCTTCAAATCAATGGAGAATTGGGCAGAACACAAACTACTACCTTATCTCAAACCAGTGGAAGAGTCATGGCAACCACAAGATTTTCTGCCGGAGCCGGAGACCGACGACGAATTCTACGACCAAGTCAAAGAGATGAGAGAAAGAGCAAAGGACATACCTGATGATTACTTTGTGGTTCTTGTCGGAGATATGATAACAGAAGAAGCACTTCCAACATATCAAACGACGTTAAACACACTTGACGGCGTTAAGGACGAAACCGGTGGTAGTTTATCTCCCTGGGCGGTTTGGATTAGAGCTTGGACAGCTGAGGAAAACCGTCACGGTGATTTGCTCAATAAATATCTTTATCTAAGTGGTCGTGTTGATATGCGACATGTTGAGAAGACTATTCAATACCTCATTGGTTCTGGTATGGTAAGTATTCACAAACTTTATGTTATTAACTTATTACAGTACTTAGTTGGGGTAATAATTCTTATTTTATTATTTTTTTGGCGTCAAATTTAAATTCCTTCACTGTTTGCTGAAACATTTTAGGATTCAAAATTTGAGAACGATCCTTACAACGGATTCATCTACACTTCCTTCCAAGAGCGAGCGACTTTCATTTCTCACGGCAACACGGCGAGGCTAGCCACAACCTACGGCGACGCAACCCTCGCGAAGATCTGCGGCACGATCGCCGCCGACGAGAAGCGACACGAGACGGCTTACACGAAGATCGTGGAGAAGCTATTCGAGATCGACCCCGACGGGTCAGTTCAGGCGCTGGCGAGCATGATGAAGAAGAGGATCACTATGCCAGCTCATCTCATGCACGACGGAAGAGATAACGATCTGTTTGATCATTACGCGGCTGTGGCGCAGCGAATCGGAGTTTACACGGCGGCTGATTACGCTGGGATCCTAGAGTTTCTGTTGCGGCGGTGGAAGGTGGAGAGTTTGGGGTCAGGGCTATCAGGGGAAGGAAGGAGAGCACAGGATTATCTGTGCACCTTGCCGCAGAGGATCAAGAGGTTAGAGGAAAGAGCCAACGACAGAGTCAAACTTCAGTCAAAGTCAAAACCCTCTGTTTCTTTCAGCTGGGTTTTCGGTAGAGATGTACAACTATAGAGATGTTTTTACATAATAATCAACCAAACAAATAAATAAATTACATTTGTGAAAAAAGATATGACTTGTGTTGTGAGTCTTGTGACTTTGATTAATCAAAAATTTCAATCAATCTAAAAAAAAAATCAATAAATTCATCTGTACTCTCTGTCATATTTTTGAACTAATGATGTTTTATTTTCCAGTAGTACTAAAACAAAAATGAGTAGTTTTTAAAGAAACTTGAACTGTTATGATGACATAGTAAAAGTGTTTTTGGTCTCCTTTGTTTGTTGTAATTTTGTAAACTACCGACATACAAAAATCTTTGTTGCGTACTATGATTTTGCTATGACAATTTCAAGGCCCCTATGGATTATATAATAATATGGCCCATGGGCCTATTATATTTTTTTTTCTGGAGAGAATAACGACAAAATTAGATTATAGGAGAGGAAAAATTAGATCCAGATTCCATACGGAAATAATGGCACTGAGGTAATAAAGTGCAGATTAGATGGGCATTTAAGAGAGCAAAAATATAGAGTTTTGCATTTAATGTCACTTTGATAAAATATCACATCACGTTGCAGAGTTTCTGAATTTGTTCGTTTGTTTTCTTCACCTTTTTTCCCGTCTTTTTGCTTTCCTTCTTCCCTCCTTAAATAACAACATACATATTCACTCTGTTATCATCGAAATTTTCCCATTTTGGTTTCCGTTTTCTTCCTCAACCTCTCGTCTGATTGACACAACTTTTACCGTTTAAATTTCTGAAGAAGGGGAAAACAATGGCTATGGATCGGATCGCTTGTTTCTCTTCGTCGTCCGTTTATCGTCGTTCTTCTCATTACCATGGCTCCAGATCTTCCAGAGTTTTCATGGCTTCCACTATTCGTCCTGCATCTACGTGAGTTTTTTTCGATTCATTTCGAATCATTAGCTCCTTCTCTATTTTGTTTTACCCTGATTTTTGCTGCTTTCAATTTTTTCCTGAATCCGGGGTTTTCCAGGGTTTAAGTTTGAAGCTATATCATAATCTACATTGAATTTTATCCAAAATCTATGTTCTCTGTCAAATTTGTATTAAAATGCAGGTGTATTTCGTTTTGCAAAGAATTTTCATACATGAACACGTCCGTTCGAATCTATGACCATATGTCATACCTTTTCTTCTTCTAAATCATGAATCTGTTTAGTTTTTATGTAAAATGTTCAATTCAATTTTGTTTTCTGCTTAAGTTGTGGACGTGTTTGGCATTTTTTTAATACTCCGACAGGGAAACTTTGTCCTTGCTTAAAACCAAAAAAAAAAAAAACTTTGTCCTTGCAGCAATGGCAATCTTTGTCTTTTATCAATTGATTTTTTTTTTTTTTTTGTGTGTGTGGTTTCTAATTTCTTTGTGCTTACAATTGCAGTTGTTCAAATATATGATACTCTCCATATGCATGCATGGATTGTTGTTCCCTTTGAAAAAAAATTATCATTTAATTTGGTTGTTGGCCTATCAGGCTACAATGTTCATCAAGTCATTGTACTTTATTACTAGTGCAAGTAATAGCTTTTAAATAAAGTCACACATTACACCCAAAAATAAAGGTAAAGGCTTTTTAAGTCTTTGCTTTTGGTAGATGAGAGTTTCCTATGCCTATGCATATATTGCATATATGTATTTTCACTGTAGTTGGTCAAGTTAGGTCTGATTTTTTTTTTTAAATTTCTTGCTACTGTTCTGGTCAGAAGATTTGTGATTTAGATCACGCTTGTCTTGTACTGAAATTTACTCCATCGGTCTAATCATCTGCGGTGAAAATTGAATCACGCATTAGTGTGTCTTTCAAAAACAGTTTCTTCTCGTGTTGGCATCTCCTTTTTGGAAGTGTCTTAATGACAGACTATAACTTTGTTTGCAAGTTTGTTTCCTAAAGAACACGTAACCCTATCATCTAATTCTGGTGGTTGTGTTTATAAAAAATATATTGATCATTTCTGGAATTTGCAGAGAGGTCACAAATGGAAAGAAACTACACATCCCTCCTCGCGAGACTCATGGTCAAGTGAAATATTCGATGCCACCACAGAAGCTGGAGATCTTCAAGTCTTTAGAAGGATGGGCTGATGAGAACTTGCTGGCTTACCTAAAACCTGTTGAGAAATCTTGGCAGCCGAGTGATTTCCTCCCTGAGCCTGAGTCAGAAGGATTCTATGACCAAGTTAAGGAGTTAAGAGAGAGGTGTAAGGAGCTATCTGATGAATACTTTGTAGTGCTTGTTGGTGATATGATCACAGAGGAAGCTCTTCCGACTTATCAGACCATGATTAACACCTTGGACGGGGTTAGGGATGAGACAGGAGCAAGTCCTACTCCTTGGGCGGTTTGGACGAGAGCTTGGACTGCTGAAGAGAATAGGCATGGAGATCTTCTTAACAAGTATCTTTATCTGTCTGGAAGAGTAGACATGAAGCAGATCGAAAAGACAATTCAATATCTGATTGGTTCTGGAATGGTAAGCCATTGTGTTTGTGTCCCTTTTTGTTGTATGTCTTGTTACTGTGTCTTACGCATTGATTGTCTTTTTCTTGTTTCTTAGGATCCAAAAACTGAAAACAATCCTTATTTGGGTTTCATCTACACTTCATTTCAAGAAAGAGCTACATTCATCTCCCATGGAAACACAGCCGGGCTGGCAAAGAAGCTTGGGGACTCGAAACTCGCGCAGATTTGTGGCACCATTGCTGCTGATGAGAAGCGCCATGAGACTGCATACACCAAGATTGTAGAGAAGCTCTTTGAAATTGATCCTGACACCACAGTGTTGGGATTTGCTGACATGATGAAGAAAAAGATATCGATGCCTGCTCATTTGATGTACGATGGTCGTGATGATAATCTGTTTGACCACTTCTCGTCCGTGGCACAGAGGCTTGGTGTCTACACTGCTAGGGACTATGCTGATATACTGGAGTTTCTTGTGAGACGATGGAATGTGGAGAAGTTGTCAGGCCTTTCTAGTGAAGGACATAGGGCTCAGGTAACAACAACATCTAGAAACCATGAAACCATTTTCTCTTTTTTTGTTTTGTAGTATTTGACTTGAAATGAAATCTCCAAGTTCTATTGAGTTTCTTTGCAACTGTCTTCTTCTGGAGACCACAGAAGGAAGAACTTTCAAAACGTACCATAGATATATTACATTATAACTTCTTTTTGTGAGATTTCTGACTTTTGGCTATCTTGAATTGCTTGGAACAGGACTATCTCTGTGGATTGCCAGCAAGGATCCGCAAACTTGAAGAGAGGGCTCAAGGGAGAAACAAAGAAGCTGCAAAAAACGTACCTTTCAGCTGGATTTTCGGTCGGGAGATCAGGGCTTAAAGGAAGTAGTATGATGCAAATTTCTTCCACATTATATAATGCAAGCCCAAGCAAGCGGTAAGAGACCAGAAGAATGTTGCAGTGGACTTATGTGTAGATAAAATATGTGTTTAGCCTTCTTGTTTGAAAATGAATTCCCTCAAAAGAATTGCGCTGTTTTCACTATTTTTTATTTATTTGTGGTTCTCTATTTGTTTGTATTGTATCCAGTTCTGTAATGTTTTTGTTTGCTCTCAAATCTAATAAATCGTAATTTAAAAGTTTGATTTGCATAGTTCCTTCATGCTTTACAGAGAGATCACATGATGTAAGAACCTCAACTTTCTTCATAAATGGTCTATTTCTCAGATCTAGATTTCTATTATTATAAATGTTCAGCTTGGTTGTTGTTGTCTTTTGGTGCTTCTGCTCAAGTTCGATTTGATTTTTCACCCAATTCGAATGTTTGTGGTCTGGAGATTTGTTACAAGCTTATGAAAGAGAACAAAATAAAGAGCAACCCATAAAGATTATAGGAAACATATTATATATATGTAGTAAGATCATTGACAAACAACAAATACATCGAAAAAACAAATGAACAAATCACATTACGACAGATCAAAAGCCAACATTTGATTCTGATACAATACCATAACTCTCAGATCACAAAACAAAAAAAGACACACATTTCAAACTTGGAACGGCCATGGCCAATCCTTAGGATTGTCCTCACTCTGAACTTTACCGGTTCTCTTCATCGCAACTCCTCCACGGCTATCACCACCATCGACATAAGCATAGTACTTCATGAAGAAAGCCAACACAAGAACCACCCAATCAAAACAGAATATCACAATGCAGAGCCCACCACCGAGTTTCAAAATCACAGCAGCATCTTCCTCACGCACATACGATTTGAGACTCCCCAGGAACTTCGATGTGTTGGTGAAGATGAGAACAGAGACGGATCCTTGGAAAATCGCTGTGAGCACGGTGGTGATCATGTGAGCAGCGTACCACCGGTTTCTCCCGCAGGAAGCGGCGGCGCAGCCTGAGACAGCGGCGGCGATTGTGGTGGCGTGGAGGAGGATGAGGAGGAATCCGCAGATCGATGGGATTAGACGGAGAGAGAGTGTGAGGAAGATGCAGCTCGTAGCGGCACCGAGAAGGATGTAGTTGGAGAAGAGGAAGATCTTGTGGGTGTGGGTATGAGATTCGTCTAGTGATGATGAAGAAGAAACAAAACCCATGGTGATTTTCCGACAAGATTATCCGACAAGATTTTTTTCTGGAAATGTCGAATATTAAGAAATGGGTTTGTTTCTGAAGTAGGAGAAGAGAGTGATTTGAGGATTTGGGAAGAGCAAGAAGGAGATCGTTTATGTAGAAGAGAGAAAGAGAGATTCAAAACGGTAAAGTTTCTAAATATGACCGTTGGATCTCAAAACGGCTAGTTTCATTTGTTTGTTTTTTTTTTAATTATGTTGAAGTTAATAAGATGGGCCCAGTGGGCCGTGTTTGGGTTAATGGTTATCCGAGACAAGGATAAGAGTTTCTCTGTATCCAACCAAGGTCAGGGGGTCTTCTACCGTCTTCCTCCTGCTTCCTCCTTCTCTCGAACGCGTCACTCTTTTAGTCGGTTTTTTCGTCTCAGTGTTCGTGATTTTTGAAAGTTAACGAGGAAAAAATGTCCGGCTCCGATAATCTACAGCTTCCACAATCATCGACAGGTGAAACCCTCCTCTAATTCAAATATCTGACCTACTTTTTTCTCCGTTTTTGCGAGGAATGTGTTATGAAAGTAGTGGTTTCGTACAGGTTTTGTTAAATGAAAAATTGGGAGGGATTTCGAATTTCTTTTATTGTGTTAGAGTTCCTTAGGAGACTGATCAGAGATGGATCGTTGATGAAAATTGATTTGTGAAGAGAAGTTGTTTAAGGGTATTAGGAAGCTGAGAGCAAACATAAGTTTGCTTATGGATACCAAATTAGATAGGTCATATTGGGCAATCCAGCTTATTTGTGCAAAGAGGCGTCATATAGAAAAGGATTTGTTTCTCTTCTCTGTTTTGGTGTTTCACTGGGAATGTTGGAGATGTAATATGTTCTTCATGATGGCATTGCTAATCTAAAGATGTGGCATGCAGGGACTGATGTTGGTTGGTACATTCTTGGTGAAAACCAGCAAAACCTGGGCCCATATACCTTCTCTGAACTATGTGGTAAGTGTTTCATGTAAACATATTCCTTACTGTACCTTTTTCTGTTGGTGTAACGGGCTATTAAGCGGTGTGCTTTGCTTGTTTGCTTTGACTGGGCAGACCATTTCAAGAATGGTTACCTACTAGAAACTACCCTAGTCTGGGCTGAGGGAAGAAGCGAATGGCAACCACTTTCTGCCATCACCGAGTTAATGTCAAGGATTTCTGGAGCTGAGGTTCACTATCCAGCTGGAGGTACGATCCGTTGAATTCTTGCACCTTGTCTCGTATAGTTTTGTTTCCTAGATCTATGGAACTTACTATCTGGTATCTTACTAGGTGCATCTGGGTTGATAAATGGATCTAATGCTGGAACCAAGCAAGAGAAGAAAGATAGTACTGGTCATTATGTTGTTTCTGCAGCCACTACTAGTACTGAGGATGAATATGAGAAATGGCAGAGAGAGATTAAAGAAGCAGAAGCGGAGGCTGAAAGGTTGAAAAATGGTTCTGCCTCGGATAGCTTTGATAATGAGCTTGTTGAAGATGATCAGGACAGACCTTCTTCGCCACCCGAGGGGGAAGATGAGTTCACAGATGATGATGGCACTATTTATAAATGGGACAAAACTCTTAGAGCATGGGCTCCTCAGGTGAGCCTTTTTTCCTGTCCACTGAAACATTCCGTTTTCCCGGTTTCTACTGTTTTTATGGGAATTCAGGTTGTCCACAGGGAAGTTCAAGTAATGAATAGAATAGTTTACTTGTGTTATCTTGCTTGGTGGGTCAAGGCTATGCCTTATCGCTCATCTACTTTGATTATCTCCCATATTTTTAGTTTGTGTCAATCAAGATTTACTATCAGGAAACCTTAGAAGCCTACTTGTCATACTATTTTCTCTTATCTTTGCTTTTCTTGTTTTGGGTTTTTCCTATGGAGCACCTTTAAAATAGATATATGAGTAATATAAGTGCTGATGCTAATTCTTGTAGAACGAGCCAGTGGTTAGCGTTGACCCGTATGGACTCGAAGAGATGACCTTTGCTAAGGAAGACGAAATATTTCGAGCGATAAACATTCTTGATACTTCTGTTGATAAGGAGGATGCCTCTAAGGATGATGTGGCTGCTAAGAAAGAAGAAGGTGTCTCTGACGATATTGCTGAAATAAACAGTAACGGCAAGAGAAAGCTGCCAGAACAAGAAGAAACTGAAAAGAAGGTTTTTGTTTCTGTCTTTTCTCTTCATTTTTGTTTCTTTAATCATAATTTCTCTTTCTTGAGGCCATGCATGCTACATCACGATTTTTCGCCAAATCATGTTTGTTCTCACTCTTCTTGACCTTGAGGTGTGAGAGGCTGGATTTCTGGATTGGATAGTATTGATTTTGCTTCAGCTTTCTCGACCATTCTTAGAGATGATACTATATTAGGACTAGCAGAACACTTTTACCTTCATTTTTTATATTTACTAAAAATGCTTGTTTGTGTTGTTTGAATCAAAATTTCTGCAAGTGTTTCTAAGTTTCAAAATCATTTTCAGGAAGCAAACAAGCCTCCAGAATCGTGGTTTGAGTTAAAAGTAAACCCACATATCTATGTTACTGGGTTGCCCACTGATGTCACCCTCGAGGAAGTAAGTTGTGGTCGTGGCTTTTTCTATTATAATGAATATCTTAAAGCTTTAAAAGGAACTGATAGTGGGGACATCATTTACAGGTTTCGGAAGTTTTTTCTAAATGTGGCATAATTAAGGAGGTAAATCTCACTATCTTTAGTTTTTTTTTCTGTGTTATTTTGGAGTCTTGTGTAAGTTCCACTTAACAATGTATATCTGATCAACATCCCAGGATGACACTGGCAAGCCTCGCATAAAGCTTTACAGTGACAAGGCGACGGGAGAATTAAAAGGCGATGCTCTTATCACGTATATGAAGGTAATGATAATACTTGAAGTTTTTCCCTCCTTAGAGGTATATAAGGTTCTGATTCTTAGACTGTGTCCTTGTTTTCTCTTCATGTGTATCTGTCTTTGTTTTCATTAGGAGCCATCTGTGGATCTGGCAATTCAAATCTTAGACGGGGCTCCTTTTCGTCCTGCTGACAAGCTCCTCATGTCAGTTTCGCGAGCTAAGTTTGAGCAGAAAGGTGAACACCGTTGCACATTAGCTGTATCACATATGACTAGTTTTTGGGTTAAGAAAACAAGTTTTCCCCATCCCTGGCTTTGGTTTCTACAATATTTCTTATTGGCTTAACTTTTTTCATTCAGGGGAGCGATTTATAACTAAGCAAACCGACAACAAGAAGAAAAAGAAGCTTAAAAAGGTCGAGCAAAAGTTGCTTGGATGGGGTAAGTTTTCGCCTGTGTGTGCTAGAAACCTATCTTTATATCTGATTTTTTTGTTCAAAGTTGATTTTAGTATAAAGAAGCTGATTTTTTTGAAGCTGGATTCATATTTATTGTGATGGCGCTGTGGTTTCTTTTCTTGGCATAGGTGGTAAAGATGATGCGAAGATCTCGATACCTGCGACGGTTGTTCTGCGCTACATGTTCAGCCCAGATGAGATGATTGTAAGGTCTTATCCAATATGTTAATACGAGAAACGTAGCCAGATTTTAGGTACCTGATATAGTTTGAGCGTTTTACTCTGTCTGCAGGCTGATGAGGAACTGAGTGCCGAGGTCGAGGAAGACGTGAAAGAAGAGAGTTTGAAGCATGGACCGTTTGATTCAGTGAAGGTATATAATATGTCGCCTCTTAAGCTTATGGTTTCTTGTAATGATGTCTTTGTTGAAAGTTGAGATGATTTTTGGAGTATCAATCGATTTCTCTTCTTTTATTACAGGTTTGCGAGCAACATCCACAAGGGGTTGTTCTAGTAAGATTCAAGGATCGAAAAGATGCACAGAAATGTATAGATGCAATGAACGGTCGATGGTACAAACTCTCTACAGTCATTTCCGCCTAATCGCTGTTTGAGTCGGTCTTGTGTTGTGATTTGTTGCTTACGCGTTGATCTTGTTTCCGGGTGGATGCAGGTATGCAAAGAGACAGGTACATGCAAGCCTTGACGATGGATCAGTGAACCATGCCGCTGTTCGTGATATGGATTTCGAATCCAAACGGTTGGAGAAGTTTACAGCTGAGCTCGAAGCTGAATAAAAGCAAAATCACTATAACCATAGAGACTTATTTGTAAAATACTCTGCTTAGTGAAGAAATTTGACAACATAACCTTTGTTTTCAGTATTTTGGAATCTGACTCTTTTTCATTATCTGTAGTGAAACTATTTTAGTTAACGAATGAGAGTATATTTACGTGAATCTCAATATTTCGTTGACCAAATTTTCCTACTATGTAGTATGGTTTCATAGAAAGTCCAAAATAAAATATCAAATTATGTTTCGCTGTTTTCTTCTCTTTCGTCTCACCTGTTGAGTGATGAATTGATGATACTTCTCAGCTTTCGAGTGATGATAAATATAGCAAAAATATATGCTAAACATCGAACTTTCTTAATTCGTATCATCAAAAAGGCCTAATATGGCTAACATTCATTTTATGAAACTCGTTTCCAAAAAAAAAAAACAGAGGAATCGGCTTTGTTACATAGTCCAATACTTGGGCCTATATATCTCATAATCTCACACAAGAATGTTATCAGTTCTCTAACAAAAGAATCTTTTTCTTTTGGTTGAGTTCGGAAATTTTCATATTTCCCGCAATGAGCAGAGAAGGCGCCGAGTTTAAACGTTTTGGGAAAAAGGGAAATTATTTAGATCTATTTAATTGAAGTAAAAATATACAGTTAGGCTAGTTGACAAAAACAAAATTGTTGGACTAAATGATCTAAATCTAAAGCTAAGTGGGACCCTCTCGTGTCCTAACCAATAAGAGCACGACTTGTTTCACGAACTCGTGTTCCTTTGCCGCACCAAATCCCTCATTTTAATCAGAAATCAACCAAAGATCCAATTTTCGAAACTCTTGCATATTGCAAATTTACTGTCCTTTTTTTCTTTGGGGTCGAGTTCGCTGTTGTCGTGTCTGATCTCCGACATCAAAGAGTATAGTCTGAAGATTCTGCTTCTCCTGAATTGGGTGTGCTTTTGAAGTTTCCACGAATTAGGGTTTCCACGAGAACTCTGTTCAATCGAGCTGCTGGAGTTATTGAACTTGAATTGGTGAATTCTACGGTAATTGACCTACTTTATCTCTGTATTGTACTTTCGAAGCTCGTGAAGTAGTCTAGGACCGTCAAGGGTCTATGCTCCGTCGAAATTGCGAAGCTTTTGTTGTCAATTTGAGCTAATTTGGGTTCTCTTGTCGAAAGTTGAAAACTTTCTCTGTAGACATATATTGGGTTGAAGATTTCGTCGTATGTTACTGGGTCGGAAATGGATTTAGTTATTTGGTCAGTTTTCAAAGCTCAATTTAGCTGTACGCTGAAATTTCTGACAAGTTGGTTCCTTTCTTTTTTGTTGAAATGTTAGGGTTTCTAAATTTAGGTGTCGAGGAGGAGGAGGAGGAATGTTTTACTCTCAGTTTATATTAGCTAAGAAAGGTCCACTTGGGACAATATGGATCGCGGCCCATTTGGAGAGGAAGCTTCGGAAGAATCAGGTCGCTGATACTGATATCGGCGTCTCCGTTGGTGAGTCTTTGTTGCTTTTGCTGATTAGAGTTAGCAGAAGCTAAATTTCCATTCTTTTAGTGATAACGCTAATAGTTAAATTCTCATCAAAATGTTTCCTAATTTGACCTTTTTTTTTCCGAGCAGATTCTATTCTCTTTCCGGAAGCTCCGATTGCATTGCGATTGTCTAGCCATCTTCTGCTTGGTGTGGTGCGTATATATTCGAGAAAGGTGAATTACCTCTTTGACGATTGCAGTGAGGCATTGCTTAAGGTAAAGCAAGCTTTCCGCTCTGCTGCGGTTGACCTACCGCCAGAGGAATCCACAGCGCCGTATCACTCAATTACGTTGCCAGAGACGTTTGATCTTGATGATTTTGAGCTTCCAGACAATGAGCTCTTTCAGGGGTTAGTGTTTTGATGTTTCAACATTCATACTCGTTGTTTTCCTTATTTGATTAAGCTATGGTAATTGGAGTCTTAAAAAACGAGCTTCATGCTCCTTGTTTTCTTGTATAGCAGTAATTACGTCGATCATCATGTTAGTACAAGAGAGCAGATCACCCTTCAGGATACCATGGATGGTGTTGTATACTCAACATCGCAATTCGGATTAGATGGTCAGTTGTTGTTTCATGCTATGTGCCTTTTCTTTATTGATAGATGTGCCTTAGATAACTAAACTCTTTCTTTTTTTTATATATATCTCTCAGAGCGATTTGGTGATGGCGACACTTCTCAAGTTGCTTTGGATCTTGACGAGGTACTTTCTTATTCATGGAACAGAAAAATTCTATTTTGTAGCGTCAGGATGATGTTGATGCTTTTTTTTTCCTAGTGAAGCTTCACTCTTATTATTTGATTTTGGGTGAGATCTTTTCTCACCCCTGCATTGTTGTGTAGGAAGTATTCCAGGAAAAGGATGTTATTGGATCCGAGGATGAGGGAGCTCCAGGGTCAGTTTATGTGCATTTTCTATGCTCTGTGCTTTGTAGCATAATTGCATTTTTGCTTCCCTACGTTATAATTTTTTTTACTTATGAAAGATATTTTATTTGATGATAGCAGTGATCAAAATGCATATCTGGATGCGGCAACACCTGAGAGAAAGGATGCAATGGCAGGAGTTTCTGAAGCGATGCCCAGAGATTTCAATGAAGAGCAGGTGCGTACCATAATGCACGAGGGGCATGCTAATAGTTGCTGGACAATTGTCACCTGAGTCACAATGCTTCATTTGACATATTTTGCTGTGCCTGAATGTGATTTTTGCAATTATAGACACAAAGTTTCCAGTTTATATTTCCACGAACTTATTGGTTTAATTTTCTGGTAAGACCATTGGAAATTTTTATGAGTCTCTCTTTCTGATAGGTTGAAGATCTTGCTATGAGTAATGAGTTTATAGAAGATGCTCAGGCTCCTCAAACTCCTGGACTAGTTGAGGTGCCAAACTCGTCTAGTGTCAGAGAGCAGCTGGCATGCGATGAACACACAGAGGTAGAGGATGTGAATGCAGAAGAAGGGAGGAAGGCCTCTGGGGAGCTAGATGCTAATGAGTTGCATAGACGTGATGAAGACATGTCTTCTGAATTTAATGCCGGAGACTCAGCAGTTACTCCCATGGAGGTGGATAAGACGCATGAAGATGAAAATGTCAACGCACAAAATGAGCCGGAAGAGGAGAGGGCAGAGCATGTACATGTTACATCTCCATGCTGTTCTCACATCACCACCGAGATGGAGGATCCTGGTCAAGTAATGACTGAGGCAGGAACCAACGTAAATAATGTTGAAGCTGATAAGTCAGATGCTGTTCCTCCAGTTGAATCTCCTGGAGAGCATTGTTTATCCCAGGAGCCAAAAGATCCTGGAGAAGAAAACCAAGGTTTGTTGGCAAATAAACCCTGAGTTATGGATGTAACCTAATGCTAAGTCTTAGTGCATGTCTTATTCTGATAAACTTTTATTGTTTCTGCCAGATCATTCTGCCATTGCCACTGAGGTCAACCAGGAAACTGATGAGCAGCTGAATAATGCGCATGCGACTGATGAACAGTTGGGAAATTTGACTGGATTTACTGATTCTGATTTGCCTGCACCTGAGATAGTGTTAGCTGCGCCTAACGGACTGGGGGATGAAAATGGTTTCATGGTTGAATCTACGCCAGATAAAGAAGGCCAGGGCACATGTAACGAAGATGCAGGAAATAATAACATTACTGGGAAGAAGCGCACTTTTACTGAGAGCACACTAACTGCAGAAAGTTTGAACTCCGTTGAGTCGGTTGGACTGATTCAGTCAAAGAGAACTGCAGATTCTGTTCCTGATGACGATGATCTGTTGTCTTCTATCTTAGGTATCAGTTTGCTTGGTTGCTTTGCTTTTCCTTCTATACATTCTTTGCTCTTGCCTATATAAGGAGGCCAAAAGGGTTTCTGAGTTTACTTTTAGTTCTCCCTTAAGGTACCTTTCTGAATGAGTATCATTTACTCTCTTTTATCAGTTGGAAAGTCATCTTTTCTGAAGATGAAGCCTACCCCTGTGCTAGAGTTAGCAACTACGAAAAGGTTACGATCTGCTCCCCGTTCTACTGCTACAAAGAGGAAGGTTCTAATGGATGATCCTATGGTCTTGCATGGCGAGTATGTTTTTTTATCTCAGATTTACTTTTATTTTTTACCTTAGCTTCTATTTCATTGCTCCTTGTGTACCTTTCATAAAAGTTCTTGATTTAGCTGCAATCTTTGCACTTGGGTGCAAGACAACTAAACTCATTAGTAAACTAGTGTGAATCTTGATTTTGTTGGGCCAAAAAATTTTGGATGCTGATTTTTTTTTTTCACTGTTCTACAAATTGAAGTTTTGTCTTCTTTTAGGTCTCACACTTGGAATTACTTTGGAGCAAAAAAAAATTCCTCCTTTGTCTTATCGATTCTGATTTTGCCTACTTTTCTGTTTAGTGTTATACGGCAACAACTGACAAACACTGAAGATATACGCCGTGTGCGAAAGAAGGCACCTTGCACCATTACTGAAATCGTAATGCTTCAAAGGCAGGCTTTGGAGGATGGACTCTTGAAGGAGCCAATATTCACTGGTAAGTTCACTATGCTAAAAACTAGATCGGTCTGTACAAGTTCTATTGATTGTTTTTGTAAACTGCAGCCACACAGTTAATATGTTAAAATGATTTTCAGGTATGTCAGTGGAATTAGTATCTCTGCACAATGAGCCGTATGATCTAAGAGGAATCGTGATAATCGAGAGTGATGACCGTCGTGCTTCTGTTGGAGTGGTGGAAGATGATGAAGGTTCTGTTAGGGCCGTGGAAGAGAATAAACCTGAAGAAAGCTCTGCTCCTCAAGCTTGCCCAATTGATTCCTCAGAGCAACCTGTTGAGGCTACTCACTCAGAGGACCAACAGGAAGAAATGAAAGACGATAATGAACTTGGTGAAAAAATATCTGACTTGGAAGTTTTAGAGGAAGGGAATGGAGCTGCTGATGAAGTAAATCTTGTGGTGAATGATGAGATCAGTCAAATGCCACCATCTGAGGACAAACTCGATCCTGTAGAGGATTTACAGGTGGAAGGATCCCATGAAAACCATGATGGAGGCCTAGACGGTCAAGATGTTTGTGCTGATCTTAATGCAAAAAGTGGCACTGACGTTATTGAAATTGCTGAAGACGATTTAGATGACAACGCTGTTCTCAATGAGACGGACTTGAAACTTGAAGATGAACTTCCAAATGAAGATAAGAAGGCGGATGCATCAGCTGAAGTTAGCGAGATTGGGATAGACGACCAAACTCCATGCGATAACACTATTGGTTCTGTTGAAAATGGATGCGTAGAAGCTGGTGATTTAGGTAATCTGGCTTTGGAAAATTGCAACGAACCTCTTGTCGAAGCAAATAATGATGGGGTGAATCCAGAGATAGAGTCTGATAACAGATATGAACCGCATAGTGAGATGTTTGATGAGGAGGCTTATATGCAAAGTGCACTAGATGCAGAACCTACTTCTCGTGATGGTCTTATGGGAGATAATGATGTAAGCTTCTTTGTGGCTTCATATTCCTTGTGCAAGTAAAACATGACTCTAACTTCTACTTGTCTTGTTATCTTATCCTGTAGGAAATGGATACCATGGAAGTTGCACATGACACAGGTTCTAAGCCTTTTCGAATTTCAATTGAGTTTATCCAAATAGTCTGTATCTCTATCCTCTCGATGACTCTGGCCATCACAGCCTGGTTAAAACTGGACTAAACAAGTTTAAACTCTTGAACATGATTTAGATATGTGAGATGCTGCTATACCAATGATGTATCAATGGTTTTGCTTATAGTTTATTCCACTCTTGTCTCTTCAGGATTTTTGAACGTGGATGATGACGAAGTAGATGATGATCAAGAGGACGATGGTGATGAAACTCGTCTTCTAGAGAACAGTGGATGGTCTTCTCGTACCAGGTCTGTATTTTATCCACATTCCACAAGCTAAACTTCCGCAAATTTCAGTTTATACTTAATTATATCATCATGCGAGAGACAATGATGGGTCTAAAGGATTGAAAGCTTCATATTCCTTGTTCCTTATAGGGCTGTGGCGAAGTATCTCCAGACGCTATTTGATAAAGAAGCTGAGAATGGGAAGAATGTTCTTGTGGCAGACAAACTTTTAGCTGGTAAAACCCGTAAAGAAGCATCGAGAATGTTTTTCGAAACCCTGGTATGTCGTCCCTAACACAAGTAATGGATCAAACTTGTTCAGCAAGATGATCAATCTCATTCAACAAGATGGTCAAGTTTGGTGTTTTGATGGTTTTTCTTTGCTTGCCAATTTTGCAGGTTTTGAAAACAAGAGATTACATCCAAGTTGAACAAGCTAAGCCCTACGAGAGCATCGTGATTAAACCGAGACCAAAACTCACCAAATCCATCTTCTAGACGGAGAACGGGAGAAGATAAGTCAAATAGTTGCAGATAGGTAGTTTGGTCCAACCCGAAAATATCATCCGAAATGAGTCTCCTTCTCTAAAGTTATACACTTTCCCTATTTCAAGGCAATGTTGTAGTAATAGTATCAGTATCATCAATGGTGTTTGTAGCTTAACCATCCATTTAGCTGGAGGTTAATGTTTGTCATTATTTTATCTTTATATATATGTTGTACTGATGTGTATATATATTGGTGCCACCGTGATCACCAGTTTAAATTTGAGAGATGCTAATTTTATGTTCTTTGGATAACTGAAGGTTTTCCAGTTTGTGATATCGACTTGAGGCTGCTGAGCAAACATTTTCTTTATTGAATACACAATTTTCAAATATTGAATAAAAGTGCTCTGTATGTTTCTTGTGGAGTGGTTATTTAGTCACGTTTATCAATTCTGTGAAAAAAATATTCGGTAAATCAAGCTGATTTAACACAATTTTGGGACAGCTTAAATCAAAGTAACTTCAGATTAGGCAAAATACAATACAATAAAATCAAATGGACCAGCATAATCTCTGTGGTTTTTTAATTCCATAAACAAAAAATAAAATTCATCTTTTTTCCTTGTGGCGCAGAATATAATTTATCTCTTTCCTACTAAAACCATTTCTCGACAACAATTGATACAATCAAAATTGAACTTTCAGACGTAAACCATACAGAAACCATCAAAATGAATACACAGAGGACAATGACACATCACATATTCCCACGCTTTACTAGTGGACAGTGGACACATCCAACCATTAGAGAGAGGCTATAAAAGCTCACTCAGACTGAAGAACAGTAAGGTAATAAGGATAGCCTTGACATGTCCCTGATGATGTTGATGACGCCTTTCCATGCCCCGAAAGCTCCCAGTTTAGATTATATGAAGATAGATTGTAGATACCTGGAGAAAACACGGATATCTGCAGCGGGATTTCGATTGTGGACAATGGCTGGATTTGAGCCTTTGTGGAACTTAAACCTGACCATATGAAAGGAGGCGAGGTTTCCATGGAAGACGGCGATTTTCCCAGGCGGCTTGCCATCACATCCGAAGTAAGTTTCATTTCCTCTGTTACGGTTGTCAAGTATCGCCACCCGGATTGGTTTCCAGAGGAAGGAGTTGGTGCTGCTGCGTCTGGTAGGCAATCAGTGGTGTTGATGCTCACAGATGATAATCCATCAGATGTGTTTCTGATTGTCATCTTTAGTTTTATTTCGCACAAGGAGGTCGAGAAGTCGTGGTTTATGGTTTGGGGACCTTCTAGTGACCACGAGAGCGGGTTTGAGCTTCTGATACTGTAATCGAACATGGATGATATTAGAAGTATGGAAAATTACGTTTGATAGCTGAAGGAAGATACTTTTTGCGTATACTCTTACCTATTATGACATGAATGGTGAGACAGAATCTCTGCTGATGAATTGCTGCTTTTTGCCAGGCGAGAGATTAGAACGAAGTCAACTGTATTCGGATTTACCTGTTTCATAGATGCAAATATGAGCTTACTTAAGTTCTGATGATAGAAAGTTGCCAGTGAAGTTATGTTTGAGTGAAAGTAACATATACTATAAATTAATATCTAGCGCATGACATTTATGTCCATGAAAGAGGATTTAAGATTACCTGATCTGAGGCTCCCTGGCATGACCTTTCGCTTTCATGGAAGCTTGCTAAAGGTGAGTTAACAATATCGAAGAGCTTTTCATCGTCATCCTGAGTAAACAATTTTACGTCGGTTTGGCTGGGAGGATCGGACGTGGTTTTCTCTTCTTCAGTTCCTGATTTTTTGCAATCCTGAAATTTGAACAATAAAATATAATTTCAGATCTGGAAAAGCGAAAGACCAATAGCTACTAGGAGTGCACTAAATGAACTTTCTATGAACGAACGACCTTTATCATGAAGAAACAAGATAAAGCTTGCCCAGCGAGTAGAGACTTGGAAGGTAAGATTGTATCAACCGGCTGAAGCAATGAGATACCCCACCGGCACCCAACTGTTGACAACTGATAAATTTGGAAAGAATCTGAGTTCGCACGGTTCACGATATCCATACGCACAAGAAATTCTTGCAATCTTGATGGAGAGGGGCTGATTTTGAACGAGGTCTCCAGAGATGGCAAAACCTAGATGAAAATGTAAGATATCGAAATGGTTAGACTTGTTGGCCAATGCAAATCTGTCTGTGCCATAGTCAAATTTTAAAAACAAAAATTGCAGCCTGAAGATTTATCACCTGTAAATTATAATGCATCCTTAGAGTGCGGTATTTCATGATGCTTGATACATTTTCCATCTCATAGTATATTGTAATATACAACGCTATCGTTCCTGGGATGGCAGCTCGAAGCCAAAGAGGCCACCTCAACGATCTGTCTCGTTGCAGTGATACATCCTGAAAGAGACCAGCGTTCAGGACCATGTTAGAATAACCTGATATGCACATTTGAGCTTTAGGCTTGAAGAAAAGGTTTGCCACGGACCTTTGGGAATGCAAATACACTACTTGGCCTAGTTTCACGCTGAACAATATTTCGTTCATCGCCCTTCTTTAAGCAATCTGGAAATTCAATTGCCAGATCTTCTTCATGATTTCCAGGACTAAAACATCTAGGATGGCTAATCTTCATTTTGAGATTCTACGAGGACAGACAGAAATTGTTAGCACAAGAATAGTCCAGTAGATATGCATCACATTATTCGGGCATCAAGAAAGAATCCATCTAATATACCAGACTACAACAAACTAAATTCCATAGACAAGTAACAGCCACATAATAGCAGACCAATGTGAATTAATTGGCTAAATAGTAGAGACCATAAATGATAAGGGTCGGTCAGAAAAAGAAAACTACCTTTATTGGGGATTCTGACTTATTTTTTAACTCTAAAACAAGATAACGTAGATCTCCAGCATGCAATTTCTCAGGCAGATGGCCAATTGAACCCTCAAGCCTGGGCAGACTCTGCACAGTCAAATGTTTTATACTTTAGAGGTCACAACGACTTTTACAAATCAAACTATATGGGAAAAGTTTGCACCTTGATGACTAAAAATTTCAAGGCATCGGTGGGAGTAAGTTTGTTTTTCCTTCTTCCTCTAGCAGTTTTCGCCTTTACAGGCACGGATTGGAAGTAATGCACACCTACGATGGAGCCAGACAATTCCCACCTTACACCGACAATTTTGAGGATACCTTCTTCACTGGGGGTAACCGTGAGTCTCACCTAGAAGAAAGGCGTAAACAAACCATTACCAGCTAATAAAACCTCAGAACATATCAATCAATCTAAGTATCCAGTGTAGCTGACTGACCAATTTTTTCTCGCGTCCAGCTAATGTTAAGTCCACTTTTGACAAAGTGAAAGAAGAGAAACCAGAGGCTGTACCCCTGTAGTGTTGTTGGCATAGACGACACAGCTTAATCATTCAAATATAAGGTCAACAAAGTTGAAAGAAACCTGAATGAGGAGATTAGCTGCTTACTGATTATGTTCTGGGGAACTCTCAGGCCCCAAGCTTGAGCTACTTGGCTCTTTATCTACTTAATAAAGTCCAAATGTGGAAATAAGTTTGGCATATACAAACTGAAGGATGAAGAAAATTTATAAAGTGAACATCAGATAATAAAATCAGCTTACCTAAGTTTAGGTCATCAGAATTTGCGGTAAGCTCACAGATGAGAGAAACGCTTGTTATGGAAGTAGAGATTAGCAATGGATTCCTAAACTCCAGATCCACTTTCACTGATTCTGAAAACAATGAAGTACAGGTAAGAATCCACAGTTACAGACATTTTAAACATGCTACAGCAGAATATCACGTCTGCAGCAGTCAACAATATGGCCTGAATGTATTGCCAAACCAAAAGAAATCCCCCATCCTTGGCAGACATGAGTAATAACAGAAACTATGCTATCACAAATGAAGAAATTTGATACTCCCTGTCTCTCTCTCTCCCATATCTCTATCACAGCTACTCGTTTCAAAGATATATATTTTCCAAAGTCAAATCAAGTTCATAAAGTGTGCCTATTTTAGCCGAACTAGATTGCATTCTTTTACCCTTTAGACTTCAAGCATAAGTTAAATGCAGGTAACCAAGATGAAAAGATGTTCGATTCAGGCAAGCAGCAAAATGCAGCTAACAACAACCTGCATACCTCCAGCAACACAAACATTTGATTCTTTGTATTTCTTTGGCAGAAGCTTTGACTGTAACTCCAGCCAGTTTGACTTGCCAGAATTTAATGATGGAATGATATCATCCTCCAGTGATTGCCAGATGCTCTCTTCTACAAGAGCCTGACCATGACATGTGAATTATAGTCAAACACAAGAGATGCAAACTCACCATCAATGAAAAAAAAAAAAACGTTTTAATTAATTATATCAATTAGATATGTATCTAGGGAGAATTCATTTTGAAATAACTGCTCCCTACATGTCTATGATGCATATTTGCAAAAGTCTTAACCAGAAATACTGACCCCAATTTATGTTGTTCATAGTGGATTATAAATGCAATACATCCCAGGAAGATTATGATGGGTAGCAATATGTTCATACTTCCAAAGAGTCAATATGCAACTTACAGAAGCTTGAGATGCATAAGTGCGATGGTCGTCATATATAACTTGAAGAGACGACATATTAATAACTGGTAGTTTAAGTCCCACCACCTCGTGCTTCATTCCAGTTTTCTTCAGAATGACAGATAAATGAAAATGGTAAAATTATTTTGATTAGACAAAGAACAAAGACGGTAACTATTGGAAGGACTATTTTAATCTCTGAGCAGCTGCAGTAGAGCGACTCAAACCGCAAGTATAGGCTAGTAGGCACCTTAACTATGTCGAAAAAGTCCCTGAGAAAAATCTCTTGGGTTGCCTTGGATTGGTAGCCACAGTCCAGCACTTTGAGCATGTTTTTAACTGCAACATCATGCAACCCAACAATTGCATACCACCTGAACAGATAATTTCACAGTAAGTGTAAGACCACAACTTTCTAATCATCACGTCTTGTGAGACCTACATTCATCAGAAACTTACTGTCCAATATGAAAATATACATGGTCTTTGATATGGCTCCATGTAGTGGATTCATAAACAGAGATTGCACTTCTATAAGTACGAATTGCATGGTTAACCTGAAAAAGGCAAACAAATCTTTAGAATGCAAAGCATGTACAAAGCTTGAGCTCTTTCAGCAAAGTGACATGTACCTGATCACAGTTTTTATAGTGGTCTCCTGAGAGAACTAGATGAAATCCATACTTGTGTAGCATCGCTGGCCTAGTTAACACGAAGCAGTAAGAAGCTTGCTCTAACATGACTGCAGCGTGCAATGGTTCCTGCAAAATGAGTAAAAGTTAGCAACTGTATAAATATGATTATGTTCTGAAGGCATAAAAAGAAGCACCTCTCCACATATGCGAAAATAAACAGAAGCAGCTTCTTTGTGCTGGTCTCTGGCCTTTAGCATCTCTGCCCACCAGAGCCCACATCTCGTAGCATTTTGGAAGCCAGACTTCCCAAGTTTCTGCATGAGATTTAAAAGACATGTTTGTACTACGTCACTAGCTCAACGCCTCAACCATAAGTTTTTCAGTTTCATGTTTTCCTTAAATAAACACCAATTCAAGTAACCGAGGGACATTTGCTAATAGACCTGTTTTAGGTTAGAGACTGGGTTATAAAGACATACCATGTAAGTGCTGAATGCATTTTCCATGCAGTACTCAGCTTCCTTTTTTGACTGGTCTGAGATGAAATATGCAAGTCCCATAATTTCCTATCAAACATGCATGAAAAGATGAGTAGTCCACCCAAATTTTAGCAAAAAGTTATGGTCCATCAACGATGACTTATTGAATCTAGTGACGATAGAAAATAAAGACACCAATGACAATCAGTTTGATAGCATGGCAAACCTATACTATATGTAAGATTCTATATATAAGACGGATATTGATTAAAAATGATGCCACCTGAACACCTCTACAGAAACATAATTACAAAGACGTGAAGCTACCTGAACACCAGCATAGTGCTTCCAAGCTTTATCGAGCTTGTAATCTGTTGATATTAATCGATAGCTTGACAATGCAAGTTCATAATCATGCAACATGAAGGCGTAGTCACCCAAAATTCTAATCTGAGATTCGGTGGAGCTAAAGGTATACCTTCAAAAATGGAAGCAAAATCGTAAGAGCATATGATGACATCAAGGAACTCTTAAAAGGAGCAAGGAGTCCAAGAAAACATACATAGAACCTTTGGTTGTATCAGGAACATCGTCTTTTCCTTTTCTCCACCATAAGTTTTTTATCTGGTTTCGAAGTCCTTTCCTTGTTGCAGAAATCTAGTAACACAACAAAATGCAAAATGCAAACTAAATATTATGTAAGAGAATAAAAGAAGCCTAAGTAAAGCATACAGAAAAAGTAAGATATACTGTCACAGATAACTTGTTAGAAAATCTAAAACTAACCTGTAGATTAAGTTCTCGAACTTTCTGCTCCATGTAAGGAATTATATGCCTGGAAGCAAACTCTTGAATCAGATCTTTGATCTGCTCCGAATATGCCAAGAAAAATTATACCGTTGGAACATCAGCAAGAGAATGTACACGAGAACTAGCAGCCAAAAGCTTTTAAAAGTACCTCCACAATATCGTCCCCAGTGAGAGCACATCCAAGTTTGTCGGCCGAAACACTTGATTTCTTTCAGAAAAAATGGTAATCAACATGTTGAACTAACTAAATTCACACGTACTGACATATGAACCGTGACCAATATGCTGAATTTCTGATGAGTGACTTACAAATGAAGCCCAGGGATTAGCCTGATGTTCCATGTTTCCCTCTTTAGATGAATTAGTGCAAAGTAAGTTGCATTCGTTATTTCCAAATGTACTTCTCATCTCAGACAGAACTTTAGACGTTCTACAGGAGAAATAACATCCAGTCAACTAAAACATTACATTTGACACCCATACGATTACGATGAGAATCATATCATATACGATGGAGTAAGAAACAACAACCTCTCTGTTGTTGCATCTTGATTGTCATGCACCAACAGGTAATGCTTCAAAATCTTCGGGTCCATTGCGCCATCATTAAGCAACGAAGGTAATCTATTGGTGTTGAAAAGATCTACAAATTTATTTATAGGTTCTTCGTCTTTTGATGAAACAACCAAGAGACCTGAAAAGCACATTATTTATAATTATTTAGTACACAAAAGAAAACTCTTGGAGACATAGTAGATCAGAAAAACTAGTTTAAAGAAAGAAGACAATAACAGAGATTTTCTTAAACCCATTTAATGTCTTACAAGCTACGGGATGATCGAAAGCTTCATGGTCTGAAAACGACAATGTACGTATAAGTTCTTTATTGTAATACTGAAACCATGTGGGTGCAATTTCAGACTCTGGATCTGCAGCGAAAGAAATACGTCAGCATTAGAAAAGCAAAGAGTTACAAAATTCGCCTTCTTGGTTATCTAAAGAAAAATTAGTGCATGAAGTTTAAAAAAAAAAAAAAAAAAAAAAAAAAAAAAAAAAAACTCGAAAAAGCACACTTTTGAGTAGAGACTTACTGGAGAGTATATCAGTAATTTGAGGAGGGTCAGATTCCAAATCGTGAAAATCCTTCTCCCCAGCTTGAGTAATAACATGTTCTAGCCGTTGCTTTGCAACCTAGCCATAAAGTACACATAATATAAGTTTGAGCTCAACCAAAAATTCAGAATGGAGGAGCCTCTAACACTACAAATACAAGCACAAGCCTAACCCAAACAGGTAAAAACAGGTAACGATTCCAGAATGTCCAGTTAAAGGTGATCCGCATTGTTGCTGACTAAGAACTACTTATCAAATACCTTTATTGCTCAATTTTTAACATATCCTACCGAATAAAATGTACATACCTCTACGTTTGGTTGTCTGATATCGGAGGCATAAAACAATCTCAACGTAAACTTCTTCAGCCGATAAAGCTGATCGCCTGATGTCCGAACAGGAACTGCACCACAAATTTCACCATTGGAAACCTCGAATTAGACGATTGATGAAGTAAACCTTAATAGAATACAATCAGAATTAGTAATCAAATCAGAACTCACCATCGATGTTACTAAAGTTGCAGAATGGCTTGAGCGTTTCCACAAATGATAGCCCATTCTTGAGAAAAGTCTCCTCAACAAGGGGCGTACAGAGAACCATGACCACTGGACTGACCTCCTCCATGAGCATTTTCCCAAGCGAAGAGTTCACTGGCTCCACCATGCTTCCTTTCGCCAAACTCTCTCGAATTCTTCAAATCTCTTCGCTGTAAGTCAAAATTCTCGCTAATCCGATGTCAAGTCGGATAGATTTTGGAGGCAGCGCGAAGTTATACCTAGATCTCTTCCTTCTTAACCAATTTGAGCTACGATGCCGTCGTCGGCAGCTGCCGGACTTGGTGGATATATCGGTGAAGATCTCGGTAAATGGTGGCGCATACAAAACGGATTAAATAATGTGTACGGAGAAATTCACCGGCGAATGGAGGGATGATCGTGATCGGGATCGAGATCGACGTGGAGGGGGAAATGTTGGCAAAGTCGATTCGGAGGAGAGTCGAGAGCTACTTGAGAACAAAAAAAAAACATTTTAGCTATTAATCATTTATTTATGTAATTGCCCCTTTATTTATCTCAAAATTGCAATCGTTCCCAATTATTTAGAAAAGGAACATTATATGTTGACTCTTCAATAAAAAAAAATCATGTTTTTTCTTTTGGTTAAACATGATATGTTAATGTCATATCTATCATAGTTGTTGAACGTTTTTGAACTGAACTGATCTGATTGTTTTGAATTTTGTTAAACATTTTTGATTACTAAGAATTCAGTGTCTTTGGAGGTAAGATCATAGTAGATTAGCTTCTTTTTTTTGTGCACCATCAAACTATAAAGTCGTTACTTTGAAACTTATTCCTAATAGAAAAAGTCTTTTAATCCACTGCTACAATAACAAGTGATCTTTGTTCGTCATATGAATTATGATTCATGCAAACTATGTGATGTGACTACTGAACAAGTGTAGGTATATAACAACTTGTAAACCTTCAAATATCCGTTTCATTTGATATTATCCGTTTTTTATTTGTTTTCAAGATACAAATATCCAATAATGGAGTTGTGATGAAGACGATTATTTATATAGTAAAAGTAAAAACAAAGACATGACCAACCACTGCTTAGTAAAAACTAAAACAACGACTGAACAATTATTTTCTTTAATAAACAAAGACTATCAGAAATATAAAACACATGATGATATATATTTAGAAAATAATATCTATGATAAAGACAAAAACGATGTTGTGACTTGTGAAAGCTTTGAGATACAACAATTGTTTATTTTAGTAAACAAAGACCGTTAAAGATATAAAGACGCGTTAAGAGGTGAAATAAAGCTAATAAAAACGCTAAAAAATATCAACGATCGACAATGCAGAAGCCACGTTTGTGAAAGCTTTTGAGTAAAAACGTGAATGGTTATGACTAGGTAGTTGTATAATTGTATTTGGCACCTTTGCTAATATTAAAACTAGAAAGCAGAGACATTATTTCGAGTGGGTTTCACCACTTTGTAACGGGTTAACTTTGTTGCAATTCTTTTAAACAATTAATAGTAAAACGTGACATTTGCAGACGGTTGCGATTATGCGCATTTTAATCATAGAACTACAGCATTAGTAACAACATTAATAAGACAGCTTCTCACGGTTTAGTGTTTCTTCGACTTCTAATTCAGTTTTTTTTTTGTTTAATCCATTTAATGGTTTACAGTTTTTTTTTGTCGTCATTGTTGCTATGTTTTTAATAGTTTTTGGTAATTTGGTATAAGACAACATTTTTTACGACAAAGTACACAAAATATAGATAAAATCGGTCGACAATTTGTTTAACGGTCGACAATTTTATAGTTTTCGTTAAGTTTTCAAGGCTTGTTTGTATAGTTTTATAGTATTCGTTAACTCTCCGACTCCTCCCTCTCCGACACCTCCCTCTCCGCCTTCTCACTGCAGTTTCGTCTGTAACATGACAGAGAGAGTTTTGAAGGATTGTATCGCTGATGCAAAGGATAACTGGGGTAAGAACATTACGAGAGGCATGATGGTCGAAGGTATTTGCGCAGCTGCCATCTTTTCTTATCACTATGCCAGTGAGAGGCCAGTTGGAGACCACCAAGAACTTGAGAATCCCTTTGACCCTCTCTACACTTGATTCTCTTATATGCTTCTAAGATTCTTTTAAAGATCTGCATGCTTCTAAGATTAGTTGATCTGTAGAGAGCTGTAGTCCGTTTTCATATCAATAAAAATTTCAACTTGATGATACACTTACTGTTCATAAGAAAACAAACTTTCACTGTGTTTTTTGAGTTTCAAAGAGTGTTCTTTTATTATACTGCTTGAACAGGTACTGTTTGAGCCAAAAGCAACATTGTTTGATTTCTTCCTTGGTACCTTGCGAGCTTTGTTAGTCATGGATTAGTTTCGGGGTTTTCTTTTATTGTCTGGCATAAGAAAGTTAATGTATGTTTTTCTTGACAAGGTTTTTTTTTTGTGAAAAATAATATAGTTTCTTTTGTACTCTTTCTGATCCAGCAAGTTCAAACAACAAACTTGTTAGGATGATGAAAATGCAAAGGCTGTACATCTTTGATCACTATTTCTAGAAGTTGGAAACATCTTTGATCTTGGTTCTGCACAACTATATCCAATCTCTCTCATTTCCTTCCATCACCTCTCTCCTTTGTTGAGTATCTTCTTAATTAATGGATCTTGTTTTGCTTTTTTCATGTATTGAAGTTTGCCGAGTTATTCTCAAAGGATGGGATGTCAGTTTTGGCTAGCTGTCAAAACTTGGTTCCACGGCCATGGGTCATTGATGATTTGGACAACTCTCAAGTTAGATGGCTCAAGAAGCCTCGTGATGAAGGTCAGTCTTGTAACCTCTTGTGAAAAGCAAGAATTATATAAAATTTTATATTTTTATGAAAACATAATTGTTTTATTCGTTTAATGGTTTTACAGTTTACAGTTTTCGCTGTTTTTGTCATATCATTGTTGTCTTTCTTTATCTTTAGTAATTTTAGTCTTTTCCGTTATTTGTTTCTTTGAAATATTTGGTTAAACTTAAAAGGGGAAACATATTAATTCAAATCACCCACTAAACTAGATATTTAAGCGAAAACTAAACTTGTGAAAAGCTTTTTGATGAAAAAAAAATATGTGGATGGTAATCACTAACTTGTAAACAAAGACTGATCCATTCTTTATATCCTAAACAAAGACCACTACCAAACAACAAAAAAAGACACGTTGATAGGTGGGGAACAAAAGCAAACAAAAAAAACGCTCAAAAATATCAACAACAAAACAAAAACCACGTTTGTGAAAGCAGAAGCTTTTAACTTTTGAAGCAAAAACGTGAATGGTGATCTCTAGGTAGTTGTATTTTGCTACTCGCTATGATTAAAACTAGGAATGGTACTAATGATTTCGAGTGGGGTATACCACCGTAACTCTCTAATATTTTTTATATTAAAAATTAATAACTATGGGTTGAACAAACAAATTAATACTACTAGAAACTACAAATGGTGTTCACTTTTTCCGTATTCATACGCAATTACTCGTAAACGCCATGTTTGTAGACAGTTGCGACTATGCGCATATCTAGAACTATTACACCACCATACACTAGCAAAATCAATCTTTTTTTTTTTTTTTTTGCGACAGCAAAATCAATCTCTAAATCATTTGCCGACAAGGAAAGACGACTCGCTAATAAGTCATTATAATATATAAAAAAATAACGAAATGAAAATAATATTATTGTATATGATTGGTCAGTTAAATTGAAATATTAAAGGTCTGTCTCGATGTGGGAAGAAATTGAATTTATATAGAAGAGGCCTCACACACCACCTCTCCTCCACTCGCAGCCCACCAGACAGTGACCTTCACTACACCCAACGCTCTCTCTCTTTCTTCTTCTTCTTCTTCTGTTTTCCGCCTACAATCTAACTCTACCCAACAATGGCGGCGACTGCTACAGCTACTGCTGCCTCACTCTACTCATCTCGTGTCCATCTCCAGAAACAGAGCAAGAGTCATGGGTTTCCGGCGAAATCCCCAAACTCTTTGCAAGTAGCCCAAATCATCGACGGGAAGAAGATGAGAAATGCCACTCTTCTCTCCGCTGCCTCCACCGATAAAGCCGTCACCACCGGTCAGCCCGTTTCTCCCACCGCGTGTGATAGGTGCGCTTGTCTTACAAGTTAATTTCGTCAATTGGGCGAGAAAAATGAGCCATTTTTACAGTTTCGTTTTAGCTGATTCGAAACGGTTTCTTCAGTTTCTCTCTCTCTAGCTTCCAATTTCACCACTTGTAACCCAAAACTTGACCTTTATTCAATTTTTCTTGTTTTGCCTAACAATGTTTTGTTTCCTCAATTTCAGAATTAGTTTAGATCTTCCCTTTTGTTTATTGTAGTCTCATTTCTTGTTACTTTATGGACGTGCTTGATACAGCTCTGGTAATCTGTGCTGCGTCTCTTTGTCTGACTGAAAATCTCACAATTGGTTTGTAGAGTAAGGAGACACACAATCTCGGTGTTTGTTGGTGACGAGAGCGGTATCATAAACCGAATAGCTGGAGTGTTTGCTAGAAGGGGTTACAATATCGAGTCCCTCGCTGTGGGATTGAACGAAGACAAGGCTATGTTTACTATAGTTGTTCTTGGGACAGACAAGGTCCTGAAGCAAGTAGTAGAACAGCTTAACAAACTCGTCAATGTCATCAAGGTTTTTAATTTTGTTTCTCTGTTAGAAAAACCTAGTCTCTGCTACAACTTACTGCTTTGGCTTTTGGTTCACATGTGGCATGTATGGTTACATGAATCATGACTCTGATGATCTTGCACTCGTTATGGTCTGTTCAGGTGGAAGATCTCTCCAAGGAGCCACATGTAGAACGTGAGTTAATGCTCGTTAAACTTAACGCTGATCCAACCACACGCTCAGAGGTAAAAATAAACTACACTCGGAACTTAATTCTCAATATTGGTTGGATGGTCAAAGTTGGTTTTTTCGATATGATTAATTCAGTCACATTTGAAAACCTTTTAAGGATATGGATGAAAGGAGCTTTTATCCCTTTTGTGATTAATTGAGTCACAGGAAAGAGCGTTCTGTTTGTTCTTATGATTAGTCGAATCGCATTAAAAATCTCAAACATACAGATGGAGATGGATGGAAACATGTTTTCTTCCTTTTTATTAGTTGAGTCCTGAGTCACACAGTAAAGGGGCTTTTCTTTTCTTTCTTCTGATGTTTACTCAGTTCGGATTAAAGTTTAAAGAATAGAGAAGCTTTTTTATAAGTTTTTGAGAAATTTATATTTGTAATGTGTTCCATGTACTAAACAGATCATGTGGTTGGTAGATATCTTTAGAGCAAAAATCGTTGATACCTCAGAGCACACTCTAACGATCGAGGTCAGAGTCCTTTTCCTTCAATTTATATGTATGCCTATCAAAAGGTCAAGATGGTTCAAACAAGTCCATTTTGTTTTTCATTCGTTAGGTAACTGGAGACCCTGGAAAGATGGTTGCACTAAAGACGAACTTAGAGAAGTTTGGAATAAAAGAAATTGCGAGAACAGGGAAGGTAATCTCTCAATTCCAAGAGCAACTATTATCTGCTCCATCCTTCTTTAACTGTCAACAACCTCTGTTTGTAGCCACTTGTGGCCTTTATTTTATTTTGAAACCCTTATTGAACAGTTGAACTCACAGGTGTTAAAGCCACTTGTAGCCTCTTTTATTTTTGTTGGTCTATTATGTCACACATGGAAGACTCGAACCTGAGTTCCTTTGATAAATTTCAGGAAACTCCTAGCTTAGCTTTTAAGTGACATGTTAGCATCATACAGTAGTCAGTTTCTGTGTTTTAGCGACTGAAAGATATCAAGAATAGGTTTTGTCATTCCTAATGGTTGTTATATTCTACTGTTGAACTCTAGATTGCTCTGAGACGGGAAAAGATGGGAGAAACGGCTCCGTTTTGGAGATTTTCAGCGGCATCATACCCACATCACATTAAAGAATCATCTCATGAGACTGTTGCAGAGAAAACAAAGCTAGGATTAAATGGAAATGGAAATGGCAATGGCAATGCATCATCTGGGGTATAGATAATATAAGCTTAATATGTCTTTTTGTTCCTCTACATATCTATAAGCATCCGTGGATCGACCGAGACCAGCTGATACATTATTTCAGGGTGACGTTTATCCAGTGGAACTCTATAACGATTTCAAACCGGTCCTTGACGCTCATTGGGGAGTGGTCTGCGACGAAGATGTAAGATACATTGCTCTGTTACCCCCATTCGTCTCATGAATGAGCTTTAAAACTGTTTTTAACTACTTTTTTCTTATTGTAGTCAAGCGGTTGCCGGTCCCACACGTTATCTATACTTGTGAACAACGCTCCCGGAGTTCTCAATCTTATAACCGGAGCTATCTCCAGGAGAGGTTATAACATCCAGGTTATTATTATACACACACACACACACACACTCTTGCTTTTAGTTTCACCAATGTGAGGGAATGCATACTTGTCTCCTCTTTTCTCTCAAGAGTATGTGTGAAGTTTGTCGCTTTTGTTACTCTAGAGTCTAGCTTCTGGCCATGCTGAGAAAGAGGGACTATCTCGGATTACAACAGTCATCCCAGGAACTGATGAAAATATAGACAAATTGGTTCGGCAGCTTCAGAAATTGATTGATCTTCACGAGGTGAGCAAATTAAGTTCGAAACCTTAGTACTCGAGGATTTCGTTTTTGTTATAGTTCTGATAACGTTTTTTGGGGTTTCTAGGTCAAAGATATAACACACATGCCGTTTGCGGAGCGAGAATTGATGCTCATCAAAGTAGCTGCTCATACTTCTGCAAGGAGAGATGTTCTCGACATCGCTCATGTATTCCGAGCTAAAGCAATTGATGTGTCTGATCATACTATTACTCTTGAGGTGATGGCAATTAAAAAAAAAGAAAAAGCTTGAAACTTTATGGTCCTTGCTTCACTAAAGAAAAAATGGCTGATGAAATCATTTGTTTGCAGGTTACGGGAGATATCAGAAAAATGGCTGCGTTGCAAACGCAATTAGAGGTCTACGGAATCTGTGAGGTAACAAAGCCATGTTTCTTCCTTTTTGTCTCTCATCTCTTCACAGATACACACAATCGCTATTGTGTTTGAAATTATATCATATGGGCGATTCTTATGGTTTGTTTTGGAGACATGAAGGTGGCTCGGACAGGAAGAGTGGCATTGGTTAGAGAATCTGGAGTGGATTCGACTTATCTCCGTGGATACTCTCTTCCTTTGTAGTTTCCAAAGGTTAATAATCTCTTTAGCAATCAAAGATGCGTCATGCATTGTCGCTTTGCATCATCATCATCTAAGTTGTATAAAAGGATATATTCTCCGTGCAGAGCAGTTGCCGCAAGCTTCACTGTTCCTGGAAACTAGTCACGGACTGCACGTTGTTTCGTCATTTGTGTGATTGATTAGTCCCTCATGAGTCATGGCGGTCCAAGTTGTTGTTGTGGTTGTTTCTTTTTTTTGTTACAGTTCCAAGTTGTTGTAATAGGAAGACTTACTTAGAGAACTATATAAATAAGGAGTAAGAGATTGTAAGATTACTACTCACAATGCTTTCATCAAATCTAAAACGCTATTTCTGTTTTATCATTTATTATAAGCTTTCATAGACTTGTACATTTTTGGCGGTAAATGTTGCAAATTAAGAGATGTACATATTTTCTTGCAAACATTTGATCTTCTACTAAACCAACTACAGTATAAGCATTTCAACAAGAAAACAAACACTAAACCAATTAAAGTATTATCGTCAGAGTACCAGACCGGACCGGTTTATTTTTTTTTGGGTTGTAGAATTCTTTCTTCTTCTATTGTGAAACCCAAACAGGGGTAAATTTGTAATTTTAAAGAAAACGCTTAATTTCTCGACGTCTTTCTTCACAGCAATGGCAGAAACTTGAACAGAAACTAAGAAAATCAGATCTTAATTGCGGGATTCTACTTCTGAATCTGAGGCAAAGCATTTCCAGATCCGATCAGATCCGATTTGTTTCTCGTCTTCTTCATTCAATGGAAGTTTCGATGGACTGCTAGAGAGAATAGGGACGAAAGCTCGCGTAAGATAGAAACCATGAGAATGTCATCGGCTTCCACTGCGGATTACCGGTCTGCCGCCGTGAGTCTCGGCAGTAGTGGAGGTGGTCAACGAGATGCAGAGTCTCTGTTTCGCACGAAACCAATATCGGAGATTCGGAATGTGGAGTCGGCGACTAGGAAGAACATCGAGGATAAGAAGGAGGAGCTCCGGCAACTCGTGGGGACTAGATACCGCGATCTAATCGACTCAGCTGACTCGATCGTGCACATGAAGTCGCTTTGTGAGTCGATCTCGGCCAATATCTCTTCGATCCACGGTAACATTCGATCACTTTCCTCCTCTTCCGTTGCGGAAACTCCCGAGCTCGCTAGCTCTAACCCAGTCCGAGTCAATGTCTATGGGATCGCTTGCCGGGTTAAGTATCTGGTGGATACGCCGGAGAATATCTGGGGATGCCTTGACGAGTCCATGTTTCTAGAAGCTGCAGGGAGGTACATGCGTGCTCAGCATGTGCAGCAGAGACTGGTTAAGTTAGAGGAATATGGCGGTGGTGCAGCGGACGTGGATCAGAGTAAGCTGTTGGCGAATTTTCCACTGTTGGAGCATCAATGGCAGATAGTAGAGAGTTTCAAGGTTCAGATTTCGCAGAGGAGCCATGAGCGGCTTCTGGATCCAGGTTTAGGATTGGGGGCTTACGTGGACGCCTTAACTGCAGTCGCGGTGGTTGATGAGCTGGATCCAGAGCAAGTGCTTGAGTTGTTTCTCGACTCAAGGAAGACTTGGATTCTGCAAAAGTTGAATGCTTGTACTGGTGATGATGTCGGTAATGTTGTTTCAGTATTTTGTGATGCGTTGAGTGTGATTGAGGTTACAGTAGGACAAGTTGGGGAACTCTTTCTGCAAGCCTTGACTGATATGCCTCTATTTTATAAGACAATCTTGAGTACCCCACCAGCTTCCCAACTGTTTGGTGGAATTCCAAATCCAGAAGAGGAGATTGGGTTGTGGAAATCATTCAGAGATAATTTGGAATCCGTCATGGTCCTCCTTGATAGAACTTACATTGCTAAGGCTTGCCTGACTTGGTTGAGGGAATGCGGTGGACAGATTGTTGGTAAGGTTAGTGGTAAGCATTTGATTGAAGCTATTGTTACTGGTGCAGAGCTTGGATCGGCAGAAAAGTTGATAAGAGAGACCATGGATAGCAAAGATGTCTTGAGAGGTAGTTTAGATTGGCTTAAAAGTGTTTTTGGGTCTGAGGTAGAGCTGCCGTGGAATAGAATCCGGGAGCTTGTTCTGGCAGAAGATTTGAACCTGTGGGATGAAATATTTGAGAAGGCGTTTGTGGATAGAATGAAATCCATTATTGACTCCAGATTTGAGGATTTGGCTAAAGCTGTCAATGTGGCAGAGTCGGTTCATGCATATAGCGAGATCACTGGTGAGAAGATCAACTTCCAAGCATATTTAAACAGACCTTCTACAGGTGGTGGTGTCTGGTTCATTGAGCCTAATGCAAAGAAAATCGGTCTTATAGCCGGAAATAAATCATCACCTGAAGAAAGCGACTTCCAAAGTTGTCTTTCTGCATATTTTGGTCCTGAAGTTAGCCAAATGAGGGACGCAGTTGATAGGCGCTGCCAGAGTGTTTTGGAAGACCTCCTAAGCTTCTTTGAGTCAGAAAAGGCAGGTCCAAGGTTAAAGGATCTTGCTCCATACGTGCAGAATAAGTGTTATGACAGTGTCTCAACACTTCTTGCAGATGTAGATAAAGAACTCGAATTTCTATTTGCGGCCATGAAAAAAGAGAACAAGGATAGTGAAGCAATTCCACGTGCTATCATAATTGAGAAATCTCTCTTTATGGGACGCCTTTTGTTTGCTTTGCTAAACCACTCAAAACACGTTCCCTTGATTCTCGGTTCTCCGAGATTGTGGTGTAGAGAAACAATGACTGCAGTTTCTGATAAGTTGTCATCCTTGTTGAGGCAACCAAGATTTGGCTCGAATGCTGCAGTCACTGCTGACAGCCCTGGAAAGCAGGTGCATACTGAACTTAGAAGGCAGAGTTCGTTAGCTGTTTCTGCATTACTTGGAGCGGAAGAGAAGACAAGTCCAAAATTTAAAGAGCTTAATAAAACTATGCGAGATTTGTGCATAAAGGCTCATACATTGTGGATACAGTGGTTATCTGATGAGCTGTCAGCTATTCTCTTACGTGATCTTAGGAGGGATGATGGATTGTCTACTACAACTCCTTTAAGGGTACTAAAAACGATCCTTATCCTTTTTTTTTGCTTTATTGCTAGTTTATACTCCTGCATTTCCTTTTAGATGATTCTGCTTAGCTGTCTCTCCTGCATTGATATTAGAATTTTCTGGCTAAATGTACTTAGGTAGATACAGTTGTTCATTATCTATATTTTTGGTGAGAATATTTCCAGGAACTATTCTTTATCCTGTGATGCTTTGAAGTTTTAAAATGAGATATTTTAGACTTTCTCTAGCATTTTCGAATGTCATTTGCATGGTTCATTTTGTAGTGTCCGTACTCATCTTGGAAGAATAATGTAGGGTTGGGAAGAGACAGTAGTCAAGGAAGAGCAGGGCGAGAGTCAATCTGAGTTGAAGATATCACTTCCTTCCTTGCCTTCTCTCTATATGATCTCATTTCTCTGTCGGGCATCAGAAGAAATTCATCGAATCGGAGGCCACGTACTGGATAAGTCAATTTTGCAGAAATTTGCTTCAAGCCTGTTGGAGAAGGTGCGTTGTCTCAGTTTACTTCTTCTCCTAATGTATATTTCCTATCTAATGCAGAAATGTTTCCGTTTGATATATTCCCCTTATTCACACTACGTCCCTTTCATTAGTAAATATATCCAAGCTGGTGAATGCTTATAAGAATGATTTTGTTTCAATCTTCCATTGTACAATGCAGATCACCATTATTTATGAGGATTTCTTATCTGCCAGGGAGGCCAACGAACCCCAAATATCAGAGAAAGGAGTCTTACAAATTTTGCTGGATTTGAGATTTGCATCGGACACTCTTTCTGGGGGTGATACAAGCACCAATGTGGAGATGCCAAAGAGCACAATGAACAGATCAGCTTTCAGGCGAAAGCAGGGCCAACAGCAAACAAAGTCGGTCAATAGAGGTCGCATCGATGGAGTGATCTCCCAACTTACCCAAAAGTTGGATCCCATAGACTGGCTCACGTAAGGAACCTTATACTATGCTTAAGACATATCTTTGCTCTCTTTATTATCTCAAATCATTTCTCTGATTCTAGTATATTGAACTGTCTAAAAAAAAGGTACGAGCCTTATCTTTGGGAGAACGAGAAGCAGTCATACCTACGCCACGCTGTACTCTTTGGATTCTTTGTGCAACTAAACCGAATGTACACAGATACTGCGCAGAAACTACCAACTAATTCAGAGTCAAATATCATGCGATGCTCCACAGTTCCCCGCTTCAAATACCTTCCCATAAGGTAAGTTTTTCTTCTACCAGACCAGAAACTCTTTGTAAAAATTAGGGGAAAGTGGTTTCTCAAGTGTACGTGTCAATAATGCAGCGCTCCAGCTTTGTCTTCTAGAAGTACAAATAAGGTCTCTATTCCAGTGACATCGAATGAAGCTTCTTCAAGAAACTCGTGGAAGGGATTAACAAACGGCGAGCTTTCTCAAACGAGTGATTTGGATGATAACTCCAGTTTCGGCGTAGCTTCCCCGTTCCTAAAGTCTTTTATGCAGGTAAGATCTTCTTAGTCTTGGGTTAATCAATGGCGCAATATTTTTTGTGATCTGTTTGATATCTTAAGATCATTTGAAAAAATGTTTCAGGCTGGTAGTAAATTTGGGGAAAGCACAATGAAACTGGGATCAATACTAACTGATGGACAAGTGGGAATATTCAAGGATAGATCAGCAGCCGCTATGTCGACATTTGGTGATATATTACCAGCTCAAGCTACCGGTTTATTCTCTTCTTTCACAGCCACCAGGTCTGAGTGACGAGCTTCGGTCTTGAGAGTAAACCGTCATTTTTCGACCCGAGTTTCTGCATATATCAGTCGTGGAAGATAAACGCAGAAGCTGACTTGAGTTCATGAACCGAAAAAACTAGAGATGTCTTTGTTATACAAGTTTTACGTAAACGAAAAAAAAACAGGTTTTGTAATAGCGATTGATTTATTGTTTCTTATATGATACTTTTATAAGGAACATGTAATTAAAGTAAGAGATTTTTTTGGTACTACAAAATCCTCAGACCGAATACAATCAAACCTCACACATAGAGTGACAAAACTACTGTCCCTAAAACGTCGGCGGATTTAGGCATTATTACGTCTAGCCTTGTCAATGAGAGCAGGAGCGATCGTTTGGCTTCTCTCGATTCTTTGATCATCGAACATCGAAATCCCATTGCAGCTAAACTGTTTGCGTAAATGACTGAGAAAGGATTTACGAACGTCGGGGCCATGGAAGCTCGTGAAGACCCGGTATCTCCACGTGCGAGGCCGAGAAGAAGAAGAAGAAGCCATGAGAGGAGAAGATCGTCAGTCATTCAAAATCACAGATTCACAGAGATTCGTTTGGATAAAATGAGAGAAGAAGCCTATTTCTACTGTTGACTTTGTTGACTATTGAGAGAGAGAGAGAGAGCACTGTTGACTTTTTATTCCTCTTTTAAGCAAAATTTTAACTCCGTCTTTGAAAAGTAAACAGAAACATAAAACAGATTTTTATTTATTAGTGAATAGTGATTTAGTTCAGTGTTTGAGAGAACATTCCCTGAACTATGGGACTAGTAGACAAATAGGATATTACCTTGAAATTTTTGATCATATAGTCACATGTTTTTGTTCCCTATTTGTCTTCTTTTTTTCATTACATAACATGTAATATCCTTGACTTTGTAATGGCTTCACTAGTTGACTTGGGAAGCAGGATCGATGACATGAGCAAAGCATCAATGACCTAAGAGCTGAGATTGCAAAGCGAAACGTCTCAAGGCTGTGGACTCTACGCCACCTTTCTCAGACTCAAAGACAAAGAGAGTGAATGGATTTCCCTAGAGAATTTAGCATCACCTGTAGATATACTTTAACAAGCAAAAATCATATGTGGATTTAGGATCAACAATTTGTGTCCATCACTTTTATTTTATTTATTTCACTAACATGTATCCTCCACCACATCATTATAGTGAAGATAGGTCCTTTAAATATGTTGACTAGAGGATATCACATATATGTTTTTAAAAAGATTTGTTTACTGTTTTGATATGAAGAAAATGGTATGTCAAGCGAATCAAACATCACCCAATCTCGGAGTCATAATTCAAGCAATGTCACTAAACCCTTAATACCGGAGCTTCACGTGTCTTGGATCTCACTTGAGTTGTAGATATGACTTCAGCTGAGCTGTAGTAAGGATCTTTTAGTGAAATATCAGTGATATATATATTTACTATGTGACCTACAAGTCTATATCATGCGATGAAGCATTAGAGAACAGAGCCATAAACAGAAGATCTCTGCTTCCGCAATATTTATCCAATCGAACAGCTTATTGTTCAAGGAAGACCGGAGGTAGCCACGGATAAAAACGCAGGTTCTTGTCTGAATTTGCTCGATTAACAGCCGGAACAGAGTGTTGTGTTACATAATAATGCAAATAATGATTTGATGTGGTTAATTCAATTGATTTTCCTCAATAAGCGTACCGATGGAGGCTTGGCCGTTGTACGCTGCGCAGAAATATAATATAGTGGTGATGGTGGAGAAGATCAAGATTGAGATTCCGATGAATGGATCGGAGACCGGTTTCGTGAAACGAGTCCGATTAGCCAAATCAGCCTTGATCGAAACCGGTTAGTCTCAGACCGCGTTGACTGCTTTACTCCAGTCGTGGAGCCCAAAACGTTACTTAGCGGTAGAAATTAAGCTCCGCGTCAGGAAATATTTTGTTAGTTCGGTTAAGTTATTAGAAACCAATTGGTGCAAATAAGCAGACGTGTAACTGGACGATTCAATGAATATCAACGGTCCAGATTGGTTTTGTTATTATGGAATGGAATCTTCTACAGTCCACTAGATATATACACATCTCTGATTTAATATAAGCCGATTATATAGCTTTGAATCTTCTTCCGTTACATAAATCATTATTTTACGCGTTGATTTATTCTTTATTTATCGAGCTTTACATTCCATTTTAGACGGAAACAACAATTTTATCTCCTTCTCTTCTCTCTCTCTATCTGTAGTCTCTACCATGGCGAATCTGACCTTAGAGCTCAACATCTACTCTGCAAAAGATCTGGAAAATGTCAACCTTATCACCAAGATGGACGTATACGCCGTCGTTTGGGTCGACGGCGATGATTCTCAGAAGAATCACAAGGAGAAAACCGCCGTCGACAGAACCGGAGAATCTGAGCCAACCTGGAATCACGCCGTTAAGTTTTCTCTCGATCAGAGGTTAGCCCGTGAAGGCCGTTTGACACTCGTCGTGAAATTGGTATGCGATCGGATATTCGGCGGCAAAGATCTCGGAGAGGTCCAAGTCCCGGTGCTCGAGCTTCTCAATTCGTCGCCGTCTTTTAACGGTGACGGTAACGGAAATGGCTTGGGGATGAGATTCGTGACGTATCAGGTGAGGACTCCGTTTGGGAAAGGTCAAGGCTCGTTGACTTTCTCGTACCGGTTCGATATGCCGTCGTTTAAGCCGGATGTACCGGTATCACTGGTTTACCCGAACCCGATTGATACATCGCTTGATTTCCCGTCGACGAACTGTTCTCCGCCGTCTCAAGGAGGTTTTTATCCGCCACCACCGTCAATTGGATATCCGCCGTCGTCTCAGCCGCAAGGCTATTCCGCACCGCCGTACCTGTATCCGCACCAGTACGATTCTCCTTACCCGGAACATCCGATCGCCGCTTACCCACCGTCTTCCTCCGCCTCTTATCCACCATCATCCTCTACCTCGAATTATCCACCGTCTCCCTCCGCCTCGAATTATCCACCGTCTCCCTCCGCCTCGAATTATCCACCGTCATCCTCCGCCTCGAGTTTCTATCCTCCGCCGCATCATCCGTATTTGTATCCGCCGCCTCCTGATAAACCCGGTCATTCGTACTACCAAACGCAACCGTCTCAGTCGTTTCACGGGTATGTGCCGCCGTCTCCCCAGAGTCAGCATGGATACGGTTATCCGCCGGGAAATGGTTGTCCTCCGACGCAAACGCCGCCGAAGAAGAATAAACCAGGGCTTGGGCTTGGAATGGGAGCTGGGCTTCTGGGAGGAGCATTGGGTGGGCTATTACTCGGCGATTTAGTGTCCGACGCTTTTGATTTTTAACAGTATTTTTCTTGTGAGATTTTTTTTTGGTTTTTGTTGTAAAAGAAATAACTGAAAATGGACTCAGAATAATTTTCATGTGCCAATTGAGAAAATTAATTTTCCTGCTTTGTCTTTCTAAACTGTTTTTCGTGTTGTCATGACTCACAGACTATATACACAGACTATATACAGTAAAACCTCTATAAAACAATAATGTTGGGACTTTGAAATTTTATTATCTTATAGAGTTATTATTTTATCGATAAAACAATAATTATTATTTTATAGAAATATTCTATCAAAAACAAGAAACTTTATAGAAATATATTTTTTCAGATTTTTTATTCAAATTTTCCTTATACTTTGTTATTTACATATTTCATGCTCAGAAGTTCAAAGTCTATAAGAAATTATGTCTACTGTTCTTAATGGTGAAGATGAAGTTGAAGATGATGAGGAAGGACATGTGCAAGTAGTTACACGTAAGGATGCAATTGTGGCTTCGAGAACTCTTCACAACTTTTGGCTGCATGTTGAGAATACACCTCCAGAAATTGTAGATGCAATAAGAAAAATTCGAGATGAGCTCCAACGGGAATCCAATTTCAGAAAAGACAAACTACATTGGAGTCATATTTTACTAAATTGTCTTAGATATATATGCATTAGTTTTATAATTATTATCTTAGCTTATTGTTGGGACTATATTTTTACATAGGAGTTTCAAAAATATTATTGTCTTATCATCTTATCGCATTATGCTATTTTTTACACTGGCCCGAGTTGGGACCGGAGAAAAATATTATCTTATAGTGTTTATTGTTTTATCGAGTATTGTTTTATAGAGGTTTGTGTTTTTTTTATTATCATCTCTACAGTCCATTTACTAACACAATAACATCACCATATATTTAGTCCATTTACTAACACAATAACATTAACATATTCATTTGGCAGAGCCAAATTTTTTTTGTCACAAACTATTTAGTGTACGTTATAAGTCTTAGCAAATTAATCGATTATTCACTTCTAGATACTCGAATAAAAATACATTGGATTCCTCGGATACCCATTAGCAATGTTCCCATTGCATAAAGTCTTGGTCTTGTCTTCTTGATGACATAAATATCCATATTCAGAAAAATAATTTTTGTTTTGGTGTGACGTTTTCTGTTTTGTAAGTATACATTTGTGTAATCGATCATGTCAATAAACTTCACACCAAAATTAGAAAGTCAGAACGGTATGACCGTATGATCTAAATCTAATGAAGAAGAAAAATAATATGCAGTTTTATAATTTTCTGTAATATATGAACTGATGTGGTAACTTACAGTGAAATTTAGGGGCAACTTAGAAGGTGACATATCACACTGTAATATTTTAATTTGCCGGTTTTTTTTTTGCTAACGTGGAAGAGTTACAAAAAAAACTCTTTCTTCTTTTCATTTACATACTTTCTATCTTTTTTTTTTTTTAATCTTCATATCCATTAATAAATTTTAACAAATTCTATGTACTTGTAATAACTTATATGTTATGTTTTAAAAATAACCATAATAGTTAAAAATGAAATTAAAATACCACAAAAATTAGAAGCGGATATGTGAAAATCAAATATGAAGGTGCTTATAATTATAAGTCTAAATTTTTTTATTGAACTTTTGTTTTTTGATTAGTTTCAGAAATCTAAAAAAACTGTGGCATTTCTAAAAATAAATAAAAACAAAATGATATATAGTTTTCAATATTCACATTTTTGTTTGTTATTCCTTTTATTTACTTATCTTTTACTTATAATTTGCTCAACTTTTTCTTAAATCATGGTAGAAAGACACGTCAAATTTTCTGTTTCGAAAATATCTATAGATCATCACATTTTTAGATCTATTATTTTCTTCTACCCACGCGTGGAAATTTCTTTCATGCGATCTTTCGTTTTTAAATTTTGTGTTTGATACAAACGATAATTAAAACTCTTTTTTCTCTCTTGTTGTAGCCACGGGTATATATATATATATAGGGGAAAATCTCTCCAAACACACAGATATGAATCTGCCTGAAACAGAGATAGATCTGTTCCCTTTGCTGAACCAAAAACCCGCATGACAAAGAGTCAAAGAGTATGCAAAAAAGATGACGTAATATCTGCATAAACAGATGAAAGGGAAATTGGTTCATACTCTTTCTTTTTCCCGTCTTTCTTCTCGTCTCTAAACCGAACAATTTTATATTTTTGTCTTTTTTGTCACCCAAATTTTAAGAAATAGAGATGGAAATTTTCAAAATTATATTTTTAGTATAGCAATTTTCAAAAATACACTTTTTCCTAATTTTAATATATATATTTGGGTTCACTAATCCTTAATTAATTCTAAAATTTAGGGTTTAAATTAAAAGGTTCAAGATTAGATTTTAGGGTTTAGAGTTCTTTTACTCAATGAAAAAAATGTAATTTTGAAAATAAACATCATGAAAGTGTAGTTTTGAAAATTAACATCTAAAAATGTGTAGTTTTGAAATATTCCCCTCTTTCTGAGTTCAGCTAAAGTTTTTATTAGAAAATTAAAATCGATCAAACCTTATGGCTATAATGTAACGATGTAAACCATTTTGCACCCCAGAAAAAAGACCTTACCTACCGACGGAGTATTAGTAGCCATGCACCAACGCACGTAGTAGTCCAGCGTATTCCCTTTGTCCATAAACAGTTGGGCCTGTTTTATTTATGGGCCATTTAGATAAGTTTAATTTTGATCTTATTGGTGTATTTTGATTTTTTTTTTTGAAAACTTGTTTGAAAAACATTACCAATTAATCCCTATATAAGGTGTTTTAGTTTTTGCACAAAGATTAAAAGTCCAATTAATTTTTGTACTTTTTACAATAAAATATATTTGCTCATCAATTTCAAAACATCCCAACTAATGAAAAAGTATTCTGCACGATATAAATAATCAAAAGTAACAAAAGCACATTTAATTTTGCACAAAAATTTGAAAACCCCTTATATTATGAAAAAAAAAAAATCAAAACCCCTTATATTGTGAAACAGAGAGAGTAATACATAATTATTTTTAAAATAATGTAAAGGTTTTTTAGGTTCTCCAATTATATTTTCACTAATTGTTAAGCACGTCAATGTGATAAACAGAATTATAAAGTTTAAAATGTATATGGATAATAGAAATTAAAACAAAATTCGTTAATAGTATACCAACTAAATGAAGATTAAAAGCTAAAAAGACACAACTTTTGGAACAGAGTGCTTAACTTTCTAAGTTTGTGTTTGGTTTTTCTGAAACTATTATTAGTTGATGTGTTTTTTAGAATTAGTTTTGGCGATGAGACTATCATAGAATAATAATAACACCCGACAAAGTAAAAAAAAAAAGAACCTGCAAATTAATAGTTAGTGCGTAGAATAATTCATTGATCAGACTATTTTAAATATGGCTTTTAAACTTGAGAAACCATTTTTCTAGGTGAAATTCTAGGAAGAGCATCATTGGCACCACTATTTGCTTCTCTATCTTTTGTTTCTTTTTCGGGTTTTGTGCAAAAAAACCCTTAAACTAAATTTATTTTGCAAATCTAACCCTGAAATTAATTCTGTGCAAGTCAAACCCCTGAGGTCAAAAGTCACCCCCTAAACTGGATCTCCGTGTATTTGTTGTTAGTTGTTAACGTTGACTTAAAACACAGCGTTTGATACACAAAAATCTTGTTGTTTTAAAAAAAATACAAATCATTTTTAAATTAAATAACAATTAAAAGTGGAAAAGAAAAAAAAAAATAAATAAATGGAGTGTGGCCCATATTCATCTTTTAGCTTTTCCTTGGATCTTCATCTTCCTCGATGAAGAAAATCTAATAAAACCCAGAACTTTTATTATCTTTTTTCAGATGAAAAACAATGAATAATTAACATTTCATATAATTCTTTATTTGTGTTTCCTTTGTTCTTTCTTCTGTTTAATGTTAATATTTGAGTAGTGGATTTCTCTGCTTCGTTCTCCGCCATGTCCACTCACCACCACAAACAATAGCATGCTCCGGTTATCGGAAAATTCGATTTTGTTTGTGGTAGTCAATTTGGGTGGAATGGAAATGTAAGAACTAGTGAATCTAGATCGGACTCGATTACTACTTCAATTTCACAATCAGTCATATCCTATTCTCAAACCCTAATTGATTCAGATTCACAATCACTCACATGACGATTATGTTTATCAGATTTTTTTTTTTGTTTCGAGTCTCATCGGAGACACATTTTCTGATGCTCAATTTAAGTGATTTTTATATAATTTTATTTTTTATTTTGTTAAAAAAGGCTAACGTCTTGTTGTTCTTCGGTGATAAAATGCCACATACTTTTAAAAATCATGCTGTTTTGATATGGTTAAAACGGTGAGTTTTGATTTCTGTTACTTTTTTAACAGTCATCCACTCTTGCCACGTTGGCAATGTAGAGAAGTCCTGCGGGTGACTTTTGACCTTAGAAGTTTGATTTGCACAGAATTAAATTGGAGGGTAAATTTGTAAAAAGAATTTAGTTTACGGGTTTTTTTGCACAAAACTCTTCTTTTTCTGACATGACATTCATTTCACGAGTTGTTTTTGTTCCTTTTCTCCTGAGTCGGCTACTTTTAATTGGATCCTTTGTGTTTTTAAATCACAGCCGTCACTTTATCTCGTCTCTATTCACTTCTACGGTTGTGATTAAAGACCGTAATTTAAACCTTATCGTACGAACTAAAAATCTAGTGCAAGTGCAACATGTGTCCACTGTCTACTTTGTCTGCGCGGATCTAGTTTTGTTTCTAAAAATTAATTTAATTTTTGTTTTAGATGTACTTTCACTTGAAACTATTGACGGTGAGATAAGGAAGTCCGGTTAAATTAAACCGGAGACGTTAACCATGGTTAGGGTTTGTCTGACAGTGAGGGAAGAAAGTCACGGAGTTGGGTAAAACGGAGACAAGATATGAATAGCGGCGACACACTCCCTATCCAATTTACCAAATTACCCTTCCTTACTTGACCGGAACTCTTCACTCTCGAGTTTTCTTCGTTTGGCTTTTCCGTAATATCGCTGTCACACGTGGGAGGGACATGTACATTCCGTTTCCCTTCCTATCATGAGAGAAACCAATTAAAGAGGCTTCAACATTTAAGCAGCAAAATTATGTACAACTATTTTTTACTTTTAGAAAAGGATCAATTACACGAATATCCTTTTAAGTCTTGTTTTGCTGTTGTTGTGAATATGTCAATTTCATGAATTAGGATTTGATTTATATGTATTGAGAAATGAAACAGTGATTTGGAAACAAACAGTTGACTATTTACTTGGTTGGGGGAAGCAATTTTAAATATACCATCGCAATCCACACGTACGCATTGTTTTTAACTTTTGACAAAATTATTGATTAGCGCTACCTAACAATTTGACAATTTTTTGTTATTGTGTGTCGAGTTAAATTAATCCTGTCACTGAGACGACACGCAGATTCGTATGCATATTACAAGGCTCTCCAGTTTCTTGAATTATCTAAACTGATCTTCCCATGCGGTTCATTTATTATGAACAGAAATTTTAAAATTTATGTATATTTATAGGTGATTAAATAATAGTATTAAAGTTTCGTTTTACCATAACGACGAATAAAAAATGTGTTTAAAAAGCATAGGGATATGTGTCTTATAGACACTGGATAAGAGAGTGGTCCTTAACAGACCATAAGTTATGGGATCTTCCCAGTTCCCTTATTGTTACCATATTTTTATTTATTGGTCAAGTTGTTTATTGGATTTATGCATTTAATTGTTTATTTAATCCGTAATACGACTACTACTTGTTAGAAACAGAACAGCACGCTTTGCTTCTTACACTAGCCAAACCCTTAATTAGCGATATTTGAGGCAGAAAAAAAAGAGAAGGTTACGTGTGTTTTACTCCAAAAAAAACTCCTACAGCCTAAATCCATTTTCTTTCGTTTTTATTTACTTCTTTTTTCCATGTGAAGAAAAATCACTGTTTTTCTTTGGATTGATTATGTAATCTTCTGTGGTTCTCTTTGTAAATCGAACTTTTTTTTCCTTCTCTGCATTGGTAATTTTTGATCTTCTCGTCCCTTTCAGAATCTTTATTCTTAGCACAATTTTCTTAAAAAGGGTGAAGTCTGTGCGAGAGAGAACCCACCAAAGCGTGCAGGAGAGAAGAAAAAGGAGCCAAGAAAGAAAAGAAAAAACCAAAGCATTGATTTGTATAAAATCCCACCACTTGTCTTACCATACCTTCATCACATCTCTCTTTCTCTCTCTCGCTCTCAGTTTTCAGATTGTTTCTTTTTTTGGGGTTTTTTTTTTTCATAAAAAGGTTTCTTAGGGTTTGGTGAATTGAAGAGGTTTCTTCTTTTCTCTCTGTCTCTCTCTTTTTCTCTCTCGTACGTCTCCCTTGTAAGGAACTTTACATTTTAATGAAAACAAATCTGTGAACTTTTCAAAACAAAATCATCAGTTTTTCAAGTTTAAGGTTTGTAGAATCACATCCTATTTTAAACGAATCTTGTATTTATAAGAAATAAAAACCAATGGAGGGTTGTCCAAGAAACAGAGAAATCTGTCCAAAACTCCTTGATTTGATTCCCCAAGCAAGTAAATGGTACCATGAAGAGAAGAACAACACAGATCAGGAAAAAAAACTTGAGCTAAGGCTTGGACCACCAGGTGTTGATGAAGAAGTTCGTTTGGCGATGAACAAGAAGAAGAAGAACACAGAGACAAGAAACATCAAAAAGGAACCAGAAGACAAATCTATCCTCTCTCTTACCGGAAACCATTTCTCCCTTACCAACAAAACCACTTATGCTCCTCACATCTCTCAGAAAAGGTATCTCCATTTTTCTTACTTTGACAGAAGTATTCTCTCGACATTAGGGACCCATCTTCTGAAATCTCTGTTATTTTCTTTGTTTTTAACCCTCACATGTTAAAGTTTCAACCTTTACTGATTACTGGACTTATTTTAACCTCTGCTTTTGCTCTGTATTTCTCTGTTTCTGACGTCTGGTGTTAACATATTTCTGTTGTCTCTTCTAATGTTTGTTATACAGAACCGCTCCTGGTCCAGTAGTGGGTTGGCCTCCTGTTCGTTCGTTTAGAAAGAATCTATCTAGCTCAAGCTCTTCAAAGCTAGGAAATGAATCCTCCCATGGAGGTCAAATCAACAAGAGTGGTGATGGTGAAAAGCAAGAACCTAAGAAGGAAGGAATGTTTGTAAAGATCAACATGGATAGTGTTCCTATTGGTCGGAAAGTCGATCTAAATGCTTACAATAGCTACGAACAGCTTTCTTTTGGCGTTGACAAACTCTTCAGAGGTCTACTCGCAGGTTTAAATTCTTAGTTTCAAAACTGTATTTTGTTTCTTAGAAAATGGTCCTTGTTTTATTGAGTTTGTTTTTGTTTATGTTGTTTGTTTTAGCGCAAAGAGATGTCTCTGGCGGTGAAGGAGAAGAGAAACCGATCATTGGATTATTGGATGGGAAAGGAGAATTTACTTTAACTTATGAGGACAATGAAGGAGACAAGATGCTTGTTGGGGATGTTCCTTGGAAGTAAGAATCTTTTTTTGCCTTCTCTGAATCTGATTCAGTGTTTTGCAGAACTAGATTCTTAAATCATATAACAACAAAAGTTCTCAGTTTTTTTATTAGTAGTAGTAGTATTCAAAATGATTAATCTTTACCAAAAAAGAATATAATTTTTCTGGTAGCTTTTGTTTATACCTTTTTTGCATGCTAACTTAATTTTAACCTGTGTTTTAAATCCAGAATGTTTGTTTCATCAGTGAAGAGACTGCGTGTGATTAAAAGCTCTGACATTTCATCTGCCTTGAAATGTAAGCTAATATTCGTACGTGTTCATATAGTTTTACTGTTTTGATGATTAATAACTAGAAAAGGGTTCCTCTGTTTTTGCAGTTGGATGCAGTAAGCATGAGAAGATGAGGAACTGAAGAGACTTTTAGAAATTTCTATCTGAGTCAGAGGATCTCACAGCTTTTAAAATATACATCTTGTTTTTGTTATATATATATAAGAGATAATCATTGGTTTTTGTCCATAGAGAAATTTCATTTGATCTGATATTATTATTCCCATAACCTCAAGACACATACCGATGATAGTACAGAAGCGATCTGTGTTGTTTATTAGCTAATTAAATGCTCTTTAAGGAGTAACAAGCATCGAACTCATCATGTCTGCAAAACTCTTCCGGAAAAAGAAACGGAATTTTTATTCCCTGTAAAAAGCTCTTTTAACTTTTGTTCCAACTTAAGCTATACCTTTAATCATGTAAAAACTAAAAAGCTGAGAATGAAAGGCCATTGTTGTTCTTGTTTTTTTTTTATTTTTAATCCGAGTCTGTAAATAAGATTTACAAGTTGAAAACCCAAAAAGACTTTTCAGAATGATGAGTCCATATCGATTATTTTGGTGGCTATCATCTCTTTTGTTGTAGTGCAGAATTTCGCAGCTTTTTGGTTTTCACTATAAATCATACATATACGCTGTATGTAACACATTTTGCATTATTATCTTTTCACACACCAGAAAAAAAAAACACACATTTTGAATTATCATCTATACCTATTGAGAGTTTCTCGGTGGACCGACTGAAGCATCACAACGAAAGAAACAAACATATTAAATTGTAGCACATTGTTTTCGTGATAAATATTTTCATAGCGTTAAGCAAAAATTGGCCGACAGTAGAATCATCTCAAATTAAGTAAAACTTCGACTACGACATAAATTTTGAGCATAAACGACTCATCTATAACAAACCAAAGTAGTGAGATAAAATTATGTTACTAAAAAGGTTAAAATCATTAAAGATTTCAAGATTTTGTTGACTTTGTTATTAAAATGTAGGTTTATTTTAAAACCAAAAAAAAAAAAAAGTAGGTTTATTTTGTTTTTTTTTTGTTAAAGAGCTTATAGATGTGTTACTAAAATACTAAGGCAATCTAATTCATCACTATTAACAAGTTCATTCTTTTACAGACACAAACGCACTTTTTTAACAGCAGTTTAAAAATGCAAAAATTCAATTAAAAGACATTTTGTAAACATATTTAGAGTGGTAACCTCAGTTTTATCATGTTAGAGAATGTTTAATTGCTTAACAGCTTTAAAACACATATTGGCCAATTTTTTACTGTACAAAGTTCGCCATTTCTTCTATTCTTATCGTTTTGATATATATATTTGATTTTATTTTCATTTTCTTGTCACGCAAGCAAAGTCTAACTAGTAACGACATGATCAGTTGGTGTTGCTGTTCTTCTTGTATTCAGTATGATTGGATTTTTGGATGAGTTGGAATTTGTGGTTGGGTGATTTTGAGGATAATACTGAACGAGACATGAAACAATAAATACGATAGAAACATTGAATTAGAATAGTCATTTTCGTTGAGACATGCCTAACTCAAAGCAAATGTGGGACTTGTTACTCTTTCTTCAAATAAAGGGACTGGTCAATTAATATGTCCATGATTGTGATGGTAGAGACTCTATTCTCCAATCTCCACCAATGCAGCGAAGCCAAGAAATTGAACTTTGAACACATGTTAACAGCTTGTTAAAAGTTATGTGTAGATTGAAACATATTTTTTGTATGAGCAATATAATGTTTTGCTAACTTTTATCAAAACTTAAAATGAATACATTCAAATAAGGGTTCTGTGCAAAAAAAACAGTGAACTAAATTAATTTTGCAAATTAAACCCTCAATTTTTTTCTGTGCAAGTCAATCTCCCAAACTCCAAAGTCACCCGTTAAATAAGCCCTCCGTATATTTGTCGTTAAAACTTAACGTTGACATGAAACTATGTCATTTTAGTTGAGTAAAAATCATGCTGTTTTTAAATAATTAAAAATTAAAAATGAAAAAGAAAATAGAAAAAAATAATTTCATTGATAAAAAATCTAATCCTCCATTTTTTTCCATCGGAGCCGCCATGGATATTCATCGTTGTTATTTTAGCAACTTGACTTTCCACTATCAGTCACCAAATCCTAAATTATTAGGTTTTTTAACCCGCGCACGCGCGGGTCTCGGTTAATAATTTTATTTAATCAACTAATAACTTTAAAATTATCAAATCTTGTGCATTTTTTTTAATGTACTTAAAAAGAATTGATTATTTCATCCTCCTTTTATTCTTTTATAAGATTATAGATATTTTTAAGAATAATAATAATAAAGCAATTGAAAGGGATAAATGTGGGTTACATTTGATTTTGAGTTCAATTCATAGATCATTTTAGCAACTTTCCAATAATTTTACCTCACTAAAATACTAATTTACTTAATTTCAGTAAAGAATCTTTGTTGATTTCTGTAATATTCTATGGAGATTTGTAGGAACCTCTGAAATCTTTAAAAAAAATTTGATAGTTACTTTCATAATTGTCAACTACCTGCATAAAAATTAGTATATTTCAATTCGAATTTTGAAAATGGGCCTAATGAATTGGGATTTCCCTATTTGGCCGGGTCATTTTGGGGCAAGCGGATATCTTTAACACAACATACTGATTTAAAACCTTAATATATTGTTATCTTGTGTTAAACTTTCGTACAAAAATCCATAATCAGTTTTGTTTTATGATTAGAATCCTAGATATCGTCGTTTGACAAAACTCATCATAAAATTGGATGTATAAATCTTAGATGTCTTCATTAGACATGACTCGACATACATTTTCATAAATATTTTTATATGTTTTGTCCATTGCTTCACAAAATTTGGCATAAGAACATATCATAAACTTTGATCTTTCAACAATATGACAACATGATCGGCCTAAACAAACATTATTTTTTAATGAACTGAATTAGAAAGTTGTGAACAACAAATTTGTAGTTTGTCTTGTTTTTACTAAACCAATAAAATTTTAATATTGTAGATTATAACAGCCTTTAACTTTGTTTGAGAATAACCTATTCAATTAATTTGTATTGTTTATGACAAAAAATAAATTATCTTTTAGACCACATCAACTTCAATTTGTTTCATAATTTATTTTTAAATGTTTTTAGTATAGATCTTTTGATACCCTAGTAGCATCACTTTTTATAAAATAATCATCTTTATTTATTTGAAATTACTAAATTCGGTGATAGATCTCGAATATACTTTAAATAGAACTTCATTTGAAGAAAAGCAAAAAATACACATTCTTGAAATTCAATTTATTCATCCGTCTTGCTTTCTTCTTTAATCTATTTTTTTTTTTCTTATTTGATTTCTTTATGCTTGAAGTTCTTTTCTTTTTTTTTTTTTTAGTCGGTGTCTTCTTTTTCTTTGCGTCATTCTTATTCGATTTATTCTTCATATTCACTGATCTACTTGTCTTCTACTTTGCTATTTTTCTTCTCCACTCGTATTGCATCCTATTTTTCTTTCTTGTCTGGTTTCTTCTCTTTCATTCTTATTTGATTTTTTTTTTCTTTTTCAGTTTCATCTTCATTGTTTTTTATTCGGTTTTTCTGTCTTCATCGATGTTCTTCTTTGGCTTTCTTTTTTTCTTCCTACTTTAGTATCTCCATCTTCCCTGTTTTTCGGTTTCACCTCTTACGTACTTCTCCTGAATCTATATGTTACTTGAAAAATGATCATGATAGTTCTCCGTAATGATCATCCGAAAAAAATCATTTTTCGGTTTCATTCTCTTACTATACTTCTCCTATATGTTCGTCTTTCTTCTTGTTCTTTAATTTCTTTGATGATTATTTCTTGCGGAATAAGTTGTGACTGTTTTAACAGTGTCAATTTTATTATAAAAAGAAAACATTTTCTTTAAGTTTGTATATAGAAATATTTAAATTAAATATTAGCAAATATTTTCTTTAAATTTGTATAGAGAAATCTTTAAAATTAAATATCGTGAAAGCGTTTTTTTTTGTATGAATGTTAAGATATCAGTAAATAGTTGTATTTAACATATTTATTATTTTAAATTATTAAAATGAACTTTTATATGTATTAAAACTTCAAATGCTCTTTTGTTTAATTTATCAATAATTTTAACTTAACACATGTTTTAGTTTATAAACTTTGATTCAATGTTAATAAATAAAACATAAATAATTTATGTTATTTTCTTATAGCCTTGAGAAACCTTAAATAATTATTTATTTAATGTTAATATTTTCTGTAAATGAATTTACTACGTTTTTTCTATGCGTTATTTTTCTATTTTCATTACATCTTAGACTTATTTAGAAATATTTGGTTGATGTTTTGAGAACATATTCTTGTTCAAAATATTTTTAGTTACATATTTGTTAAAAAAAAGTGCATAATCCAGTGAGAATTTCTTTAATTGAAAAATTGGTCATTACCTCACCTTATATCACTTACAAAGATTGTCCGTTTCTAATCCTCGCATTATTTCGCCAAGTTTGTATATCACAAAAAAATGGAATCGATGGCAAAGGTTTTGCCGGTGGATCAAGCTTTGGTCTCTTATAGAATTGTTGCGAACACTTTTTGAAGACGATGTGCCAGCAAACAAACAGTCTCCATATCTTCATTTTTACAGTCCAAGTACGTCTAGGAGTTAATCCCTTTCCTCAACAAAATTTTGGCAAGCGAACATCCCTCTTTGAAACCCCTTCAATGTGCAAAAAGATGATTACTCTGTATCAATAGGTTTATTGACATCTACTCTTAAATTTATTGACATATGTAAAAGGCATGTAATCTCTTCTTATTTAAAAAGAATTGTGATTTACATTAAGATGAAATCCTCGTTAACACTGTGAATGATGCCTATAAATAAGTCAGATTCTCCTTTCCCTGTCCATTTGGTCGGCATTATCTCTCGAACAAAACTTTTGTTTTGATCATGCAACTTGAAATGTTTTCTCATAAACATATGGTATGAACTGAATGATCAAATCTACTCTTCTCCAAAGCAATGCAAGTATAATGTTTACTTCT